AAAAAAAGAAACGGACTAGCTTGAGCCCTATGTATCAATTACATGGCCAACTGTTCCATTATTAACAGTCAGAAAGAGTCAAACCGTCCCTCTCTCAGCTATACTACAGAGTAACTATAACTACGAAAGGTTATCAGTCATTTGACGAGACTTAATCTAATCCAATGATTTCCCGAAACCTTTTGATAAATGTCATGCCTGTTAGCATCAATTCATTATAGATGGTTAGTTGATGATATAGATATTATTTTCACGCTGGGTGACAAATAATTTGCACACTTCGTGTGGAAGAAAAGAGGGGAGGGGAAGAAAAAGACTTGGATAGTTGTGCCTAGGCATTTATACCCTGTATGATGTATGTATAACAAACGGGTATAACTGTACATACACTTGCCATACATACATATCTTTCCGTCCGTCTGTATTTATGTACAGTATGTACGTACGTACGTATTGACGTTCGTATGTAAATACGTACGTACATACCGCTCACATATTGTACCTATTATGAATATCAATTCTGGCAATCGGCAAGTCAAGATCCATGGATGGTTCGATGATGGCTACCAAAAGCGATGAAGACTAGTAACCACTAAAAAGAATCTATGTAGGGATATTGATGACGGACAGGTACTAATCAGTGGATATACCATGGTTGATGGAGGGGCGACTTTAACCTCCGGCCAATGAATCCGACAGGATGGACACCTCCTCCAAATAGATAGTAGACACAAGTCTTTAGCCGTCGGGTACGATTCTCCAACGCCTATTAGTTCGCTAGATTGTCGAATGACACGCTACTACTCAGGTAGGTACACTTCTCCATACATCCTAGCATGGCTCAGCCCCCTTTCGGATTTTTTCTTTTTCTTTTTCTTGTTGCTTTTCTCAAAAATAAAAATAAAAATAAAAATAAAAATCAAAATCAAAAAGAAGAGAGAGATCCTTACAACCAACCATTCCTTTCCGCTCGGTGACAGCCTCAGGCTCTCTTTCCCTAACCGCCCCGCCCTCATACCCGTGGGCCCAACGGGAACAAGACAGCGGCTGCAACAACCTTAAAGGCAGGTCTGCCATTACAAGGGCTTCTTCTCGCTTCCCCCTCGTCTACCACTACCAATTCTCGCCCCTCAGGGCTCCGCTCTTTACCCTTCTTTTCCGTGGTATGGTGTTGGGTAAATCCGTCTCAATTGATGAACTTTGATCAACCTTACCCCCATCCATGGTTAGTCGTGGGTTGACAAGTTGCGCCCAGTAATTGCCAGCGCCGTGACCGCTACTTCTCTGCATTTCCGACTGGCATCGCGGGGAGACAGTGGAGATTTTCTATTATTCCTTCGCTTGTCGGTACTTTTGCCTGGTCTTGTTTTCCTCTTCCTGCCCCTTTGGTGTTTAGGTGGACGTGACCGTTAATTACCTGTTTGGTACTATCTCCAAATTCCTACTCTCTTTCTTTTCTTTTCTTTTCTTTCTATTTTTTTCCTCTCCGTTTTTCCTTTTCCTTTTCCTTTTCCCTCTCTACTCTCTTTCTACTCTCTCCAAGCCCCCGTCTTTCAAATACTGCGAATGATATCTTGGGATTCGCCTTTTGCTCCCTTAAATTCATGCTTCATCTTGCCGTCTATCCACTAGGCTCAGCCCCATCCTACTCTATGTTCTATTCGTCACTCAATATATATACCATATACACCACCTACAAGCGCCCACGCTATTGATATCAACCTGTCGCCATCGACGCCGCCTCTCGTCGCCGTTTCAAAGTACCAGACTTCGCGCCCACCCCTCGCAGCTTCCTCCTCACCCGGGATGTTTGGAAACGGCCACGCTGCCCAGCGACTCCCGGCGTTGGCCTCACCACCACACGACCCGTACCGTCCGCAGTCGATAGCATCTAGTCGATCACGAAACAACTCGGATGCTATGGACATCTACGTCATTACAGACAGAGAGCCTCCACGAGAGCCGTCTGGTCATAGTCAGTGGACCCGCAACGGTTCTCTAAGTGTGAATTCTATGCATAGCAAGTGTATTTCTTCCCTGTTTCCTCTTTTTTCTTGTTGTGTTTCCTTTCCGGAGCCGCGTCAGTTACTCGCTGTGCCGAAGATGTTATCATTGGACGACTAATGTGTGTTGTTTCTTGTTTCTGTTTCTCTCTAGGAGCTCTGAAAGACCACCTCCTTTCTATGAAGAGAATGGACGAATGTATCATGCATTTCGCAAAGGAGTATATATGCTACCATGCGATGAGCAGGAACAGGATCGTCTGGATATATTCCACAAATTGTTCACGGTTGCCAGGGTGTCGGATGGATTAATGTACGCCCCGCATCCTAGAAATGGCCGATTTCTAGACTTGGGTTGCGGCACCGGCATATGGGCAATTGATGTGGCCAACAAATACCCGGACGCTTTTGTTGTTGGGGTCGATCTTGCTCCTATACAACCTTCTAACCATCCGAAGAACTGCGAATTTTATGCGCCGTTCGACTTCGAAAGCCCCTGGGCTATGGGTGAGGACTCCTGGGACCTGATTCACCTGCAAATGGGATGTGGCAGTGTGATGGGGTGGGTGAATTTGTACCGGAGAATATACGCTCACCTTCGGCCTGGGGCTTGGTTCGAACAGGTGGAGATCGACTTTGAGCCGCGCTGCGATGACCGTCCCTTGGAGGGACTGGCTACTCGACAGTGGTATGAATATCTAAAGCAAGCTACACAAGATGCCATGCGGCCTATATCCCACAATTCTCGCGATACCATACAAGATCTTCAGGAGGCTGGTTTTACCGACATCGACCATCAAATGGTGGGGCTACCCCTTAACCCGTGGCACCAAGATGAACACGAAAGAAAAGTTGCTCGTTGGTACAATCTGGCTATCTCGGAGAGTATTGAGTCGCTGAGCATGGCACCCTTCAGCCGCATTTTTGGCTGGGACTTGGACCGAATTCGGCGCATCTCAGCGGACGTCAAGTCGGAGGCATTCAACAAGGAAGTACACACCTACAACATCCTTCATATATACCAAGCGCGAAGGCCTTCTGCCAATTGATCCTTTTAATCGACAAACGCAAAATGGACATCCAAACACGCGTCGGTATTACTACTCGTGCTCAGACTCCGAGCTTGGGTGTAGACGAGAAATTCGTCTATGGGACCTCGCAATCTACTGGAGCTTGGCATGAAAACCCGTAGCAACACTTCTCAACCTGCGTACTCGGATTGGCTTCTACTTTTTTACATACAGGGACAAATAGTGTGCCATAAGAGTTCCACTTTCTTGGGTGTGTTTGCTAGGGAAGCCCTGTTCATCTTGTTGAGTAAGTTGCAAGCGAGGCACTTTGTTGCGTGCACTACTCTAGTGGAAACCCGCATCGTTGGCAAATATCTTGACTTGGGACGGATGGGACTCGCGAAAGTCAATATCGGTATGAACCTGGGGCTGCCGTGTGTCATGCAAGGAATCACATAGTTTACTTTTTCGTTTAAAAAACAGAAAAGAAAAAACAGGAGAGCCAAAAACGCAAAGCCAAAGATCTTTTTACCCCCAAAGAGAAAGGAATTATTACAACAAACCTTCCCGAATCAATTCAGCGGGTCTGCAAAATAATGGGCGGGTCAGGACATGGCATGATGCTTTCAGGCATCCACTGCCTGCGTGAGTCCTCGATCGCACTTCTTGCAACCGCACCTTTCCCTGGCACTCCATGCTTATCTGCTTACCTACTTGTCGAATACAGCATACTCCTGGCGTTTGGGTGCGTGTATGGTTGGTGAATGTATACCCAGAGCGTCGCAATCTGTCTGCCTATTCGAACTAGTTTCTATTGTTTTGTTCGAATCTCTATATTATGATATCATATTTAAAAATATATATATATATATATATAAGAGAAAGAAATTTTATATAATACAACGGAAAGACGTCATCCATGTGATCTTTCTTTTTAGTAGGTCCCTACAATCAGCTAACATAAGTGTATGAGATACCAGTTTCTGGGTATTTTGCCAAACGCCCCGATAACCTTAAGACAATAACCCAGTGATCCAAAAGACAAATGCTCCGGTAAATGGTTTAGGTAATTCCATAACGCGAACTCGGACAGCGGCATCATTTCAACGTCGGCGACCCTTCTGACCCCGAGAGATACCGTTTCTACCTCCAGAACTTTCTTTCTCCCCATCTCCGTTGGCATCACGGCCAGCGCCGGGGCTGCGCCTCCGCATTGTTCCGGGCCCCACGGCAACGATGTCCTCTTCGCTTTCACTGTCGGAGATGTCGAGGAGAACAGGCATGCGGAAAGATTCCACCTCATCATCCGTACCGCTCTTGTGCGGCTCGACCGTCAGCACGTCGGGAACTTCGTCTTCCTGATCAAGCCGACGTTGGTGGATTTCTTCAGCGGGGTGAACATCAAATTCGTCTTCGCGTTCAACATACTCGACGTTCTCCTCGACTTCGCCGAAATCAGGCGCTAGGGCGGACCATTTTTGGGGCGTCACAATCGACCATGTGTAGATGCATCCCGATTCCAAACCGCAGGCGACTACCATAGGGCGAGAAGGGTGCCATTCCACGACGCCCAGTTCTTCTCGAGGGCCCTCGAGAATTTTCACCAGGGATCCGTGGCTTCGTTCCCAAACGTAAATGTCAGGATTCATGAAGGTGGATGCGGTGACGAACTCGCTCGTTGAAGAGAAGGTGACGTGGTTCCAACTTAGTCTATTGACCACGTCCTGAAACTTATGTTCGACCTGAAGCTTGATGTTGGCGGGTTCCAAGTCAATGCCCAACTGGGAGAGATCGGGCATGAGGATGGTGCGTATCACTCGATCGGAGCTATTAACTAGCAGGTCCCGGCCGTTGCTAGCGAGGCGAAGTAAGATCACCACTCCATTGCAGAGACGAGTGGAGTGAATTGTGGCGCATGTTTGTGTCTCAATGATGTTGATCCACCCTTTAGATGTACCCGCTATGATATGATTTCCTAATGCTGTAAAAATAGTAACACATGTTGAGTGTTTCGCGTCTTGGGCTGCTTGCTTTGCGGCTACGGCGGGATCAACTTCTTCGGATATAGGAGGCGGGGGTCGAAACGGAGCCGAGGGAAGAATGCGCTTGATGGGCTTAGGAGATGAAATGTCGACTAGAACAGGTTGGTCTTCGAAGAGAGAGGCAACGAAAAGTAAACTAGACAACCGCCAAACTTTAGTGCGAGATGCGACGCAAATAATGTGAAGCGTCGCGCAGATGGGACTCACTGATTATAAGGGTGTAATTCAGCGATATATACAGGAGCTTCAAAACGGACTGTGCGTACTCGGGAGCCATCTTTCAGATCCCATAGAATACACTTCCAATCTTGGGATGAACTGAGAAGATACCGACCATTCCTTGACCAGCTATATATGTCGATGTATGGTTAGCCCCTCTCATCGAACGGTATTTCGCAGCACGAAACACATACCTCAAGGACTGAATCTGCCTGGTGTGGCCCCGTAGTTTCCGCGCAACGCCATTTGTCTCCAAATCGAAGATGACTACGGTACCATCAACCTGTACGAGAGTCAATAGGATATCGCAACGGCAGCTCGTGGTTCTTCGTTAAGACTGACTCGTCCGGAGGCTAGATAATCTCCCTTGCGGTTGAATCGTAGGCACGTCGCATGACCGCTTCCTGGGATTGTTCGTGAAATATTCTCGGTGACAGTAGGGTAGGAGTGTCTTACTCAATTTCTCGGTTAGTGTGTCTGGATAGTCCTGCGCCAGGACGAAGGGATCGATAAGAGACAAATTCATTGCGCCTAACCAATTATCGTCATGCGCCCGAAGAAGATTAAGACAAGAGGGAAGCAAAATTTAGAATGATCCCAGCCCAGAATAAAGGCCAGGAGGAGTGACTGCGAACAATCATTCAGTGTTCATTTGGTGACCGCTGATACAGCCTCTACTTGGGGAGAGAGATCCACGGGCTAGTCCAGTGAATGAATACTGAAGAATACCTGGAAACCAGATTGGCGGGCGGTGAGAGGCCATTTAGAAAGTGAAAGGTCGGCCCCAGCGGAACCTCAATCATAGCTTAGCTATTGGTTGACGGTGGCAAAACGCCGCCAGCCATGGCCTTAGCGTTACTGACTTTTAGTGAGCGCCACGCTAGCCGCAGGTTGCGGCTCAGAAAACTCGTGCCCCATCGGCGGACAACCTGACGTCCAACCATCTCCCTTTCATCACCTCGACACCCTGCTTTCCCATCCCCCAACGTCCCCGATCATCGCGGTTGGCATCGCGATATCGTTTTGCAAGTCGGAGAAGTCGCCAAGGTCGACCGTGAATCTATTTCCTTCGCCCTTTTTCGACTTTCGCGACGTCGGTGGACAAGGTCGCAGGCGCCCTCGTGGCAAGGGCTGCCAAAGGCCTCAGCCGGCCAGCTGCTTGCAAACTCTTTTATTGTCGCTTCTGCACGCCTGATAATTGACAGATTAGAGCTGTTGGAGCCAGATTATCGGCAAGCCTTCGCTCTTAGATCCGCTTGATTCGTGATTTCACCACCGTATCTTGAGTAACACGTCTCCGCGACAACAGCATCATGACGAACGTCTACTTCCCCTACTCCAAGGCGCCTCTGCGCACCATCAAGGAGATTCAGTTTGGCCTTTTCTCACCGGAAGAGATCAAACGGATGAGCGTGGTCCATGTGGAGTATCCAGAGACGATGGTTTGTGACTTCCTAATCGCCCCCTCGACTGATTGGTTATGATCGACACTGACAGGGTACAAAACTAGGATGAACAAAGGCAGCGGCCACGAACCAAAGGTCTCAACGATCCTCGCTTGGGAACCATCGATCGGCAATGGAACTGCGAGACTTGTGAGGAAGGCCAGAAGGAATGTCCTGGACATTTTGGACATATCGAGCTTGCCACTCCTGTTTTTCATATTGGTATGCCGTGGTTTTTCCATAGCTTACTTGGATATCGTTTCTAACGGTCACTTCCTAGGTTTCTTGACGAAAATCAAGAAGCTACTTGAGACGGTCTGCCACAACTGTGGAAAGATCAAAGCCAACACGGTTAGTCATCCCTCACGGGATGGCAAATCTAATATGGCACATTTGCTGACTTGAAGCCAGTCTGACCCAAAGTTCCTTGAAGCCCTACGCATGAGAGATCCAAAAAGACGTTTCGACCATATCTGGCGACTATCTAAAGATGTCACGATCTGTGAAGCTGACCCTCCCCCGGATGAGGACGAGCCGTACTCGAAAGACAGCTCGAAACCAATGAAAATGCATGGTGGGTGCGGAAATGCCCAGCCGACTATTCGCAAAGAGGGTATCACCTTGGTGGGGACATGGAAACCTAGCAAGAGCATGATGGACGACATGGATATGCAGCAGCCGGAGAAAAAGACAATTACCCCTCAGATGGCTCTGAACGTTTTCCGTACCATCTCTTACGAGGATGTTCGTATAATGGGATTGAGCAATGACTACGCTCGTCCTGAGTGGATGGTTCTCACTGTCCTGCCAGTGCCACCGCCTCCTGTGCGTCCAAGTGTGCTTGTGGGCGGTAGCACCAGTGGTCAACGTGGTGAGGATGATCTGACATATAAGCTGGCTGAAATTGTTCGGGCAAACCAAAACGTTCAACGCTGTGAACAGGAAGGCGCTCCCGAGCACGTGGTGCGAGAATTCGAGTCTCTGTTACAGTACCATGTCGCCACTTACATGGACAACGATATTGCTGGTCAGCCAAAGGCTATGCAAAAGTCAAACAGACCGGTGAAAGCCATTCGCAGCCGCCTAAAGGGTAAAGAGGGTCGTTTGCGTCAAAACTTGATGGGTAAGCGTGTGGATTTCTCCGCTCGTACTGTTATCACAGGTGATCCCAACTTGTCACTTGACGAGGTTGGCGTTCCGAAAAGTATTGCAAGGACCTTGACCTACCCCGAAGTTGTTACGCCGTACAATATTGAGAAATTGCAACAGCTCGTTATGAATGGCCCTAACGAGCACCCGGGAGCAAGGTATATCGTTAGAGATAACGGCGAACGCATTGACCTACGTCATGCTAGGAGAGCTGGAGGCCAACAACTACTGTATGGATGGAAAGTAGAGCGTCATATCATGGATGGTGATGTGATTCTTTTCAATCGACAGCCCTCACTTCACAAGGAATCTATGATGGGTCACCGTGTCCGCGTTATGCCGTACTCCACTTTCCGGCTTAACCTGTCTGTGACAACACCTTACAACGCTGATTTTGACGGTGATGAGATGAACTTGCATGTTCCTCAAAGCGAAGAGTCTCGCGCAGAGCTAAGCCAGCTTGCGCTGGTCCCTATGAATATCGTGTCTCCCCAGCGGAACGGTCCTCTCATGGGTATCGTGCAAGATACTCTTTGCGGTATTTACAAGTTTTGTCGGCGTGATACTTTCTTGACGAAGGAGCAGGTTATGAATATCATGATGTGGGTTCCTGATTGGGACGGCGTTATACCCCCGCCAGCGATCTTGAAGCCTAGGCCTAGATGGACCGGTAAGCAGATGATCAGCATGGCGCTCCCTTCGGGGCTCAATCTGTTGCGTGTGGATAAAGACAACTCCGCGCTTTCGGAGAAGTTTGCCCCTCTAAATGATGGTGGCCTTCTCATTCATGGTGGACAGTTGATGTATGGAATGTTTTCCAAAAAGACTGTTGGTGCCAGCGGTGGTGGTGTTATCCACACCATCTTCAATGAATATGGGCCAGCCACTGCTGTGGCTTTCTTCAACGGTGCACAGACCATTATCAACTACTGGCTACTCCACAATGGCTTTAGTATTGGCATTGGTGACACCATTCCAGACGCGCTCACCATACAGAGAATTGAAAACTGCGTTCGTGCACGGAAGAAGGAGGTCGAATCCATCACTGCAAGCGCTACTGACAATACCCTGGAGCCGCTGCCCGGTATGAACGTACGAGAAACCTTTGAAAGCAAGGTTTCGCGTGCGCTCAACAACGCTCGTGATGAGGCTGGTAGTGAAACTGAGAAGAGCTTAAAGGATCTGAATAACGCCATTCAAATGGCTCGTTCTGGATCAAAGGGATCGACCATCAACATCTCTCAGATGACAGCCGTTGTCGGTCAACAATCCGTCGAGGGCAAGCGCATCCCGTTCGGATTCAAATATCGTACTTTGCCGCACTTCACAAAGGATGACTATTCCCCGGAATCGCGTGGTTTCGTGGAGAACTCCTATTTGCGTGGGTTGACTCCTACTGAGTTCTTCTTTCATGCCATGGCTGGTCGTGAAGGTCTTATTGATACAGCTGTCAAGACCGCCGAAACTGGTTATATCCAGCGGAAGCTGGTCAAGGCTCTGGAAGAGGTCATGGTCAAGTATGACGGCACTGTCCGCAACTCTTTAGGAGACATTATACAATTTATCTACGGAGAAGACGGTCTTGATGGTGCTCACATCGAGAACCAACGCGTTGATGTCATAAAGTGCTCTGACGACAAGTTTAGAGATCGCTTCCGTGTTGATCTTATGGATCCTGAGCGTAGCTTAGGTCCAGAGGTCTTGGAGCAGGCCAACGAAATCGCAGGTGATGTGGAAGTCCAGAGATACCTGGATGAAGAATGGGAACAGCTTCTCAAAGACCGTGCTTTCCTGCGTACTGTCGTTAAGGAAGACGAAGAGATGATGCAGCTTCCGATCAACGTTCAACGTATTCTTGAAATGGCCAGGACTACGTTCAGGATTCGCGAGGGAACCATTAGTGATCTGCACCCAGCGGAAGTTATTCCTCAAGTACAAGCATTGCTTGATCGGTTACTCATTGTTCGCGGTGATGATGTGATTTCGCGTGAAGCCCAGGAGAGTGCGACTTTGTTGTTCAAGGCGCAACTTCGGAGTCGTCTAGCGTTCCGAAGACTAGTCACCGAGTATTCTTTGAACAAACTTGCGTTCCAGCATGTTCTTGGAGCTATCGAAATGAGGTTTGCTAAAGCTAATGCTCCTGCCGGTGAAATGGTTGGTGTTCTTGCTGCCCAGTCCATTGGTGAACCAGCTACTCAGATGACTTTGAACACTTTCCATTTTGCTGGTGTCTCGTCAAAGAACGTCACTCTTGGTGTCCCTCGTCTTAAGGAAATTCTCAACGTTGCAACCAATATCAAGACGCCATCTATGACTGTTTACCAGGAGCCCCACAGAACTCATGACAAGGAGGGTGCTAAGCAGTTGCGAAGCGTGGTTGAGCATACTAGCTTGCGGTCTGTCACCGAGGCCACCGAGATCTACTACGATCCCGATATTCAGTCTACAGTCATTGAAACCGACCGAGATATGGTCGAGTCGTACTTCATTATTCCCGAAGATGTGACTGATGACTCATCTCGCCAATCGAAGTGGCTACTTCGTATTATCCTTAGTCGGCCGAAGCTTCTTGATAAGGGTCTTACGGTGCAAGATGTTGCTACTAGGATTAAACAGGCGTATCCTAAGGATATCGCCGTTATTTTTAGTGATAACAATGCCGACGAGCAGGTAATTCGAATCCGACAGATCCAGGATCACAAGGAAGATGAAGAAGACGACGATGTTGAATACGATGTCACGCTCAAGAAACTTGAGCAACATCTCTTGGACACTTTGACACTTCGAGGCGTCCCCGGTGTCGAGCGAGCGTTCATCAACGAGAAGGGCAAAGTCCGAGTCCTTGAGGACGGTTCTTTGTTCACCAGTAAGGTCGATCCCCTTTGCAAAGAATGGGTTCTTGAAACAAGTGGTTCTTCCCTTGGCGAGGTTTTGGCGGTTCCTGGTGTCGATGCTACGCGCACCTATTCCAACCAGTTTATTGAGGTGTTCGAGGTGTTTGGTATTGAAGCTGCCCGCACCGCTGTTCTTCGTGAGTTGACGCAAGTGCTTGCCTTCGATGGTTCTTACGTCAACCACCGTCATTTGGCTCTTCTGGTCGATGTTATGACTGTTCGTGGTTACCTTACGCCAGTCACTAGGCATGGTATTAACCGTGCTGACAATGGTGCTCTTATGCGGTGTTCTTTCGAAGAGACAGTGGAGATCTTGTTGGAAGCCGCGGCCTTTGGAGAACTGGATGACTGCCGTGGTGTGTCCGAGAACCTGATCTTGGGACAGATGGCACCTGCCGGTACCGGGGAGTTTGACATTTACCTCGACCAGAACATGCTTAACACTGTCGTCTCGAATAATGCTCGCTTTGGCGTGATGGGAGCTATTGGCGCCAAGGATGCGATAATCTCTGATGGCGCTTCAACTCAGTATGACACTGGCTCGCCTATGCAGGAAAACGCTTATATTGGTACACCCGACCCCGAGTCAAACTTCTCTCCTATCCGTCAAGCCGGCGCTGAATCCCCCGGCGGCTTTACTGAGTATCAACCAACTGGTGGCTTCGGAGGCGGATTCAGCCCAGCCGCCACGAGCCCCGCAGGCTATTCTCCCAGCAGTCCGTTCAGTGCAAACCCAACATCACCTGGTTATTCCCCATCATCGAGCTATTCCCCCACGTCTCCTGGCATGGCAATTACCAGCCCTCGTTTCTCCATGACGTCTCCGGGATTCTCCCCTGCCAGCCCGTCATTTGCACCGACATCACCTGCATACTCGCCAACATCACCGGCGTATGGTCAGGCGTCGCCGACATCACCGTCGTACTCTCCAACCTCGCCAGGGTTTTCTCCAACCTCGCCAAACTACAGTCCTACATCGCCAAGCTTCAGTCCTGCTTCGCCTGCGTTCAGTCCGACATCACCAAGCTACAGTCCAACCAGTCCCGCGATTGGTGGTGCCGCTCGGCACTTGTCTCCCACCTCGCCAACCTCACCCAAGTATACACCCACATCTCCTGGGTGGTCTCCTACGAGTCCCCAGACATATTCTCCGACGTCTCCTAATTTTGCCGGCTCGCCGACATCTCCGGGAGGGCCTACATCCCCTGGCTATAGTCCGACGTCGCCGGCCTTCAGTCCTTCGTAAGTCTTGTTTCCATGGCCTGGTGGTCTTCCACTCTTACTGATTTGCTTTTTTGAAGGTCTCCTCGGCAATAAAGTCTGCATCCGTGCATATCTTCTCTACAGCATCTGCTGTATCGTTGTACTATCATTTCTTCGAACAACCTTTGAAAAAGAAAACATTTTGCATTTTAAGTTGCGGAATTGGTTGGTTATTTTTTTCCCCACAATTTGGGCGTCTGTAGCCTTGTTCTACATTTTCTTTCCTGCATGTATGTTTTCCATGCGTCGACCAAACGGGGCTATTTATTCCATAGCCTCCGAAGCAGCCCACTTAAATTGCGAACAAATTTTGTGGGTTGGTGATGCCTGTTTCCACTTCTTTCTGAGCTCTGAAATTACCAAGCGTTTTTTAGAATTGCCCGAACCACGAGGATTATCACGAAGTGATATGACCCTCTTGCATGATGCTGTTTCCCCTGGTTTGCATGGAAGAATATGATTTTGCCACGGAGTGTATTAATGATGCGGTCCCAGATATTTACTTTTCTTTTATTTTTCTTTTTCCTGTACACAGCTTTAGTGCAAATGGGGTTACGGACAGATGCAAAAGGAAAATCATATAAAAAAAAAGCATTAAAAAAATAAAAAATAGAAGCTATCATGAGATCTATATGAACCTAGTTGTTGAATTTGTGTTGAACTATACATAGAAAGTAGTTCCTGAAGTGTCGGCGAAATGAACCTCCGCGTGGACAGGTGGCCCCTTCCGCTTTGGAAAGCTCTTAGGAAGCATGCAAAGCATACTCAGTACTTCGATCCCCTAAGTTACTCGTTGGGACTTGGTGATACTCTTCTATTCGGGAATAGTTCGCCATGTTCTTCTCACTAATCAATATTAAGCATTTCTCGTTGACAACATGAAGAACCTATGGTTATGGCGTTTCTTGCCCTTGGCGCTTCGTGAGTGTTCCCCCGCGGAGTTTAACGGGTAATGAAAGCTGACATCTCTTAACTGTGCTCTAGTACTGCTGCAGGTGCTTGCAGTTGAAACCAAAGGAAAGCCTGATTTCACACCTACTGATGTTACTCACGAATCCTACCCAAACCAGTCTCCAGGCGGGACAGATGGCTTCGACGTAAGACCGGGCAGTCGTGAGTCCCCCGTTTGGCTCAAGCCTTTGTCACTCTGCATGCTAAACTAATTATCACTGCTTTAGAACATGTTGATACTGCCCTCAAAATCCTCCGTACTTCAAAGATTCCAATAACCGCGCCCGAGAAGCCATCCGGCATCCTGGGTTACACATTACATTATGCGAAGGAGGCTTGCCGGGTTCTGTTCCTCAATGGCCCGCCGCCCGATTATACCGAACGGCAGAAGATCCACCCCAATGTTGCAAAAGCTGTAAATGAACTCAAGATCGCTGCTCAAGAAGACCATAACCCCGATGCGATGTTCCTGTTAGCGGAGTTGAATTTTTACGGTAACTTCACTCATCCGCGAGACTTCAAGCAAGCGTTCCATTGGTATCAGAGTCTGGCATCAGCGACTGGGAACAGCACAGCGCAGTATATGTTGGGCTTTATGTATGCGACTGGTGTTGGAGATGGAGTTGAGCGCGATCAAGCAAAGGCATTGTTATACCACACTTTCGCGGCTGAAGGAGGAGACACGAGGTCGGAGATGACCCTTGCATATCGGAATCATGCCGGCATTGGAATGCCTAAGAATTGCGACCATGCCACATATTACTATAAGAAGGTCGCAGATAAAGCTATACAGTACTTCCGGTCCGGACCTCCTGGTGGTCATAATATGATTCGGGAATCATACCGTTGGGCTGATGAAGAGGGCGGTGTCTACGGTGAAGGTGCCAGTGTCTCCAGCTCGGGACCAAATGCCCTGCGTGATGCATCGCATTCCAGCACCGAGGCCAGCTTGGAAGACGTCCTGGAGTATTTGGACCTTATGTCACGAAAGGGCGAGTTAAAGGCCACGTTCAGCTTGGGAAAGATGCACTACGAAGGGTCGCGGGGTCTGCCCAGAAATTTCCGAAAGGCTATGAAGTACTTCAAGCAGATCACGAAGCGCTACTGGAATAAGGATGGGTCTGTGAACCCGAACCATCCGCTTGGGATCGAAAAATTGGCTTCGAAAGCGGCAGGTCACATAGGGCTGATGTATCTCCGCGGTGAAGGTGTAGAGCAAAACTTTGCCACTGCCATCATCTGGTTCAAACGTGGAGTTACTAACGGTGATGCGCTCTGTCAACATCAAATGGGACTCGTGTATCTTCATGGATACGGCGTGCAACAGGACGCGTTCAAGGCTGCATCATACTTCAAGGCCGCCTCCGAACAAGATTTCCCAGCCGCAGAAACAAGGCTGGGTGCTTTGTTCTTGGATCAAGGAGATGTTCCAACGGCCACTCGGTATTTTGAGCTGGCTGCACGGTGGGGTTGGATGGAGGCCTTTTATTACCTAGCAGAGCTGTCTAACAATGGTATTGGTCGGGAGCGCCATTGCGGAATGGCTGCATCGTATTATAAGATGGTCGCAGAACGGGCAGAAGTGATACATTCGTCGTTCGACGAGGCGAACACCGCATACGAGAGCGGTGACCAAGAACGGGCTCTCATTGCAGCTATGATGGCTGCGGAGCAAGGTTATGAGCATGCACAGTCCAACGTGGCATTCTTGCTTGACGAACAACGCTCTCTGGTGTCCTTTGATAGTATTCTGCCGGGGGTCAAGAAATATCGACCGTCTCTGCTCCGGAATACCGCTCTGGCTCTTATCTACTGGACTCGTTCTGCCAAACAGACAAATATTGATTCCTTAGTGAAGATGGGCGATTATTATCTGGGTGGAATCGGCATTGCTGCGGATGCTGAGAAAGCCTCTATTTGCTACCATAATGCTGCTGAAATTCATTATAGCGCACAGGCCTATTGGAACCTTGGCTGGATGCATGAGAATGGTGTTGCCGTGGAACAGGATTTCCACATGGCTAAACGATATTATGATTTGGCGCTTGAGACGAGCCCCGAGGCTTACTTACCCGTCAAATTAAGCTTGTTAAAGCTTCGGTTGCGGAGTTATTGGAACAGCATCACTAATGGCAAAATAAATTCTATTCAAGAGGAAGAAGGTATGAATATCACAGTCAACTGTTGCGGTAAGGTTAAAACTGACCGCATGATTAGAGACGAAACCCCGACGGACACTCAAAGAGTGGATTGCAGCATTCATCAAGAACGATGAAGAGGAGGAAGCCTACCGTGCACAGCTGTACAAGCGAGCCGAGGAAGAAGACGAGCTCTTGTCGGGTGGTTCCGATCGACGCCATCTCGATGACCGTCACGAGGATGGCTATTACGATGACTTGGAGCTTGATATCGACGAAAGCGTCCTCGAAGGCCTGATCATTGTCGCATTAGCCGCGACTCTACTCATCTTGGTATATATGAGGCAGCAACGGAACAGGCAGAGGCAGGATGAGAATGTAGGTGCCATCCCGGTAGCTGCAGACAATGGAGATAACCGGGGTCTTTTCCCTCGCCCTGGAGATCCAGAATTTGCTCAGTGGGTAGCGGGCGGCGTTGGGCATTGAAGGGCATAATTCGTATATGGTGTAATTTATGATAAATGGAAATTTTTGTTAAGCGCATGGGTACCACAGCTGTACTACACATACCTAGATAAAGCATTGTTACAGCAGTCAATGAACTCTCCGTATGGTGTTGTTTAGTATTGGTGGGGGTTTATAAATCAGCAGTCTTTGAGGTGGGTCAAGGTCACTCACTCCGTCCTTGCTCCAAACTTGCTACGTTTCGGAAGATCCACAGATTCCTTGAAGATTCTTTGAAAAATGTAATAAGTTCGAGATCTACTAGACACAGGCACAATGTCTTCCATCAATCTCAACGGAAAGCGCCGTCGTGTTGAGAGCGCAGCATCAGCGCTTTCCAAACCCTTCAAGTCCCCTCTTCGCCGACCACCTCAAGTGGCGGGGACTCAACATGATGCAAAGCCTAAGGAAGAGAACAATGCTCCTCCAAATCCTTCCCTCAATCAGCAAACTGTCGATAGGCGCAATCAGCCCGTAGCCTCAACATCCGCGTCGCTTTCACCTGACAAAACATCCACTCCTTCCCCTTTGAGCTTAGAGTCTCGGAAAAGACGAGCCGACAGCAACCATCTAACTCCGTCGAAAAAGCCGATCTTCTCAGATCCAGTCATCCTTGATCTTCAGAAGCAACAAAGGGCGCTACAGTCACGGCTGGCTACCCTACGCTCTGAACTTGATACTGCACAACAAGCTCTTCGGCTCGAGTCCTCGGCCAAAGATGCCGAACTCCAGTCGCTGATCATGAAGTGGAGGTCTGTTAGTCAGAACGCAGCCGAGGAAGTTTTTGCTGGAGCCCAAGAACGTGTCGCGCGGATGGGCGGTATGAAGGGTTGGAGGGAGCGGATGAAGAATAGTAATGCACCATGGGGGCAAGAGGAGATGGAATCTTGGTACGGCAGTGCTGAAGCAGAAGGGGTTGATATAGATGAAGGTGAGCTGGAGGCTCGAAAGGCTGAGATGGTGGAGGTTTGCCGGAAGAGTCACGATGGGGACCGGGAGAGCAAAGATACTGAAGATGAGGTAGGTTACTATTCTTAGCTACCTTACTCTGGAGAAAGGTAGAGTGCTGATTGGTTTTCATAGGAGTTCACCATGGAATATATGCTGAAGACGTTGAATATTGATCTCAAGGTCATCGGGTATGATAACACTCATCAGAGATGGATCAAGGATTAACGTGTGGCTTCTTGTGGTATGAACTAGATCTCTTGCATGGGTATGTATGATCTTTGCCATCTTCATTTTGTGGTTTTCTATCATGTACTCTGCAGGGGTGCCAGTTTCAACCTTTCGGACAAACAGAATCAATTGAGCGATATTCAATTTAGCTATCAGAAGTTGCTTCACGTTTAATGAATAGAGAGGAGTTACTCTACCGAATCGTGAAACATGGTAGTTAGTTATAAATCTTGTATTAGTAAGTAGTAGTATAAATATTTTACGATACGATAAATTCCCCACGTGCGGAGTAGTAATTAAGTTCAAGTGGGGACTTATCTTTACTAAATCTTTATTAAAATCACACACTCTCTCACTCACCCACGCACTTTGCTTTATCTATTGAACCTCACAGATCTTTTGATGACATATGCCGCGGAGCGTAAAACACCCCAGATCTCTCGCCTGCACTCGATGCTTTCGATTGAAGCGAAAGTGTGATCATGCAAAACCAATCTGTGGGGAATGCAGACGAAGAGGCGCAGAATGCCTGCCGGCGAAGTCCTGCAAAGAAGGAGAAAAGGTGACCGTCCCTGCGAAATACTTGAGGGACTTAGAAGCCAGAATCGCTGAGCTGGAGCATGGATCGCGCACCTCAATGACAGCACCACAAGCACGAGATATTGGTATCCAAACGGAGCCGATAGATGTGCTTCCCTGCGACTGTCCGCATATTAACAATGACAACGATGATAATACCTCCCTGGCATTATCCGAATTTTTGGACTTTGGCCCTCAGAGAAAGTCTCCGGACTCGAGTAGACAAGCAATAGCCATGGCACCGGACCAGCTGTTGAATCAAGTCAAGAGTTCAGAGAGCCACTTGATCTCGTTTCCTAGCTCTCGTCTTCAGATGCCCTCGTTGGGTGACTTTATAAACCCTAGATCTTCGGATGGACTCTGTTTAATGGATACCGGCGTGGATAACCCCAAACCAACAGATGTTGAATCTCTGCATGACCTTGCCATGGTGGGCGGCTACTCGTTTTGGCTTGAAGAAGCCTATGCCAACCTTTACTTTTCGATCTCGCATTTTGTGTGGCCATTACTTGATTGCAATGCTTGGAGCTCCTGGCGTCATGACTGGAACCTAGATAAACAGACAGAATTATGGAAAGGGTTTTTCGTACAGATGGTGTATGCCATTGGCTCCTTGTCATGCAGTATTCTTCAGCCCGGTCAGAACCATTCAGACCGTGCGGCGGAGATTTATACTTCCGCATTGTCGTACTATCCTCACGTCATGGCAGAAGAGTCAGCTGTTCTTCGGTTACAAGCATCAATTCTCATGATACTCTATTCTCTCCATTGCCCCTCTTCAGGAGAAATCTCAATGTCAGTCTCCTCCATTGTTCCTTTTTGCTCAGCTACGCTGGCCGAGCTCCAGAAAAGGATTTCTTCCGGTTGTGATAGTACGACGAGGAGTGTAGTGGGACCGCATATTCCTCTAACCGAGTCTATGTTCATAACATGTTATATGTTGAATGAGATCATAGTGTCCGGGTGGGAACGACCAGTTTCCGAGGCCTACAGAATTGTCGACGATGATGTATGAATACCTGAGCTCTGTGGACATTATATTGTCTATGACTAACATAAAGGCTATAGATTCATACACTCAGCAATGAGATACCGGATGCCTCAAGCACGAGCGCAGCGTTGCGACACTTGTTCAGATTGCGAAAGATCCAAGCCAACATCCGGAGATACTGGGATGGTCCGCCCGACTACCAAGACTCAGATGACACGTCATTCAAGCTGGCATTAGATGCCTGGAGGAAAGATATACCTCGATACTCTGTAGAAGACGCGCGAAGTACCCATCTCCACCCTTTGTGGATGACAAACCTGTACGACTACAGTGTGATTATATTAATGCAAGGGAAACGGAAAAACCTCGAGCACGAAGAGATTGATGCTATCTTTTCAGCTGGTATTGAGGTCTGTCTTAACTATAGACGTATGCAGGAAGAAGGTCAAGTGATGTGCTTTACGTGGTCTACGGTGCGTCTACGCTTTGCATCCGTGGCTCTATGCTGACGCATTCATTATAGCTCGTGTTTCAATTCCGAACAGGAATCTTGCTTCTATATATATGTCGCTTGGCAACACTGGATCTTAATACTATACAGCGGACTTTCGACGCAGTATGTGCGTGTGCGGACAGTTTGGCCTGTTTCGTGAGCCGTTGGCAAGATGCCACTCCGTACGCTGAAGTGTTTTACTTTCTTCTTCATTCTGCCTCTTGGATTCTAGACGATCTTCCGTCCCGGTTGCGATGTGCATGTTCTTTTGATGAATTGAAGACTTATTTAGAAACGCTGAAAAAGCAATATTTGCGCAAAGAGGTTCTGGAAATGATTGAGGATATGATTTACCCAGACATTTATAATTTGTGCTAGCAGACGTACATATGAGGGCATGTCTGCCATCTCCGGGGCGTCAATGGATTAATGAATATGAAGGCCTGCATGATGTACATATTTTGCATGGTATATATGACTTTAAACCGCGATAATCTATAGCAACAGTAGTTTACCAGCTGTTGGACCCATGCTAGTATGAGCCACAGCAATAACAATAGTCTGAGTCAAGGCAGGGCTTGTCCATCGAGACCACGTGCCGTCACGAGCTGAGACGGGATACTTGGCGGTCAAACTCCATCCCTTTTCATCAACTTGAGGATCAAATGGATCCCCGTTGACGTAGCACACCAGCCGCTTCAATTTTACGCCATGGCCCAGATGTAAGCTTCCTTTAATCTCCAGATACACCGTTGAATATTTGGTGCTTTTGAACTGATCTGTGATAGTGATCTGAGAAAGTTCTTTGTGGCCCTGGACTGGGGAAGAAAGCTGATGTTCAGTCGTTCGAACCACGTCAGAGTCCAGACCAGGTACAAGAGGCGGCATTTGACGATAGTGTGTGGATTCTTCAAATGCGTACGCATAACGCAGAAGCTTGGCATCATCGTATGCTTTTCCTGCGAACGTCAAATTGATTGGCATTTTTGTATCCTTCATCAAACCCATCGGGACAGACACAGTAGGAATGCCAAGATGACGGATTACCCGGTTCCCGTTGGAATACTTGACGCCATTTTTCCAAGCGTATAGGGAAGCTTCCGGGTCCACGTCTGCGTTTGCGAGGCCAACATCGCCATTAGCTGGGAACACTACGGCATCCAGACCATGATCATCCATCCATTGCTCAAAGGTCTCCTTCCGAGCGTTTTCCAATGCCTTGATAGCCTGTTCTAAGCCTGAGATTTCGAAGATCGAATTGGGCTTGTTCTTTGGATATTTAACCATCTCGTGCCATCTGAGCTGGTTTGCGGCATCGGGGGCTCCACGCAGTGAACCGGGTGCGAGAGGGAAGATTGTCTCGGGGTCTACACAGGCAAGTGATTCAAGTCCAGGTTGGCCATTTGTAGCTAGAAAGTCGTCCCAGGAGTGAGCCACAAGTTGGCATCTCTCCACTGAGTGCCAACCCTCTGGAAGGTCTTTGACGCTCCAGAGTTCTCCCAGGCTTGCTCTAGCTTCATATGTGGTTACCATTGGGAAGTCAACCTCCACAACTGTGGCACCGCAGGACTCCAAGGCACTTCTCGTTCTTTCCCAAAGCCTGAGTACGGACGGCCTTGTGTTTATCTTATCTGCAAGAGGGTTTTCACCGCCGATGTACATTGAAGGCACACCGATCCGTTTACCACGAAGGGCTGACCCGTCTTGTAGCTCACAGAAGAAGCGTGGCCGGATGATATCAACCGATGGTAAAGGGACAATCCGCTGCTCATTCCAAAAGTCTCCTGTGGGTGTCTTGTCAACAACAGCAAGGACATCCAGGACTTTGAAAAGGTCAGACATGGTGCGGGTATGGGGCACTAAAACGTCGCATGTCGGATACAGAGGCCACACCCCACGGAGAGGCAATAGGCCCCTTGACGGTGTATAAGCGATGATGGCATTATTGGAAGCGGGGGATCTGCCGGAGGACACAGTCTCGGTGCCTAGGCTGAATGCACAGAAATTTGCCGTTGTAGCTGTGGCAGATCCGTTTGAGGACCCTGATGCATACGCCGCGGTCAAGTACTCTGGGTTATATGGACTCTCAGCACGGCCGTACGAGCCCCGCTGCATGCCCCCATATGCCATTGCTGGCATGTTAGTCCTTCCTAGGAGGACAGCACCAGATTCCCGTAGAAGCTGAACGCACGCAGCATCTTCAGTAGCGACAAGACTCTCGAATGCGGGAGAACCGCTGGCGACTGTCATACCCTTCACTTTGATATTGTCCTTGACAAGATAAGGGATGCCTTCGAGAGGCCGTACCGGCAAACCAGCAGCTCGCCGGGCATCAGAAGCTGTAGCTTCATCTAAAACTGAGGGGTTTAGAATGGGAATGGCGCTCAACTTAAGGCCAGCTGCATCATATACGCTTATACGCCGAAGATATCGAGCTACCAGATCAACGCTTGTGACCCACCCTGCGCCCAGAGCATGCTGGATATCTGAGATACTGGCATCGATAAGGTTGAATGCGTCAGAGGTCTGATCTATCAGCATTCAATCGTTACCTCGGTACATCATTTTCTGACACTTACCGACTCCATGGCGGACATTAGTATGATTGATGGTAGAAACAGGGTCTAAATACTCTTCGAGTCACGTCCTGGGAAACTGTAGTCTTTAGAAGCTAGTGGATGGATTATTGAGCCTTTATATACATACAGCCGCGAGTGAGCATTTTGAGATTATGCTCCAAATCTTCTTCCCTCCGGCACCTATCGGGAATTAGCATACGAGCAGCGGACTATTGTCCGCTCTGTTGGTCCGATGATAACGACTGAGCGTGGGGAAAGCACCGAGGTGCGTGTACCGAGACCCTGGATAGCGACCCAAATAAAACTCGGGTGACGACGGAAAGGCCACAGTTGTGCGTGGCTTTTGCGCCAGAAACTGTGGCCTTTCCACCCTGTGAATCGCCGCTTTATGAGAACTGATTGACCTTACTCAGTTCGTCCTAGCGCAGTTGATACGTTTCTTGATACGAGCCTGGCGCATACACCATGATTTCAAGAAGCAGAAGCAGAGCATTAAGGACAAGGAAAAGAATATAAGAGGCTTTCCTCTTCCTTCTTGAGATATCGTTCCTCAACATGCTCGGGGACTCTAATATCGTGTTCCAATGGCTCGAAGCAAAACAAAGAAGGCCGAAATTGACTGGAACAGCTTCGTCCAGCAATCCGAGCCAAAGGTTGAGGATGATCTCGCCGAGACTACTAAGGTCTATATCTATCTTGTGAAGCAAAATCTTCAGAAGTAAGATCCTGCCGGATGAAGATAAAGCTCTTGACTGACTTAGATTCCTAGATTTATATCAAAACTTCAACCGCCGGACTATGTTTATTGGCTGAAGAATATCACCTTGAGAGTGATTGAAGGATTCCTCCGCTGGTATCTCGATAATCATAATGTTGAGTATCAGTCAGGGATTTTGGTTTTTGCGCGATATTGGAGAGTCTTTTGGTGCCAAGAAACGGATAGTCTCTTTCCTTACGTGTTGAGGCGTAAGATGACCATGGTAAGTGAACATTCAAGAGACAAGGATCAAGCTGATATTGGTAGCTTGTATGCACTACACTCCCTGATGAATACGAGCTTGATTTGGAAGCAAAGACTCAGCCACCAGTGAACATCGATGATCTCCACTTCAGTACTTATCATCTCATGGCCGCCTGCAAAGTGCTATTTGCCACAGTACGATGTCGACAGCAGCTTAGTACACCGCGAAAGATGATGACTTCGACATCTGCCCGTCCTGGAACGCTCATCGAGTCTTCCGGATACATGAGAAGCAACGACGCGCTGAAATGGAAAGATATCGAGCTCTATATGGTGAAGCACTTGGAAGATCCACATTGTCAGATGCTTCTCATTCGAGTCAGGCATAGGTTAAATAAGGGCAAGGGAAATCGGGGTGTCCCGTAGGTCTCAGTTCTTACCCTGCTTGAAACCAGCTAACCGTTCAAAGACCTGTCTTCACATACACCGAGCGGAATGATAACCTTGGCCTTTGCGTTATTCAGGACATACTGGACTTCAATGCCCAGTATGCCTTGGTCGCGCCAACATTCACCCTAGGGCCAAAATGTACACATATGCTCGCAAAGATCCTCTGAAGAGGCACACAAGCTGCGGCAAAGCTTTCCGGATGGCCGAAAATGTGACTACCCTGGTTGTGACATGGTCTTATACACTCTTCCCAAGTTCAAACCTCTTCAGGCTAAAGCGCACAATATCATTTTATGATAATATATAGAGACTACTGTCAGAGAAACTCGTGATATATAGTCACTAGTCGACAAGCAGAATTTTGTCTTGATCTTTTTGTGATCAAATACTTAAGAACTGTCGCAGGATGCATCCTTCAACTCTCCCCTGTGCAGCAACTAACTGACCGCTTAGTTCGCCCTCGGAGTGAAACGGGCAGTCGCCTTAGAGACGCCATCAAAAAGGGGTCATCAAATCCCGGCTTGTTTAATAAGCCACAATCGCCTCTCGAGTTAGATTTCCACGCCTAATTTGACAGATCAGTTGAAAGTGACGCTTAACGGAGTGGTAGAAAGGGCCATGGTTTGATCCCTAAGTAGCTCATTGTTCGTGGTGTCAAATGAAAGTTCTCTGCCCTTACCAATCATTGGATGGGCATGATATATTTGATGACGTGATATGGTCTCTCTGTCCAAACTTGCAGCCTTAACTGTTACTCTGCTCAAACGCCCCAGTTGAAGATTACTGGAGAGGCCGCTCACCGCCCGGTCGTGAGGCGACATCATCTGATGTCTGTCATCTCATCTGTCCGCTCTTAAGGCCAGCTCTCACGGCGGCCTCCTTTCTTCACAGATCGAGCGCGACAAGTGTCGCCTGCTGAAGGCTACATTGGCCGTTCGTCATGTCTCACTCCCGCGGGTCTCGCCCACGCAAAGCCAAGCAAACTCGAAAAAAGCGCAGCAGTCTGGCAAACTCATACACAACTTTAATTGCGCCGACATGCTCGCTTCAAACATGTGAGAGAGAAGCCATAGGGAAGGTGATCAAAAGTCTATTCTGTTCCTGAGTGCATTTTACTCGGTACGAAAGGGGAAAGCCTGAAATGTTGTATAAGCAATTGATAATAGTTTGCGAGTTCTGTTTTACTAGTCATGGATACCAAAAAACAAAAGGACAAAAAGAAAAGGCCACCTACCGTTGACTGGTGCTTGGCGCGACCCGTTAGCAGCTCCATTTTTCAAAATCTGAGTTCCATGCGATGCCTCAGCCAAAGGTATCTTCTGCTTGACGAACGTCCACTCTTGCGGGTAACCCGGACACTTGCGCCCCGTAAGTGTCCATTGGCTGCATTCTGGGTACTTCCCATCACACTAAGAAGACAAGAGCTAGAGCATTTGTCTCAATTGATATGGAAATCATTTAAGACTTGCCCCAAGTTTCTGCTGTCTACAGTTTCCGCATACTGATGTTCGCTTGATTTTCATGACCAGATCAACCAATCGAGGACGTCACTACGCAGAAGGGTTCTATCTTCAGTAATCAATACTTTACATCTTGACTGTATAAAACAAGACGAACCTTTATGGCTTCCGTCACTGGCGCATAGAGGTAGTCTGAATTTCCATATTGTTCTCCGCCTGAGAGGCATGCGTTGTCGTCCTGAAATGAATCTACCCTGTTCCTTAGTAACCAAGACAGTGAAGCATCTCTGATGATAACCTCACTCAAGACCCTGGATTGCTGCTCGGAGGCAGCTGAACAAAAGAGAGCATAGCACAATATGCGCCCCCCCCCCAAACAGCCTCACTAGTCATTCAGGACTTTGATTCATACTTTCCATGATTGGCTCCCTATAAGCGTTAACGATAGTTGCACCGTAACAAAGCGGTAAGTATGGGACCACGGTATGATAGGGAACCGTCTTGGTCAATCCAATGAGCTACTTCTCCGCTACTTCTCTCCAAAGCCCTTCAAGTAGTTGTACCTAGTTAGGGCACTGTTCCCTTGTTCAGAACATACCCTGAACGTACCGTATATGTTTTGTCATCCGTAACTCTGCCATGAAAGCTAACTGAGGGTGTAGTAGCGCCTGAGGGATTTTAATTTTCCTACTAAACCTCCGGATAGTGCCCTTAGACTGATGTAGTAATTGTGTTTGTTAAAAAAAAAGCCACAGCCATCTGGTCATGCATCAGAAACTTTTATGGAAAAAAGGGCTATCTCAGCGTCGAAAAAAAGAGCGAGGGGAAGAAAAGGGAAGGAAATAAAAACAGGGACTAATTTTTAGGTTATCATATACACTTTTGGTGTTTATTAAACTTGGATCCACGCCCACTTCAGTTTCCTAAGGACGAGCAGTACCTGAACGGCGTTTATCCATAACGACGCACAGCTTCTACTTACAAGACAAGTTGTAGCTCCTTTGGAGCTCCTTTTATCGCGAATATGAACCGGGATGATATTGAGTCTCAACTTCCTCAGGCTGGATTTACTTTCCTTGCGGATCACTACTCAGCCAGTAAGCAAGCAAGGCTTTGTACATAGCACACTGGCTGACCAGGGACTAGACGGATTGTTTATCCGCAAAGTCATTTAAAGATATTGAAGGCTACTGCTTGTCTCCAGCATGTCCAGCCGTCCGCAACCAATGCCGTCGCCCTTTTCCAGATTGTTGGTCTTACGGTCAAGACTATATCGTGTTGATGAGCATGTCTCGGATAGAGACGTTGGAAGGAGAGCTTGGCAAGGGAATCAGGACAAAAATTGAACACCTTCTTGCCAATGGGCAATTCCAGGGGACCCTAGAGGGTTAACTCACGCATTGCCATACATTTACAGAAACCTGTACGTGTCTGGGACTCCGGAAATATTAACGGGAATACTTGAAGATTTCATTCCGCCGATCTATGATGGTGACAAAGTTATTAGGGAAGGGATGATCAGAGTGTCTCTATACAACTTTCAAGGGTCCTTGGCCGTTACAGGTCCAATCCCTGGACTTTTTGAAGACTTGTCAAAGGCAGGGACTTTCCAACAGTCCCATGACTCTCTCGATGAGTTCGGCGAATGATGCTGTCGCTACTCTCAATGCCAAAAGCAAACATATTCCTGTTTCTAGCGTAGCAATATTGACGAGATCATCACCTTCTTTTCACCGTAGCGGTTTCAATTGACACAAGCACCTTCTTTTCTCATGTATTACCCTCTTTTAGTCATTAATGAGGTAACTATACGGAGGAAAATTCTAGTATGAGGAAATATATCCAGTAATGAAAAGCGAAAGAATAATTTTCTTTCCCTTTAAAAAAAAGAAAATAAAATAAACGCATGGGGCCCGAGGGTACAGGAGTAAAATCCCAAGTCAGAACTATTCGGTCAGGATGTGTGGCTGGCTGCCAGCACCTAGAATTACCAAGACCATTCACTGTAAGCAACACCTAATACTGTGGCTAGATCTTCTATCCATCATGCACTACAATTACATCTCTGATCATGAACATTCCCTGCTATACCAGCGGAGTAGCCAAGGGCGTGGAGAGACCTCCTATCTTCCAATACACCAACCGCCCCCAAAAGAGGAAAACATGTTGAAAAAGGAGACTAGGGTATGCTATATTTACTGTACGGGATAAGAGTTATAAACCATCTATGTCAGAAGCAGAATTGTACTCGACCTGTGACGCAGGGCAAAACCTCTTAATTCTCCTTCTGTCTTCTCCGCTTGGCCCACAGACTCTCGTTCACACAGCATTGAGCCCCAGTCAATCTTCTCGGCAGTCTAAGATCTCAGTCGGACACAGGCAGCTGCAGTATAGCCACGTTTTGAAAATAGGATGATGTCTTCAGCAGCATCTCTGGTCCTTCAGTCAGTTCCACAGTCGCGCCTAAGATTTGAATAATTACTTCTCATCATCAGTTACCTTCTTACGGCCTATAACGTGCCATACACACTTCATACTTCGAACCAGATACGTGATATCCTTCGTCGTCCGGAAGTCGAGTGGCAACCAAGTATCGGGACTGAACTTGACGGGGACTGGAAAAAAGGGACTTAGGAATAAAGAGATCGTAATAATATTGAGGCATGGGATATCCTCTGCAAAGCAGTTACCAAAGTCCACGAAGGGAGATTAACCCAGAGGGATGCGCAACACAAATTGCGATGGTTGCTGTGGAAGCTTCAGCAGATTTCGAGAGACCTAACTGAAGGGTTTGTCGTGGGAGATAGACCTCAAGAGGGACCACCGCTTGGATGGAGATTCAATATTACCCTGCTAGGTATAAGTGTCGCGGTGCTTCCGTTTGAACCTGATTTTCCCGATGACTTGACATCCCTAACGCCCGACGAACTCGACACCATGGAAAGTGATCTGAATAGGTCAGATCTCTTCCGTGATGATCCGCTTGATAGGGAGCGCCTTGAAACTGCGCTTGAATCAATTTGGAACAGCCTTCAAGATCCGAGGTCTGTCATAGCCGAGAGGCTCGGTACGGACAGTAAACTTGATTAAACAATAATAATAAACAAAGTTCAGAGAATCTAATATTTTCCAGGGGTTTCCTCCAACCAGTAAGTTCCAGGCTCAACTATCAACCATGCTGAAATTCGCGTCTCTCAGACCATTCCACAGCAAGCCAATCAGTAAACCTGGGCGAAAGTACTTCTGGCTCTCAGTTTGTCACCATGCCTCCACAGTATAAGAATACCGAAAAAACATGCCCACGTCAACCCGGCGAGGAGTGTACATCCCCTTCCAATACCAAGGTTATTGAAAAGAGGTTGCGAGAAGTGGATAGCGCCACAAGCCAATGCGCTACGAAGGAACGCTATTGAAAGGGTGGGTTAGAGGAGGCAATTTTCAAGGACGAATTGTATCGAAGCATATTTGCAACTTACAGTTAGCTGCAAACAAACTCGCAGCATAGCGAGGATAAGAGATAGGCAAGTAGATGAAAATGCACATTGTAATCTAGGAAGCCTTTAGTGCCTCAGACCTTTTAATCTCAGTCAATCCACTTACCACAAAGACACATGCCATGTAAAGAACGATGCCAATCGTGGGTACAACCCAACTGATCCAGTCCCGGGAGGTCCAAGCGAAAATAAGAATTCCACACGGTGCAATCAAGGCCGCAACAACCCCTGGAAGAAGTCGATGCTCGGGAGAGCCGATTCCGTTGTTATAGGTGTAAGGTTCATAGTGGAACTTGACAAGCGCAAGGTACGAGCCAGCTCCGAAGAAGCAAGCAACAACCACACTGAGAAAGGTAGTCCCCATTATGCCCGTAGAGAACCCGTGAATCTGGGTATAAACAATCGGGAACGATTCAAAGTAAGAGTACTAAGAGTCATTTTTTAGTTCACTGTCCTGCGGCCAACCCCCATAATCATGATATTCCGAGACTCACAAAAATGCCGTAGATAAGACCAGTGTAGATGTTGATAAAAGCCACAGACGGATCCCTCAGCGTGACTAGGAAAGGCGTAGTCAGATAACCGCCCAGAAGGGACAGGAAGTGAATGTTTCCTTGCTTAATTTCCGAATCCGATCGGAGACTCTGATTTCCGGTAGATTTGCGCAGGCGCTTGGCCCGTTTCAAAAGGATAAAGTCGGCGTTGGTTTCTGGCAGGAAAAAGAAGAGGAGAATCCATGTGAAGCCACAGAGCATTAGCAGCTCATACATAGACCACCTCCAGGAGCTCAACGGCGCTGAGAACCCTGACAAAAGCGGACCGAGCGCGGGCCCTGCCAAGGTGGCACATCCCCAGAAAGTGAGACCGTAAGGGATCTTTGGGAAAGAAAGGATATCGGCAGCCGAGGCTCCCCCAGTCGCCAGAACAGGGCCGCCTAGGAGCCCCTGAAGAAACCGGAGCACAATAACTCCTGCAAAGTTCGACACTCGAGAGGTCACAGCTGTGATAATGATAAAGAGCGAAAATGAAACAAAGTAAGGAATGTTCCGCCCAACTGCTGGGACTTCCGACAAAGGACTGAAGAATAACGGCCCGATTCCCTTAATACACCCCCGTTATTAGTTACGTCTCTGCTGAAGGTATGGGATAACTTACATATCCCAAAACATACATCGAGAGCGCCAAAGATGATCCTTGGACACCAACACCAAACACTTCAACAAATACCGGCTGGGCTGGAGTGATGATTGCAGATCCACAGTATACTATAGCCTGTTAGAACAAATCTTGCCGAATCCCTCGTAAACTGACCTGCAAAGGTGAGAAGGCAGATCTGGGTGAAAGTAATGGTCTTCTTTGCCAGAGACCACACCTGCGGGTTTTCGGGATCGCTCTCGCTATACCACCCTACAGTCTGGTAACTAGACTTTGACTGGCCTGGCGACGGCACTGGCGCGGCCTTTTCCACATCCGCATTTGTGTCTGTCGAGTCGCTGTTTTCTTCAGGCGTAGGCGATTCAGGTGGTGTTTCTTCCGCCGGTTGATACTCGAATCCTTCTTGCTCATCGGGACAACGGAAAACCCTAGGACCGAGAGCTAGTCGACATAGCTGGCCGAATGGCGCATCGCGAATGCTGAATGCTGACATAATTTTGAATCAAAGCTTAGAACGCTTGAACCAACTACCTTTCAGCCTGGTGATGATAATACAGAGAGAAAGAAAAAACTCGACGTAACTTTCTGGCTTAAATTAAAATGAAATATACCGCGGCCTTTAGCCTTTAGCGTATCTATACATCCCCTACTCGGCGGTGCATCCGAAAGAGACTCATTTGTATGCAGCTACAGAGTGCTAAACCAAAAGCGCCATTGATCTTTCCGATTCCCAATGCCTGTCGGCAAGCCACATTCATAGTGGGGTCGGATCTGAGTTTGCATTGGCTGCCGAGCTTGGATCGACATACTCGGCCGGACCCCCCGAAGCTATTTTGAACATCGTCGCGGCCGAGCGGCCGAGCCCTACCAAGATGAAAGCTATCCAACACTTTCAGTGCATTGCTGCCGTCCAACGATACCCAGATGTCTGCAAAACTCAGCTGCAGGGACCCTGGTACCATATTTGGATGAGGTGATTGCTCTCGGTATGTCTTTAATAGCTATAAACCGCTGACTCATTCGCCGTGTTACCATGTCGGACCCGTGAAATGCGATGGAGGAGCTGGCTCTTTATACTCCTGACACGAATATGGCTTGGAGTTTTCAAACAATTAACTACTTATCACAGCGATTGGTCAGAACACTTGCTCCACCTCGAGCCCGTTTACGTATCGAGTACTGCTTTGCAAGAGATGGGAGTGTAGTCTAATTTCTGCTCCTGACTTCGTGAGATTCACAAGTGAAGCAAGAAACCTCCTGAATTTCACAGACTGGAGATCAACAATTCTATTTTGGTCTCCTTCTGAACGTCACGAAACGCTCAGAGGCCTACAAACCAGTGTTCTGAGAAGACTGTTGACCCGAGATGTACAAATACCTGGACGGAGGGATCCGAAATTGTGACACCTGCCGCCGAATCACCCCGTCTCCCGACGGCTGTAGGAATTCTAATTCTTTCTCCTCCCGATGTCTGTGCTTGAACACTCACGAGATACATCAATGGACTTGATCCCCATCTGCAGGGAACGTGTAGCTATGACAGAATCTCGCCATTATTGATCAGCTAACCAAGATGAACCAGTTAGTTCCGTGGAAGGGGACCTGCGCCGCCGAAGAAGTGTTCCCGTTGATTAGGTCCGCTCATCATGCCTGGAAGCCATATGGCCTGTCAACCACTGGATATCTACCTTGGGAATTGTTCTTGTTAGTGAATTCCGGATGCAACCGGCCCGTCGAGTAAATAGTACCTCTCTTACCTCTACTGCGCATAACTCTGAGACAGATGGCCAGATTGAGTGAGCGAATGCGGAATTGGAAGAACATATAGGACCCTACGTGTTGCCTCTTCTGGATGACCGGTCTACGGGCCTTTGATAGCCAAATTTGCCTCAATTTTTTAAAACAACCTATGTTCTCCATTCCTGCTGAGTGTAGTTCATCTCTAGTGTTCGGGGTTAAATCTCTTTGCTCAAGTCACACCGTGCTGGTCGAGAAGCTGAGGAGTTCACCTGTTACCTGCAAGATATTCCCGACTTAGTTTGAGCAGAGATACTGTCCGCCCAAGCCCGCTGTGAGAACTCGGCGAATTGAAAGAGACAACCTGCCCCCAGTTCCCTCTAGGGAGAGGTGTATCGTTAGGTGCGAGCCTTACCTGCCTTCTCTTAACATTATGCTGGATCGAGCGGTTGTACACCCCACGCCTCCTCGCAGCTCGGGAGCCAACTCAAACCCTCGCATTCTATATGTAAAAGTATACCGTCGAACTTTGCCATGGGCGTATAAACTAGTAATTGACCACACGAATATGAAGGTCGGATTGACTGACTCGAGAAGAGAAACAGCACTAAATACATATAGTAAGGGCTCACTGACTAGCTCAGATAGGGAATAAAAACGATACAAAAGATGCCCGAGCGGGCGCTGGAACGGGAATTCCAGTGCTGAAGCGGAATCGTAGCGCGATGTAAAGGTCGCCCTATACCCTTCAACCTAGTTCGCCTTAAGCTGGACTTCCAGTATGCCCACTCCCATCGGATTTTCGAAGGTTCTCACCACCTGAAATCATTCGAAGGGGTTATATTCAGCATTTGTATCATCAAAAAAGGGGGCCAAAATGAGAAATAGCAAACCCTCACCTCGAATCGTGGATCTGCCCGTATAAGTAGCGCACTGGGTTCATGTACTGGCCATACAAGTAAGTCTTAGCAGAATTTCCGAATACGAATAGGGAGAATCTGTCAAAGGCCGAAGCCTTTAGGATTGAAGGGAATGGCATTCAATGGACCAAAAGAACTCGTTAGGGAAGAAAAAGAGAATATACAAGGCACACGGCCGCCTAGAGACATTTCGGAGGTGTTTGAAACAAGGGCCCTTCCGAGGACCAATCGGTCCAGCACACATCTAGGTTACGGGTGCGCGACGGCTTTGGGCCGGAGCCCAATCAGAAACCCCTACAAAATCCTTATTTGATTCCACCCGTACCTTTGCTGTAAGTAAACCACGCGGCCTATATAGACTACGTCTCACAGTAGGCAAGTAGGGCTCTCAATAATATAGGGCGTCCGGCACTGATAACACATGCGAAAAGCAAATGTATGACAGCTGGTCTCATAGGCGCTATGAGCATCATGGCCCAGAGGGTCCCTGGGACAAGTGGGAGCCAAAGCGCTAGCACCCACTGATCTATGGAGCGGGGTAGAGGGCCTACCATGGTGTGCGGCTCGAACCAGCCGTAACAATACTTTCAAGGCTATATGTAGTGGGTCTGAGGTTGATTTAGTCGACTTTGTAGAATGGCCGTGCGCCCCTCAGACAGGATTCTTACACATGTCCTCAGCAGTCCCCAGGCCGTGCCAGTGACTACGCCCACTGACGCTGCATTAGAACACATGATTCATACTTTCTAACCTAGTAAGTCACTTAGATTCCAACAGCTTGTTCTGGCCGCTACTCAGTTTGATCCGGCATGCGGCGCTCAAATGCTCTCTCACCCTTGTCTAGGGCTGTTTGTCACTAGTGCTAGTGTAAAGGCCATAGTAAGCTAGGCAAATCACTACACTACGCCGAAAAGGCCAAAGTATCAATCCTTAGGGATCAATACGCCTAGCACCACTCATATACTACTATGAGTCCTCACAGCTGGGCTGCTAGCTTGCCGGTGATAAGAAATGCAGAAATAGTTCCTCCCAGGCAAAGAATCCAAAGGAAGCTGGATGGTGATTAGGCCACTCATATCACTCACAGTCAGGTCATAGCCACGCACTGCATACTGTCAGCACTAATGCATGCAACCTCAAATGAGTTAGTGCAGCTTAAGGCATTTTAGCGCCTAATTTATCATACCCATTTGTTCTATCTGGACAACGACGTTAATTACTCGTGAAAATTAGCCTACATATTTTCCTGTTATACTAATTATACATTAGCAAATAACAACCATTAATATAGACTTGATAGTGGATGAGGCAGCTGTACTGTTTTGGCCACGCAAGTTTCACACTAAGCAGATGTGGCTGTATATCAGAAAGACCGGATTGGAATCAACGTGGTTTAGATGGAGTACCTGGCAGTCCTAGAACCAGCAATCAACTGGCATATATATCTTATCTTCTTTGGTGCATGCGGGCATCGCCAGGAAACTACATCGCGCTAATGTCAACCTGTCCCGAACTGTCGGGTCCAGGCAACAGAATCAATGTAGCCTAAGAGTGGTGCAAAGCAGCGCAATGGCTCAACTGGTCCTAACGCGGCTAAGTGTGGCCCGGCCGCGTTCTCTCCCACTGCACGCCATCTGGAAAGATGCAATTGGCTGACTATTATTATTATTAATCAAGTTTAACGTCCATATAGAATCAGCCTTCCCGGCTATGACAGACCCGTCTGTGGGTAGTAGCACGCTACTATTCCATCTGGTCCCCAGGGATCACCCTTCTATCGTCTGGTCCTTCTGTTTCTTTTCCTTTTCCTTGCCTGATCCACCTAATCCGCGCAAAGGCACTCGGCCTAGCCCTCCTTGGTAGTCCTGGCTGTGTGGGTGTCACCTCCGCACGCGTCTTGTCTCCCTGTTCATATCCAATTGCAGTGGTTGAGAGCATTTCTAGGAGAGCCTGAGTGGTTCTCTGATCCTTAAAAAGCCGTCCGTCTGGGGCTTCCTCTCTGGCTGTCGGTGTGTTGACCCCTTGTCTGATTAGGGTCCTATAAAAGACCCTTTGTTGCTTGCGCCAGTGCCTGCATTCAATAGCAGGTGCTGGACTCTCTCTTTCGGTGCTTGGCGCTACGGACATGCGGCTGTATCTTGTGCGTGAATACGACTCAGGTGTGCTCCGACGGCCGCGTGCCCTACTTTCAACTGAAAGTAACGGCGTGCGAGTGCCTTAGGGGTAGCAGCAGCGATCGGATCCTGCTTCCACCCCGGCAATTGGCTGATAGTTATAGGCTATAACGAAAGCTTGGTACCAAAAAAAAAAAAAAAAAAAAACGTAGCGAAGCGACCCTATCGTGCTCTATACCTATACTCGAGCAAAACTTTTTGATGACCTCCAAGTTGAGTGCGACGATCACAATGGCATCGCTGGGTCGGGCCGACAAGATTCAATCTCAAACCCATGTGACTTCATCTCAGCTGAAGCGAACGACCTGCAATTTATGCCGTGAGCGCAAGGTACGCTGTGATAGAGAAAAGCCGCAGTGCCATCGCTGTCATAAATCGGGTCAGACATGCGTTTATCCATCGGAGAATACAAACAACGACGAAATCAAGTCGGCTTTGAATTTACTTCACTCTCGCCTACGTAAGTTTCCTCCAGATGCTGTGTCGCCAAAGAATCTGTCACTGGTAGCTATTGGCTTTCTCCGCGCTTACAAATGTAGTACAAGTGGAAACGAGTCTCCCGGAATATGGACTTCAGATCACAATGGAGTCCATGGAACCGAATTCACCGTTAACCCCCCGATATATGTCTCACAATCCGCAGCTTGGGTACAATCAACTGTCACAAGGTGATGAAATTGGCTACTCGGACGTCATGTTTCCAGAGTTTGATCCTAGGTATGTTCTTCCGTGAACAAACCTGAGGATCTATTTAGTAGACTTATAGGTACTTTAGCAGCTACCATCAACCACCAACCATGGTCGATGCCGTGAATAGCTCCGGCACAGATGGAACGCATTCAAACCTATATATGAATATGAGCAGCCTGAAAGACAAGCCTCCAGGTTCTGTCTTCAACCCACCGTTTGAGCAAACCACTCCATTATTCGGACTTGAGCAACAGTAGGTGCTTCACTACGCTAAAAGCATAAACAATCGCCAGTCTAATATTCCATCATTCAGATGCCAGTCATATTTTGACGTAGTGCAGAAACACATGATGCTTATTGACCAGCAAGAATTCTCGCACTCCATTATTCCGATGGAGGCACACCAATGCATGGCCCTGAAATATGCAGCTGCCCTGTCTGGGTCAAGTGCATGTGGGGAGTCAGCCCTAGCAATGGAGTCCTACGTAGCGGCCCGCTTCCATCTGGAAAAAGCCGAGAACCTGACCGATAACTCTTCTTTCCTGAACATTGAGACAGTTCAAGCTCTGCTTCTTGTTGCGAGGTTTGAGTTTACCCACATCAGCAGACCGAAAGGGCTTCTAACCATAGCACGTACTATGCAATTAATAAGCCTGCTAGGATATGACATGCTCGATCAGACCTCAGCCGAACGCGAGAGCGATAGCTCTCAGATCATGCTGCCAAAATCACATAGCTCTGGATGTCTTCAGAAGATACGACGAACATTCTGTATTGCATTCGCGATGCATTGCAATGCGACTGCAAGCTTTCCATGCTGTATACCAGTCAAATACAATAGGGTAAGCCTGTCCTTGGTTACAACTTTATCCTCTCTTTTGTAATTAACAAATCGGATCTAGATCCGCACCGCAATACCAGTCCCTAACTCAACAATGGATTCTGATCCAGATTAGATTGTCTATCTTTCCGAAGAGATCACGAAATGTATGGCGAAGGGATTCTCCGTCTTTTCGCTCTTCATTCTCTCTATGAAGCTTGTCGTAGACGGGGACCGCCATCGCGAGATGACCAAGAAATACATATCAGACAGCGCATCTGACTATAATTTCTGTCTTGTCCATGAGAAGATTGGGAGAGATATAACAATCATGTGTAACTCTCTCTCAACACCAGAGTTTCTCAATGGGCCAGATAATGAACTTCGAGTACTCACCTGTATTATTGTTCTGGGCGCTCGCATAGATTGGTTCAAAACCGCCATTATTGGATCTCGGAAAGCCGCGTTTCTAGGTCCTGTTACCAAAGAGTACCGAACTTCATGTGTCGCTGTTGCAAACGCTATGTGCGACCTGCTTCGAGAAGCCAATGTTAGTGATGCTCAACAAGTATGTGTCCCCCAATTTGCTTTTCCCTTCACCCACTAGTTTGAACGCAACGGGCATACTCCCAGGCGATCTAAAACAGAAGATAACATACACTAACATTGGCTCTACCCAAAGATCCCTGCCTATAAAGAAATGTCATTTTTCATAATGCGGCCGCTGGCATTAGCCGCCGAAGTCCAGCTCGATATTTTGCAAAGCCCGCGGGACATAGGCTATAATGTGTTCTCGTCGACCCGTGAAATACGGCAAAACCTGGAACTGTTATGCAATATAATGACCGTGTGTAAACCTGCGACTGGTGAGTATAATGATAAGATTCAAGCGTGCGTGTCGTTCCTGGATAAAACAAAGTTCGAGAGCGTATTCAGCTCAGGTTTGTTGGGGAACGGCTGCTGATAGGGCCTGCCAACAAGACAGGCTCGCCTTGCTTGATTATAGGTGCCAGTTAGACTCCCCGCGGAGATGATGGAAGCCTGGAAGGTGACAATAAGAAAAGGAAGATTGGTTTCTAACTGTTGGAGTTGCTGTTCTTGATACCATTATGTCCTGTCACCCTGACCTCACTACTGGTGTATTAGGCCTAGGCCTGTAACTATATAACACACCTGTGATAGCACAGACAGCTCTCACAACTTAGTAAATTACAACTCTGCGATAGTCCTCCCAGACACTAACGCACTTTCTGCAAAACAAGCCCTCTCCAAAGTGCTAAGAGTTTCGAGCCGTTCGAGCCTAACCAGTAAGCGATGGGAAAGACTATAGTCGTGTTATTTCAAAGTAACGGCATAAGGTCGCAGAGAAGGGAGAGATAGGCATATACTTTTATTATTTCCTGCAGCTCCAATCACGTCTATTAGCACCTGCTGGTTTTGGTAGCACGTGCAAAAACGCCTTAGCTGTGTAGACATCTATGCCTAGCGCTTATCCAAGAAGAGACAGATACTAGTAAGGATAGAACACAGCTCACTCGGTCTCTGGCCGAGCTCGTTATCAACTAAGTCGGGACGCTGCCCGAGCTAATCGGGCGTCCCACCGAGGGTGTGTTATCTTGTTGCAAGCCCAACGAGAAGAGGCGTGTAGCTCGGAGTAAGGTGGCCGTCAGGACAGTTGGCAGCCAATTGATCTGGATTATCCCTCCCTTCCCCCTCGGGGGGGTGGGTGGGGGAAATGAGCAAGTCCAAGGTGAAACCGAATAGTTCTCCGAGAGAGGCGCTAATTTTAGGCATGTAGGATAGTTTGGATTCCTTCTCGGAAGGAATCGGCCTCTGATCGTTGTAAAACTGTTGATACAAGCTATAAGTAGATAGTCACTTCACCAGCCATTATCAGATAGATCACTTAGAACAGAGAACTGCTTTCAAAGCTTGACTGAAACTCACTTTCTCTCCTGAATCGAATGTCTAGTCCTACCGACGACTTGCAAGCCAGTTCAGCCACTTGCAATTGTAAAGCTCTCAACTCTTGAAAATGGCACTAGCCACAGCTACACCTTCGTTGTTAGTCTTTGGACCTCAGACAGAGCCCTCTTCCGAAGATGCCATCGGCTAATTGAGGCAGGAGCTCGCTCAAAACCCTCAACTGTCCAGCGTCGTCCATGCTGCAAAACATGCAACCGAATTGTGGAAAGCCCTTGTCAACTTCGACCCTAGCCTAGATGATATCCCAGGGGCCAGGCTGCTCACTGAGATTCAGCGATGGGTCGTAGGAGGCGGCCCTTTGCCAAATCACAACTTCAACGCATTCCGTCTTCCGGTCACCGTTCTTCTCGAGATCGCTCAGTATTTCCGGTACTTGAATCGGCTGAATGTATCCCACCCTCACCGCATCTTCCTCAGAGGGGTTGAAGCTGGTGGAATCTTGGGCTTCTGTGTTGGATTTCTCAGCGCGATCGCGGTAGCAACTTCAGAAACTGAAGCTGAAATCGCCACTACAACGGCTGCTGTCTTTCGTTTAGCTGTCATTATCGGTGCCTACGTCGACAAAAACCAATTTGGCATCCAAGGAACACTAATGGGGTGTATCGCCATTCGCTGGAAGGGAGATGAAGTTAGTGAACAAGAGATACTTAATCTTATTCACACCTATCCAGAGGTAGCCTCACTACATCGTCTGCTGAGCAATGAAAACTGACTCCATGAGCAGGCATATACCTCGTGCACCATAGATGCCAAGACTATTACTGTCACAGCCAGAGTTTCTGATATACCCAGCCTGACTGAACAGCTGCGAGCACACGGCTCCTATGTGACCCCTGTTAGCGTGGAAGGAGCTTTTCATTCCGAGGTCCATTCCTCTGCTGTGGAAAAGATCACGAAATTTGCCGTGAACCATCGAGAGCTGCAATTGCCCACCGTTGACAGGTTGCAAGCTCCTCTGCGTTCCACTGTGGACGGCGACATTATCACCAGCGGATCCTTGCCACTGTTGGCCCTTGAGAACACCTTGCTGAAGCCGGCTGCATGGTTCAAAACGGTGCAGGCAGCAATTGCTCCGTTGGGAAAAGGCCGTAAGACAGTCGCTTTTGCGGGATTCGGCAATCACATTCCGTTTTCCCTCGTCAGCAATGCAGATCTGCAGGTCTTGTATCTGAATAAGTTGAGTGGATCAGAATTCAATGGCTTCGCCAATGGTACAAGGATAAACGGGATAAATAAACCAACAAACGGAATTGCAGATGGGGAGGAAGCTGTGCCGTCTGAATACCCTCCTAACTCCATTGCAATTGTCGGTATGGCTGGCAGATTTCCTGGAGCGGATTCTTTGGACGAACTCTGGGAGCTGCTGCTGTCCGGCACATCCATGGCCGAACCAGCACCCGTGGAACGATTTCAACTGCCTATAACTGGCGAGTATGCCAATACAAAGTGGTGGGGTAACTTCCTCCGCGATCCTGATGCCTTCGATCATAAATTCTTCAAAAAGTCGCAGCGAGAGGCAGTCGCTTGGGATCCTCAGCAAAGAATCTTACTTGAGGTAGTCTACGAGGCACTGGAGTCAGCAGGATACTTCCGTGCCGGAGTCAAGCCAGAGGTGGACGATTATGGGTGCTACATCGGCGCTGTCATGAACAACTACTACGACAACATGTCCTGCCAACCAACCACGGTATATGCCACAGTTGGAACTTCGCGCTGCTTTATAAGTGGATGTGTAAGTCATTTCTTTGGATGGACTGGACCCTCCTTGACGATTGATACGGCCTGTTCGTCCTCCCTAGTTGCGATCAATACTGCGTGCAGAGCAATTTGGTCCGGCGAATGCTCTCAGGCCGTCGCAGGAGGCACAAATGTGATTACTAGCCCATTTGATTACCGAAATCTCAAAGCCTCCGGGTTCCTTAGTCCCACCGGACAGTGCAAGCCTTTTGATGCTGGAGCTGATGGCTACTGCCGGGGAGAAGGAGTTAGCGCGATTGTTCTTAAGCCCCTGGCAGCTGCTTTCAGGGAGAAGGATCACGTCTTTGGTGTGATTGTGGGGTCAGCAGCAAATCAGAACCAAAACTTCAGTCACATCACGGTGCCATATTCAGGCTCACAAGTCAAGCTCTATCAAAACGTGATGAACCAGGCAGGTGTTAACCCGCACTTTGTGACGTATGTTGAGGCCCATGGAACCGGTATGTACTTCTTTAAATCCCCAATTTTCAGCTTACACCTTTGACTGGCCATTTACCTATTCCTGGAAACAGGTACTGGCGTGGGCGATCCTGTTGAATGCAGCAGTATTTGTGAAGCATTTGGTGGCGCTTCAAGAGACAGCACACTCCACTTCGGCTCTATCAAGAGCAACATTGGGCATACCGAAGCTACGGCTGGTATTGCTGGGCTCGTCAAAGTCCTGCTCATGATGGAGCATGGGCAGATACCTCAACAAGCCAGTCACAAGCAGATCAATCCGAAGATTGCATCATTTACCCATGCTCGAATGGAAATCCCTCGAAGCTTGCTGCCTTGGGATGCTCCGTTCTTTCTGGCTTGTGTCAACAGCTATGGCGCCGCTGGAAGTAATGCGGCTGTTCTAGTGCGCCAAGGTCTATCTTCCAAGATTATCCCGAGAGACAGCATCAATCAGGGCCCAGTTGGAACAAGATACCCCGTGTTTATATCTGCGGGATCTTCAAGCAGTGTCCTTGCGTATTCAAAGAAGCTTTCTACTTGGCTGGGAAAGCTTAAGCCAGGGGTTCAGGTATCCGACGTGGCCTTCAATATAGCTGACAGAGCAAACCACTCACTCTCGCATTTATTTTCAACTACGGTATCTAGTACCTCCGAGCTCAAGGAGAAGCTGACAGCTCTCTCAGCAATAAACGCTACACCGAGTCCAAAACCGATAGTTCTTGTTTTCGGAGGCCAGGAAAGCGAATCGATCGGGTTATCCGAAAATGTTTACCAATCCGCGAAGTTGTTCCGACACCACCTCGATGCTTGTAATGAAATTTTGGTTTCATCAGGCTTTGAGGGCTTATACCCTGCAATCTTCCAACAGACCCCAGTCGGGAATCTGACGACTCTGCATTCTGCGTTGTTTGCCATACAATACGCGTCTGCAAAGGCTTGGATTGACAGCGGGCTCAAGGTGAATGCAGTCGTTGGTCACAGTTTTGGTCAACTTACAGCCCTTTGTGTCTCAGGCGTACTGTCACTTGCCGATGCCCTAAAACTCGTTTGCGGAAGGGCTTCCATTATGGCGAAGCATTGGGGCCCTGAACCAGGATCTATGCTCTTCTTGCAGGCAGATCGGCAAACCGTTTTCAAACTCCTCGGCTTAGTACAAGGTAACCTCGAAATTGCCTGCTACAATGGACCAAAAAGCCATGTTGTCGTTGGCTCTGCAAAGGAAACCGATGCCTTGGAGGCATTCCTCGCGGAAAACCCTTCCTTTGGAGGAGGCTCAGTTCGTAGAAAGAGACTTCAAGTCACCAATGGGTTTAACTCTAGGTTCACAGAGCCCTTATTACCACATCTCACAGCTTTATCCGAAGAGCTGAACTGGCAAGGGCCCACTATACACCTATAGTTGGCAATGTCATTGGCCTGGACTGCTCCGCAAAGAGGATTGAGACCACCGGAGGCAATCCTGGCTTTTTACTGCCCGACTAACTATGAAGATGATTGTAGGTTGAAGCTCTTAGGAGGGAAATTGGTTTTGCTAACTTCTCAATCCAGGGTGGAAAAATCCCATTCAGCCCATCGGCGCAGAAGACAAGGGAGATGAGTATGATCTGCTAGAAGCGATCCAGGATGAGCCTGTAAGTTGCGTGGCTCCAAATCAACAAGATGCTCCGACTTTAACCATTGATCAAACAGATCACAAACTACGGCGTGGTTGGCGCCTGGGAGCCATTATCTGACCCTCGCATCCGCACCGATCCCCGGTGCCGTATCGTTCTCCATATCAACTGGAAGGCCCAGACACTGCCCATCATCATCGGTGGTCTCCCCAGCAAGAAGGAAAGCGCAGTCCTGAGCATACAGGACTGGAAAGCTCTTCCACAGCCTTCTCTAGATGAGATTGTTCGAGTCAGCCCCCGAGCTCAGATTTTGCGCGGCAATTATAATACGCCTACGTTCTTGATTCACGGGACTAATGACGATTTGATCCCGTGGCAACAATCCCAGGGCACATACGATGCCCTCCTAAACGCCAGGATCTCTGCTGGTTTGGTGCTGATTGATGAAGCCCGCAGATTTGTGATCTTAGCAGCAACCCCGAGTCAAAGGGGTGGAAGGCGGCTCTTAAGGGGTATGAGTTCCTCAGTAGTTATGTATGAGTGCGGTAGCACTGAGCAGGTAGATCAGCCTGAGCCTGCCTGTGCGAAGAGTATCAGGGGTATACTGATTTGATCTCCTTCACGTCCCTTGGCATCCCCTCATCTAGAGAAGTTGTAAATCTAAATCCACTATATGGCATGTGGAGTAATGCTTGGCCACGATGTATGGCTCTTGGAACGAAAAAGATGCTGTGAGAGTGATCCTATGACATATAATTTTCTACAAGGTGTGTCTTGGACCTGGGTATGTCACGGGCTTCTGCCTGACCCCAGTGTTTCTGCTCATGTAGCATATTCCCTCACAAGAGGATTTTCACAGAATGAACAACGTCTCAGAAGGTGCTTTTTAAGGAGAGACTCTTGGGTTTCAGTTCTACATAGTACTAACTTCTATAATTATAATCTTATACGTCTGGCTCCTCCAAGACACTAGGATTTTCCTGCTCGTTCATTAGCAAAGTCCCGCATGTGTGGGTGATTATGCTTTAATTCCATAGGTACCGAAATTTCCCGTCCTCATAATACGAGATGTTATAACTCATGAATACAGAGAAAGTATAAAGCTATATCAGGCTTCCTAGATCGGTGGTGAATCAACTGGAATTGCGTCTCCTCCACTGTAACTTCAACTCCCGATCAAGAGTAACCGCGGCACCCACTACTCTATTGAACGTCTTGACACCTCGTACAGGATAAGAATCCACATCAAAAGAGATAAGAATCTTGGCAAAGGCTAGCTGTGCCTGTCGCATACCTAATCCTCGCCCAGGACACATCTCGGCCCCATAGCCGAAGGGCAAGAAGTTTGAGTCACCCGTTGCCGCACGGGGATGGCAGCTGTTGGTGTCAGGGTCATAGAAGCGGCACCCGTCAAAGCTGTCTGGCTCAGGATAGATGTCTGGGCTTTGGTGGAGCCACTGCGCAGGCACGGCGACGAAATTGCCTCGATCTAACGTCCGGCCGATGGAGTCGAGCCGGACTGGCTTCTGAAGACGGCGCGTGGCCGTAACTAAATTGAGGACCACAATCCATGAGAAAATGAACTACACGGAGGGTATGCATTCAAGGATACACTTACACACGGAAGTTGTATCGCACCGGACGGTTTCGCGAGCAAAGCTCTCCAACCGCGGCATCCGATCCAGAATGTCTATGGGCCATTCCCCGCCTGTGGAGTGCAGGGCGGAACGAATCTCCTTCCGCAGCACGTCTGCATATATAGGTTCGGCAACGGCATAGTTCATCATCCCAACAACATATGCGGCGATCGGGAATGCGATCTCAAGGGCGCTCAGTAAGCAGTCCCCGGCGAGTCCACTGACCTTCTTTTCTTCGTCCGCTAGTGCAGTGTCTCGCCCAATCTCTCCTTTCTTCATCTTGATCCCAATTGTTGCATCGACTAAAGTGTGACGGCTTTGAGCGAGCTTCCCGGCTCGCGCACTAGCAATCCGCCGGCGGATTTCGGGCATCAGTTGGCACTTGCTGCTCGCAATTGTGGACTGCAAATCCCGACCGCACCGTGAGAATCGCCAGATAAGTGGCCGAAGAGTCTCTGGAAACATGCCACGAAGGTCGCGAAACTCGCTCGCCTGACAGCAAAAGTCAACACAGTGCTGGACGTACCCGGGATTCCGTCCAAACTCCGGCCCTATGATGTACGCTGTTGCAACCCCAATCATCATTGGCCAAATGAACTCGTATGCAACAAAGTGATGCCACTCTGCTTCCGTAACTTAGCACGGGAAGATGGAAATTAAGGGGAACTGCGCCGAACCCTGGTCTTTCTCCTGCTGGAATGCAGCTCCAAGAGCATGGTCGATTGCGTCGATGATTGTATTGTGCATCAAGCCTGGTGAGGGTCAATCTCAGTTTCTACCAAAGTGTTCCCACATGAGGCTTACCAAGGCTCTGGTTCCTTGACACAGACATTTGCACCGCCTCGACATGATCTCTTGTCATTGGACAAGATGAATCCAAACCGAATGCCTGCAAACAGGCTACATAGTTAGCAGTGGGCTACTAAATCAACTTAGGCTGTAGAGTAAGAGTTGGTACGTGGTTTACGGAGTCCAGGAAACTGAAATTTTCTGGAGTCTTTCCCCTGTAATCCTTCAACGCTTTGGGCGGCAGTACGACCATATAATCTCGAAAGAATGGCATAGCCCACGGAAGTTGCTCCTTGGTGTACTTTCTACCATTAGCTGGGAGCTCCAGCGGGGTCTTTAACTTCCGGGCTTACTGTGTCAAACGCATGCTGCAAAAGTCGGTTGAAGTCTTGGGCTATCGGAGTTCGATTGAATCGGCGCCGCCAGTAGCTGCCCTCCCCCACGATTGGAATACCCTGGAGTGCCCGTCTTTTTCTACACAAGTCAAGGTAGTCTATCATGACAGCTGCTAAAAGGAGAAAAGGGAACATAATCCCCACGGACAGCACCCAGGGGTGCTGGGTGGTGAAAGCGTCCATGCTAGGGAATCCTAGATCCAGCGGAACCATCATTGATGAGTGGAGGATATGTTTCTAGGCTCATAAATCTTAGCCGGTTCTACGTATTTGTACGTTCAGGAATCGGCCGTCTTAACCCACCTGAACATCGGCAGAGGTGTAGTTGCTCCGTCGACGTTCGAAATGACTGCAGCCTACACGAGGTATGTGTAAGACACGCAGTCGCCCTTACATTGCCAGCGATTCACTAGGCTGATCGTAATCTTCCGGTTCTTGTATGCTACATGATGATGAAGGCAAGGGGATGCGATTTTACTTCTTGTCCCTTGCTGTCCACCGAGATACACCGCCTCTATTTTTGAATCTAGACCAGGTATTTGCCTTAAAGCCTCTTATGGTTGGCGACGAGATGCAACAGTAATAATCTTAATAGCACTTCTAATAGGTTAATCAGTCTACGAACGGATTACATTGCGTTCCCGCGGGAATCGCTACCTTTATTGCGGGATCATGGCTTGGAACAACAGATGCCGCGGACCCATGCATGCGCTTACGTGGAGAGAAGGGATTCATCATGAGAATGATCGGAATGTTTGTTATTCTTCCCAGATCGTAGGTGAAACTACAGATACAGACACTATTCGGCACATGTCAAAACTTGCCTCGAAACGAGTCTACAAGATTTGAAAGCTGAACAATGTCGGCCTACGATATAGAATGCCTCCTTCCGGTCCAGGGAGGAAAAGACCGACAAGAGCTCGAAAGCATTGCCTCAAGCACCCTCCAAGATTGCTGGAAGACCTCGGATCGGCGGCCCCTGTTAGTACATTCAATCAAGGTATCATGGGCCATTCTCCTTGAGAAGTACACCGGGAAGCAAACCTCGGTTTTTGGAAGCATTGAGGAGTCCCGTGGTGTGCCTACACGCTTAGTCTCACAAGTCGAGCAATGGTCTGTTTTACCAGACAACGATGAGCTCTTGATAAAACAAGCGCAACAGCTGTCTGTGCATCCCTGGTGTAAATCAAGTGATACCGAATTCCTCTTCAATACTTGCCTCTGGGTTCGAACTCATGATGGACTCTCTGGAAACGAAATCGCAGCACGCGGGAGTAAGGAGAGACCCAGCTCGGTAGGTGGCCCCGTCCGTCACTTTATTCGATCAAGATGTTGACTAGTCCTCTAGGATTGTGCGCTGTCCATCATGTGTGAACACAATACAAGTACAAATTCCTTAACTTGCTCAATGCTACATTTGTCCACTCCATTTTCAGTAGCAGTTTTGGACTCTTTCATGGAGATATTTATGGCTGTCATTGCGGATCAAGGGACACGGTACAGACAAATGTCTCTCCTTGGGCCCCAATCCATCGACATGATTCGCAAATGGAATGCACCGGGTCTACAGACCAAAGGCGCATTTTGTATCCATACATTAGTGTTAGAGCAATGCCTAAGGCAGCCGCTCGCTCCAGCTGTCTGCGCGTGGGACGGCTCAATTACCTACTGTGACTTGGAGCGCTTATCAGAAACAGTGGCACAGAAACTTGTAGCCCTACACATAGGCCCAGGTTCTGTTGTACCCATCTGCTTTGAAAAGTCATTATGGGCCGCTGTAGCTATTCTGGCGGTACTGAGGGCTGGTGCGGCGTTCACACTCCTGGACCCGTCGTATCCGCTGGCACGCCTGCAATTGATATGTGAAGAGGTCAAGCCGCAAATAATCCTGACATCCTGTGAGAAGCTTCCATTAAGCCAGCAGCTACACAAAACAGTCATGATACTCCCAAACGCAGCAGAGCGCTCTCTTACTCCTGGAGACATTGGTCTACTTGCCATACCAGAGAACGCTGCCTACGTGGCATTCACTTCCGGCTCGACTGGAAAGCCAAAAGGCGTGGTAATTGAACATAGATCCTTCTGCGCCAGTGCGCGTGCGAATAGTATCATCCAGAATTTGCAGGCTACGTCCCGTGTACTACAGTTCGCCTCTTATGGCTTTGACATCAGTATCCAGGAGATACTGTCGACTTTGATTGCTGGTGGGTGCGTGTGCATTCCGTCGGAGGAACAAAGACTGCAGAGTCTGCCGGCCGCTATACGGGAGTTGCAGGTGAACTGGATGGAGCTGACCCCTACCGTGGCTCGAATGTTGCACCCTGATGAGCTGCCTCTTGTCCAGACAGTAGTACTCGGTGGAGAGCCAATGCAGCCTTCGGACATGGCCACATGGTGCCACGGAAAACAGCTCATGAACGCGTATGGGCCCACGGAATGTAGCATTGTGGCCACTGTGCAACCCAATCCTGATGTGGAAGACCCTTTGGATATCGGCCGTTCCTACTGCGGCACATGCTGGGTTGTCAACCCGGATGATCACCACCAGCTATTGCCGCTCGGCGCCATTGGAGAGCTGGTCATTGGGGGTCCGATTGTTGGCCGAGGCTACATCAATCGTCCGGCTGACGAAAGCTTCATCACCAGTCCACAGTGGGCGAGTCAATTCCAGATCACCTCCAAAGAAAGCTTCTATAAGACAGGGGACCTGGTTCGGTATAACGTGAACAATGGCACGCTCCGGTATTGTGGGCGGAAGGACACCCAAGTCAAAATCCATGGGCAGCGTGTTGAACTGCATGAGATTGAGCACTGCGCTGAAGCATATAGCCGAGGGACGGTAGTTGTGGCGGAGATATTGAAGCCTGATCAAGGCCCAACATTTCTTGCGCTATTCATTGTTGGAAATGGTGAGGGAGGTCTTGTGCCGCCGGTAAGTCCTGGAGACGGGGTCGCAAGCACCATTGACACAGGCCGTCGAGCCTCTTTTGCCCTACTACATCAATGGCTTACCGACAAACTACCGCGGTTTATGGTTCCTTCCCTGTACATTCCCTTAACACATGTGCCAATTCTTCCTACGGGCAAGGTGAATCGCAGAGCTCTCCGGAATATCACAACAGAGATTGCCATCCAAGATTTGCGATCTTATGTCCCTACTGTCTCCGGGGATTGGAATGAGATGACAGGTATGGAGCGCGTATTACACCGCTTGATGGCAGATCAGCTCGGTGTTCCCCCTGATAGGGTGGGCCGTAGCGACAATTTCTTCAAGCTTGGTGGGAATTCAATCATGGCAATCGACTTAGTTAACAAACTTCGAGAGCACGGATGGGATCTTACGGTTGCCGATTTTTTCACCCAGCAAACGATTACAGGCCTCGCCAAGGTAGCCCTCCGTGTTAAGCCAATACTGTCTATACCTGCATTTAGCCTGGTGGAAAATGGACATGTCTATTTGAGAATGGCTGCTGAGCAATGCCGCGTATGTCAAGAGCGTATTCAGGACATGTACCCATGTACGCCGCTGCAGGAGGGATTAATGCTCCTATCGTCTGAGCTAGGATACCACTTCGCTGGGACATTTGCTTTCCAGCTTCCGTCTTATGTAAATTTGGACCTGTTCCAGAAGAACTGGGAACAGATTGTGTCTACAAGGCCCATCCTGCGAACTCGGATCGTGCGCATCGGCGATAACGAAACATACCAAGTGGTGATACGAGACAGGCCCCATTGGAATGTCGGGACATCACTAAATGATGTATCAAATAGGGTCAACAACTATACTTTGTGCTTTGGCGAGCCGCTGATTCGGTACGGGCTTGTTAATCAGGGCCCCGGTGGTAGGGGCCCGCTCTTTGTGATCCGGATGCATCATGCGGTCTTTGATGGATGGTCCTACAGGAGCCTACTAGACGACATCGAACGATTGTACGACGGCCAGCCCTTGACACAAAGGGAATCAATGAATCGCCTGCTGCACCATACTCGTCGTCTAGACCTAAAAGCTGCCAGCGCTTTTTGGAGAACGGCATTCAATGGATTACAAGGGCCGATCTTCCCGGCACCTCCACCGGGCTGGGTAAGGCCCATCTTGCCTGCTGTCAAGAGACATCAAGTATCTTTGGCCACCACATCTAGAGGCGAGTATACGATGGCCTCTGTCGTTCAGCTCGCATGGGCGATCGTTGTCAGTAGTCGGACGGGCTCTGATGATGTCGTTTTTGGTACGACCGTGTCCGGGCGTAATGCTCCTGTCCCCGGGATTGACCACTTGATGGGTCCAGCAATTGCGACCTTTCCGATCCGGATCGCCCTTGACATGGATTCTTCCATAGATAACATGCTCAAAAAGACCCAGAGCTGGGTAACCAGCACGATTCCCTTTGAGCAGACAGGCCTCATCCGCATCGGACGTACAAGTTCCACAGCCACACTCGCTTGTCAATTCCAGACGCTTCTAGTAATCCAGCCACGGCCACTGCGTAGACAGTCAAAACTGCTTATTGACTTGCCGCAGAACCACGACCAGCAGCGCGAGTTTCAAGCCCATATACTGACCATTGTGGTAGAGCTCCAAGAAGAAGGCATGCACATAGAGGTTATATTCGATGAATCAGTGTTACATACCGAGGAGGTCGACCATATGCTGGAGCAACTTGAGGATGTCATCCGCCAGATTCTAGACCGACCAAGTGCTAGCCTCCGTACCGTCCGGTATTATACGCAAAGTGATCGGGAGCAGATCCGAGAATGGAACAAGGAAAAGATATTTAAGCCTTCCGTGGTACATGAAGTCATTGAGAAATGGCTTGTCTCCCAGCCGAATGCACTAGCTATCTCAGCCTGGGACGGTTCCTTTACATACCATCAATTATTCGAGCACGCGCGTATTTGGGCAGGATATCTCCAGGCACATGGGGCACTCCAGGGGACCGTCGTTGCCATCTGCATGGAAAGGTCAAAGTTGCAGATTGTTGCGATGATTGGAGTGCTGCTAGCAGGCTCGGCTTTCATGATGCTCGAGCCTGAGTTTCCCTGTGAGCGCCTGCGCGAGATGTGCCACACCGCAAACACTACAATGATAATCTCATCCCCTGCAAAGTCTGGTCAAACCAAAATGTTGGGCGTGGATAGCGTCATCACTCTCACGGAAGATCTGCTGCTTACCTGTAGGAAGCAATATTCTTGGGTACCGCCGCGCAGCAATTTGCACACCCCAATGTACGTGGCCTTCACTTCAGGCTCGACAGGCTCTCCGAAGGGGATAACTATTGAGCACGCTATGTGTCACGTTTCGGCGCAAGCGTACCAAAATGCCCTCGGCCTAGGCAATAAAAGCCGGGTATTGTATAATACGTCTGTAGCTTTCGACCTTCTCATAATCGAAACTATGTGGACCTTGTTAGCGGGGGGTTGTATATGTATTCCGTCGGAAACTGTTCGCCTATGTGATCTCCTTGGAGCAATGAAAGATCTACAGCCTAACTGCGTCTTTTTAACCCCTCCGGTGGCGCGGATGCTATCTCCAGCGGATATGCCGTCCCTGGATACGATGGTCTTAGTTGGAGAAGCTGTATCTACATCTGACATTGATAAGTGGGCCCATGAAGTGCCTCTGAAGGTTGGCTATGGCCCAGCTGAATGCTCGGTATTAAGCTCGGCGCGCGAGCTGCTGCCCTCCAATCGGGATGAGCCTAGCAATATTGGACGATGCTTGAACGGTCGCTCATGGATTGTTGATCCAAATAACTATCATCGGCTGCTGCCAATCGGTGCAGTGGGGGAGTTACTTCTGTCCGGGCTGATGGTTGCTCGAGGTTATATCAACAACTCGCGGCTATCACAGACATCGTTTGTCCGCCGTCCTACTTGGGCTTCAGAGTTTGATATACCAATGGAGGAAAGGTTTTATAAAACCGGTGACTTGGTCCGCTACACATCAGACGGCACGATGCAATACCTGGGTCGTAGGGACACGCAGGTGAAGCTGCACGGTCAGCGTATTGAATTAGAGGAGATAGAGCAGAGGGCCGAACTATTTTGCACGAACATGGCAACAGTAGCCAGCCTGGTTGAGTTTCAAGCGACAAGCAGGTTGAAGCTGGTCCTGTTCCTGGCACCCAAAACAGTGGGCAAGAAACAATCAGGACTTTTCGGCGTGATGAGCAACGAAATCCAATTGTTGGCCAAGGATCTCAAAGCCCATCTCCGCACAGTCCTTGCACCATATATGGTTCCGTCACTAGTGATACCGCTTACCTGGCTTCCGTTGACGACATCTGGCAAGACCGATCGGAAGTTGCTGCAACAAACGGCCTCCAAACTAAGTGCAGAGCTTCTTGCATCTTATTCAAACACATCAAGCACCAAGCGGGAGCCGTATACCGAGATTCAACTTACTCTGCGCCAAATCTTCGCAGATGCACTCGCGATCCAAGTGGACGGCATTGGAATTGACCAAAGTTTCTTTGACACAGGCGGCGATTCCCTTTCCGCAATGCGGGTCCTAGCATTGTCCCGTAAACATGGTCTGGCCATTACAATGGCGGATCTTCTCGAACGAAAGTCCATTTCCTTGCTGTCTGAAAGGCTAGAATCAGTCAGGCCGATGCAAGGCTCACTCATTTCACAAGGAACGAAGTTGAGCAGTGAGAACAGATGCGATACCAGACACTGCGTGCTAGGCAAGATGAAAGACGTTCAATCACAACTGTGGTGCCTGCCCTCACAGTCCATTCAGGACGCTTTTGAGTGTCCAGCTCAGCATCTCGGAATCATTGCTGATCAGCCTTTGAGAGCCTGCACGCATAAACAGCGATCTATCTGGGAGATCCGGTCCCCGAGTGCTCTCAAATCTGCCGACGTGGCCTACGCTCTAAAACAGGTCATCAGTCGCCACTCTATGCTGCGTAGTATTCTTTTACCTTCAACTGATGACCCTACGAAGGTAATTCAGGTGGTGTTGAAAGAGGCTCACAGGGCTGTCCAAATTGTCAAAGCCCCAGGTATCAAAACAGCGGCGCAGGTGCGTGAATTCAGACCCGTGCAGTGTCGGGACGGGTCTATGCCTCACCATTCTACCTTGGTTGAGGGCCCTGATAGGCAGGTCTGGTGGCTCTTCGAGTTTGACAAGGCATTTGTTGACGCAGCATCCATGACAATCTTGCTGGAAGAACTAGCTGCACTATGTGACAACCGTCACTGCCAGCTGGAGCCAGCTCCTTGCTATTCCCAATATGCTTCCTTTGTCCACACCTTACGACAGGAAGAAAGCATTCTATTCTGGGAGCAGACCCTCCGAGGCATAGCTCCTTGTCTAATACCGAAATCAGAAAACATCACACTACGCTCCACTCCCACCGCACCTCGGGTACACACGGTAATCAAGCAAATCAACGGTCCTGACATGCTGCAGGCTCTCTCAAACTCCCTAGGGCTAACAGCAACCAACATCTTTCAGACAATATGGGGATTAGTTCTTGCTCGCTCAACAGGGTCTACAGATGTCTGTTTTGGTGCTCTTAAGTCCTGTCGAGATGCATCTGTCCCCGGGATCCTTCAAATGGTCGGTCCTCTGTTCAATATCCTTCCCTGTCGCCTGCAGTTCAAGTCGGTTCGTCCAACTGCATACGAATTGCTCGACACTCTTCGGTCAAATCAGTTTGCAATGGCCGAGCGAAGTCGCCATCAACACACCTCATTGCAAAGCATCGTCCAAGCCACCAGGGTCGTTAATGACCGGCTGTTCAATACATGTCTTACGGTGCAACCGGCAATGGTAACTCCGGCTGAGAGACAAAATGTCCATTTTGAACTTCTCGAGTCGCACGACCCAACAGAGGTAGGGCTACTCGGATCAATGATACCGTGGAATGCATTGTGGCTAACAAACCTGATGGGATGCAGTACAATATAGTTGCGGCTGTGATCATTTTTCCCTCGCATTATGAGCTCCACATTCGCTTTTGGGACGACTTCTACTCAGAAAACGAAGCTCTCTGTTTGCTCGACCAATTTTGCGATACCACGACTGAGATTTCTGCGGTGGTTGGTTCAATGAACGGCTAAAAGTAATGGATAACTGGCTTATCTAGTATAACCTCGCATATATATACTTAGTAGAAGTGGTAAATTGAGCTGGTAATTAAATAACACTATTATTCGTCGCGAAGGACTAAATCGGCTACATATTGAAATCAAATGCCACATGTGCATATGTATATATATCGATCCATCTACCATGCAATGTGCTGGGTTATGTAGAGGATATCGTAATAGAACTGTACCTGACGATCAGAAAATGATAGATTTAGTGATTCTAATGACTTGATTGCTCTGGGCTATTAGGAAGACCTATTCATTAAGTATATATCATCTACCTGCCATGCTACGCGATTTCGTGGTCATATTCAGCAGGTTATTACAATTGGACAACATCTACCTTCGTCAAGTAATGCTATGTAGTAGATTGTCAGGTGCTCATTGATCTCTTGATTTCTTGCATGAGTAGTGGCTTCTTTGATAAGTTGTGGCCTTGTAGAGATACACATTCTATCGCCTCATATATTATTACTACAACACGATCTTCAATCCACCACCTTATTCATCTCCACCCACGCCTTAATATCCCAGAAATTCCGACACTTGTGCATGATCTTGAAATCCGCCCGACGGCCATTATACGTCGTATCATCCACCTCAATCATCAAGGGCGTGACATCTCCAGTGCACATCAGGTTCAACCGCAGAGTCTCAAGACAATGATCTAAAAAAAAAAAAAAAAGAAAACCAAGTGAATCAGCAAATATACCCTACAATCCACAAATGTCCTCAATCAACCACTCACCAACATGAGTAGCCGTGACAGCAGCATGCTCCGGGTCAAACTGGTCAGGCGGGTATCCGAATTCCTCTTCATACTCCTTCTGGTGAATACTTAGCCGTACCATGTTCTAAAAACACATCAGCGAATCACCAAGACCAACTAGAGACAAAGAACAAGAACTGACGAGACAATGCAGTTGGTGAAACACCTCGAGGAAACCCACGTATCCGTCGCCCTTGTCCTTGGGGGTTCGCATCCAAGTTACATCGGGAGATTTGCCCAATAGCGGGAGCTTATCGTGTGGGATGTTGATCCCCGGCGCTATTTGTTTACGGGGCAGAGAGTCAGTCAGTGAATACTTGGGCGGGGCGAGGGGTTAGGGAAAAGCAATTACAGGCAAATATCGACTCCCATGCCGCTTCGGTCCTGTTTGTTGGCCGTCCTCGGTAGATTGAGTCCTGGGCAAAGTCACCAGCCACGTCGTGGGATTTATACCGGATGACTCCGGCGTCGATAACTGGAGCTGTTTGAAGTGTTAATATGTGGTCTTTGGGGCCTGAAGCATAACCTGTGTGCTGGATGAGGGCTCACGGACAGTATGGCGAGAGACGCGAGGTACAGATCTTATCTGTGGCAACGGTTTGATATCTCCATGTGAGGAAGCCAAACGCGGTGAACAACAGAATCAAGTGGAGGATCCAGGGGATTGTGCGTGCGAGTAGCGAGTGGTTGGGTGGCCTCCGCTGCCCCGTGAAGGAGTTTTTGGACTCCACCTGGGCGTATTGCTGTCGTGTGAAGACTGTGCGGGCTGCGTGTTTGACGTCTTGGAGTGCTCGAAGGCTGAGGTCTTTCATGATTATGAGGATACTGGATGAATTTGCTTCTGGCTTATAGTAGAGATGAGGTTGGGAGAGCTGGGGGATTGATCTGTGTGAGTGAGTACAATCGACTAAAGGCCAACGGATGACTGGCTTCTTCACCACACGGACGCCGGCCTCTCCCCCTCTGTATGATATGAGAGCCTTTCCAGAAACGGCAATCGTGGTTTTCTTCTGGGAGATAGACCCCCTCCCCGTGGGTCCCTGGTCGCATCAAAGGGTGGTATTGCATGGATTGAATCTTAGCCCTACGCGTGCTATATCTCCGGGATTTGAGCAATTGTCGGGTCTCAAAACGTGTCCTGGTTGAAACCCTCCAATTGGCCCATGGTCTAGTTACCTGAAAGATAAGAGAGCCGACTAGACAAGAAGTGGTATATCACTCATGACGAATAGCCGTTGTAAAGCGCAGCTATACGTCCAATCTTCTCCGAGCCCTACAATCACTTGAGGCGCAGACCCTAACGAATACTAACTATACCAAGCACCTGCCTAATGTCCAATGGGCACCAATGGGATCTAAACCCGTGCGCGATGACACCATGGCTAAGTTTAAAACATGCTACATCTTCGCCTCAATCTCATTAATATAGGAGTTGATGAATCCTTCGGGGCAGAGATGGCAAGCCGCCGGGCGGTTTTCATCTTCCGACCCCCGACGACAGAAAATGAGCTAATTTCGGACGACAGGCATATCTTGATCCTTCGCCAATCGTTAGGCCTTAGAATTAGATCGCATTATCACTAGGGTCTAGACAAGTGGATTTCTCCGGAGCTTACTGTAGGATACCGATCCCTGGACCCCACGCTACGAGTATGAAGTATCCACTCTGTCGGGGATGCCGTTTAATCTAATAAATCTTCTCTATAACCAGATGCGCTCAGGGATCATTGCCAATTAATCCCTGGCGCTATCCGACCAATGAAACGTTAGAACACTACATACAATGCTTCTAAATTTTAGGGCCCCAATTTCGCTAGCTGTTGCTTGCTTGGAACGGCTATGAATGATAATCGCAATGCCCGTGGGCACTGGCTTGTATTGGGTCTTTCTAACCTATCTAGGGAATACATGCTTCTCTCTCCAAGAAAACAATAGATCTATCTAATATTTACAAGACCATTGGGTACATCAAGGTAAAGCCATATTGTCAAAGACCCACTCCCGGATTTCCCAGAAATTCCGACACTTGTGCATGGTATTGAAGTCGGGTGTTTTCCCCTGGAAGGCATTGGGGTCTTCCACGAATAACAACGGCGTCACATCGGCGACGCACATCAGATTAATGCGTAGAAGCTCAATACAATGATCTGAGACGTGCTCAGTTAGTTGAGGATGTCAAAAAGTAAGGGAGGCTGGAGGAGTGAGTCCTACCCAAATGCATCGTCTTCAGTTTGTCTGTAAACTCGGGCCCAGTGCCGTGTGGCCATTCTCCAAAATGGTTATAGTAGTTCTCCTTGTGGACAGCCAGCCGAAGAGCGTTCTAAACATGGTCAGATCAGCGCTAGGTCCAGGGAATTTGGGACGTTGGGAGGAGACCGGGGCGGGGGGTTAGTTAAAAAAACATACTACGCAGTGTAACTGGTGGAAGACATCGACCAGGGCCGCAAAGTCCTCCCTATCTGACAGTGGAGGCGCATGTAACCATGCTTGATCTGTGCTTTTATTCAATAGCGCCAGGTTCTCGCCCGGGACTCGGATCGCAGGGGCTAATTGAGTTAGAGAGGTTTGCAAGTGGATTGATTATTGCTGTCGTATGGGCTCTTACCGTGCCAGAGTCCTTCCCAGGCCTCTTCTGTTGCCTCGTTTGGGGGTCCGCGGTAGGCGGATGGTTGATGGAAGTCGTTTTCAAAGTTCTTAGACTCGTATTTGACGATTCCTTCTTCAATGATTGGGGCTGTTGTGGTTAGATGGAGTAGGATGAAGCAAATATGGAAGACGCACAGTATGGGGAGAGTTGGCGGGTGCATTGGAAGAGAGTAGGCTGCAGTGTAAAGGCAATCAGGAAAATTAGAAAAGAGATCCCCAAGAGTACAGCGTGAATCAGCCAGGGCTTGACGCGGGATTGAGGCTGGGACACATCTGCTAGTGGAACCTCCTTTTGTTCAAGGAGAGACAAGCTGGCAGTGGCCGTGTCTTCAGATGAACGCTCAGATGAGTGGTCTCTGTGGTCCATCTTGTCAAAGAATGATAGTTTTAAGTTGTCAATTGAAGCGACTCGCAACGCCTGGCAAATACGTGTTGTTTTGAGAAGTGGTAGTGTGAGCCAGAGTGATGAGGTAGAAAGGAGGGGCAAAAGCACCGTTGTGTGGAAAAGGCAGAATAGAATAATCTCTTCAGTGACGGAGGATATCTTGCTCCGACATTCAATATCAAGACAATATCGCGCAAAGCGCTAATGCAAGGACTGAGTCTAGATTGAGGCACTTCGATTTGGCCATCTTTAGCTGATATGTCCTCATTTGAATGTAACATCGTTGTATCGGGCATCCAGATGCTCCAACGGCCATGGAGCCTAGTGTCTATACTCCCTGGTGAGGGGAACGCGACGAGAGGGCATTCCAATGGAATGCCATGATTGCGTATAGCGTAACCTGATGCTATACTAGCGATACGTGGTCTGGTCGAAGTATATATAGCCCAAAATTCCCCCGCTACTCTGGCATCCAACTCATCCCACAAGCTACAGTGTTCTATGACATTGTCATTTTCCCTTCAAGATACTTTACTATCTACAGTCCTCTCAGGCAAACCAATCTTCAAGATGAGAAACTTCATGCCTTTTCTTTCCCTGGCCCTGGCGGCCGCAGGAGTAATTTCTGCCGCTCCCACTCAGAACGTAAGAGCCTTCCGATTCCTTAAATTTAAAGAGAAGGACTAACTGAAAAACATAGGCTGAGGCTGTTGTCCAACAAACTGGCTACGTCTCCCGGACCGTTCATCCTGACTCTGAGAATATCATTCTCCTTGGGATTGCCAAGTACGAGGATGAAATCGCCGAAAAGGTGAAGCGTTCCGCATTGCCAGGCCAGGACTCCGAGAACATCATCATCCTTGGAATTGCCAAATATGAGGATGAAATTGCTGAGAAAGTAAAGCGCTCAGCTCTTCCTGGCCAGGGTTCCGAGAACATTATCATCCTCGGAATTGCCAAGTACGAAGACGAGATCGCTGAAAAGGTGAAGCGTTCCGCATTGCCAGGCCAGGACTCCGAGAACATCATCCTCCTTGGAATCGCCAAGTACGAGGATGAAATCGTGGCGAAACGGTCTATCCAGGCTAGAGATGAGGCTTCTGAGAACGCTATTGTCCTCCTGGTGTTGAACTACGAGGATGATGTCAGCGCGAAGCTCAAGGGCGCTCTCCAGCGCAGAAGCGAAGAGGGCACCGCATCCGAGAACGCCATTGTACTCCTAGTTTTGAACTATGAGGATGAGGCCACTGAGAAGATCAAAGGTGCTCTGCAGCGCCGGGGTGAGGAGGGCTCCGCTTCTGAGAACGCCATTGTCCTCCTGGTTCTCAACTATGAGGATGAGGACACTGATAAGATCAAGCGCGCTCTCCAGCGTAGAGGCGACGAAGGCTCCGCCTCTGAAAACGCTATCGTTCTCTTGGTTCTCAACTACGCTGATGAAGCCAAGAAACTTCAGTTCTAGGAGGCATTCCCGGTAGATGGAGCGAGACACTGAAAGGTTTGGGGTCTTTAGAACCAATCGGAATAGACATGGAATATAGCTCGGGAAATCAAATACGGATCGATGGGGGATGTGGTTCTGACGTGGGACATGGAAGTATTTCCTAGGAGCCGATGGTTTTGTTACCTTTGTTGTTTTAGAAAATAAGGACACTTAGGCTTCTAGACAGAAATGATGTTATTATACGTTGCGAACCTTTCTTGCCAACTGGTTATAAATCTGCGGAAGGTGTGATTCTCTAGACATCTGCCTCTTCTAAGGATCAGGTTAGTTATTAAGAGAACGCTAGGGATAAGGACAAGTACCTCACTAGTCTGCGGAAGAGTACAGTATAGAGACTGAAGTGCGTGGCCGAGTAACAGAAGGTGAGTGCTCACGTGGATAAGCCCTAAAGAGGAAAGTGTTCACTACTGCCGAGATAGACAGATATCTCTTCCTATCTCCCAGCAACTGGAGTCCAGCCAGTGGGTCTATCTCTCCACCCCGTGCGGGGAAAGGATAGAATCAACCTCTCGATAAGCCCGTGCCAAGTGATAACACGCGAAAGACCTTTATCTCTTGATAATAGAGAAGCTTCGTATTGCGGCCTTTGGGCCCAATGGAAATCCGGGTATAAAGAACCCGACCCCGACCATGAAAGAGATGACGTCTCCAACGACTTTAATCCCCCAGATCGAAGTGGACTACGTTACCCGCTTTTGTCCCCATGATTGACGCTGCCAAGGATACGAAAGACGATGTGCGGAGCTCCGCCAGCGTCGAGAAACACGATGTGACGTCGGGCGAGATCCGCGACATTGGAGCAGACCTCTACGCTGAAATTGATCAACTGTCACCAGAAGAGCTCGAGCGCGAAGGCGTCGAAGTGCGCAAGCTTTTGGACTGGAGGATTATGCCCATGGTAGCGTCGCTCACCAAAGATACAGCTCGGGCAGTTCACTGACGGGCTGTGTTTGTAGCTCTATGTGACATACGTTATACAATTTTTAGGTGAGAAAATTAAAATTCTAATTATTCTACAGTGTTAGGCTAATCATGTTATACTAATTGAGACAAGCTGTCACTCAATTATGCCTCCGCTTATTCGTTCATCCCTGACCTCGGTCTCGAGGGCCAGAGGTACTCCTGGGTTGCAGCAATCTTCAACTTCGGATATCTCTTTTGGGCTATAGTACGTGTAGTCAATAACGGATTACTATTCAGATTAGAGCCTAACGATATATATCTAGCCGTCCAACTTAATGATCCAACGTCTGCCGCTTGCGAAATACATGGGCACAGTTCTTCTGATTTGGGCCGGCCTCGTCATTGCACACATCGGTGCCAAAAACTATGCCGGGATATTGGTCTTGAGATTTCTCTTAGGTATGGCGGAGGCAGGAGTTAGCCCGTGTAGTAAGTACACACCGATCGGTATTTAGCAAGAAGCAACAGTCTAATAAGAATAGTGATGAACTTCACCTCGATGTTCTATAAGCGATCCGAACAGCCTCTCCGGATGAGTATCTGGCTATCTGGGAACGGGATGGCAACAATGGTCGGTGCTCTCCTGGGGTTCGGACTAGGCCACTCTCACAACACCAGTCTGCGAAGCTGGCAATTGATCTTCCTCACAATCGGCCTACTCAATTTTATGATCGGGTGCTTCTTCCTCTGGCTCGTGCCCGACTCACCGAGCACAGCTAAGTTCCTATCACACAGACAGCGCATCGTGGCTGTCCATCGAGTATCGGAGAATATGATTGGTATCAAGACCAAAGAAATCAAGCCGCGTCAAGCTTTGGAACTCTTGTACGACGTCAAAGTATTCTGCTGTATCGGCATTGGCATCGCTTGCGGCGTCATCAACGGCGGCGTTTCTAACTTCTCCTCATCTCTGATCAAGGGATATGGCTTTAGTGGCATCTATGCAACACTCCTGCAACTGCCAACAGGGGCCATCGAAGCTTTGGTAGTCCCCATTTGCGGTTTAATATCGACTTATGTACGAGACTCGCGCTGTATAGTCTTAGCCGTCGTGTGTCTGATTCCCTTCGGCGGCCTCCTCGGCATTCGCTTCACGAACTTTGACCATCGATGGACCTTGGTAGGCTGTACATGGCTCCAATACATCATCGGAGCTCCAGTTATTGTGTCCTGGAACCTTCTCTCGACCAACGTAGCCGGTCATACGAAACGCTCCCTCGCAAACGGGCTCTGGTTCACGGTGTATGCGGCTGGGAATGTCGCGGGAGCCAACATCTTCTTTGCTCGCGAAGCTCCGCGTTATTATTCGGCTTTGACTGGTCTTCTCGTCTGCTACGCGGGAATGATAGTTCTGGCTGCTGTCGCCTATGTAGCCATGAAGTGGGAAAATATGCGAAGGAATCGCAGCATGGCGCTAGAGGAAACGGCAGGCCAGCGTGAAGATGCTGCTGTTCTTGATGGCTTTAAGGATATGACGGATATGGAGTCGAAGAATTTCAGATATGCGCTTTAATTGCAGGTAGACGGACAGTAGAGTATCTCTCATATAGCGATTCGTAATTCCGCGATGTTTTCTTCTATAATGCGCAAACTGACTCCCTGTTTATTCCTACTCCGGGTAAAAATTCCCTAACTATCGTGAATCAAAGTTCTCAATAGTATCGTAATGCAACTCGTGATAATACTTGCCCCGAGTATCGCTATCGTCCTGGCCAGTTTCTTGTTTCTACGACTCCGGGCTGTTGGGCCGATTGAACTAACTCACATAACGTCTCCATGTCGGGGCTGTTACAAAAGCCATTATATCTGAGTTCCTCGTCTCAACTTGAGTACATGACTCCAATTTGAATACACTCTACGGATAGTTAGCTGATAGATTCATGCTGTTAGTACACGCTCTTCAAACCCCGAGGTGGATCCTTTCATTTGCATCTCGGGATTCCCCTAGAAGGTCTTGTAGGAAGTCAACGCACATTGGTAGCAGTGCTTATTGCATTGCCTCTGTCTTCGGGGCCATCTATGAACATTCCGAATCTGGTATTGTAGTTGTGGAAGGCCTAGAATAGTTCTATCAATAGTCTGCTGCCGATGATCCAATCACGATGCTCTTTGCGGATATGTTCTCGTATTCTTGGGCCGGTCTGGCGAGGGGTACATAGCAGAAGAGGTTTGGGGACTTATTGTGGGCAACCGAGGTTCAGAGAGAGGGATAAATTACTGGATTGGACACGGAGGATGACTCCGTTGACTTCTTGGCTTAATTTAACTATACACAGCATAAGTCTCCCTTTTCAAATTAACTGCGGGGAATATGTGGCGAATAAATATCTCAATGGATATCTAAATCGCAAATAGCGATTGGGCTTCTCTAAAGGGATAGTTTTACTTGGTGTGATAGAAAATATTGGATGATGGATGTCTAAATTATGTGGACAGACAGTAGCTTAAATGTGCATGTTATATGGATCCAATAAAAAACATGTAGATTGCAGACTAGGCCTTCTCAATATACTGGTCGAATATTTTACCAATTTCTTTAGCGCTTTGTTTCGGGATTCTCTTCTGGCCATTCTCGTAGTCGACAAAAGTCACTCCGAATCGTGTCTCGTAGCCTTCCGCCCATTCAAAGTTACTACACCACTATGTTAGCCATATTCGTTTGCCCTGATTTCCTTTTCAGGGGGAGGGGGCTTACTCCATCAAGCTCCATCCCATATAGGCCCTGACATTGACGCCGTCTAACGTGTAGGCATCCGCCATAGCACCAATATAATCCCGGAAATACTGTGTCCGGAATTCGTCTTGGAGTAGCTGTTCGAGCGGCAAGTCGTTCTCTCCCTTCAGACTGGTGCCGTTCTCGGTCACATAGATCTTGGGGTAGTTGTATCGCTCACTGAGCCATTTCAACAGCTTCCGGAACCCAATCGCGCAGGGTCGCAGCCAGGCGGATTGCGTCTCAGGTCCGACCCATTCCCCCTTCTTATTTTGCAACAAAATCTCCAGATTCCCCGCGGTGTCATTAGGATCTGGTTCACCAGACTTAGCCTTGATAAAGTTGGCACAGTAATGATTCATGCCGTAAAAGTCATTGCTACCGTGGACGAGCGCAATGTCTTCCGGCGTCCACTTTGGTAGTCGATCACCCAGCTGCTTCACCATGCTATCCGGATATTTTCCGTGATAGATAGGGTCCGCAAACCAGGAAATAGCGAACTCAATTTTTCTATCGCAGGCTTCGACATCTGCTGGGTTCTCTGGATCCCAAGGGTCGGCCCAGTCGCCTAGAATGGTAATTAGACCTTGGCCAAGGTGCTTGGGACGGGGCAATGCTGACCATTGAGAGTGATACCAATCTCTCCACCATCCCTAGCCTTAAATTCATCTCGGTAGATCTTCACCGCAGCACCATGGGCTACAAGAAGACTATGGCCTACGATCCAACACTCCCGCGAGCTATCGCCCACAGGACTCTTGGCCCGGTCACTTGTTCTACCTGGAGCGAATTGGCCAACATTATATCCAAGGACGCTGCTACACCACGGCTCATTAAAGGTAATCCAATGTTTAACTCTCGAGCCGAAAGCCTCGAAAACCACGCGTGCGTAGTGTGCAAAATCCGCAACAAACTCTTCTTTGTTGAGCAGACCGCCGTAGCGTTTATCAAGTTCATCAGGGAGGTCCCAGTGGAACAAAGTGATGAGAGGAGTGATACCAGCAGCATGCAGATCATCAACAAACTTTATATAATGCTGCAGGCCTTTCTCATTGATGGGATCGTTTCGGCCACCGAGTGGGATAATACGGGACCTAAGTTAAAACCATGAGCGAATCAAACAGCCGCATGCAGTTGAGATTGTGATGCTTTACCATGAGAGTGAGAAACGATATGCCTTGGCACCACATTCCTTAAGCAAGGCAATATCCTCATGTGTGCGGTGGTATGAGTCGCAAGCCACATCACCAGTAGCACCTCCAGCAATTTTGCCGGGAATTTTACAGAAGGTGTCCCAGATCGATGGACCTCTACCATCCTCATTGACAGCTCCTTCTATTTGGTAACTGGTCATTCACAAGCATTAAATGTTAGCCAGCGTCATTCGAACCATATATAGAAGTATGTGAGCAGGTTTAGTCACCTCGCTGTTGCAAATCCCCAGAGGAAATCAGCTGGAAGAGTGGATGTTGAAGCGGAACCCATGATGGCTTATATATATGTTTAGAAAAATTGCCAGATTCACTGGCTCCCAAATTGTTACCACGAGATCGGAAGAGTCTTAGGGGTGTTTATATATTGGTCCGCCTGCACTAGTGTCCCCTACACAGAATAGATCAATGCTATGAATGGAGGGGAAAGTGGGGGATGTGAACAGGCCACAAGGGGATATTGCGGTAGTAGTTCGTTCCGGATATACTTGAAGGGGCTAAAAAGTGACGGCTCCACGGGCCGTATCCCGACAACCTAGAATAGGTATAGTATACTGCGAACTCATATATCAGAGTATCATCAAATATCCTCATTCCAATAAACTGCATACACAATAAATAAACAAAGCGCCGTTACTAAGTAGACAACAAATGCATAAGACATCCATATTCCCGAAACTCCTCGCTGATCGTATCCTAGGCGCCCATTTACCTTTCATCCCAGAGTTGTACCAGCCCATATCGTGTCTTGAATATCAGATTCGTAAAGAACTAGAGAAACCCTCCCAATAGTTCGTCTCCCTTTCTACGGATACGCAGACACCAATCTGCCGTGAAAAGCGGATATGCGCTCAGTTGTATCACGACATCTCCATCCCTTCCATTTCGTCGCCATCAAGATCATCAACGTCGTCAGCCATGGTGCCACCAAGAGCCAGTTGTGACCGTTTAGAATCTCGGCCAGAACCAAGGTTCTCAGCGGAAAACGCTCCAACCATCTCTAACTCAGGTCCAGCAACAACGCGGCCTTCCATATCAATCACTTCACATAATTCAATCAAACTCTGTCTGCTCAAAGATTTGAAGCCATCAGTACGCACTACCCGACCCCAGTGGCTGAGACAGAACTGGGCCGCACGGCGCATCAACCATTCTTCATTCGTCCGGCCGGCTCGCTCCCAGATGATAGCTGCATTCTCGACATCCAGTTCACGGCTTAACCGGTTAACGCACAATACACGTAATTTGGGCATGTCATATAGATTTGCCATAACAAGCATGCCCGCCACATCGACAATGTCAGAGCAATATTCCGGGTGGCCCGAGATGCTATCGGTATATAAGTAGTAGAGAAATGCACGAACGACCGAGTAAGGTTCGGGGATGTGCATTTTTTTGGAATGATACTCGGCCATCTGAGCTGAATATAACCTTTTGAAATGGGGCCATCTCAGCTGTAGTATGATTCGATGGACGTGAATCGGTGGAGAAGTGGGTGCGTTAGGAGGTAGAAACGCTGGCTGGGCTTGTGAAGAAGTATCCTCTGCAAGGTCATCAGCATCTACCTGATCATCGGGGTTGGCCGTGATCGTAAAGTCAGCACCGCTACCGGATTCAGGCGATTGATCAAAGACCGACGAGAGGTCCGCACCGAGGCCGGATAATGGTAGCATTCCGGAGCGTTCCGAAAGTAACGTTTTGCCTTGAGCAGGCGAGGCGGCCGCCATCTCATTACCAAGTAAACCGTACCTTTCCAAATCAATACAAAGAACTTCACTCATATGGTTCTCATCAGCGGTGCCGGGTGTGGCGCTAGAGCCTGAATTGCTACCTAACAGCCACGCTTTAGTACCGCTCGCGTCGACTGTACAGTAATGCCACCTATAACCCGGTTTGAAAATTTCCTGTCCATCCGCCAATCGTTGCCAGCGCAGCGTGTCCAGCTCCAAAGACGACAGGTTGCAGTCAAAGATACGCACGGTCTCCGAAGGTGTGATCAGATCGAGCAAAACACCGGACGCATAAGCTTGGAAGTGTGTACCGGAGAACAGTGCAGGCACATGAGGGCCAGACTTGAATTGGAGACAGGAGATGGCACCTGGAGCAACCGGCTTCCGACGATTAGAATTGCGTATCTGCACACTCCCTGAATTTGCCGCGTAACTACCGGATCGTCCCGGGGGATGTTGCGTTGGACTACTGAACATTGTGTCTGGGCTATGAGCACTCCTGCCGATTGTTGCGGGGGTGTCTACGGTACCTTGCGATGTTGTCATTCCAAGAGATTGAATGCCCTTAAGGTCAAGCCACCAGATATCTGTTGTACGCTCCATACCCGGGTCGAGGCCTCCGAAAATCCACAGGCGACCGCCCCAAACCCAGGTAGTATGATCGAAGCGGGCCGTAAACCTCCAGGTGCGGGACCACGTCCATGTTTTGAGATCCAGGTAAGACAAATCATCAAGAATTTTATTATCACCAGTTACACCTCCGAGAACAAAAAGCTTATCATCGTAGATGACGGCAGCGTGGCGGGCCCTTCCTCGCGGTATTGGTCCGCGGATTTCCGGCTGGGTCCAAGTGGAGGTAGTAATATCGAGAATGACTACGTCGGAAAGATATTCGCGATGCTCATTCTCTCCACCAAACACTATCAGTTTGGTCCCTTGATAAAGGGTGGCGGTGTGTCCTAGTAATTCATCGCAGATTCGTTAGTTCAGTCCTCTGAAAATAGGCAAGCACGGCGTTCAGGTTGAGATACCCATGCGAACTCCTGGTATATCCCCATAGTTGTCCACAAGTTCCCAGCGAAGATCATTTAGGTTCAGCCTCAAAACGTGGTTATAGACTATCGCATCCACAATATTAGTATAAGATGCAGGCTTTCATTCAAGATGCTGGGTTACTTATGAACCTTCGTCAGTGTACTGATCGAACCCGCCAAAGGCGTAGATTTGATCATTGTTGCAGTATGTCACAGAGGCATTGACCAGGCATGCGGGGATATGACCCTGTGCTTTCTTTATGCTCGGGCGGTAGTCTGTGCTACCACGGCGACCGCCGGCTGGACTAGGAGACATGAGGAATGCGTGCTGTGGTGTCTGATGGTCAGAGGATAGAGAAGTCATCGGGTATGAGACACTGGGCGCCCCAGTCCAGTATGGTGGGTCTCCGTAGGACTGCGCGAACGCAGCGGATGCAAAGGAAGCGTTACTATTCCGAGTAGTAGTGGAGAGCGGTTGCCGCGCCATCAGAACCGGCCCAAAACGGAGAGAGGTGTGGCACCACTCCACAGAGGTCCTAGAGACAGTGAAGAAAAGGTGGTAGTAATAGTTAGTTGTTAGTGTTTGACTTCAAATGTCAAAAGTCTTGGTCACATATTCTTTCGGGTTACTAATGCCAAGGCCTAGTTAGAGCGCTTAGGATCGAGATGAGAAAAAAAAGAAAAAGGGAAAAAAAAAAAAAGTTTGAAAGGCGCCAAGGCGATCGCCACGAGAGCCGCATGGCAGGAGAGGCTAGTCTGATTTGGATTAGCGCACCCGTACCTCAGGTAACCGTTGCCATGGGAGAACAGAACTATACTCTCTATTTATTCCCCTATCTCTGAAGTCTTTCATTCGAAATTCCCTTCTTCTCCTCCCAACTTCTGCTTTTCTTTGGTTATCCCATATTCCTTGCATGATATACTGTTTATACTTGTTGTTTTCCAGTACTTTACTGTGCATCTTAAGCCATAGTCCCGGCTAAGGGTCATCGGATGACCACATTGCCTTAACCTTACACTTCTTCTGCAAGGTTACTTCTTTTCTGCCCCGGTGGCTTAATCATACTGAAATATGGCTACTCCTACGGTATCAACTCCAGTCAAGACCCATCATGGCATCTTCTCATCGAAAACCGCTGGTGGTCGCATGCCTCTCACACCCTCTCCGCGTACGCGAGCGGCAAGCATTACCTCAAATCACTCTTCCCCATTCACCCCTCCGCGTCAGGCAGAGGGCAGCAAGGACCATGGAAAGTCAGTCTACGGTGGAAACTTGTCTTCTTACTTTGCCAAGTCCATGTCCAGGGCAACCCGCAACTACCGCGAGTCTCCCAAGTCCAATATTGCCCGGGTCCGGAAGTCGCCCAGACATTTAGAATTGGGCGTCTCTGAGTGGGCATTATCCGGTACTGGTCCATCGTCAGCACAGTCTCCATCCAAGGAGCGGCTGCGGAAAGATGCCCCGACGCGTACAACTAGGTCCGGAAAGACTACTGTTCGTATCACACACAATGCAGGAGATAGATTCATTCCAAATCGGACCGCTAGTGAAGGGCTGGCAACTGCTGGAACCGCAAAGCCTGAAGAGAACCAGCGACCCAAGCCAAATAGTAACGAGGGTTCTACCGTACTTGCTAGCGCTGCGAGCGCCTTCGACATTGGTGGTCGAGGAACGGAAGATGACATCACCGCGGCTCTTGAGAACCTTGGTCTAGAGGACGAGACTGCGTCCACATCTTCATCTTCCTCATATACTAGGCCAGCTCCAGATACTGTTGCCTATGAGTCGTCATTGGCCGATGCTTGCGGTGTAAACCTGAACACTCGAATTCTTGCATTCAAGCCACCACCGCCTGAGTCGTCCAAGCCTATTGACTTACGTGCCCAGTACAATCGTCCTCTTAGACCAGCCAAGTCTAAATCTTCACAGTTCCGCAGAAGGGTTCAGACCGCTCCCGAACGTGTTCTGGATGCTCCTGGTCTTCTGGACGACTACTATCTCAATCTCCTAGATTGGAGCTCCGGTAACCAAGTCGCCATTGGTCTTGAGCGCAATGTCTACGTATGGTCAGCAGAGTCAGGAACTGTTAGCTGCCTGTTAGAGGCATCTCCCGATACCTATATCAGCAGTGTCAAGTGGAGCGGCGATGGGGCTTATGTTGGTGTTGGTTTGGGAACTGGTGAGGTTCAAATCTGGGACGTTGAGGAGGGTACCAAGCTGCGAAGTATGTTTGGCCATGATTCTCGTGTTGGCGTCATGGGTTGGTCAAAGCATACCCTATCGACAGGTGCCCGCAGCGGCCTCGTCTTTAACCACGACGTCCGCATCGCTCAACACAAAGTAGCCGAGCTTGTATCACACACCTCCGAAGTCTGTGGGCTCGAGTGGAGACCCGACGGTGCTCAGCTCGCTACTGGTGGCAATGACAACCTGGTAAACATCTGGGATGCTCGGTCCCTCAGTGCGCCCAAGTTCACCAAGACCAACCACCGTGCTGCTGTCAAAGCTCTCAGCTGGTGTCCCTGGCAGCTCAACCTGCTTGCCACAGGTGGTGGATCGTACGACCGCCACATTCACTTCTGGAACACTACGACGGGTGCTCGGACCAACAGCATCGACACTGGCTCCCAGGTCACCAGTTTAAGGTGGAGTAACCACTACCGAGAGATTGTTAGCTCTAGCGGTTTCCCCGACAACTCTCTGAGTATCTGGAGCTACCCGACTCTAGTCCGCAACATTGAGATTCCAGCCCATGAGACACGTGTTCTGCACAGTTGTCTCAGTCCTGACGGTCAGCTTTTAGCCACAGCGGCAGCAGATGAGAGCTTAAAGTTCTGGAAGGTCTTTGAACGCAAGCCAGGAACCAGTGCCTCTGCGTCTCGCGAAGGTGGAGTTGGAAGCAAGGCTCAAATGACCAAATCCATGACCATTCGGTAGTGTACTTTTGTTGGCTGTCTGTTTCTTTTTCTTTTTTCTTCTTATTGGGTACTTTCACCGCTTCAGAATTTCCGGGTTTATATCACTGGGGGAGTTGGATTACCATGGCTGGCGTTATTGAGGAACTGTATTTAAGTGAGACCGTACTCCGTATACTTTTGGGGTTTAAGATTCTTTGTATAGCATTATTTAGAATGATGACAAACGACTTCTAATCACTTTTGACTGCCTATGATGAACTCAAAGAGTAAAGATCGCGCGTACCTTAACAAGCAATTTTTTAAGATAAGCTCCCCCGATCGGTGCTTACTGAATTGAGTGAGTGCGGGTGGTGACTAAGCAGGACAAGGACGGATTTCGCCCGCAGACTACGACTTTCACCTCATTCAATTCCCTCCCAGGCACTGCGCTCCTTGCCAACACCCTTCGTTTCCTCCGTGGTTTGACGAACTGACCCCAATTATCACATATCCAGGTTGCAAACGATCGCTGGGAAAGACCTTATCTACAGAAGTAGGACCGGACCTGATTGATTAGGTAGAGGTTGTGGAGGTTACCGTCGCTTTAGTCCCGTGGCAAGCGACCTCTGCGACGGAACATCTGCCCTGCGAAGAAGCCAACGACAACATTTCCACCTCATCCGCCGGACGTGATAGGCCCGCAAGTTTGCTTTTTCATCGAGAAAGCAGCGTCCGTTTTGTTTACCTGATTTGACAAGGCTTGTCTACGAGTTCTTGTCCCAGCGACCATGTCCAACCAGCAGGTGGTGAGTGCGATCTGGAGCCCTTACCTTGCCTGAGCTGGGAGACCCTAGGGAGGATTAGCCGTTGTCTCTCTCTTTTTGTTGGCTCATCCCCCTCTAGTGAGGGTCTGCCTTTGTAAAAAGGATGTTGGCTTATACCAAGTGATTCATAGGGCACGGTGTTCGATCGTGTCATCCAGGAAGTCTGCGATGGTTCTCAGGTAGATTTTGAGGAGAGTGGAGTGGACCAGCAAACACTGCTCGATTTGAGAAGGGTAAGTTTTTCAGAAATATTTGACAGTTGAGATGTGATTTCTTCGTGGATTATCTGGGGGGACGTTGGCAGCGAAGGGGGCTTTGATGGCTCTCGGCCAAACGCGGGGTCCGAGAGTTGCGGAAGGCGGCAATGCCTCTGGGGGACCGCCAGCCTTTTGAGTCCCTTTATACTCCTCCCCTTTTACCCGCGGCAGCCTAAGGCCGCCAAGCCTCCCTCATCATCTTATCGATTTGATGATCTATAATTCCCGGGCTGACTCTTTGTCACCCATCGCCTCATATCACTTTGAGTCATATGTTTTTTTTTTTCGTTTGTTTCTCCTTTTTCGCAGCGCTTGGCCTTTTGCCTACTGTTAACAACCCCTCTCTCTAACAAATCATACCTTTACAGAGCTGGCAGAAGAAACTCTCATCACTGGGGGTCGCTCATTTCCCTTGGGACCCTCCACCACCACAACCAGCCCCTCAGCCTCAGAACCAGAACCAAATCCTCCCTCCCAGTGCGACCGTACCTTCTAATGCCCCCCGTCCCGCTCCTTCCCCCCAGACCCCTCAACAACATGTGCCCCCACAACAACCAATGCCTCCTCAATCTATGCCTGGCAGTGCGCCTCCATTACAGGTTCCCACCCCGGTTGGGGCACCACCAAATGTCATGGGCCAAGCACCACACATTAAGACAGAGCCCGGTATCAATGGCCAACCTGGCTTACCCCCCATGAATAGCATGATGCCGACAAACACTCCGAATCCCCAGTCGGCGCGAGAGCGTGCTGCCAACATGCTACATCAAAGATACGGCGCGGCCGCAGCCAACTCAGTCAGTCAGCTGCAAGCTCAGTCGCAAGCTGCGATGGCAATGCCAGGACAAGCCCGTCCCCACACTTTACCGCATGTGCCAAATGGCCAGGCCCCACAGATTAAGCAAGAACCGGGGTATCCTCCTGTTTCTCAACCGTCGGTGAACAACACACAAACAGATGGCGCCGGCGATGATGCACTGTCAGAATGGAAAGCAGAGGTTGCGCGAAGGCGTGAGGCTGCTGAACGTCAGAATGGGGAAGGTGACCGTGTTCTCCGCGAACATCTGAGACAACGTATGCTTCAGTTTGAGGGAGGAGGCCTCTTGCTGCCATTGGAGGAGCGCCAAAGCTCGTCAAAAGCCCTCACCCGTGACTTTGCCACTGAAGTCGCGGTTCCTTCTGACCCAAGCATCTTGGCGCCGTCTTCCTCCAAAGTAGCCCGCGCTCAGTATGACGGCCCCGGTGGTGACGATGAGAGGGACGAAGATGATGAAGATGCCATCAACTCCGACCTTGATGATCCGGACGACCTCATTGCCGATGATCATGAAGCGGAAGATGCCGTCGGTCAAGTCATGCTCTGCACGTACGATAAGGTTCAGAGGGTGAAGAACAAGTGGAAGTGCACCTTGAAGGACGGCATTCTAACGACCGGCGGTAAAGAGTAAGTTCCCTAGGAGAACCCGACATCATGCGGGATAGCTGCTAACTTTTCCAGATACGTTTTCCACAAAGGCCAGGGCGAGTTTGAGTGGTAGGTACGACGAATATTCCACAGGGTCTGGGAGTCCGTATTCCTCCGCTTGCTTTTCTGTTCATTCATCTTATCAATCTGTAAAAATGTCTGGCGAAGTCTCGCAATCTGTTTCTTTCCTTTCTTTCTTCTTAAATTTTTTTTTTTTTTTTTTTTTACCCAAGGCAAATTACAGTATGAGCAGCGATGACACCCGAGTCTCTTCAGTATAAACAGAAGTACTCTCTCTATGGTTTTCATGAAGGACATCTGCGGCACGAGACTTTAACCTTCTCCATGTTACCCTTTATTTGGATGCACATGGCGCTTATGCAGGGGATGGCTATTTCTTTTCCCCATTGGTGTACTAGAATAATTTTACTTTTCAAATGGGATGGATTCACGCTTCGTTTTCGCTATCTATCTAGGTTCAAAGTGTAAGCATAATACCTATACTGGTTTTAGGTCTAGATCTCTTCTAGCGTAACATCAGATTCTTTGGGTGTGCGTAGTAATTTGTAATAGGTGGCATGTATATTTCCCAGTAGTTGTCCACCCAGTAAGTTAGGATACGTCGTTTTGAGCTTATCCTCTCATAGGACAGCCATATCTAGAATATATCCAACGATGAGCTTAAGGCTGGAACAGCTCGTCTCAAGACCGCTTTGAGACAGAGTTAATATGTGCAGTACTGAACGGTAGAAGGAAAAGAGTGAAGGGAGACAACAATTTCGATTCAAAAAAGATAGTTTATTATTTAGCAAGCATGACAAAAGCAACGAAAGCAGTATTTTCCGAACTTTTTTCCTTTTCAAGAGCAGCAAAGAGAAGCCATGGGAATCAAACAGAATCTATCATCAAAGAAACAAGCCAAGAGGGGGCCAACGCATCTCAATCAAAAGCCGTAGCCCACGTTCTCCATAAACACCACCAGCGAAGGCAAGCAAGAAGGGGAAAAAATAGCAGAAAGCAACAAAGAGAACCCAGTCCGAAACCATTTATCTACAGGATCGACGCCGATATGCCAAGGTCTCTTTTTCTTAGTGCTCGGAAAACGGCGTCCAGATGCTTGCGAAGGAATGAAAACAGAGACATTTAACCTAATCGAGTGTTCCATCCTTGTTAGATCTCCGTATTTGCTTTTCCAATAAATCCAAACTCGTCCCAGTACCACGAAGCAAAGTCTCGACAATGGTAATTAATAAAGAGAATCAACAGGAAGAAAAGAGGGGCGAGTGATAATTGGGACAGTGGATTCCCGCTTCCCGCAGTCCAACCACACAAAAGCCACGAAAAGTGACAAGAACCGAAAATATAATACCGACAAGTGTACCGGGAGGTCGCGAGAGACTCTCAACGGAGATCTTTGAAGGGCACTAGAAGGACTGACTGTTTGTTCATTATCAGATCAAAGCGCGGCCGCCCCAAAGAACCGCGATTGACAGGACGTTCATACCAAACGTAACTCCGAACCACCGAACCGGTCATAAAGTCGTATGTCGCGCGACGAAGCCGTCAAAATCGTCGAATCGAATTATGTGAAAATGAATATAACAGAAACGCAATTTCTTTCCAACTTATATGATCAGAAAACCTTTCATAGGAGGCCCTCTTCGCCAATACCAGGTAGACCAGCCCCGGCAACATTAATATTCTGTCCCTGCATGACTCCTCCGCCGAAAGCCAAGTTGCGGCCCGCGGCCAGTTGGAAGTCGGGGTTGCACGGCGGAGAATGCGATTTGTGATACTTGAGGCCGTTCAAGTTCTTGTAACGCTTGCCACATACTTCGCAGCGGTATGGTTTTTCTTTTTCCATGCCGAGCGTCCCAGGGTACGGTGCCGAGGTTTCTGGGTTGACAATAGAAAATGTACCATCTGCATTATCATGCAATTGTTGGTTGTTGTGTCCATGCTGCGGTTGTTATGTCAGTTGTAGCTCGGGATGAGACAGTTAGCCAGGCACGTACAGCTTTGTGATATTTCAGACCATTCTGGTTTTTGTATGCCTTCTCGCAGCCAATGACCGGGCAACGGAAGGGCTTCGGCTCTTCATTAGGAAGCAGAGCGGTGGTGTCAGGGACACCAGCCAACAGTTGCTGCTCTCTGATGCGGCGGGCAATCTCACTATTTGGACCGTACTGTGCCCCACTCAGCTTGAAGTGGGCATTTGGTGTGCTGATTCCTCCACTGGGACTAAATAGGCGCTTGGCTGGCTCGTCGATGCAGAGGTCCACCATGTCATTGTTGGCAGCGAAACGAGCAAACTGCTCCTGGCCTTGCATCATGTTGTTAGTCTGCATCCCCATGTCACCAAAACCACCAAGCACGCTCTCGTCAAGTTCGGCCGGGGTCCCTGGCGTAGAAGAATCGGGCGTAGATCGGAATTGGGAGTTCTGAAGGGGATTCGACATCAAAGTCGGTGTGTTCACCGAGGAAACAGTGGGGTTGTTCTGTAATGACAGGGGGCGACCGGAGGCCACAGGTGTGCCGGGCTGTGAATTTTTGAACCCCTGATGCCCTGGAAGCATTGATAGATTCAAGTGTGGCCCCCTTTGATTTGAATGTCCGAACCCTCCTTGGTTGCCATTTTGTGGCTGAGGTGAGAACAGCTGCGACGATGAATCGTGATCACCCATCGGCTCATCCAACTCCATATCATCAATTGCGTCAATATCTGAGTGCTGCTGAGAGGGCTGGCTCTGATTCAACTTGCGCTGAGTGTTCTCAGGCTGTAGCCCACGGTTCTGATTGTTGTTCTGCTGGTTCTGTTGATGCGCCATTGCTGCAGCAGCTAAAGCAGCTCGGCCATCGGCTTGGCTTGGGCGATGTCCCTGGTGGGGCGATTTGGTGGCATGGGCTTCCTCATAGTGTTGTAGCAGATCGTGAAGGGTAGGTAATGTCACACCACAACAAGAGAAATCTCGCATGAAGTTGGCTTCCAGCTTGGGGAGGTATGAAGACGAGTGAAATGAAGGCGACTGGAAAGTAAATGGCGATGTGCCGGTCATTATAATACTAGATCGTTTGCTATTAGTCTCTAAACATTTATAAACTTATCTCAGGCACATTTGTGAATGCCGACAATCCCATGAGGATCACGATCGCGCCCAAGAAGACTTACTCATCACGTATCCAACTACCAACAGAAACGCCACCCCAGCTCATACCGCCAACTAAACTTCCAGCCAAAGACTCTCGGCGCTGTTTATCGCGATTGGATCCAGACATGGAAATCGGTTTCGAGCCGTTACCCCACTGTGCGGTCGCTGCACCGATAGAGTCTTTACGCGGTGGTGGGGCTTTAAATATATTGATCCCAACGCCGCCCGCATGAGACAAGCTACCTGCCCGCTCGCCATTTCCAGCTCTCTGTAGAGCAGAGGTCAAATTGGACGCCTGTTGCCCCGGGGGAGAGACGGAGGTCTGGCGAGTGGCGATATCAATTGGAGCTGCTGTATTGTTCATCGTGCCCGAGGTCAAAGGGGGCGAGGGGAAAAGAGGGAAATCGTAGTCGTCCTGATATTGCGAGTATAGCTGCGTAGTAGGGTCGAAGTAGGATGAATGGTTGTCGGAGAGATCGAGGGGGTTACGAGACCACGAACGATCAGAGACCTTTTCCCTGCGCGATGGTTCACCAAACCCGAGTGGAGTGGTAACAGGGGTCGAGTTCCGAGAAGAGGCGCGATCGTGATCGCCGACGGAAGGAGAGTAGTGAAGAGGAGGAGGACTGAGCGTCTCTGACGGCCCAAGCATGAAGGAATGAATCCTCGAAAGCGGCTTTGGGCGGGATTCACACAAGGAGTGAGTGTCCACCCTCGGATGTTGTCCCGCTTTGGACTGTCTGCGGAACCGTAACGGATTCGGGACGACAGTGGCGGCACGTAACGATTAGTTAGTAATATTGCCGATGGAGGGATTAAGCGATATAGCCTAACAATGAGAACGAGGATGAAGAATAAATTGTAAAACAAGAGGGGGAACAATACAACTCAACGAGTTGAATAAACACCGTTTCGATTGCGAAAGAACGAACAGAGACGGAAAGAGATGGGAGATGGGGGGGTGTTTGGTAGGTTAGATAGACTGGGCAAACTGGTGGAATCGAGTCGTGGAAGGAAGCAGTAATACTAATAACTTACTTAACCTACCTACCGGAGGCGACAACCTTCCCTTACAGGGCTGGTGACAGTTTGGCGTCTACAGTAGAATAGGTTATGTATGTACTCCGTAACCGATGACCTTCCTGAAGCGTAATACATCGTATTACTGGGGTCATATATTGCCAGACAGATCTGAAACCATGGTGGGCGAATTAGTCATATTCCCCTTGTCATTCCCAACACGCTTATATTTAGTTATTTAATGGGGAAAGATTAGTCGGGCCCTACCACTATGTGCCAAATAAAAACCATGGGTTCGTCAGTAGCTATCTAATCTAGCTTCTTCTAATGACCGCCAAAGTAGGAGTCCGATGGTCAGCCGGTGCGACCGCTAAGGAATGGTGGGTATTTTGGACTGGCGCCGCTTGCAGTCCTCCACTAACTAAAAAGTACTAGAGTCAATGACGATGGCGGTAGAATCAGAGTTCCATACGTTTTAAGATACTAGTATATAATACGGTATGTAATGTCCGGCTAACCGTCTTTGGGTGAACCAAGGAGAACCAAAAACGATTTCAGAGGTCGTAGATTACGTTGTCCTTGCAACATTGACACATCAAAACCAACCCGACCACACAATGTCATTCGTCGAGATAATGTGTTTTGCCAATGATTGGATTACATGGACAGGAGTCATACCTGCTCTAAACTGTACATTAATTATTATATGGAGCGCTGTGTATGAGCCGTCTCCGCCATGGTGAGACGGCTCATACAACCGATGGGGCAAAAAAGGAGGGCGGACTTGATCCATGGTTGTTCACTCACATGGTGTTCTCAGGAGGATTGATTGCCTTGATCAACACAGTAAACTTATCTGAAGGCGTCAAAATCACGGGCTGATCGTCTTCTTTGATCTAGTCTACACAAGAAATAAATTCAAGTCTTCCCCACATTGTCTCAAATTTCAGTGTAGTACTAAGTCACTAACGGTTAAATAGCATTCCTTGTTGTGTTTGATCTTCAGGGTCTCGAGGGTCGGTAAAGAATTAAATGTATGTACGTGGCTGCGGGGGCCGCAGGCTTCCTAATATACTACTAGAAATGGGTTGGGGGCTATCTATCTATCTGGTCACCTGGTGCCCTAGTATCGGAAAGCTTGGCCAACGATCATATCAACAAAGATCATACGGAATATAGACAGGCTTACTACAATATACTGTACATACATACAATGGAACACCTGATGGCATGGTAAGCATATCCTCCACTTCCGAGCTCTATAACTGGCTCAACCAATATGACAGAACTTCAGGGAGTCAGTCACCTAGTCACATGCGTGGGGGAGATCAAAATCAGGTCAAAACAAAGGGGCGGTCTGTATGTATCTATAGACAGCACTCTCCGGGGAAATAAGGGAGAGGCCAAAGGGCTTGCTTACTCTTCTGGGACCAATTGAGTCAAGAGATGCAACCGGGGCGAAGCGAAACCACTCTTGGGTTCCCAGTGAAATGAGCCATTCCTATAATTGCGAACAGCGATCGTCTCACTAACGATAGCTTCAGGGCTACCTTTTCAGGAGGGGTTTAGGGATTTTGGGAATTGGGGATGTCCGTATTGTATCACCGAACGTTAGCTTTGGCGCTAGAAACACAACAGAAGGATTCCTCACGGCCGCTTTCACCGCTTTACCCGCTTGACACACTTACCGCTTTGGTCCGATATGCAACAGTAGTACTTCGTTCAAGTGAGGTGCTCCGGAGAAGGTATGGATGCGCTCGTCGCATTTGACTGGGAATAATATAACCCATTATACTTCAATCGTGAGTGATTTATCCCCATGAGGCTGATGATAGTGAAACCGGGCAACCGGATCTGCTGCTATGTATAGACTGTTGACTTTCAACCAAAAAAAAAAAAGAAAAAATAAAACAATGAGTCGGCCGAGTGGGCGCTAACCTTATTGGATCCAAGCCGGGGAATGTGGTATTGGAATCAGGCGATCCTTCCTGGTTATCAAATATATACTACGTACTTTGTATGGAGTATATGCTAGTGATCTTCTTAGGGCAATCCATACGGACGACAATTTCCTATAATAGTAGGAAGCTTTGAGTGGTCTCCCAGCCTCCCGGATTATCATAATGACTCAAGACGACGTGCCCCTCCATCGAGGAGATCGTGGGTATTAGTTGTTCGTAAGCTACTACTTATTTAAGCTCTAAATGTCCACTGTGTACACCGTATTGTTACATGTATGAAATCCGAGGGAATACGGTAATTTAAAGGACGGTGGTACCTAAGGATATCCCTTCAACGTGCATAATCTACAACTTGTCCTACGAGAATCATGCGAGCTCAATGACAACCCAACGCCGTGCTCCGGAGGAGGTTGCTCTGTGGGTCGTTACATACCCAAGTTCACCCATTCTGAGATGCCACATGTGCTATTCCACCGGTTTGGAAAGGTGCGAGATACGGAAGAATATCTAATAGGTGGATCCCTGGGGATCCATCCTGCTAAATATCTCCAGAAGGGCGGCGTTGCACACCATGGTCAACCCAAGTTAAGGCACGACCATTCATCTGGGACCATTGAAGATCAGATCGAATTCAATAGTCGACAACAAAGTACCGTTTCCCTAGCATCAATCGACGTGTCCTTTGGCATGTCTTGTGATCCATTGCCAAGCTGCAATTGAGTTGGTATGGATTGATCCATTGGCTTTTGCTCCCCTGATCAGCTAAGCTAGCTTAGAAGATAGTGTCAAAAATGGCCAGAATTCATGGACTTTTCGAAACACCACTTCATCTCCTCGTGCGGCCATTCAGGTTCACCCGTCTACCTCCATTTTCTGTACCTACATTAGCAGACAGGAAATAAGGCCACAGGAACCAGCAAGAGTGGATTGAGTGGAGAGGCATGCTGGGGCGAGTGGCTGGATCTAAATCCCGAGGCGAGGATACAGCAGTCTTGGCGACCGACATCTACTCGTTGAGTTCTTCTAGAAAAGCGAGGAAATGGGTAAAGAAGACACAAAAAGGTTCAACTTCGGTGGGGTCCCCCATGTACCCTCTCCTGTAATACCAAACTTGCGTAAGGTACACAAGACGTTTGGTAATGTAAGGAACTATTCTACCGCGTATGCCGCCGGAACGGAAACAGTCCAGCATTTTTTAAGTTGGGGTTCGGCATCACCACTTCCAATAAAAGCAGTAGTACCCCAGTGCGGTGTTCCTGATGTAGACCAGACCGCCTTCCGCCACTGACCTCGTGCGCCACCCCGAGCTGCAAACAATGCAAATATCTTCTTCGTACTCCGCGGTGGGCTGTGAGAGCCGAAAATTTTGCCCACCTTAATCGACGTCAAAAGAGTTGTTTGCACCAAGCATTGGATCTAGCGGGAGTCGTGTTGCAATCTGGATTTCCTATATCAATTCACCCAGATACCTCCTCGTTGCTTTGGGAAAGACAGGCCACCATTTCCCTGAACCCGAGGGCTTGATAATGGCGTCGGAAGCCGCTGAACCACAAGCGTCGGAGACCCCTATGCACGATATTCAAAATGGCGACCCGGTGTCTGATAGTGCTGGAGAGCCTCCTGCAAAGAAAGCAAAGTTAGATGATGCGCCTACGCCTGATAACAACGCAAACAGCGGTGCTCCTCAGCGCAAGAGGGGCATCGCTCCCGTTAAGCCAGAGTATGCATACACGCGAGCAGTTTATTGCGGGGTACCGTATTAACTGACTGAATACTAGATTTATTATCCCAAGGGCGACGAAAACCGAACCAGAATTCAACGACGACGTCGCCGAGGCTGCACACCACAAGGAGCGTGACGGAGAAGAAGCAGGGAAGAAGAAAAACAAGAAGAAGCCTACTGGACAAAATACACATCGCACTTTTGGATCGTCGCAAGACGAAAAGGGCTTGTGCCCAAGTAGAGTTTTTACACCCGAGTTCTCCCCGGGGGTATGCCAATGGGGTGAAAAGTGCCGCTATGAACATGATCTACGAACCTACTTGAAGGAGTGCAAACGTGGTGATCTTACAACTTTCAATGGTGTGTGTCCAGTTTGGGATACGAAAGGCAAATGTTTCTCTGGTTGGAAATGTCGTCTCGTGGGTTCGCACATGATCGAGCAGGAGACCGCAGATGGGAGGAAGGAATTGGTGCTGATTGAGGACGAGGAGCGCAAGAAAAAGGCACAGCCACTCGTTCCATTTGCTGCTGAAGATGGTACTGCCAACATCGCTTCGATGGAAGCTAAGATCGCATTAAACCGGAAGAAGGCTAAGACGCCTCGGGCCGATGCTTATGGAAAATGGCTAGACAAGGCTTCTAGAGAATTAGAGAAAGTCATCCATAATCGGCGCTTTGATGAAGACCCGGAGGACGCTGGCGGGTTTAAGGAAGAGAAAGAAGATAACCGGGCCCGTTATATTGAACCTCCGTTCTTACCATCGGAGAAACGACGCATCTACTTCGGCCCCGAGACCCCAGTTCTAGCTCCTTTAACTACGCAAGGAAACCTTCCATTCCGAAGACTCTGTATAGAGCTTGGTGCACAGTTCACCTACTCCGAAATGGCCATGAGTATGCCCTTGGTCCAGGGTTATAAAGGGGAGTGGGCCTTGATGAGAGCTCATGAGACGGAAATGCTACCCCCAACCATATCTCCAGGGGCCGACATAGTGCAAGGGTACGATCATGCAAAAGATCTTCGATTCGGAGCCCAAATTGCGGCCAACAAATCGTGGCAAGCGCTTAAGGCTACTGAGGCACTGTCTGCATACACCCCAAACCTTCGTGTCATTGATTTAAATTGTGGCTGCCCTATTGACCTGCTCTTCCGTGAAGGAGCCGGGTCTGCTCTTCTTGAACACCCGGCAAGGCTGGAGAAAATCCTTCGCGGTATGAACGGAGTTTCACAAGAAATACCTATCACTGCCAAGATCCGCATGGGGACTAGAGACAACTCGCCCAACGCTCTCAGAGTTGCCGAACGCCTAATCCTTGGAGGTTACGAGTCAAATACCCTTGGGCTAGGCGCCCCGGGTGTGGCAGCCATCACTCTCCATGGACGAAGCAGGCAGCAGCGGTACACAAAACAGGCGGACTGGGAATACATTTCGGAGTGTGCCGCTCTTATCAAGAGACTGAATGAGCAAACGGATCATGTCGCGGATACTATACGAGAGCCGGATCAACGGACCCAGCCGAATGGAGGTAAGACTTACTTCCTTGGTAATGGAGACTGCTACTCGCATCAGGACTACGATGACCATGTAAACAATGCTGGTGTTGACGGTGTGATGGTTGGCCGAGGTGCTTTAATCAAGCCTTGGTTATTTGAGGAGATCCAAGCAGGCCAGTACCTTGACAAGTCAGCGTCTGAGCGGTTATCACTGGTCGAGAAGTTCGCCAAGTATGGTCTGGAGACATGGGGATCAGATGAGCATGGAGTTGGTACTACGAGGCGCTTCCTGCTTGAATGGATGAGCTTCGCCTGCCGCTATGTGCCTATTGGATTGCTTGAATATCTTCCACCGAACATTCAGGATCGGCCGCCCAGCTGGAGAGGTAGAAATGAGATGGAGACTCTTATGGGCAGCCACAACTACAAGGACTGGATCAAAATCACGTAAGTCTTTCTCTTTAATGCCTAGCGGTTCACATGGATGCTAATATGTGCCTCAAGAGAGATGTTCCTCGGCCCAGCTCATAAAGACTTTAAGTTCGAGCCAAAACACAAGTCCAACGCTTGGGATGAGGAAGCGGAGGGTTAAAAGGAGATGATGTCACGAAAACATTAGCAGTAAAGCATATAGATTAGACATGGCAGTGATATGTCCATATTGTATAGAGAGTTCGTACCATGGTCGTCCTCGGCACGTCACGGCCTCAGGCTTGATGTTTCTTACCGCCAGCTTCAGGTTAGGCAGAAGCGTGTCACGTGTCAGTTATTTCAGCTCCGGGCGGTGATGACGTCTTCCCCTTCCGAGAGTGAAAAAGGACCACCTCATCTTCACTGCTCTGAGTACACAACGCCTCTGATCTCATTCTTGTCCGGAAATTTCACTTGTCTCCTGATTCCAAGGCTCTGGATTATATATTCGGAGCTTGTCTCAGCCATAACCTGAGTTCCTGAACCTTTCCTTGGCACTTATTATCTTTTTGTTTACGGCTTCGAGTTTCCCCACAACCACACATCGATTGCAGCCCCTGAAGAAACTTCTATTCTCAATTCTCGAATTAGACTATCGCTCTCAGGCACAATGACTCTATACTACAGCCTTGTAAGTTTCCATTGCAACTCATGCACGGAATGCCACCAAATTCGGCATGTCAAACTTCGACTCGGTGTGGTCTGCTGTTCCGGCTTCAGTCGTACCTAGAATACATCCTGGATTGTTAACATTGCATTGAACCAACATCTACTAACTTTAATCGTGCAGGTATTTTGCCTTCTCGTCTTCGAGATGGTGATCTTTATGGGCCTCGTCTTCCCTCTGCCTTTCACCATCAAGCGGAAGCTGTTCACCTTCATTTCTGAAAGTCCGATAGTAGCAAAATTACAATATGGGATGAAGGTACGCTCGCGGTATTTATTATGCTATATATCTATTATTAACTAGGCTTTCAGATTACTTTTATCTTCATCCTGATTCTCTTCATTGACAGCGTGAATCGAGTGTACCGCGTCCAGCTGGAGGTGGCCAATTTTTCTAAGGAGAACATGGGGTGAGTGGCCTTTCTTGCTTGAATGCGTGTTGTTTTTAGTCTTTGGGAAGATTGTTCTGACGAGATCTTCTACCAACAGAGCCGCCGCCCTCGGCACTGATCGCATGGAAGTCCAGGCCCGGAAGTTCTACTCTCAGCGTAACATGTATCTTTGCGGATTTACTCTCTTCCTGTCTCTTATCCTCAACCGCACCTACACCATGATCCTTGAGACCCTCCGCCTTGAAGACAAGGTCAAGTCTCTCGAGGGTGACAAGAAGGCTGGCGGTAAGGACTCTGCCCGTCTTGCGGAGGCCGGAAATGCCGGCGAGATTGGACGCCTGAAGAAGGAGCTTGACGCCAAGAACCGTGACATTGAAACTCTGAAGAAGCAATGTGAGGGACTTACCCGCGAATATCACAGCCTGGGTGACAAAGTTGCTGGAAAGAGCGACGATGGATCCAAGAAGGATCTATAAATCAATCCTCTGGCCGAAACACAAGTAGCTGTCTCCAGTGAACCCATTCCATAAGATCCCGCAGGATCTTCAGGCAGCTCTCATGGTTTCAAATTTATTATTTGTGGGTATTAAGCGTCTCGCTTATGACTCACCGTGGGATATAATGGTATTAGGGAAAGATTGTGCCGCAAAGCAAGGGACCAATACGCCTGCGCAAAGGATGTATGATCTGTCCTGCTTTCACGAATACGGTGGTAGATTGATTGTGGGTGGGAAATGTTCAAACGCGTGGCGACCGGGAAGAATTACCCGTACTGTGATATCTTATTACCTAGTTGTTTGAATTATCAATCAAATAGCAACCTTAGGTATTTTGCAGCAAATGTACAATATTTCAGTACAAAATGACATTACAAGCCATATTAAACAAGTTGAAATGGCCAACACAGTTCAGATCTCTAATTAGTTTGTAAATGAAAGCGCACTTTCACCTTACTCAGGGGTATATATTGTTGCATACCGTTCCTCTCATGATTAGACCAACGGATAAGACCGAAACAATCGCCTCAATTGTTAAAAGGGGGCATTGGTGGAGCAGATCATTGGTGTATTCCACAGGATCCATGATGAGACGTTAGATTTAGCCTGTGGCGCTGTGGCTGGCGGATCGGAACGCATGTCCGATATGGGGATCTACAACATGTATCGTCATGTTTTTGCGCGCCCCCATCAGACTAGTGATCGAGGACGGTAGTGCATGGCAAAGGGGAGATCCGGCGGTTGCTTAAGCTGGTCTAAAAATGGAAACATAACCCAATGGACATGTCGAACCTTGAAGGGGCGTTAGATTGGTGCATACATACATGTGGTTTTCATACTTTAATCTCAATACTCACCTATCAAGTTAAGCGTATGTTCCATTACTAGACAGATAACCATGCATCTAAACCATAAGCTCCCATGGAATACAGTCTCTTCGCATTTCACCTTCATCAAAGAAAATCCATGCAAGAACCGCGAGACGGATTTTATCATCCATGATCGATTTATTGATCGGCAATCTGCCGAGCTGAACTACTTTACGCGTACTCTTATCTCTACTATTGAGGAGTTCGCAACCACCGAGCGAACCAAGTACCCACCAGCTACCGAACTGCCAACATCCGGGCCTCTCTTCGACACGTCTCTTCTAACCGCCGTCGAACAAAAGTACCATCTCGAACCACACAGGACCAACTCAGCCGTATCCAACCCGCTGTGCGAGAAGTTCCAGAGTGTGGACTACTGGAGCAGCGAGGCCCCATACAACACATCCGACGGTGAGCTAGCCGATGCGGTGAAAATGCTCCTGATCTCGAACCAAATGCTCGCTCTACTACGTCTAGCAAACCATGACAAAATCCCGCTGGAAACACTAGACCACCTAACCTGGGGCCACAGCTTCGGGTTCAATCATGTGGCGGACGTGGCTCTTCAAGCTTACCTGCTATTGAATATTGCGGCAGCCGTGAAGGCCAATGCGAAACCTGGCTCTGCAAATGACACCGTCCGTCTAACGGATACCCAGTGGTTTAGGTCGTTTACAAACTGGGCATTGGGTGATTTTGACTACTCTGCGCAGAATATCCCGCACCGGTTTTTTTGGAATACGAGGGAGATTACTGCTGCACAGTGCTCGTCGTGGGATCCGTTGAGCCTTGGGACGAGGGAGGAAAGGGAGGAGATGAAGGTGTATCTAAAGGTGTGCTTTGAGCTCTTGTATCGTTATGATCTTTTGATGAGGGAGTTAAAGAGAGATCCAGGGTGGACGGGGAGAATACTGGGGATCCTGCGACTGTGGGGGGCTCGATCTGTTACTATGGATGAGTCGGGGTTCTGTTTTACTTGATCTCAAATCTGTTCTTTAGGCGCATATTTGGATATAGTGTTCAGGGACAAAGTGGGCAAAAAAGTGGGCAAATGAGAAACGCGATGGTAGCACAGTTAAAGTGCCGAGGATCTCTTGCTTTCACATCCGGGGATGTGAAGGATGCTACAACTCGGAGACTTTGGTCGTTGCTAGGCCTTCAAGTCAGACGATGACAGATACCCTACTTGATTGGAGATGTCAGGTTGAAAGTACTAACATATAAGCTGCCAAGACTGCCAAGATCATACCCTAATCCAGTGCTGCATGGCGTGGCCAATTGAGTATATACTATAGGCCAGTCGGCAGTGCTGGCAGTCTTAATCTGATCCAAAGCGGAGACCAACGTTTAGGATTCCTTTGCTAACCATGAATTTCCGGGTAATGGATGCATTCTCTAGCCTGCGGCAGTGTAGGTTGAGTAATGTCTAGAAGGACGGCAATGAAAGGGGTGGGGAAGCACATATGGGTTCTTTCAGGAGAACTACGGAGCACCTAGTACATGGATCCATCCATACGGGGCGATATTATTCTTGACGTGTAGTCCGCGTACTCTAGCAATATCAGTAAATAAGGAAGGAGGATATGGTGGATTTGCCACCTTTTACTCGAAAGAAATGATTGATACTACATACGTATATCTTCTGCATTTCCTTGGAGAACTTGATGGATCTGAATCAAGGTCGATATCGAAGAAATGTCTCGTTGGATTTATGGTTAAAAGATATGGGTGAAGAAGGACTTGACTTGGACTAATAATATACGTGTAGACTTGGGGAGAAAAGTAATGAACATCCTTTGATACCTAATAGCTATATACAGAGTAGATCTCGCCAAGGAATTTTAGCAATTATGCACATAATTGCCCCTTGTTCCTAGTCTCCTTACGGAGTGAACCCTGAGAGGAATCAGGAGTCCGGGACATGCATGTACGTACGGGATGTAGTGCGAAGTCACACAAGCCAGGCTAAGAACTCGTTCATTGATGATATCTATATGCTTATTTGCATCATAGAGCATATGATCTACTAGCAGGAATGCATCTGGGAGGTCCTTTCTGTACTAAACGAATTAATATCAGGGTTCCATTGACAACGTCACCTCCGGCATCACCGCTTTTTGTACATCAAACCGAATCTTACCGTAGTTCTCATTTATTCCACTTCATTTCATACCCGAATCCAATCAATATCTGCCCGGTGTAGATGAACGATCTGGGGTGGCATACCTCGGATGAAAGGATTCGAGATTTTGATTTCCCTGCATTCTCTTTCCCCTCTCTCCTTTCTCCGCTCTTCTTTCCATAGTAGGATTTAATTAATATATGATATCGGTATGAGGGGGAATACTCCATAGATGTCCGTGATTGGGCAGTTGACCGCCTTTGCGTATTCGTTCTCGCCCCTCTTTTTTTCCCTTCTCTTCAAGCCTAAATAAAGTATTGACACCGCCCGCTGCTTCAAAACGGTTACCCTGTTGACCGTCCTGTTGTTAATCGTCTTAATTACAACCATTTCGTTATTAATAGAGATTTACAAGAGACGGAAAGAAAGAGAAAAAAAATTCGAACAGAGCTAAAGTAAAAATTAAATCACAAATAAATTACATTTATAAAAATAAAAGAAAAAATTAAAAAATAAAATAAAATAAAAAAAAAAAAAAAAAATTCTTGTAAGAAAAGGAGATTCAATAATTGTGAACAGTTCTCTCTTGCGATCGTGCATCTCTCCCTCCCCACTCAGCTTCTCCTCTTCTCCCCCCCCCTTTTATCAATTGATTTCTCCTCACGGATACTTTACTTCTCTCGTCCGCACCGCAATCCCTCCCACATACCACCCTTCCTCTGACCATATCCTCTCTCATACGCATTCACCATGGCCGCCCCCCAGTCGAAGTACGACGACTATGACTTCCCGATCACTGCGCCGGTTGCTCAGCCTGGTCACCCTGGCCACACCACCCCAGAGCAGGATGCAAAGGTAGAGCAGTTTCGGAGTGAGCTGGAGCAGCTCGGCTACACTGAGAGGCTGGATACTCTGACTTTGCTGCGCTTCTTGAGGGCGAGAAAGTTCGACGTGGCGGCTGCTAAGACTATGTATGTCGGGGGTCTATACCTACTTGTTTGTGGCTTGATTGACTCGCCATCTGCGGAGAACACCAGTGCCATTCGGATGAGACTAGCGCCCATAGCGCCCTCATTCCTAGGCTCGTTTCTTAACGCATGTTCATTCAATGCAAAGTATATGTACTGATACCTACCCTTTAGGTTTGTCGAATGTGAAAAGTGGCGGAAAGAGTTCGGCACGGACGATCTGCCTCGTACTTTCGACTACAAGGAGAAGCCTGAGGTCTTCAAGTTCTATCCTCAGTACTACCACAAAACGGATAAGGTGCGCCCAGCATGGCACATGTGTGACGCGTCCAGTTGCTAATCTTGATTGGAATTGTTGTAGGATGGAAGACCTGTCTACATCGAGAAGCTGGGCAAGATTGATCTCAACGCTATGTACAAAATCACCACCGCCGAGCGCATGTTGCAAAACCTCGTCACGGAGTACGAGAAGCTCGCTGACCCCCGACTCCCCGCTTGCTCACGCAAAGCAGGCAAGCTGCTGGAGACTTGCTGCACCATTATGGACTTGAAAGGCGTCGGTATCACGAGTATTCCTTCGGTGTATGGATATGTTCGTCAGGCCTCTGGCATCTCGCAGAACTACTACCCCGAGCGCCTGGGCAAGCTCTACCTCATTAACGCCCCCTGGGGTTTCAGCGGCGCTTTCAACGCCGTCAAGGGCTTCCTTGACCCCGTGACTGTCGATAAGATCCATATCCTAGGCTCCAACTACAAGAAGGAACTGTTGGCGCAGGTCCCCGCTGAGAACCTCCCCGAAGATTTCGGTGGTACTTGCAAGTGCGCAGGAGGCTGTGAGCTAAGCGACCAGGGCCCCTGGCAAGAAGCAGAATGGGCTAGGGCACCCAAGTGGGCAACACCGAAGGAGGACCTCAACATTGTGAAGAATGAGGATCCAGGTCTCGAGAAGAAGGTCGAGACGCAAGAAGGGTCCCAGGCGACTGCATAGGATTTCCTTTCTCCTTTTCCTTCTTGCCTCTTTTGTTTTGGGTCAATATGAGCGCTGCTGCAGTGTCATGCCGCCTCGTCATATCACCTATAGATGCCCCCCCCTTGGGAGTAGGTTGCATCAACTGTGCCTTGTCATCTCCCTGTGATCGTCTTTGGTTCGCTTAAGTCAACCATTGACTGTCTACCACCTGAAAGACGGCTGTCGGCCTCGCCATTTTGTTTTCACTTTGGTTTGAAATTAGAATTTTGAACAACGCAACGCGGGCGGCGTGAGGTGCTTTTTATAGATGGTCCTGAGAAGAATAAATACTGGGATAGAATATAAAAGTGATTATCTGATTCGGGACTGCTGATTTGAGATTCATGCATACAGAGCGTGAGATTGGTAATTAAAAACGAGTTGCGCTGGGTGACATGTTTCCTTAATATATACTTGTTCCACTAAGTATTCGATAGTAATCATCATTCCCAATAGCAAATTAATACACCCGGTGGTGGACTGGTATCATTCCAAGCCTGGCGCCCAACACCAACTAAGAATCGCCAAAGAGAACAAAAGCAGACCCGTAGTTAAAAAGTTCTCACTTCTTCTCCACAACCTCCGCAGCCCGAGTGGCTCGTTCAGCTTTGCCCACCGTCGATGCTACGGCATTGCCATCGGATGTCCCATCTGCCGCAGAATGGGTCTCATCACCAGGAATAACTTCACCCTGGAGTCGGAGCAAGGTCCGCAACGTATCCTCATACACTTCCGCGATTTCCCCCGAGCGCCATAGTTCTGCTTCGTGGTCGGTGCCAAAGGGCACTTGTAACTTCCACTTCGTTTTCACTGATTTCCGACGTGAGGTGTCTGCATTGGCATCATCGCCCGGCATCCGCTTCGATTCCTGGTCTGCATCAGGCATGTCGACGTCTTCGGTGGTCTGCCTTGCATCGTCTTCATCACCCTGCATGAACTCTTCATCTTCCAGATCACCTTGTTCATCCTCCTCGATCGCTTTCTGCAGTTCTGCGGCATAAGTCTCCGCTGCGCGTTGGGGTGCATCCCGTCGTAACTGTGCTACCGTCGTCGTAAGTGATTCCAACTGTGCGTATAGCGAAGTCACCCGTGCTGCAAGTTTTCCGTCATAAGGTTCGTACTCGACCGTCTCCGCCGGTGCGGTGAACGAAGCCGGGAAAGGAAATTGAGATGATGAAGAATCAAGACCGTTGATGCTAATTGACGAGGAAGCGGAAGTAAAGGTGCGTGTTATGTACTGTTTCCCGTCTCTATTAGTATTAAGGGTTCCAAGTTGGTATCCCGTTGGCAGGGGTCAGCTATGCACCTCATCAACTAGCTCGCGCACTCGCTCGCGCATTGGATCCGGACCATCGTCAGGGTTTGCAGAGGGTGGTAAATGAAGATCGAGTTTCTGGCGCGAAGAAGCGACGGTGTTACCGTAGAGGTATGTGAAATCCGCGGGCGCTTGAAGTTCGATTTTGCGATGCATCATTCCTCCGGGCTATCAGGTAGCACGACTGATTGATCTGATGTGTGAAGAAAGGTTGTGCGTCGTAGAGAGTATGTATCTGTTTTCTCTCCTTCGGGTTAAATGCCACTCGTTCTCATGGGATTCGTCTGTATGGACGCGTCGGGCGAGTACAAAATAGAGTGAGTTCCGCCTCAGGCACCGACGCCGATCCGATCAAAGTTTCGCCCCGCAAACGATGTCATCGATTCACTGTACTTTTTTCTTTTGCTGCCTTCAGCCGAAAAAATCTCTCGTGTCTCGCCATGCCAAGTTTCTGCAATCTACTCTTAGGTCGCGATGAATTACCGGTGGAGCTTTAAGTCTCACTCCTTGTTTTCCTTTAGCCTTTCTTTAATATACTTATAATACAATCCCTAATCCCTAATTCTCATAATTTATTCTCCTGCGTCACTTTCTTTATCTCTTATCGCATTATCTATTCCACCCCTTAATACTTAGCGCCCTCGCATCAGCCCTCAGATATGCGATGATGGTCGGGGTGCAAGTAATACTATTGCAGGACTTGTGATGCTCTTTTAATACTATTGGTCAATTCCAAATTCATCATGGAGAACCGCCTCAGCTTGAATCTGGTCGACAACACGTCCCCTAACCGTCGACTTTCCGACAACGAGGCCCTTTCTGAAGTCACCACAGCCGATGATCTGTCAAGGAGCGCTTCCAGGCGATGGAAAAAGCCTTCAGTGCGGCGGGAACTGACCAAGCGCAAATATAAGAAATGGCAACCACACAAGCTGGGAATCACAGACGACGATGCGGGCAGACTCCCATCAGACGCAAGGTTGTCCCTGACAGCTACGTATACTAACACTGAGGGCGAAAGCCTGATTGACGCTTCTTCCTTGCCTACTACCGACCAACGTGACTTCAATGCCACTGAGGTGGACACCAGCGGTCAAGAGTCAGTGATCGGTCATGGTGTTAGCGGCCTTCGGCCCGGTAGCGAACTGGATATTCTCTACGAGAACCAGCGAGGCTGGTTTTTCTTTGGAATCCCCCTCTACTCTCACGGCTCGCTTCTTAACTTCGACCCAGCTGCCTGGGTTACCCACGATCTCAGAGATAGTCCAGTCAATATCACGAACGCCCAGCTGCCGGATCCGAGTTGGGAGTGGGCTTGGAAGACATGGTACGTAGACATGTCTGGCGACGTGGATGACCAAGGCTGGCAGTATTCTTTCTCATTCAGCTCATCAGCCTGGCATGGGTCCCATCCTTGGTTTCATTCGTTTGTTCGCAGGCGGCGATGGGTTCGACTACGGGTTAAAAAGGCCTCGGAAAGAAGTCGCCGTGGCCGGTCAGGCTTTGAGATGGCTCATATGCTCAACGAAGACTACTTCACTATTCATACCTCGAAGAAGAGGAGAGCAGTAAGTGCGGGTCGGGCTTCTCAGGGTCCATCTACCCACTTGAGTCGAGCCACAGCCACTGTGGATGAAGGGGTTCCTTTAGAAGAGATTGGGAATATTCCTACTCTCATGCATGCCCTGAAAAATGCGAGGGTAGACCGTGAGAAGCTAGATACTCTTCGAAGGTTTGTGGAGGAGGGAGGCCAAGAGCTGTACTACTTGGATGGAAAGGTAAGCCCATCTCAACTCAAACGCCCGCTACACTGTGGCTAATGAACCTCCAGATCCAAGATATAATGTCAATATTCGTCTTCCAAGCCTCGCGGTGGCAACTGGTGATGTACTTAACTGGCGTCATTGACGAGCTGTCCAAAAAGATATCTGAGGCAACTGGTATGGACGCTGAGGGACTTCGACAGCAGAAAGACTTCCTCACAAAAGCTGTGGATACAGCTAAGCATCATCTCACTGGGCCCGAGATCTTCTCTCCAGAGGGCCGAGTGTCCTCTCCGGAAATGACAGAGATGTTGGATTTGACTCCGGTAGCGAAGAGGGTAAGTTTGTTGGCCAAATCTTCAGGGAGATTCTCCCGCGAGCCGATAGACAATGGTGGAGAGATCAAAGGCATTCCCCAGGCAGCAGAAATCGGGCGCGAAGGGCACATTTTTCAGTATTCATCTTGACCTTTTTGGTTGTAACACAGTTTAGTATACCCGGTTTGGCTGGTTCACTGTACGGTCAGGTGTACCTTCTTCATGGTCACCCAATCCATTTCTCATTGGCATTTTTCATATCACGATAGTAATTTATTCTTATTTCCATCATTTTACGCTCATAAAATTTCTCTGAATATAGTTTATACAAGTTTACGGCGACTTGTCGGTCCGATAGTTGGAGAACGCTGACCGCCTGCCATTCTAACTCAGCAAACATTTTCTGGAGCCTCCGCGTCGGAAGAGCTTCGCCGCAGCTCGAAATAAAGACCTCTCCAGACAGGAGTCAATCCTAGTTTATACCCGGCCTTTCACCCTTTCCATGACTCTGACACTTGCTCCGCATATTCCTCGATGCTGTCGCGTGGCCACCCGTGTCTGAAAAGACATGTATTGCCCACCGTCTTAGACACCATTGCGGCTCCCCCCGAAGAACCTCTCCTATTCCTGTATCCCCGCTGGTTCACAGCTGCAGTTCGTCACCGGAGATCAATCTCAACAGCTCAATATACCCCTACAAGTACCACGAGACTGCGCAACGCGGGCGGATTTGGTCCGGGGACGCACAGGAGGTTGTCGCTTGGTGGTTCTACGAGACGGTGGGCTTCCAGTAACAATGCTGTTAGACCGGATGTAACTGAGGATGCTGGAAGCTCACAGCAGCACGAAGCGTCTACCAGTACACTGGAAAATGGCCAGACTGAGCAGGCTGAGAGCGAGAGCGGACGCGACGAGTTTTCCCCGCATGGACACACTACGGACGACACCAACCCTTCGTTTCCTGCTTCTGCGGAAGAAGATAAGTCGCTTGGAGCGAGACGAAAACGCTTGTTTAATATATTTGCCGACATTCAGTCCAGACCTCACATTTACCATCCGCCATCACCCCCGAAATCAGGTAACTCCGCGAAAGGCAGAGACCTCAAGACCCATACGAGACCATTGGCGGCCGCTCCCAAAGGCCCGGTTCAAGAGAGAACGCGTGCTATTATGAAGAGGTTGTCAGTCAGAGATAGACGGAAATTACGGTTTCGAATGTACTTCAACGAGCGAGCCGAAGCCAAATCGAGGGCGAGGTGGACACTGTGGCCTAAAATTCAAAAGTTACTCGAGGAAATGGAGCAGAATACCACCGTATGGAAGAAGGCAGGTATCCAATATAAAGAGATGCTATTACCAGAGGAGACCGTTGCCCTTCTTGCGGGCGCTACAGACATGGCAATGAGGGAAAATATCTGGCATGTGCCTGTGCACAATGGGTGCAAGGTTCATGTGCTACATCCACGGGAAAGCGAGGGTCAGTACAGGAAAGTTGTATTATCTGGCTCCAAACGAGTGGTAGAATTGGTCGAAGGTCGTATTGCAAAAACGAAAAGCCTTCAAGAAAATGGTGATCCTTTGGTCGATATCCGGAAACCACCGATTCCAGTTTTTCCTTCAATGGAAGCCATGGCGCGGAAAAATATACCGGCGCCGCTTATTCACGGTGTATGGGATCGATATAGAGGGGCTAAGGACCCTGCGACTTTGGATGTGCTTCTCCCTCAATCGCAGAATTTGTCGAGCGTCAGAGAATTTGCGGAGCAAGTGGATGAATTAACACGATCAGTGCCTTCTTATGGCGCCCCTCAGGGCAATCCTCACTATCGGAGAATCGCTAAATCTCTGGTCAAAATGTTCAAGAATGATCGGTACCATAGCTTCTTGTCGAGCGCCGCCGTCAATACAGCGCTCTCTTTCCTCCTTGATCGAGATTTTGTGGGCTACGCGCGCACCATCTTTCTCATCGCTGAGCATGTCGTAACCGTAGATTCCTTTAACATCGTGTTGAAGTTCGCGGCTCAGAGGCAGAATATGATGTTATACCACCAGTTCCTAATGACAATGCCACGATTGGATATCCGACCGAATTCAGATACCTGGCTTACATTCCTCGAGTGCCTTATCTCCCCGAAATCGAAGGGGGCTCTCGTCTCGCTTATGATAGAGAAAGGCTATCTCAGCGGATCTAGCGCCATACGGACCGCGTTGCAGGTGACGATACAGGAAACCTTTCTTGCACATTTAGAGAGTGGCAAAAGCGTGGAGTCTTTTTTCAATATGCTTATTGACACATGTGGTGCCAATTGGTTCCCGCCATCACTCATAAATCAGATGTTGAGTGTCGCTGCCACGCGGAAGGACGTTCCAACCATGGAGCGATTACTTCACATTTGCAAAACGCAAGGTCTTGCTGTCAATAGTGGCACCGTCACCCAAATCATCTCGATGTTTCGCAAGGATCTCTTTTCCCTCCTCCGGTATCTGTTCCAATTCATCGACCGCCCTGAGATGAAGCTCGAGAAAAACGCTTGGGAGAGACTTTTCCTGATGGCCTTCAAAGGACGACACTATAATACTTGCCGTGTGCTATGGAGATACGCATGCATATATAAGGGCGTGACACATAAAATGCGGCAGACTGTGCTTACATCGCTCGTTCGCAATGCATCCTATCGAAAAAGTGGAGGTCAGTACAATGAGCTTTGGCTCACCAGCGCGGGCAAAGTCATTGTGGGAATTGACCTTCACCTTCCACATTATCCACTGGATGACAAACTCGCGAAGTTTATACCATCTGAGTTCAATCGGAACCCGGTTGCCTATCTTGCGACTTTCGCGTCTGCTGGTGAGGAGCGTAAGAAGCAGCAACGCCTGGCGTCAGCACTGATACTACGTGATATAGATTGTGGACCGATGTACCGACCTTTGAGGTCAATGGGGATCATGTTGGAGGCGGCAGCAGTGCTGGATCAGGAGTGGAATTGGATCCCTCGGCCCACACAGTGGTTGGTGCAAAATGCCATTCAGGTTCCTGTGGGCAAAAAGTCGAGCTATGTGCAGTGAACATGGTTGAAGTCTCTCCTGGGGCTGAACTATGCTCATCTCCTTTGCTCAATGACTCAATTCCAACATCTTCCACATATCTCGATTATACGCTTTGTTGAAGTTTGGGCTCAGCAGCCTTATTTGTACATATACCTTTGTAAAATAACCCTCCCCTTTTCTATATAATGCCATGTATAGACACCCTAGAAATAGACTTCCACTATTGCCCATGAACCCAACGATTGGTTGTATTAAATCTTCCCATATATGTATTCATCACTCATATTGTCTATTGTCATAATTGCGTAGTCTATATGCTATTCACAAAAAGAAGCGATCGGCTATTTGATTTCATCCATCATCGGTTGCCATTTCCATGAAGCAAAGCCGGCGGTGGAGGAGCAATCGGACCGGACATTTCAGGTCGAATATCAGCAGGCGGTCCGTACGGATCGTAAGACGTCCGGATAGATCCCACACCCTCCTTGAGATATAATACCAAGCGATATGCCGAATTGCCGTTTAGATAGTATCGATGCAGCCTTTTACTACGCAGAAAACCCAGTCGCTCATAGAGCTTGATGGCCGCCGTATTTGTGATTTCAGTCTCGAGTGCGATCTGCATGACGAGCACCTATCAGTCTAATCTTTTCCGGATGGACGCACAAGTGAAACTCGGTGGGACCGTGAAACAAACCTCATCCGCATCACGCGCAATCATCGCATCGATGGCCATTCTGACCAATTTCGTGGCAATTCCCCGGCCGCGATACTCTTCGCGCACCGCCAACATAGCAATATACCCTCTTAACGGGCCACCGCGATGCGGTTCCAGTTTCGAGACCACAACACCAACCATGGGGTCCGGCTGTGTATCGTCCATGGCCATGAAACAGAGGTCACCCCATTGGTACAGGAAATACCGGTATACGTAGATACTGTACGGCTCGGACAGGTCTTTGGAGATTAGTTGCCGCATGGCGGCGACATATTCGTCCTCGCGTGCGCCGTCATAACGGGTGTAGCGGAGGTCGGACGGTGGTGCAGCGGAGACTGCGGTGGGAGTAGCGTCATGGCTCATTCCGGCCGCGTTTTCGGACTCATTGAGAGAATCCAATGAATCTATATTGTTTTTATGGGAACTGCGACAAGCGCAAAGTGTATGGCTATGAGTTGTGAGTGGGTGGGTGGGAGGGAAATGAAGTCGAAATTGTATTTGGAAAGATGGAAAATGGATTTTGACTTGAATCTCATGACGTCCCTTTTCTGGTTGTAACTTCCCAAAAGCATGTGATTTCCATCTCTAAACTTCTTCTGCTCTTTTTTTCTTGTGCGCTGCTCTTTAATTTCTCCCCTTCTCCTTTTCCTTCTTCTTTACCATTTTCTCTTATCGAATATTGCAGACTAAGTCGTTCACCTTATTTTTTTTCCCCTCCGTGGCCGTCAATTCCCCCTCCATTGTTCTCCCGTGTTCCTGGCGGTCGCCCATATGCTCCGCCGTCGCCTGGCCAAGGACGACAATGCCCAGTCCTCTTCAACGGACACGGCTCGCGATGAAAGCGAAGTATCGCCCGAAGTTCAGGCCGTGACGGCGCCAGAAAAACCGAAAAAAGAGTCGTTTGTCACTAAACCAAGGAGCAAACGTCGCAATGGCCTCATCTTCGTGCTGGGTGGCATCTTCGGAATCCTTGTCGCTGCTTTTTTCGCTAACCAGCAGGACGTGATCAGTCTTGATTCTTTGATGGACTTGAATTTGGATGCGTTGATGGATGTTATACCGCAGGGAATCGTCAAGGATGTGAGGGAGTTTTCCGTATGTCAACCCTTCATGCAGGTGGCGATCTCAATCTGATTGTGTTAATCTCGGGCAGCAACATGAACGCGATGCCGTCAGCTATGATTCCTTCTCCGTCGGTTTACAGCTTCAGTCGCAGGGTATTGAAGCCAAGCATCCCATCGTTATGATCCCCGGCGTTATCTCTACCGGACTCGAGAGCTGGGGCACCGACATATCCTCCCGCCAGTACTTCCGTCGGAGACTCTGGGGCAGTTGGAGCATGATGCGCGCTTTGGTCTTAGATAAAGCAGGGTGGAAGAACCATATTATGCTGGACAAGGACACCGGGTTGGATCCACCGGGAATCAAGTTACGAGCAGCCCAGGGCTTTGATGCGACAGATTTCTTCATCACCGGTTATTGGATCTGGAATAAGATCCTCGAGAACCTGGCGACCATCGGGTATGATCCGACAAATGCTTTTACTGCCGCTTATGATTGGAGACTGTCCTACCTGAACCTAGAGGTCCGTGACCAGTACTTCAGTCGGCTGAAGTCCTACATTGAGACTGCCGTTCTCGTGAGGGGAGAAAAGGTGACTCTGGCTTCGCATAGTATGGGCTCGCAAGTTGTGCTCTACTTTTTCAAATGGGTGGAACATCCGGAATACGGTAACGGAGGCAGTGACTGGGTTAACAAGCATATTGCCTCCTGGATCAACATTAGTGGGTGCATGCTGGGCGCCGTCAAAGGTTTGACGGCTGTCCTGTCGGGTGAGATGAGAGATACTGCCCAACTAAACGCCTTTGCCGTGTACGGACTGGAGAAATTCTTGTCCAAGGAGGAACGAGCTGAGATCTTCCGAGCCATGCCTGGTATCTCGAGCATGCTCCCCAAGGGCGGAGAAGCCGTATGGGGCAATTCGACTTGGGCTCCGGACGACCTGCCCGGCCAGTCCATGACTTACGGAAGCCTGCTGAAGTTTCGGGAGAGCAATTCATCCTTGACTTCCAAGAATCTCACCGTATCTGAAAGCTTGTCGTATCTTATGGACCTGAGCGATGAGTGGTATCGCAACCTAGTCCTAACTAGCTATTCGCACGGCGTCGCACATACTACCGCGGAAGTCGAAGCAAATGAAAATGACCCTCGCACATGGCTCAATCCCCTTGAAGCCCGATTGCCGTTGGCCCCGGATATGAAAATCTACTGCTTCTATGGCGTCGGCAAGCCAACCGAACGCAGCTACTTCTACCAGGAAGAGCGCGATCCCCTGGTCAGCCTGAACGTAAGTATTGACACCACTGTCACCAACAACGACGGGGTCGACCACGGCGTTATCATGGGCGAAGGCGACGGCACCGTCAACCTACTGAGCACAGGCTACATGTGCGCCAAAGGATGGCACATCAAACGGTATAACCCGGCCGGAATCAAGATCAAGGTCTTCGAAATGCCCCACGAGCCAGACCGTTTCTCTGCACGCGGTGGTCCAAACACAGGTACGTCGCTACCATCTTCTCTCTTCTAGACAACCCTACTACCTACCTACATCGAGTCCAACCCCCTCACAATTATATCCTACTCAATTCCCACCGCTCTTCAAATCTCACACAAGAGAAATCTCCACTAACCAAGTTAAAGGCGACCACGTTGACATCCTCGGCCGGGCTTCTCTCAACGAGCTCATCCTCCGCGTCGCAGGCGGTCACGGCGACGAAATCGAAGAAACCTTTGTCTCTAAAATCAAAGAATACGCAGACCGGGTGCAGATCTTCGAAGAGTAATAGATTTAATACCCTTCCTTTCTACATTCTCTTTCTTTCTTTCTTTCTTTCTCTCTATGACTTAACTTTCAGCGTATATCTATTATACAGTAATTCTGTGTTGTATTATGGTTAGGGGAGACGGACGATGTTATATCCCTTTTTTCATGCTCATGGGGGACCGGAGAGGCCATGTATAGACAGACAAGACAGATTTTAGATATCATAAACGATCAATTGATATCAATGAACCCTATTAATGAACGGGAAAGGATGTACATCGCTCAAGTTGCAGCAAGTTCCCAATCTCACCTTTCTTTACAATGAGCATCGAGGCTCGGCCAACCTTCGCGAGCTCATCGTCGGTGATTCGGCTCTAGACAAGTACGATGTCCTCATCACTTATATCGATCTCACTTTCGACTCGGAGTTTCAGCCAGATCTATCGGCAGTCCGAAATGCTATGCAGCCAAAAATCTAAAATGGTATCGATTACTGCCCTGCATAGTCCAACCGGAACCGTCATCTCTCGGGAAACCCTGGATCAATTCGTTACCCTAACGAAGGACAGGGACTGCTTGCTTCTGGTCGATGAGACATATCGAGACATTACATACTCCACTCCGTTTCTGATTGCCGCCACTCTAGGGGATCACGTCATCAGTGTTTGTTCGCTCTCAAATCTGCATGGCCCGCCTGGCATCCGAATCGGATGGTTGGTTACCAAGAGCTCCGGGCTTCAGGAGACATTCCTGGCGGCCAAAGAGCAAACCTCGGTTAGCGGTAGCGTACTTGACGAGTGAGTCGGGGAACAGGTATTACAACAAAAGGACGAGATCCTGGGCTCAGCAAATGCTGAGATGAGCAAGCGTCTCAATATTGTGGAGAGTTGAATTAAGAATGGGGATCTACTTGAATGGGTCTGTCCCGAGGGAGGAGTGGTATGCTTTCCCCACATAGAACAGGAACCCAGAGGAACGGACGCTTTCTACCAGCGGTTGTTGCTCGGGCATGGCACCTATGTCGGACCCGGCCATTAGTTCGAAAATGCCTAATACCTTTTTTTGGGCTAGGCTTCTGTTGGCCTACCCTGGCCCGGCTGGAAGACGGTCTCGCCGCTATTTCGAAAGGTCTCCGTGATTAGAGTTCACTTCCGTGGACTCCCTATGTCTTCTACTCAGAGGAAGCTGTTGGTTTTATACTCCTCAAGTGGACGAGGGATCACCGGAATTCTTATGGAGATTACAATGGTTGCAAGGTTAAGAGTGTAGTTCAAACCAAGCCCATCATCCTTCAGATCCTTTCGACCTCGTGGGAAAAGGGCAAAAGCGAAGAATCCGCCACCGAGACGCAACAGATCTCTCTGTTAACGGGATTTTATCTTCAGAAGACTCTGCCGTCGGCGTCGTCGGCATTCCAGGCCCTTGTCAATGGCGAAGCATCCGCCCCTGTCCACTTGGTCGGAGACAAGTGGAAGCGGGAAGCGAGTCTCTCATGGCCGAAGGTAAGCGATTAGTATCGAAGGATGGGGAAAGTGTCTAAAGACTGTTTCCTTGTTGTCGTTACCGCTGCTTTGGAAAATGGGAGAATTGCAGGTTCCATGTTGCTAGTAGTCTAGTGTATAGAAAAAAGAGAAGTACATACTATCGGTTTTGGTTATTAAGTCGACGCTAGAAAGCCAGTTCAGTTACACACTACACACTACAATATCTACTATCGACTGAAGAATGCATATTCAAGTAATTCGGAAGGTCATTGAAATTGTTCAAGCCAAAAAGATGTATACACACAAGAATCAAACAGTAATGTACAAAGGTTTTCATAAATCATAACGCTACCGATGGAATTATAATTAATAATAATGCCATAGGGGGTGGGGGTAAAAAAAATAATCATCCAATGCCCTCTGTGAGACACATTCCAATATGAATGATCATATAAAGCAGAGAGACATCGGGTCGTAAAGTGTTTTCAATAGCAAAAAAGGTTTCAACCTTTGGGTACCGTACCCAGGGGCTCAAGATGATGACTCCGTCTGTATCTGACGCCCATCCCTCAACTACTAGAGCCTCCCCAAGGTTTCCATGTTTCTGGTGAATGCAAACGGATCAGAACTGCCGCTCCGCGTCACCAGTGTCCTCTTTATAGAAAAATCAATATATGCTCCAAGACGAACCACCACGCGAGGGGGAAACAAGCGATCCTGGCCCCTCTCTATATGCCAATGCAAAGGTCATTAAACAAGCATCAACCCCTTCTAAGCACAACGAGTGAAGTGCATGCAAAAGGCGCCCCCAGTACTTTTCTCTTTCCATCATGGTCCCTAATCCAAGGCGCCAATGGTGTGAGCGACCGACGTGAATGTGAATTTAAAAAAAGAAAAAGAGAAAAAAAGATATGTACCTGGCCGAGCACAAGAAATAAAAACGAAGTGAAGAGCTCGACCAGCTAGAGAATAGCGAAAGACAGTAGTTGGAAGAGGGCGAGATCGTTATCCGACCTAGAAAACTCCAGGAGGGAGAAGTGTACAAGCGAATGACTCCGAGGGCACCAGTAAGCTCAAGCTCTTGGACAACGAAAAGCGCGCCAAATCTGCAAGGCCTTTGGTATTAAGATTATTGACGGAGTTTCAAGGAGACTAGGGGCTGTAGGATCACACCGTACAGCCCAACTGATTTCGCAACAACGTATGCATGTACAGTTGAAAATGCGAGCGGAAAGCGGCCGTATCCAGGCGATTCCGTCCCATAAATGATACCATTAAGCCGGACGGGCCGAAGAGAAAACAGTCGTATTAAAAATATATGTGTCGAAGTCTGCTCAATGCATGTCGTAAAATAGTCAAAACGCCGTTCGTCAATAGATGAAAAACGAGAGCGCGGTATATGCAAGTCGATGAAGCTGAATCATGGGCTGATCATATGTCTTCCGGACTCGATGTCGGAAGCAGGGGAGGCAAGAGTCTCACCCTCCCAGGTATAATGATCATCCACGGGACTCGAGGAGCCGGAGGAGACGGAGGAAGAAGAACCAACCGTCCACTCGTCGCTGTCGAGGTTGAAGTCGCCATCGTAGTCAGCTAGGTCGTAGCCGTATCCCCGGGATGAATCCCCGAATTCCACGTAGTCGTAGTCCCAGCGGAACATCTTGTCGGCTTGAACGCGGGGCATGAACCGAGTCTTTGCGAAATAGAAAGCGACTGTGGCCAAAAGCCCGCCACCAACCAGATCAACCGCATAGTGGTGAGACAGATACATCGTGGCCCACCACATCCACAGGGTGTAAGTCACAAACAACGGCTTGAGGCGAGGAAAAACTTGGCTCATGAAGAGAGCGGCTAGAGTCGAATCAGCGGCGTGCAGCGATGGAAACGCACCAAACACGACCGGAGATTGTCTAAATCCGGATGTGTAGAGGTCGATGCCGAAGAGCTTATCGATACGAGCAAGACCCGCTGGGTTACCGGGCATCGAATAGTCGGCCGGCGCCAGACCATACAGGTTCTCGTACCATGGCGGCGAGCATGGAAAGAACAGCTGAATGGTCACTGCAAGCATGCTGATGTACCCGAAGGTCCGCGCGAAGATGGGCACAGTGCCGGGGGGGCCGAAAACGAACATGATGAGAGATACGACGAAAGGAGCACCGTAATGGCAAATACCATACGGAAGCCAGGCTAGCACATCGAGCACAACACTCTGATGAGCAGACAGAATGTTGCTAATGTTGGCGCCGTACAGGATGTTCTCCAGGGCCGGTAGCACCCGGACCCAGATAGCAGGGCGCCAATCGCTTGGAATGAATCTAGAGTGCACTTGGTCAGCAATTGCCCTTCTCTAGAGGAAGTCATGTTCTAGGAGACCGATGGGTTGACTTACTGGCATGCGTAGAAAAAGAGGAGCCACCCGGCAATGGGAAGAAACGGCAGAAAGAACTGACGAGTGATGGGGAGCAGAAGAGCGACAATGTACATTGTGAACATGGCGGTCTTCCCTAGCGGCCCGGGCGACTCAATGACCGTCAAAGAGAAGATCGCAACGATTAATAACAGCAAATATTGAAAGTCATACGTCGTCCACCGATGGCTTTGTAGTGACCGGAGCGTGTCCACAGGTGAGAACGAGGTTTGCAACGAAGATATCGAGGAAGTAGGAGATATCCTACTCCTCAGCTTCGAGCGGATTTTCCGTCGCATGCGATGCGGGACCAGGAGCTGGATCGAGCGCCATGGTACTTGGATTTGAAGCTTCCCGAACTGGTTTTGCGTTCGATCCTTCCATGACGGAAGGGTGGGATTCATCTCTGCGGCGAGTCTCTCACAAGACTCGGGGGAATGTCCGCTAGAAGGGTCAATTGTCACGGCGAGAAGGTTCACAGGGGTGGAGGAGTCGAGCAGAGAGGATCCCAGGTAAGCAAACCCTCGGCGGAGCTGTCGGAAAGGGGGCTTCTAGGCGTCAACGTGACGGATATTGGGGGGAAAACGTTTCGATCACTGGCAGGCAGCGGCAGGCGGAGAAATAAACAGTTGTTTATTGATTAATTGAATTATAGTTGGGAGCGCGGGCTCCGGTCTCCAGCGGCCAAACGAGGATGTGTCTAGTGGAGGTCACGTTGCAAGGGTTCCTCTGACGCAAGGCGGACCGTAAGGGCCGGAAGACTGAGAAAACCAGGAACGAGATCAAGTCGCGAGGGGGAGTTGTAGATGGCCACGGAGCCGGAGAGATCGTGGTGGACGTGGAGGTAAAAAGGGCAAGAAGGGAGGGGACGAGAAGGTGAGGAGAAAGAAGAGGGAGAAGGAAGAAAGAAGTAATCAGGTAAGTAAAGTAGTAAATGAGACGATACGTGAGGATTTTGCAGGTGACGGAAGTGAAGAGCGATGGGGCGGACGTCGGCGGATACGATTACGGGGTATCCGTAATTACTTGATTGGGCCCGTATCGTTGTCGTCACGACTAACCCCGAACGGGGGTCTCCTGTCGATGCTGCTAAGCCCCTTCCAGGCCAGCATCCATCCTAAAACGGGCCTAGTCCCCCCTCAGGAGGTACCGAGGAACCCAAATGAAAATCCGGACCCGAGGTGCCTGAATGGAGAAGTCTCGATGACAGAAAAATCTTTGGCCAGAAAATTTTTCGGTCCTCTCCAGAGTCCGGCACTACAACGGATTATGTCCGAATCCGCCCCATTCAATTACAACTTACAGCCTTGTCGACTGGCGGATACGGCGGAGGTTCGGAACATACGGGAATAATAGATGCCGACCCTCCAACATTATATAAAGGAAAGAAAAAAAAAAATGTGACAAAGGTGATGAGATTTACTAGGAAATAAAAAAGACGGCGGCAGGGAAAAAAAGAAAAGAAAGGAAATCAAAAATTAAAAGTAGGTAATACGCGCCGACATCCATGTCTTTTCCCATCCTAGTTAAACCATCAGTCCAGTCATCACTGTCACAGACCTCTAGGATTTCCTTTATGATTTGGGAATGATGCCCCACTAGGAGATCCAAGGGCCAACGGGAAGTCGTGGATCTCCCTAATCAATTTCGCTTAATCCACAACGGTCACACTGGCCGGCCAAAGAAATCGCCGATTAACCTGCAGCCACGACCCGCCGTCCCTGAGTGTGTACTCCGGACGTATCTAAACTACTAGCAAAGGGGCACGTCCTTTGACTTCTGCCCTCTCCCCTTTTTTTATGCTCCGTATAAAAGACTCGGCTTGGACAATAATCAGATGGGGACATTCTCCTTGAATGGATCTGAAAAGCGGACCCGAAAAGAGACTCCGATCGGCAGATTACAATAGTGCAAAAGTATGAAGTCCCCATTTTATCTAAACATCGTAAGACTTCAACTTCCTACCAGAGGCTCAGCCAATAGCCGCCCAACACAGTCAGCCAACATGTGCTTTAGTTTCGTCCCGAAAAAAAAAAAGAGAAAAGACTTTTGGTTCCAGCCATCTAAAATTTTTTTTTTAACGGAAAAGAAAAGAAAACCTGAGAAAACCGCAAAGAAAAAAAATAATAAAAAACCTTCATCTTGTTCCATGTCAAAACAACACCCTGCAGTTGGAAAGTGCTATCGGTACCTTGCTAGATGCGTAGATGAAGTGACACCGCAGGAGTAAACATATCCCTGACCAAGACAGTGTAGGTAGTAACTTAAGTAATCATATTACTCTTGAGTCCACCAGGGGAACTAGTAGCCCATTATTGGGCACACGAGTCGACTCATACACATTACCGTCTGGTAATATATTGGAACCATACCAAACCAAAACCGCTGTAAGAAGATCACGGCAAGCCGCGCCGAGCGGAGCTGATCAAGTCCTGCATCCAAGCAATTAATACTAGTAGGTATATAAGTTTCCCAATAGTGAGGGTAAGAAGAGACAGGTGACCATGGCACACGTTCAATTAACAGTACTCCGTGCGGCAGTTTCAGCTTTGCCCCAATATGTTATTGTTCAGCATGATATAATCATATATTATTTTAATCTATTAAGATGTATAAGCATAGTGAGCTTCGTACTCGAAATTAAGGATGGGTGGGAAAATGACTGGGGAAACAGATAGGCGCCTCACCAGGCTCACCTAGTATCGTATCAAATTAACAGTTCTTGGATAAATCAGCAGATCGAGAGCTGTACCCCGTACTTCGATACCAGCGATAGAACTATAAATATGCTTTTTCCATACCACTATCGAGGAGTTTAAATAGGCCTACATCACTCGTATTCGTTCAACGTCCAATACAACAGGGTAGTAAACTACGCTGGTTGCCTGGCGCCAAAGTGGATTCGTCCGAGATTAATGAGCTCGGACCATGACAGCAGAGCCCAGCGCCAAGGAAATAAGGCAGGATTCAAGGGGAGGCTTTCAGCAGATCATGATCAGCGACAAGAAAAATTGAAAAATAAAACACAGCCATACCATGGAATTCGTTAGTCTAAGCGAAAAGAAAAATAGTGAACGAGAAAAGATGGAAAATTAATGATAATTCATACTCAAACAGGATTCTAAATTATAAATGGAGTCTGAATACAGATCGAATACATCATCGTACATCATAGACGCCGAGCTTGCCGTGGAAGGCCGAACTCCATGATTCTGATGTCTCAAGAAGTGAAAAACCACTTGCAGTAGACCTACAGTATATTCCGACTTAGTACTGTACTATACTTTTCTCAGTCCGTGGTTGGTCCCCGTGATTCCCAACATCACCTGATGGGAGCTGCCCTCGTGTCCTCGAATAATGAATCCCGACATTCTGCACGGGAGGTCTGCATGAGGTCATCCTGCATACTGCACTGATCCATATTTTGACTTTTCTTTCCTCTTTTCTCCTCAAATTTGAGAACGTGACCCTTGCATGGGAATAGAATTGTTTCCGTTTGGCGTCGTCTTTAATAATTGGATTTCGTCCTGAATCAGTTCCCCAATCCAAGAATCTAGCTAACGGTGGTCGACAGATACAGCGATCTGCAGTAGTTCTGGCCTGGATGATTGGGACCATGTCACAAACACCTCTCAGCCTGCGTAAGGTTCACCAAAAATGGTGCACAATCATCATAAATCCAACACTATCTATCCATCCGACACATACTACTGGACGCCCTCGAGAACGCTTCACTGTCCGAACGGCCGATAGGTCGAACAGCGCACATGCTGTATCCTGGAGTCGATCGCATTTGTTGGAGCTGAACGAATCATAGGAGCATGATAGATACTTTTGCTGTCTTGATCTCCATAAAGAGCATAGAACATTACCGGAGTAATGCACCAACATATTGATTTTGTGCAAGCCATGCTGCTGTAAGTATTATTGTTGTCTACCGATGTACTGTAAATCGAGAAACAGTACGGAGTATCCTGTACAGGCACTCACTCCTATACGTGTCTGTCTGTGGGGTTCTCGAATGTTAGGTAAGTAGCAATAGCTAGTTATGTGTACAGCCAGACTTCTATTTATATCTCGAAAAGCCTTTTATCTGTAAAATAGACAATGTACAGAACCAATGATTCGAGAGGTGATATCGCCTCTGTCCCAGTTAGGGCTACGGCAAGCTTCCCAATATATCTTGGACAAAGTAAGCTAGGAAGAGCCTCACGATGGAGTACACCCCATCTTCCCGAAAAGGAATAAAAAATAAAAAAGAGATGAAGGAGAAAAGAGAAAAATCCTGCAACCTAGAGCTATCTATGCCTTGCTATCATTATCGTAATGTAATTTATACCAGACAAAGAACAACCCCTAATGCAGGTACAACGCACTGAAACCAACCTCATCCTATTTGTCATACCCCGGCATTTCATTCCCAAACTTACAACTCGTAGGTAAAAGCCTTTGTTACTCAAATCCAATATTACACAGTACAACAGAGTCCAGACAAGCCTGACCAAAACAATCACAAATCCCTACATTGACCGCAACCTGAAACCCGCCTCGCATTCACCAGGCACCAGCCAATCCAACGAGGCGCTGCAGTGGCAGTGCTTCTTCCAACCCAACTACTAGCCACAAATGGGTTAACCACGTTCTCCATGCCAGAAAATGATGTCATGGGAATGTTTCCTCGTCCAATTATCTCCCGGGCTTGTTCTGGAATGCGTTGGAAGGAATTTGGCACCCGCGTGTCAGATGTGTTAGAATGTAGCTTGTGGGGAATGGCGCATGCTGGTACCAGACTGCGCGGTGGGTTTGGGGTCTCGAAGACGTGTTCGTCTGGGGTGTAGGAACAGGCACACAGTCCAGTTGATGGGTTAGTTCCTGAAATAGCACAGTACCTAGGGAGCCTAGCTAGCGGGTTTTTGATACGTTTTGCTAGCTTTATGGGCTAATATCTCACTGTAATGTCACGTGGTTCTAGATCCTGAGGCAGGTCTTAGATAGATCATTTATTCCGGGCAGTTAGTGGTTTAGGGTGATGTGATGGAGTTTTAGGGCTTACGATGTCTTCAGGTTGTCTTTTATTGTCTTCTAGTGACACATTATGTAAGGTAGTACCTCGTACTCGGTAAATGGCCGCTACGGTGGTAGACCTGGTAGCAAGGCTCCCTGGTGAAGCTTCAGATCTACTGTTCATTGCGCATACAAGAGTATTCAATCTATGCGCACATCAGGAGATAGAAGTCGCACGTAATCCCAACAGCCTGGGTTCCTAGAGTCTATTCTTTTCACTCGATCGCCCACAACTGCCTCTCCTCCTTTTACAACTACGTCAAGGGCACAATTCATCCGACGCTGCGTATAAGTATGTGCTACGATGGTTGTTAAAACTAAACACTAAGTTATGCTGGGAAAAGAGACGACCGTATGCGTGCAAGTAGATGTGAAAAGTCCCTAGTGACTAAGCTCGTCCGGGAAGGCGGCTTTCTACATAAAGTAGACTATAAATAAGTATAAACTTGTGGCATACCCGTCGGGATGCACTCAGCTTCGAGGTGTTGGGTCCTGGGAGTAGACGGTTTTTAAGACAGTTAAGCCCGTTGTTATCGAGAATTGAAAAATCCGATCATTTGGAGCGGTGCCCTAGATGCGCTCTGGCATATTCTACTGAAGTCTAGGGGAAAGTTCGTTGGTAACTTCACTCCATCACGCTTCAAGCTCCAGGTTGCCTGGTGGCTAAATGCTTAGAAGACAAGGAAGTTACCCAGTTTTGAGGTTTTGTTCTTTGCTTTTGACCAGACACACAATTTCAGGTTCTCAATGCATGATGGCTGGTTTGTCATGCCTTTTGAGCATTGACCTCAAAAACTGGATAAACAGCCCTTTCGCTTGCCCGGACAGTCGCCTCTGTAAGCTCTCAGCGAGACCAACGGTATGACTGCATCTTCATGGCAGTCCAGGCGCCTGTATACGTGTCAGATGGCTGTAGCCGGGAATCCTTTTTTTTTTCCCCTTCTCCTTTACCTTCTTTTTTTCCCTCTTAACGAAGTTAGGTACCTACCGCTGAAGTCAAAACATTGCTCCGTCATCTCACTACGTCCAACAAATTTTCCTGGCGGTGTCCTAATCAGAGAAACCATAAGCGCCCGGTGTTTGAACAGGTCATGGCCTCCCTTCTAGTCAAATACATCTCTTAATAAATGCTCCCCTTCAAAGAGGTCCCAAATCTACTGGTTGATCAGTAAATTAACCCTATAGTGTCTGTAGAAGTGCTGCACTTACCAAGCCTGCCAGGTTCCAAATATCGACAGAACTCCCCCACGGCATCTCAAATATGATTTCCGCTGCCCTATAAATATGTGGCTGGACAAATGGTCCAGTCTGCTGTCTTTGTCTAATTTGTGCCTCGCTAAAAGCACACAGCATAGGGAGTCCATAGCTTCTGCCTCCAGCCGGCCGACGGAATCTTCTACTTTGGTAAATAGTATATGATTCATGTATCTCTTTCCTTTGGCTTCTGTCTTTGAGAAACCCGCTAGCATACCGTCATCCTCCAGTCTAAGTATTAAATTATTAGTCCTCAAGTCTAGTTCCACTTAAAAACAAGTTATCTGCGCAGTATGATGGCAAGGCTGAATACCAGTAAGGATTTCCCGGCTTTAGTATGCAAGAAGTCAAGGGCCAATAGTAGTCGCTTGACAGTCATTTTAAGGAGCGGTAAGTTAAAAAGCTTTGGGTTCAGTTTCATCATCTCAAGGAGTGACTCCTGCATTGGTTGTAGTACTAAACAGCGGGGATTTCCAGCAGGTCCTCGGATATTGAATGAATCTTAAAGCCCGCGAATAAGCGATTTTTCAGGGTAGAAAGACCTGACTTTTCGTAAATACTCATAGATATAAAACTCGCGATCAAGTTGCAGTCGGGTATGTTGACAGCGACGTAGACACCCTCAATATATTTTTTTTCTCTGGGTATTGTGAATTGCTAAGAGAGAGGTTTGCTGGAGACGGCTGTAAGAGGAACGCACTGAAGATCCTGGCATAGCCAACTTGTGGAATGCGCCCCATAACCAATCTTTCCTGAGACCTGGTACCTGGCCAGGTATACATCTCCAATCCTAAGTGAATAGCAATGCTCAGGCTGATAACTAGGCAAAGACTCCAGAGGAATCCCAGGTGGAAGTGTAGAATAGTATGAAACGGGAGACTTTTTGGGAGGATGATAGCTTTTGCCGCAGAGCGCTGCCCCACACACTTAACCGTGAAGCCATTCTTGGATTGCAAGGTCATCTATTGCAAAAGCAAAGTTGCAAGGAAAAAGTGAATGGTGTGAACGTTTCTAGTCAAGTGTATATCTGGAAGTTAACTGGGAGGAGCGCTAGGGTCTAAGATGTGAAAATAATACCCCTTAAAATCCGTTGATACCTGTGCCTTTTCTTACGACCATTCGAACGTTAAGAGCGGGGATTAATCTTGGAGTTTTCGATTGTTATAGATCCACGACGTTCTTTACAGTAGGTGCTATAGAATTCATGAATATTAGCTGCATACTAGGGCCGCATCAGTCCCCCCCCTTTCTCCGTCGTGTATGAAGGGATGATCAGCTGTCGGGATTTGGTGGTCACTCCAACCAAGAATAAATTCCTCACAAGCTAAATTGCGCACCTACCGAGGCAGGGCCAGGTTGTTTGGGTTTTCATATTCCCAATCTTTGGGACACTCTCGCATGGTATGTTAGAGTAGAATCCTTTTACGTACTGAGCTATGGTGGCCTGCGCTTTTGGAAATTGCCAGACGATTTTCGCATCATCCTCGCTCCTTACTAGCAGGTGTTCTGGCATCAAGCTCAGCAAATGACGATCAAGGGAGAAAGGGTCATCGGTGGTCTGGTCACGCATGTATGAGAAATGATTTGAGTATATGGAAGTGTTTCTTTTCTGTAAACCATCTACAGGGTACGTAATTTGGGGCCTATTAGGGCTTTTCAATATTTGTCTTTGTCTCATAAAGACATACTACTGCCAGTTTCTCAGCCAGTGGCATCATTGGTCTAGTGGTAGAATTCATCGTTGCCATCGATGAGGCCCGTGTTCGATTCACGGATGATGCATGTTTCTTTTTTCTTTTTGGTCATCGGACCATCAATATCTTTGATTTGAATTGCCAATTACCTCGGTTTTCGTTCTGTCCTCCTTTTTCTCCCTTTCTTGAATCGATCTTTTGTTCTACATTATATAACAGCTCGTGCATGAGAAGCATCACATATTCTGGACGCTCTTTGCCTCTACTTGAAAGTATTGATCCGATATCGAAGGGACATATACTTACACCCTATGTAAATACTGCTCTCGACAACTTGACCGAATGAATCGCTTAGTATATTCCTAACCTTGCGGTGGTCAAGTATGATTATTGGTCATGGATCTCTTTCCCCAAAGAGGTTCCAGATGGAAGCAGTCGTAAGCCTCTCAGTCACACATGGTTCCTTACTCATTCCAAGCAAGCTGAAGGCAAAGATCAACAACCTATTCTCCGCGTACCTCTGACCCCTTACGTTACGAGGAATGCTTCCACGATGATCAATGTACCAATCCTTCGGCCTGAACAAACTCTCTGTGCTCCTCATTTCCTCCGTCCATGGCTTCTCAGGACGTTAAAAGGACATGGAGCAGGACCATATCCAGGGTCCCAGCTCGAAATACATGTTGTCAGGCTTGCCCCATTCAGCTGAGACATAATGTTACCACAAAATATCGATGCTCATAAAGTCAAAGAAGCAGTCACCGATGTGTCGCAGATACCCGCGGAGGTTTCGGATATTTCAGATAGCAATGTGGGATGGGAAGGCGATGACGACCCGGAAAATCCAATGAATTGGTCGAACGCTTGGAAAAAGACTATAATTTTACTGGTTACCTTTGCAACGTTTAATGAGTGAGTTTAATTTGACACGCCATGTATATGAACTGACATAACGCCGTCAGTGCCGCTGCATCGAGCATCTTCACTCCAGGGGTACCGCTAGTTCTCGAAGAATTCCACACGACAAACCCCGCCGTGTCCCCATTTCTCATCGCAGTACATGTTGTTGGATTCGCAACCGGGCCATTGATCTCCTCCCCTCTTAGTGAGATGCATGGAAGATGCCCGGCGATGCATGCTTCAAATGTATTATTCTTTATTGCGTCCATCCTGTGTGCTGTTAGTGTCAATGTGCCTATGTTGGCTATCGCTCGGGTACTTCTGGGACTGGCTGGTGCTGTGCCTAATGCTTTGGCGGGAGGGTTCGTGGCCGACCTAGTACCTCTTGAGAAGCGTGGGAGCTCGCTTGCCTTGTTGGCGGTTGGCACACTCACAGTATGTGATATCTTCCCAGCAGCTGGCATGCCTACTGACCTCAACGTGGCTTTTAGGGTACGGTAGTGGGTAAGTGCTCCCCCAAGGACCATACATGTGCTTCCGCAAGATCAACCCAACTTTCTAGGCGGGACAACTTCTTACATCGAGCACAGGGCCAATAATAGGAGGCTATATGGCTTTCAAAGTTGGGTGGAGATGGACGTTCTGGCTCGAGGCCATCGTGGTATGTAAATATGTCCATCGGCACAAAAGGTACCCGGTGCCAACAAACACAGGTTGGCTGCACGACCGTACTATCCTTCATATTGCTTAGGGAGACATACCCGCCAGTCCTCCTCAGAAGAAAAGCCGCAAAACTAGGCATTCAAAAAAGGCACAACGAGACCCACGGACAGACCCTCCGGAGAGCAATCTTCCGACCCATAAAGCTCGTCTTCTGCTCCCCCATTGTGATAATCATCACCCTCTACAACTCCGTCCCCTACATATACATGTATTACATGGTCACCTCATTCCCCACACTCTTTGGTGAGGAATATGGCTTCAACACAGGCGAGGTAGGCCTCGCCTACCTCGGCCAAGGGATCGGCTTTCTCACAGCCCAGATCGCTGTAGGCCGCTTTACGGATTGGTATATCAAACGCCAACACGTCCAGCATGGTAGAGTGACGCCCGAAGATCGACTACCGCCGGCAACCTTTGGGTTCATTTTATTCGGCGTCGGAATGCTGTGGTTTGGGTGGTCTGCTCAGGTGCATGCCCACTGGATCGTCCCCATCATCGGCTCTGCATTCGTGGGCCTGGGCATTGTGGCTGGCTTCCTGGTTGTTCAGGTTTATATCGTTGATGCATTTACTATCTATGCAGCTAGCGCTTTGGCGGCGAATAACTTGATCCGGTCAGTTTTCGCGGCCCTCTTGCCTATGTCGGGGCCTGCTATGTATGATCGTCTGGGATACGGATGGGGAAACACTATTCTGGGGCTTGTGGCACTTTCTATCGCTCCGACGACGCTGTTGCTGATGAAGTATGGTGAGAAGATTCGGAGGCGATATCCGGTAGAGCTATAGGCTCTATTCCTTCTTTTAATGGATCATGGGTAGACTTTCCAACGCAGCTATGGATTAATGGTGTACAGCTATCGAAAAATAGAAGAAGTTGAACTTTGGACTTTGGTTAATCTGCTTATTTCCTTTCGCTCATTGGACCCCTTCCCACTCCCCACAAGCATACATCAACGAGGGTTAAACAACTCTCCACTATATACAAACCAAACCCCAGCACATCCACCATATATGCATACAACCAGTCCGCAAAATCTCCTCCAGTAATACAAATCATAACCAACCCCATTCGGCCTCCACAAAGGCACAGGCGTATAAACCGAAATCGGGCTCCCCGCTACTCAAAATCAGCATCCCCAAACCACCACATCAAAGTCAAAAACAAAGAGGAAGACTCACTCCCATACCCCGTGCTGACCATCGCCCAACTTGGTAACGCAGGCTCAACCCACCCCGTCGGCTTGGCAGCAACCGTATACTCGAGTACTTCCTCGGCGTCTCGCCCGCCTTCAACTCCACAATCCCATTATTCACCCCATAAGAATCATCCCCACTCCCAAAGCAGTACTGATCTTATTGACCACCTTATCCCCCGTCTCAGTCCACACGGAGATAGCCTCCTCCGTTACGTTCGTGGAGAAGGTCAGATCGTTCGCGACCAGGTACAGGGGTGGTCGCTTCGCGCCGTCGGCAACAGAGCCGCTGATGTTCCGGAAGAGGATGTTGCGTAGGGTTACGGCGCCGGTGTCTGGGGATACGGTGTTTTGCCAGTACCGATTGATGTTTAAGGCCGTAGAGACAGGGCTTTGAGCGGAAGTTTTCGAATGTGATGTTTGTTACGGTGCCCGAGCCGCCCGGGTAGGTTATTATGAAGGCGATGTTGTTGCCGTTGAGGATGCTTATGTTTCTGGCGTACTGTGGGAGGGAATTTTTATATTGGTTAGTTATTGGGATTTTTGGGAGGGAATATGGGGTGGGTTACTATGTTGGAGATGTCGGCGGAGACGTTGAGGCTGCCGATTGAGAGGGCCGGAGCCGGCTTGGTTGCACACGAGGTTTTCGATTAGGGCATGGTGGGAGGGACTTTCGACGGAGACGCATTCGTCGAGGTTTGTTACCTGTTTTTATTTTCTCGATTGTGTTAGTCGGTTGATTGGGGGGTGGTGTTGTTTACTTCGTTGTCGTGGATGTAGTAGTTTGTGCCGATGCCATCGATGCCATCGTAGCTGCCTAGGTTTGCGCCGCGGATTGTGAGATGGTATGCTTCGACGTTGACAGCAAAGTCGAGGATGGTGTGGAATTTAGGACTGTCGATTAGGATCAGGTCGTGGAGTGAGGCGTTTGTTAGGGAGATCAAGCGGACGAGACGAGTCGGCCCGTGCTAGAGTCAAAAATCAGATCGAGATAATCAAACCAAAACCACTAAGGGTTTGACTTTGCATACTTGTTCAATTCCGATATAGATATCCCTGGCCCTGGAAAGCGCCCATTCCATTTGAGGAGTAGAACTCGAAATCAACCGCTACAACCCTGTCAGTCTCCGATGCTCAAATTACCTCTCGATGTGATAGGGACTCACCATTAACAATTACCAAAACATCTAACAAAAACTTATGGTCACCCTCTCCGTTTATAGTCAAATTTAGCACATCAACACCAGCAAAGCCCTGGAGGATCAATGAACGCTCAATTTCCCAGTTCCCGCCTTACGGGGCTGTGATCAGTCCATCTAGCTGGAAGGCCCAATACGTGGAATTGCTCAACACCACACCCCAATTGATCAGGTATTCGCCCTCTGGGATGACGAGCCGGCTTCCAGGGTTGGGGCGTACGCACTAATTGAAGGTGGTTTCGAGGGCGGTCGAGATGTCCGTGCTATTGTCGGCGACTGCGCCATAGGTGAGGATGTTGCATTCAGTGGTTTTTTGGGTGAGAGTAGTTGTTGGACCAACAGGGCTAATTAGCTGGCCTACAGCGAGGGTGGAGCAGCGAAGGAGAGGAAGGAGTGAGCGCATGGTTGGTGGTTGGGAGGGCCTCGTTCCTTGATGATTTTCGTGGGAGTGTGTTTGGGCTCTGGGGAGGTGAATGGAGCTTAATGCGCTTAATACATATGATATTGAAGTATTATACATGGATTGCGACATGGTATAGGCCACAGTAGTAGTTATTAATTAGATAGGAATACCAGGACTTGGAGTTAGGGCTATGCAGTTTTATATAGATCTATATGGTTGTCACTGGGAGTGCTTTTAGCATGATTCAAGATACTAGAGACGAACTCTTCGAACATGTTTTTCTAGCCAATAACCCACTCCATTGACGTGATGCTACTTTTGTGAAGGTGCAAATGCCTACCTAGCCATTACAGATCTGGCCCAGATATTCTTCATAGATGAATCATCCGAGTATTACAGAAAATAACCGAGATACTTCCTCAACCCCTTCCAGATATTGAGATCAACCTCTTTGGGGCTCCAAGGTAGGGTGTAGTTATTTTAGAGTCAATCCAAACCATCACTTTAATCAGTGCAGAATTTGATGAAGAAAGATAAGAGTGCATGGATTGCGACATGGCAGACGATATGATGACAGCCGAACTAAAGCTTAACTGACTAATTTGAAAGAAAGAGAAGCTTGTATAATTTAACCGTTATCCTGGCGGTTGGGACTGCGAGGCTGAGTCAATGGCTTAATTAGTCGTCGATGCTAAGATATATTGCATGAGCTCATACACAAGGAAATAGTATCATCCTCGCTGACACTTGTCCCTGCGTATATTGTCTGCCGATGCTATTTAATTTAAATCGATAAGGGAATCGGGACATTCCAATAGGTCGAACATGCAGTTCAAATCTCGGTTGTTCTTGTAGATAGCCCTAATGGCTTTAAAACATCGTCGGTATGGCAGTTCCGGCCTTTTTATTTGGAATTTGAACAAACCAAACTATCTAAAATGGAAAAGCATGCAATACCATTCCTTTTCTAGCTATCTCAGTCTAGCTACTCTTTTTAGTTTCCTCTTCCTGAAACGCCTCCTTCCGAGTCTCGGACTTGGGGTCAAGATAGGGCTTCTCGGCTTGCGGAGCAACCCGTAGCCCATGCTGCAGATGAGGAACTGCACACTAAGTTAGACAAGATTCACCACAGCCCCTAGAATCGTGTGTTCAAAACTTACAATAGTCAAAGATCCCAGTGTGGGAAGTAGCCCGGTTATCCCAATTCACCACGGCGTTCTTGGGCCACTTCCATCGTACCTGGAACTCGTAGCCTTCGGCTACTGTCCGATATAGAGCATCGAGAATGCCATTATTGTTGCGAACATGGTGACCGGAATACCCAACAAGGTCGTCTGGAAGGTAGCGAATCCAATGGCCTTCAGCGACAAGCTGAGATACCCCTTCGGCGAGGAGGTAGGAATCTCGAACAGGTCGCCAATGACATAGACTAGCCACAGGTCGTAGTCTTTCAAACTCTGCCAAAGCATTTTCAAGCTTAATGCTTGGCGATTACGCATGTCTCCCTTGGAGGGGCTTTCACGCAGAACACAGTTGACAATGATCTTTCCTTCTCCTTCTGTATAATATCCTTTGGGATTCCACCATGTTGCCGTCTGTGTGGGGCCTGGAACAAGAAACAGAAATCTTAGAAACCCAATCACTATGCTTGTCAAGGCTTCAATGAGGATAAGCCATCTCCATCCTTCGCGGTCTTGTACGCCACGCATGTGCAGGACACCGTACACGATGAACGACGCAACCACTCCGGACATCGAGTCGACAAACCAAAATCACGCCAGGCGTACAGGCATCTCACACTTTTTTTGTAGAAGTACAAGAGATACAGGATTACGTCTGGAATAAAACCTCCCATGAAGAGACCAAGGAAGAACCGACAGGCAAAGAACCCTGCTCTGTTCTTCATGAAGAACTGTCCACCGGATGCCAAACTTCATAGAATAATCTGAACGGGGATCCATCGGTCTGGACCGAGTCTCTTACCGATCATTTGAGACGGAATTTCAGCGATCAAGAAACCGGTTCGATACATGTCCTGCGCATTATTGTAATCGTTGGTGTTGATGCCTAGGTCAGGTAAATGATTATCGGCGGAGGCATTTCCCAAGTTGCCTCGATCAATGTTCAGCCCAAAGAACACGACGAGGATCCATAGAAAGACCTTGAAGTCGGTTTTTTGGCGCACCGATCTCTCTTCACGGTAGGTCTACCGCTCAGAAGGGTCAAAACGATGCAAATTTTCGTTCTGTGGGTGTGGCTGGTAGTATTTGGCTAGATTCGAATCATCGAACACACTTCGCGTAGTAGCAGTGGTGTCTAGGTCGACTAGGCTTTTCCTAGGGAAGATGGACAGAAGGTCCTGTATTCAGGTACATCTTCAGGCTCGACAAGGTTGGTCTGTGTTCCATCTTTCGCGACATCAGTGGCCTGGATATTCCCAGTCTTATACGGATCCATTTGGGGATTCCCTTGCTGATACTTGTCATTTACATGGCGGAATCCGATGTGCTCGACATTCTTGCAGCTGCCTCGGGCCAGGTTCAAGACCAATAGAGAACCAGTGAAGGCAAAGTGTAGTGAAGCAAGCAAGGACTGGCTGGTCAATCTTATAAAACGGACAGGAAGCCTACAGCTTATATAGCATAGCTGGGACTCTCTAAGTCAGTCCTTCATAGTGAATTTTGCCAACGTTTATTATAGAGTGCTCTCAGGGCCTGATGATGTGATCAACGAAGCACTGTTGTGGTAAACCAGACAACAACATCATTATCATATACTTTAGCTCTCTAAATCCAAATGAAAATGACAAGGCGCGGTTAATAACGAAGGAAAGGAAATGAAATGCGAGCTAAATAATAACTATGTGTAGTACTATATTGCTATTAGGGCATTGCTCGTCATGTAAGTGCGTATGGCATCAGCGCTGACCAGAGTGTTGCCATAGCCCGACACCTCCGCTTCAACGCTTAGTGCTAACAAGCACTAGATATCATCCGGTAGCTATGCTTCTCAAAGTTCCATGATAAGCTTAGAGACCATGGCTGGTGAATGAATCAGTTCGGTAGACCAAAGATTGATTGCTCATCTAGAAGATGGGAGGTGAATAACCTTCAAAGTACTGACCCTCTCTAGATCATAACTATCCATAGAGGCATGAAAAGATGGTATGTTCCAAGACTCACTTCTCACACATCTCGCCCCTCAAAGGTGTGACGGGATAAAGCACATTGCGAACGTATGTACTTGTGTGGTTGTGTATCAGCCCTAGCACAGCTTAGCTGAATTTAGACAACAGCGAAGGTCTTCCTTCGGCTACCGAATCGTTCAAGGTGCCCCCAAAAATCTTCGTGGTACCAATACATTGGGTAATCACTGTCCAAAGCATTCTGACGATCATACCTCTACAAAAAAAATTGAGCCTGATTTGGAAATAGTTATATTTGGTTACGGATGAGTACTTATCTGGGATGTTTTGGGAATTTTATATCACCCTCCATACCTTCTCTCTTTCCCGCAAAATCAGGGTAGGACTTGGGTCCCTTATAGTCGTCTTCACCATTTGGGTACAATTAGTTATTTTGGTTTATGTGTCCTTAAACACCATGATAATCAGAAAGCTTTTGGACCAGTCCAGACGTTTGGCATGTTGCTGAACTGTTACTTCGAGAAATACTGGCCGCTCACCTATTTCAATAGGGTTGCACATTCCGGACAAAGGATTTAAAATGTGCATGCCAGAGACGCCTGGAAAAGCTATGTGCGACTACGTCCCTGTGAAATGGTCGGAATCAGCAGATGGACACTGATCAACCTAGAAAGAAAGGGGAATGAAAGGCTTTTAAATCTAATCGGAATACCTTCTCCATGCCCATCCCTCATGTTGGCATTTTGCTCCCTAGTCATTCCCAACGCTGATTCGGTATTAAATTGAGGCGTCAGCTCTTAATTAGTTTATCTCGTAAAGATCATGGAAAAGCTAAACCCTACCGTTGCCAAATCTGCGAAATTTTCAAAACGAGCGAGGGAGTGAGGGCTCATACGGTCGACGTACACCACTTTCAGTGTCCCCAGTGTCCCAGGCTGTTTGAGACTGCTATGGCGCGACCTAGCCATCAAAGCAAGCTAAACAACATTTCAACTGTGCTCGTTCTCAACTTTCAGGTGCTACTATGCTGAACAGCCTCTCGGCAAACCATATATATATATATGTATAGCGTTCACCGCCTGTGCCCCAGGTTGCTTCGAATGCGTGGGCCTGCAAGATATGCGACAGATGGTTTGCCAGAGACAGCTCTCGTCAACCATGAAAAGGATGCTCATGCAATGACCTTTCGCTTCTGTCCCTGTAATCGGGGTTTCATGGATTATTGGGTTCCATAGTGGGGAGACGGTTCCGGAGGTAAGACTTCCCTTGCTTCTCTGGTGGCTCACTATCTGCTGAACTTGTGTACCCCGAATATCAGTATGAATGTCTGAAGGCAAGCGTGAGCCAAGTAAGACCTACACTTAACGACTTAGGAAATATCTCAACGTACAGCCACCCCTCGACGGAGTTAAGTATTTAGGGATAGCAGGGAGTCAGAGACAGTAGAGGTTTGCTAATATACTATAGGACAACGATCGATTGTCTTGGACTATAAAGCTTGACTATCGGGTGTCCTGGATCTATTAGAACCTAATCACTATCACTAGCAGTACTTGGTGGGACGCCACGGGCAGGGAATTTAAAGGGCATCAACAAGCCACACCCCCGGGGGGGATACGATCCTTTGCGCTATCAATATTTTCGGGCAAGAGCAGATATATAGAACCCCAGAAAGTTTAAATGGGAAGTACAATAATTACTGTCGCAAGAACTCGGGGGAGATTAAAGGCTGGACTGTGATCTACAGTATAGAAACCTGTCTGGTAAAATTCGCCAATAGTAGGAGCAACACCACAAGAGACACGGAAAGCTAGGCGGTATAGAGAATTATGAGTAAATTTATTATCTCCTCTCGCGCTTATTCTCGCAACTAAGAAAGATATCAAGTGATAGGCAGGCCACCACCATATTGTGACCGCGAATGCGGTCCTGTATGTTTAGAGTGTCGCTCCCGTGGCTAACCTTGGCCTCAAGCGCTGGGATATTTTGAGACTTAGAAACCTCACATCTTACATCTGAAATCCTTCTTTTTCTCTTCACGTTCAATTTGAAATGTCAGAGCACGGATTCAGGTGATTGAGCAAGTACAGGAGCAAAACGACAAACAGCCTCCTCTGTAGAAACATCTGGCCCTAAGCTCCAGTAAGCAGGTACCTCTTTCTGGAGGATTGGACAAAATGTAGTTGCGCCTTTGTTATAACTGTGTCCATCCTCCCCTTGTTGAGCGTCTTGCTGCTTCTTTGGTGATGGAGGCTTATCTGGTGTGGTGTTATCAAGCTTTCGCTTCTTTCTTTTATTATCAGATGGTGTTTGTGTCACTGCATCAAGAAAGTTGTTGTCTAAGGGCGGTGAATCTCCCTCGTTATCCAGAAAGTATAGATTCCGCAGCTTCTCTAGTTCCAGGCGTGTCTGTACGGGAAGACTTCTCAGACGAGCACTTCCTAGAACAAGAAGACATCTGCGTATACTTGCTAAGGGGGCTCCATGCCACTCTTTGGGCTTTGAATAATACTGCGAAACATCAAATGGGAGATCCGGGAGAAGGTAGTGCTTGAGAAAGAAAGGAAGATATTGTCCGCCAATAGCATCAAGAGCAATTATGCCTTTGTCGATTTGATAGCGCTTGTACATTTCAGGAGTAGGCACAGCTCGCTTTGAAATAACTCCACTATCAGCCTGTATTTTTCTGCGCTGCCTATCTTTAAGCTCAAATTCGATGAAGTACGGGAGGTCTGTGGGTATAAAGATAAACCCAGGGTCAAGGGCGCAGTCAAACTGATTATGGCATGTTGGGCAAAGAGGGATCGCGTTAGTATCAGAGTTTATCGCAAAGTCTATCAGGCCAAGTTCTTCCCAGAGTGGAGCCTACATTGAATGGCAAACTGTTAGTATCATACCCTTCACAGCAAGGTAATTTACTAGATGCCTGCCTGTCGATCTTCCTGCGCAAAGACGTGGCAAATTTGAGGTGACTCTGAATGGCATGCCCAGCATCTATCTCCGTCCATTTGCTTTACTCGTAATTTGATGCTTGGTGAAAACGTACTAGAACTCTGCGACGATCGGACCGAAGATTGAGTTCTGGATGGTGATGGTTCCGAAATCATTGTGCGAGATGTAGTATTTGAGTCAGGTCTCGTGGCGGATTGCGGCGGCGGTGGAGGGGGCATTATTATTCTATCTTTCCAGGGTCTGCCATGCGCCATATTGAGTCAGTGTTCTGGTTGATGTGAGCAGCTGAGCAGTTGTTCACATACAGTCAAGCACTGTCAGTGCTGAGAGCCTTTGATCTGCTTGAATATGTGTAAGTCATCGTTCTTTCCTCTTGAGCTGATCAAGGCACTTGGTAAGATCAGTCAATGTAAAGGAAGGTGCAGCTCTTATAGGGTATGACGTTACATACTTTTGTGAAGACTATTCCGTTCCGGGTCTAACATCTTCAGGTTAGCACTACTGATTCATGACTATGTCCGGTGCATAACATAACCCACAAGCCACCCAAACACCTCCACACAGCGTGAGAAACTGAGGCACCGCGCTGCTACTGCCACGGCTTCTCTGGAGCGGTGCTGTAGGGTATCTCAGTTTGATGATAGTATTGGTAAATTGGTGGTCGGTATGACCTAGTTGACACAATGTGGGGCGGTGGGTATATCACGTGACAAGTACGTCCGATTAGGATCTCCCTTCGGTTCTCGGCGCGGAGCAACAATAGTCCGTGATTACGATGACAAAAACACTTCACCACCACAACCCCTTTCTATATCCAGTACAGGAGCACACTGCATGCTCGGATCCTTGTTTGACATAACATGTCGGAACAACCTTTCCCCTGGCCGTGGTGGCGGCCTTGTTGATGGGTTGACCAATCTGTTGGCTGACATTACCAAAGCGTGGTCCTGAGTGGAGTTAAGCCCCTGGGCGTGCAAGAGAATCCACGTGATGCCAAGACGGATGCTGGTAAAACGGCCGCCGAAGTAGCCTATTTCGGCAGCCTGCTAAATGTCACATCATTAATGGAGTATACAAAAACACAGTGAGCAGGGCGCCGGACACGGTTGGCTTCTCGTGGCCTGCTTTTCGACGAGTAAGGTGATTCCTGACCCACAAAGCTTCTTCCTATACCGGTATAGTGGCATTACTTCCCGTCCTGACTGTGGGTCCTCCACTTCTTTGCAACCATTCATCCTGCCTCAGTTTTCATCCAATCATGGCTCCCCGCTTAAAGCGTCAGAGACCTGCATCTTCATCTGCTTTGGCGCCTCGTCGAAGGTCAGCACGTCACGAGAAGAGGCCTGCGAGCCCATCAAAGCGACTGCAGAGAGACTTGTCAATTATGTCTACTGAAACTGAGTCTTCGGCGACTTGGCCGTCCTTGGCAGCGACAGCGAAGGAGGCTGGCAAAAAACCAGCCTGTCCTTCGAGTTCAGGACCATATACTCCAACCATCCTTAGGTGCTTTTATTACGTGGCTACCGGAAGGCGGCCGGGAATCTGTCGCGAGAGATAATTGTGGATGTGACTACGGACAAGGATCTCTATGATATCTTTCATAATCTACTCACTGGCCTTGCAGTGCCTAGTAAGTCCAGGAAATACTACTGGTCTGAAGCAATAAGCATCACTAGTTCTTTTTTTTGGGAGCAGTGAAAGCTCGCTCCAAACAACCATCTGTCACAGAATCGCCACATCCAAGATGGCAGGCAAATGTAGAGGCTGTAGCTGCAACACTCACAGCCTGAAATTCGTGATCCAGCCTTCTGGGATCTCTGTCTCCGGTGTGATCGCAATTGCTGCGTCATAACCGGCCAAATGGACACTGGACTATTGGGAGAAGCTTGCCTGTCCAGACGATATCCATATTCTCGACAGTGAGGAAATATTCTTCCGGCTTCTTTCGGTGCATGCCTGAAGACCTAGATAGGTAACGAGAGATGGAATCTTTGGGGACAAGTATAGTATTTGCCTTCTCTGCTTAACTTAAGTGGCTAGGGGCATCTCCACTAGTTAAGGCTATCTGATTTAGGTTTCATACTACATGTGAAACAATTTGAAAGAGGTTTACATCGATGTTTAACAATTAGTAGACTATTAGAGTAAGACAGATCCTTTCTCCTTTCGCGCCGGAGAATACTAGAAACGGCGGCAGGGAATATACTTTAGAAATCAGTAATTGTGTTCTCTTTTGACGGCATATGCGGCTAGTAAACTCGGAGGGTCGAATGTAACTCAACATTAGTATCTGGAATAATGTGAATGATTAGCCATCCGGACTTGCTTTGGAATAGCTAGTTTATATCCACTGCCATTGCTCTGTGGTTTACCAGCTATATAAGATCCAGCTTGGTTGGTTTCTCTTATGTAAACCTGATCTAGCCTGCCTTTTATGCCACATTGGTGTAATACATATGGAAGATGACTACTTTATTAGAGATTTAAAGTGCTTCCTAGAGCTCAGAAACTAATAAATATAATTCAATGCTAATATGACAGTACAGTTACTTCGCCTCATAATATCCCTGCTCTTTCTCTTACTACTTCAGAGTATACTAAAGTCTGGACCTAAGACTATTTTCTTTTGCTACCATACAGATCCTAGATATGTCAACCAATTCTAAGCTTCCTTCAGTAAGCACATCAGAGATAGGATTTGTGCCAGCAACAGAACGTAAACCCATAGTCACTGGGGGGGAGGTTGATGTAGGCCCACACTAGTACATCTGCTAACTCACGTTCTACTGTTACGTCCGCTAGCATCTATGAAAGATCTAGCTTTAGTAAAAGGAGCTTCGGATAGTTGACGTTGGTGAGGTATCTACCATAGTCACAAGCCTTCCTGAACTGGTTGTTATATCTACCAAGTTTACTTACATGTAAATCTCTGTTGTGTGTTTTTACTTTTTCTCTCATTGGAAGTTATAGTCTATTTCCGAAGTCCCGACAGCAAAATTACCATCCCCAATGCACTTTTATCGCCATAACGCCCAAGCCAAGCTCGAAACAAAAGAAATATAGATGGGGTGGAAAGGGGAATTACTGCTCTCCTCCCTCACCATTAGAAGCCAGTAATTGGAAGCCTTTGACCAGCCCCATGGCGGATCCTGCTGCAACACCCCCAACCAAGACCATCTGTAACCCACCGATAAGCCCCCGTCGAACATTGCGACGACCCTTCCAACCGCTTACAAAACACGTCTTGCCATATCCAAATATGAACAGCGCCACGACCATGGTAGCGATGGACCAGCGCAGGGCGACAAAGGCATCGTGTGGCCCAACGAAGAAGTAGGGGAGTAATGGGACGAACCCGCCGATGAAATACCCCAATGCGATAGTTAGAGCGCAAATCAAGGCGCGCGACCCGGACGGCTCTTGGAGAGTATGATGGAAGTTCATGAGAAACGATGGGAGCATTGGGGACGTGGAGAGGTGCCTTGTGAGTTCGGACACGAGATGAGGAGGCAGATCGTAAGGTGCGAAGATATCGGAGATCGTGTCAGTCATCCCGGATGGATCTGTCATGGTTTGGGATTCGGTCTCTTTTAATGTTGCACGGTAGGATTCCCTGTGCGGATACGTTAGCAAATTCATTCTATCACCAACTCCTAGATCTTCCTCACTCTTCGCTCTTTGCTCCTAAATATCCTCCCAAGCCCATGGATATAGCACCCGCAATGAGTTCAGCCAACCCGCCAAACACCACCACCTTTGTGTCACCCAGTGCGGACAGTCCCGCTGTGAGAGCAAAAGGCACCGTCAAGCCGTCGGAAAGTCCGATAATGGCATCCGAGACCAGTCGCCCGTCGACGATTTTGGAATCTGTTTTCTCCGTTCCTTGTCGGATGGGCTTTTCGGGCTCAGCTGGAGACTCAAGGTCGCTGGACGACCCATTTCGAAGGGGCAGTTGATAGTCCTTCTCCAGGTCCGGGGAATATTCCGAGATGGGGGAGTAGCTGGAGAGGAGGCCCTTGATGGAGGAGATCGACATGGTGGTATACGACGTGACCGACTTTCAGACTAGGACCATGTAGGCAGTACTTTCGAAAGGTGAGTCAAGTGATGTCGAAGGAAGTGGAAGAGGGATGGATTTATATAATAAGAATACTCTACTTCCAGTGGATCGCACTATTCTCTAATGTCACACTGAATGAGAGATGCAGAGAGCGAACAAGTCTGATCAAATGAGAGTACCACGGGATCTATATCCCGGTAACAAGCAATCGATAGGGTCCACTAATTATTAAACCCACACTGCGTATTGGAAGAAGTTTGGATGGGAACGATAAGGAGACGGACCTGAGTCACCTGCCTTAGAACCTATTAAGGGAGAATGACCAACAACGTGCCTGAGGAGAAGAGGCGGTCATTTGCCTCAAAAGAGGGGATCTCTTGGCACGTGGGGATGTGATTCGTCCAAACCCCTCCAGTGAATGCCCTTTACCTAGGTTAGGATCTAGGGAACTTACCCATGTGGGGTTCCCGCCACAAAGCTTGGATCCCGTTGATGGACCCCATGAGAATTCACCTATCACCGCCCACTGGTATCTAAACACAAGCATTCCTGACATGTTACAACCGTCCTTGCATCTTGCTCTTTGCATATCCAAAACAGACCGTGAAGAATCTCAAAGGGACTTTCGCGACGCCATGTAAAGGGGGAAAAAATAAATAGTTCAATAGTGCTCGCTTCCGACGCGAGGGGCACATCGGCTCAATAGCATGTCCCGTACCCCCTCGCGACCTCCGAAAAGCTCCGTCTCATTTTTCCACTTGATCAATACTGATATTGCAAAGACGTCCCACATGGCGTTAACCCGGGGCAGCTGGTCTTCACCGATGATTTCTCCCATATTGGATCCCTGTTGTTGACATATCTTGACCATAGGGAGTGGACCTCCCCTTCTCTTCTCTGGAATGTGACTCCAGATAGGTGTGACGCGACGACTGAACACCATGAGGTATGGCAATAAATATCGCGCGTCAAGCCCTGCGCTGGGCAGTTGCGACTTTCATAAATGAACGATCCGCGGTGACAGGTACGGAAAATGCAGTGGACGTGGACTCTTATCGCGGCGCTAGCAACAGCCACCTCAGCTTTGCCTCATGAAACGCGCAAGGATACCTGGGGCAAACTCCGGTCAAACGTAGGTTGAACACCTCTATCATCGGGACTGGACAGGGTTGTGACATTATTAGATCAAACATGTGGTCTACTTGATGATGGAGAACCACTCCTTCTCCAACATCGCCGGATATTGGGACTTCCATCCAGACATCGACAACCTGCGCAAGAGAGACTACTGTAATGATTACACCAACCCCAAATGGACGGTCTGGGAAGAACCTCTACAGATATGTGCGGCCCCGTACGAAACAGAAGTGCCCCTTGAAGACCCTGATCATGAATTTGCTGGTGTGACATATCAGATTTATCGGAAATGGAATGTAACCAATGACGATGTTCCCAACATGGGAGGCTTTATTGAGCGTCAATCGGAGAAATACGACGCTCCTCCAGGAGAATCGGCGTTTGTCATCAAGGCATATGACCAGAAGAAATCGTCCACTCTGGCTGAGATAGCGCAAAACTTTGCGTTCTGGGACTCCTATGTGAGAATATTCTTTCGCCTGCATGTTAACAACGACGAACGTGACTGACGGACTAGTTTGCGGAACACCCAGGGCCAACCAACCCGAACCGTCAATTTGCTACGTCGGGCTCAACTTGTGGGTTTGTGGATAATACAGGGCAAGCAGCAGGGTTTTTCAATAATGTAACGGGGACTACTTGTGCGACTTCGATTTTTGAAGCACTTAGTAACAAGAACATCAGCTGGAAGAATGTAAGCTGACCCACCACTTCTGGGGCCCTCCAGTGGCTAATACAGTCCAGTACTATGAGACGGATATTATCGATGCATGGATGTACAAGGTAACGAAGTGCCATTCCACATCGTATACGAAAAGACGGCTAAACTCCTACAGTGGGTCCAAGACAATGCTGTCGACCATCTTGCCCATGCTAGCGATTTCTATCGTGATCTAGAAGAAGGCGCATTGCCAACCTTCTCCTATATCAACCCCGAGTGCTGCACGATCGATTCAATGCATCCCAAGAGCAATATGGCAGCTGGGGAGCAAATGATCAAGCACCTATATGACGCGGTTCGGAGATCCAAATATTGGGATAATGTGTAAGACTTATTCGCATATATTGCTTCGAATCCTCCAGCTAATCCGGTATACAGTTTGATCATACTTAACTTTGATGAGCACGGGGGCTTTGCGGACTACGTCCCACCGCCTGTAAATGTTCCCCAGCCTGAAGATGGCATCGCATTCGACGGTGAATCAGAAGGCCATGCGGTCACATATGACTTCACTCGTCTTGGTATCCGGTAGATTACCTACGCCTCTCTTTCCATGACTCAAAATTACTGACCAAATCAGGGTCCCTTCCTTTGTTATATCCCCATACATCGAACCCAACACCTTAATCCACGACGAAGGCACCATGTACACTAGCAATTCGGCGTACACCCACACCTCCATGCTCCACTTCCTGCAGGAACTCTGGGAGTTAGAGGGACTCAATAATCGTGTGCAGTGGGCCAAGACCTTCGAGCATGTATTCACCGACACCAAACGCAAGGATACGCCGGAGACTCTCAGCACACCGATATGGTACGGCAACAGCTGGGAACCGAAGCCCGAGCCGTTTTACCTCCTGAATCAAGATGAGAGCTACTACTCCAAACGGCCATGAGATTTGACAATATAAGATCCATTGTTTTATGTTCATAAACGTTCTCTTCGTTCATGTATCGTCTCATCGTGCCATAGATATAATATAATAGAGTGCAGATAACCTGTCATCTGGCAAGAATGAAAATCAAAAGAATAGTAAACCATTGTGACGCAAATCCTCATAACTAGTTGGCTATCCCGACACAAAACAAGAAATTTAAATCGCACCGAAATATATGATCGGGTGAATGGTACAACTCGCAGAAGGCAACCGTCTCGGGGAAAGGCATCAAAGAAAAGAAGGGAAGCGAAAAACATCTATTTCGACCACCTATTCCAACACCGTTAGCAAATGCATAGACAAGAGGGGGAAATAATGCTGAGAAGAAATGCATACCCCCTCCTCTTCTCAACCTCCCCTTGCTCCGTTGCCGACCCCGTCATATTCCACAACCGACTCTTATAAGCCGGAAACGAGGTATGATTCCACATATTAACCAGAACACTGATCCCCCAGCAAGTAAAAGTCCTCATTAGCCAAGCCCAACTCAAGATTGGAACAAAGAACCGGCAAAGACAAAGGAGAAAGCGAGAACAAACCTCTGACTCCGATCCTTGTAATCTTCATCATTCAACTCCTTCACGCCAACCTTCATCCCGTCCCGACTCCACACCACATTCTTCTTCTCCATCTTCGACCGCGTGTTTCGCGTTACCTCTTGCACGATCGACCAAGCGATGTACCCGATTACGGCGAGGATGGTGACTACCACCAAGAGGATGATGAGGGGGATGAGGCTGCCGCGGGCCATTTTCTTTTTTTTTCTGTTCTCACTTTATCGTTTTGCGCTGCGAGAGTGTTCGGTTGCTTTGGGTTGGTTTGTTTTAATAGCAAGGTTGAACGGAGGAGTTCACGGTTCCTTTAAATCAAGACGTAGGGCTGAGCGGATGTGGATCAGGTGGCTTGAGTGTCTCGAACGACTGGCTCGTGATGTCAAAAAAGCGTTTGGTCGTCCTTCGACTACCTATTATAAGTAAGGGGGTATGGAGTACTTTTGGAGGGTGGGAAGGTGTTTCAATTTATGTCAAAGAAGGAAAAATCAATGCATGCATGCCATTAATTAAATCCAAGTGACAGTGAACAAACAACTCTTAGACTAGGATGCCAGGCGAACACATTCTCAATCGCCAAAAGTGTTGGCAAGCGGGGCGGCACGAAAAATGAAATACTGATGCCTACGTTTAGCGCCGGGCTTTTTCCTTTTTCCCTGTTGGCTGGGGGTTTTCCCCCTTTTTGTTTTTGTTAGTTTGGGCCGAGGTGGTTTCGTGAGTGAGTCTGACACTTGAGAGATTTGATTGCGATTGGTTTGATTTTTGATTACTTGCAAGGGACTTGAGCTGGTGTTGGAGAATTGTGGCTGTGTTGGGGATGGTGGTGGTGGTGGCTTGTTCGTAGGGCACGGATCTGGTTCATGGGGGTGAAGAGGCCAAGCAAGCCACGGTCTTTTTATATCTACATTTAGACTACTGTTTTTGACTCAGGACTTTGACTTGATAGTTAATGGAGAAGCCTAGATTCTAGAATTATGGTCAATTTTTCTTCCTTTCTTTCGTTCCTTTTTTATTATTATGATTTTGAGTGAATTGGTTTCAATTTCTTTACAAGATATACTCCGTGACTACTCTGTATCCTCAATCCTTAAGGTTATATGCCACTCACTGTCGTCATCATGAATCATTCGCTCCTCTACCATTAAAAACACTTGCTACTATGTAGACCATAGTAGAAAACCCCCAATTCTCTCTTCCCGTGTAAATTAGCTTGAAAAGATAATTGATCCCGTACTCAAATAAACGACAGTAATCATGTGCGACGTCCCTTTCTTTCCCATCTTCCCCATTTGCTTCCAATGCGGCACGGACCAGAATCCCTGTCGCTGTAAAGTCCTCGGCCCAACACTAGGTATCTATAGATCTGCACCAGCTCCACCACAGATGGATCGCTAATGGTTTGTTTAGGCTTCTGTGTGACTATTGTTGCGGCTGTATGTCTCATCTCTCTCCCCGTCTCCCTCTCTGCGCATCGATCACTTAGGGAGGCAATTGAAGAAACGAAGACTAATACTGATTGATGGTGTAGGTTTTTTGTTACCCCGCGTCGCTGTTCTGTGGGTGTTGCATGACGCAGACGGGGAAGGAGTAAGTCCTTTTAATTGTCTTGGTTGTTGATGTGCACGGGGTTTAGGGCTGACTTGTCGCGTAGTATGCTGGGGTACCCCGTGACGTTGAATCAGAAGGTGAACCAGGTTATACCGATATGATAGGGACTGGGTGTATGATAATAGACTTGCCTCTTTATTTGGGGTTGGATAATGACAGGGGAATGGGACTACGATGGGATGGTGATCATCATTCTCAAACACGAGTGTTGGATTAAACTTATTAGTAGGAACAAAAAATAGTACTTCGAACCGGATAACAAACAAAATAGGTATAAAAGACATGCAGGGCAAAAACCAACAAAACAAAAATGGTATCCAGGTCAATAATCAAGTAGTAGCACCTCCGCCCGCCAGTCTTGAGTCATCCAGTCCGTCAGCACCGGGTCATGACTATAACAATAAAGATAACGCATCATTCCTATATCCTGGCTACAAAGGACTTAAGTGAGTTTCTCCTTGAGCTTACTGAAGAATGCGCTGGCACGGCTCTTCTTTTTCTTCTGGGATGGGGTTCCATTCGAAGATCCAGAATCCTTGCGCGTGCTGTCCTTGGTTGCAGATGTCGGCTCGGTTGTTGCACCCGCGGCCGTATTTTGAGGGCCTGTGGGCTCGTCGGCAGTCTTAGTTGCACTCGTTCCAGTATCACCAGCGGTTGGGGCAGCTGAGCCGCTACCAGGTCCGGACACTTCGGGCGCCTTGGTGGTTTCGGGCCCAGTTGTGACGGTCGGCCCCGCTTCGGAAGTCGTATCAGGTTTTCTCGTCGGAGTCGTCGCCCGCGGGGATAGCTGGGCCGAATCGGGTTCTGCCCTGGTGACTTGTGGTGCGGTTTCGGTGGTAGCCGCAGTGAGACCAGTAGTGGGCGCTGGCGTACCCGCAGACTCATCGACGGGAACTTTCCGCTGAAGCTCATGCTCCATCTCCCTTTTCTCCCCAACAGCCTTCTTGGTGGCAGCTGCTTCAGGGTCCACGTGTGCCTCGGAGATTGAGTGCCTCACAACTTCCGGAACATCGCCCACAGGGGCTCCGGAATCAATGTTGGTCTGCCTCTTCTGCGACTCGAGAGGAACGGCACCAGCGAGACCTGCAGTAGTAGATGTCGGTGCTGCTGATTGAATAGTGAAAGGGTCTGCAGTCCCCTGGCTGGCCTGGCCCATGGGAAGGCTAGACTCAGGAATCATGTTTCCCGAAATGGGGGGAACGGCAAAGGCGTTGGCTTCTTTTGACTGGCCGCCAGTCAAAGGGTAGCTAGCATCCTGTTCATAGCCGGCCTTATCTGTTCGAACGGTGGAATGGATAGTGTTGGGATTGAAAGTGCTAGGATCAGGCACCTTCTCGCCTGGCCGTAGCTTGATCGGGTTACCTGCACCACTCGAGGCAGGGATGGGGTTCACAGAGAACTGGTCGGCCTCCGATCCTGGGGTTGCAGGGAATGTCCCAGGTACATTGGCCCTCTGCTCGAGAGGAACATGCTTGGCAAGCTCCGCGGTGGTTGAACCGGGGGCAGTGGACGAGAAGGCGGCATCGCCGAGGATATCTTTGCCGGATTGTTTCGGCACTCCGCCGGCCAGTGCAGCAGTTGTAGAATCGGGGGTAACACCAGCCATTACTGCAGAGCCGTTTTGTAAGTTCGAAGTGGTGCGTTCTTTTCGAATCTGAGTAGGATAGAGTACGTTGTTGATGTTGTGGTTACCGTCGTCTTCTTCAGGAACACTATGGTCGGTTGTCCAGATGCCGTCGACGACAAACTTTTAGATAGAGATAGGGAAATATGTTAGTGGATTCAATGCAACATTCTGAGAAAGATACGTTATTTATCTTTATAACAATTTTAGGGGGCATGGGGATTATGATTCCATGGGAGCCTAGAGGGATGACGTCAGGGAACGTGTAAAGCGTCATTGATGTTGACCATTCCCCTTTGGGGGGGTTGAAGCGGGAAGAGACGACGAGAAGGAAGACATTAATTAATTAATTAGTAAGGATGTGAGTCATGTGCAAAGAAGTGAAGAAGAAGAAGAGGGAAAAAAAGATCGTCATGTCAACTCATCGCTAGGATTGCCCTTACCTTGTAATGCAGCTTCTCGTCGGTCATCGGGAGCGGGACATCTTTTTCGAAGACATCGCCTTTCCGATCCAGTCTGACGGTCTTTCCCCAGTCATCGAAGGTCCCGGTCACAAAGACCTCATTTGCGTTGTGAGGCCTAATCTCCCATGCGTCAGTCAGTGATGCAATTCAAAACGAACCATTAATCCCCTCTCGTCCTGTCTGAAACCCTGAAGGATGTACGACAGAAATTGTGATCCAGATAACCAAAGGGATGAGTTGAAATAACTGGCGCTCCAGAACACAAAAGTCCAATTAGGTTATAGCCAGCGCTGAACTTACCACCGAAACGTGTAGCTCCCCATCTCTTCGGTTTGGCAAGTGGGAGGGCGAAACAGCAATCGGGGGAAGTCACGGACGATGAATTGATGACTCCTATTGTGTCTTTGTTGCTCGAACCAGTGTCTCAGAAGGGGCCACAGATATCAAGAAGTGCAACGTGCCCGAAAGGCTGGGAATGGAAGCTGACGATCCTTTCAAGTCCCAAAGCGGGGTGGCGGTAACACAGACCTTCCGCGGCGATCGGAAAACTTGAAAACTAAAACCCAACAGTGGAACTCCAGTACCCATATATATATAGAGAGAGAGAGAGAGACCTTAGAGAAAGAAATCAATCAGTATTTCCGGACAATAGATGGAGAACATCTGATTTTGAAAAAGACGGGAGAATGATATAAATTGATCAGTCCTCTTTTCTAAGTAGGTGTGTTATCGTCAAAGAAATTCTACAGTATAGATGATGACACACATGCCGTTGCTGTGTTGTGTCAGTCAGGGCGGGACGGTCTGGACAGGCCTAGCTGCATGTACAACTCATCAAAAGCTGATCCATTGGTCGCCTCTCTCCTATCCCCGTTCTATCTTCTGCCCTGCATTCTAGCAAGGCCAAGAAGGAGAAAAAAAAAATCTAGGCAGGCAGGAATGAATAAATACCCCCCGTGCCTTTCAAGTTCTTAAGCGCTGTACCTGCAGCCTCACTAATAATATATGGTTTCGTGCCTTTTTCCAAGGCGGTATAGGTATTATAACCCCCCGCGTCTTCCTCAGGTAAAGAACAGACTAAACCATTCAGACTCGATCAGATTTTGGTAAAATCTAGTTGGGTTCCATAGTTCTTTGATTTGTTACTTTCCAGTCACTTTCATTTTCATTTTTCCTTTTTCGAAAATGTTTCTTTTCGAGAACTTTAAGGAAATAATGAGAGTCGAAACCCTTTCCCCAGTTCGTTGAGTATTTTTACTTCATAAATGTTCGAACGATTTACTAGGTTTTGTAGTGGATGGAACAATATATGGTCCTACTGCAAACGGAAAGCTAAACCTAAAAGAGGTAAGCACAGCATCACTGGCCAGAACGCAAGGGACCCAAGGTTCGTCCTGATCTGTGCTCAGCAGACGTCAGTGAAGGGAAGAGCTATTGTAAAATCATGACCTCAGCGATTTGGACGAAAAAGGGTGGGGAGGTGAAGATTTGCCACCAGTACAGTAGGCGAGAAAGTGTTATACATCATGGATTGACAAGTGGCTGCCATTGGACTTCTTGAATTATCATTTTGACCCTGCAGATGAAGAAAAAGGAAAAAGAATAATTAAAACAACGATGATAATAATAATAACTAGCCTACTAATAATTAAGAAAAACGTTCTTCAACTGATCGAATTAAATTAATAATTTATTTAAAAAAAAATAATAATAATAATAAAGAATCGTTAATCCACCAGTGGTGCAACCCGAGAGCCAAGTAGTATGATGGAATCCACCCCCCTTTTAGGGAGTCAAGCCCTCCTCCCTTCTAGAAGGCCCTTGGAATCCTCATAGAACAACTGAATATTCAATTGAAGCCTCCCGCTCCCCTTCCTTCGGAAGATCGGCTTCTTTGCCCTGATTTCTGTCTCCTTTTCCATGTGTTCGATGAGGATGCTAATACTTGCACAGACTATTGACACCACCGTCTCGCTATTGAAAGTAGTGTGGGCTGGTTAGGGGTGGACACCGATCTGCGCGATCCTTATAATTCTGACCGCAGAGAGATTGAGCATTGGTACATCTACGTACAGTACACAACACAACTAGTAGTATGCAGTAGTACTGTGCAGGACTATATCCCCAAGAAAGGATCTGATCCATGGCCCCGAGCATTGGCTAATAGAAATGCATAAGCATGATTAAATTACTGAGAGATTAATTAAACGAGGGGGACTGTTCACGAGGTAGTAGCACTCAGGAGTAACCAAGCCAACCCACACCACCAAACAAGAATTCCATAAGAAGAGTGGAATGGGAGATTGTAGGTAGGTTCCAAGTAAACTTCGTTGCAGAAGCTCCGGGGCCACAGGATCGAAGCTTCTGTGACTTCCATTGCTGCTGCTCCCCACATTTTTTCTGTCTTGTTCTCAATTTCTTCCCCTCCTTTCTGCAACCCCTCCAAATCAGGTCTTCGACTATCAACGCCATTTCTCCCCCCTTTCTTATTTTTCTTCTGATTTTATTTATTCTTTTGCTCGTTTCGTTCCCCCTCCTTCTCCTTTTCTGTGCATGTTGGTGACTTTCTCCCTCGATTTTCCGTGTTGTTTGTGATAGCTAGCTCTGTCTTACCTTCACCCAAGGAACTCCCCACGCGACCCAAAGCAGAGAGAGGTGCAGGTGTGATACCTTAACCAACCTTGTCGGTTACCCCTCCAAAGCTTGTCCCAACTTGAAGCTATTTCTTTCCTATTGCCACACACACACACACACACACATACACCAACGCATTCCTTTCCCCATCTCTTCCTCTTTTATTGTCTTTTCTTTTCTCTTTTTACCGCTCTGGAACCTACACATAAAGGGGAAAGAAAAGAGAAAAGACTCAATACCCTTGTCTCCTACACGGGACACATTCCTGAAACACGGCACTATCTATCAATTAACGCATCTGCGTCAAGCCACAGCCAGTATTGGTACTGGTGTCTCCATCAGAGCTACCACTCGGGAAATCATCCATAATAGACCACACCATCTTTGGTCCGCTGCGACTTTAGATTCTCCAATTAGCCTTCACCTTGAGAATACCCACTCTTGGGCGGAGTGACCCCAGTCCCATTACTTGTGCTTCCAGTCGGTTTCCCTACCCGCCCCTCATCATCCTCGTCCTTCTCAGGCAGTCCCTTCTGCGCACAACTCACTTCTATACTCATTCGCCCTCCCTGCTTCCGTTTTAATTCCATTCATTCCTCCATTTTTCTCAGCATTCCTCTTCATTATATCTAGCATCTAACCTTGTACAGCCTACTTCCGCCTTCCCTTCCCAGCGGCTTCAGTCGCGGTATTCCGTTTTAAACATCTTCCCCACTTCCCTGTGGCCGGAGAGATAGCTCCTCCGGCCCTACTGCCGACACAATGGCTGAAAGCTCCTTCCCCGGTGCTAATCCTCACCTTAAGGTGGGCACAAAAGACGATAAAACTTCAGCATTCCAAAAGATCTCAGAGGACGAGGAGTGGGAGGTGACGTCACCAACTGACCCGACCTTTCGGTCTGCAAACTCAGCGGCAGCTTCATCCTCCGCTGAGAACAACCTCTTCGGAGGCAGTGCATTTCAAGATCAACAACAAGGCGGAGGAATACGTTTTCGCCGGAGCCCTTTCGGCGACGCTTCGGGAGATGGAGATGAAGACCATGATGACTTCAACGAACATCCCGAAGGAGCCCGTCCGACCGGCGCCTTGAACGAGGGATTCCCGAATAACTATGCATTGGGTCGTCGGACGTCCGTCTCTGCTGAATCCTTGAACCCCACCTCGGCTGGCTCAGATAGCTGGGTGCCTCCACACCATCCGAAGAGTGAAGATCAAGTCTCGCGATTGAAGACGGCCGTTAGTGGCAACTTTCTATTCTCCCATCTTGATGACGACCAGTTCAAGACCGTGGTTGATGCTCTAGTTGAGAAGCCCATTCCCGCCAAGGACATTAAAGTGATCTCGCAAGGCGATGCGGGTGATTACTTCTACATTGTGGAAGATGGTCACTTCGACGTCTACATTCACCCGTCCGGCTCGGTGCAGTCGGGTCCGGATGGGATGGGGACTAAGGCTGGTACGATCGGACCCGGAGGTTCGTTTGGAGAACTAGCTCTTATGTACAATGCACCTCGAGCTGCAACGATTGTGTCCACGGACTCGAAGAGCACTCTCTGGGCTTTGGATCGGATCACATTCCGAAGAATTCTCATGGACTCTGCGTTCCAGCGACGTCGCATGTACGAGGCCTTTTTGGAAGAGGTTCCGCTGCTCTCGAGCCTAAAGCCTTACGAGCGTTCCAAGATTGCCGATGCTCTAGACGCAATTAAGTACTCAGCCGGCTCTACAATCATCAAGGAGGGTGACCCCGGCGATGCATTCTACCTTCTCGAGTCGGGAGAGGCGGAGGCTTTCATGGAAGGGGTGGACAGACCGGTGAAGTCCTATAAGCGGGGCGATTTCTTCGGAGAGCTCGCCCTGCTGGCCGACCAGCCCCGAGCCGCCAGCGTAGTTGCGAAGACCGACGTCAAAGTGGCAAAGCTCGGTCGAGATGGATTCAAGCGGTTATTAGGGCCCGTGGAGGAGATTATGAGAAGAGCGGAGTATGAACCGAAGCCTGCCGCTTCGTAGCAGGATCTATTTAGTCTCTGCAGATACTGGAGTGAACAGTTCGCTTCTTTTATGTGCGATTATCAGTGTCATTTTTCTTTTCCATCATTCCTTTAATCGCTAATTGTATGTCTTGTTTGGGTGCCCAAGGATTCTAGTGAACGGGGGCATCGGGCGTTATCTCCAGTGACAGAAAAATGGAGCTCCCCCATGTCATCGGCGAGTCACGGCTGGTCTTAGTGCTTCTTGTCACCAATATCATCAGGGATGATTTCGGGGGTAGCGGCAGGCAGGGATATCAAGAATTCTTTGTTGGGCCATCTGGACCATGGGTTAAGGCTCGATGGTCCACATCATTCCTGACACCTGTTCTCTACCTCCAGGTGGTCCCTCATGCGGTGACAATCTTTTCCTTTTTTCTTCTCCTTCCAATCATCGCAATGTTGATCTCACCACCGGGCTGCGGTCAATACACACATGTACATGGTCAATCTCTTTATATGGCATCATATATGGCATCATAGCTGGAGAGTTTCTTGTGCAAATCGGACTACTGCTATCCATGGCATGAGGCACATACAAATGAAGTAGAATAGCACGTACGGTCTTATAAAACCATCATCGGACAACCAAATCACTCCGCAACACCCATTTTTCGCCGCCCGAAACCTCGTTCCCCTCATGTAGGAGACATCTGTCGCCATGCCGATGCAGTAGCGCCATACCCGTGACTGGGGCCACTGAAATTGGGTCGGGGTTGCGATTCCCGCGCGTGGATTCCGGATAGAAAATCGTCTCACCTCCCGTGCAGGTAGTCAAGTAGATGAGAAGAGTCCATGTGGTGCGAGCAGTCTGGGATGGATGTGCAGGGGACGAGAAAGTGAGGGTATTAGAATCATCATCTGCAATCATTAGTCCCTCCGCACACAAAACATGTATGTGTATATATCTATGTATGTCCCCGAACTTGTTTCCAGAATAATACATAGCCAGTTGTACAACCCACCAGGTTACACCTTTATCTACAGGAGAAACCCGGGCATATATATATACTACGTATCAAAAAGGCAAGGCAGGAAAGAAAAGAGAAGAAAAAGAAAGAAAAACTCACAATGTTGCGCAAAAAACTGCCCCTTCGAATACCGATAAATCCGAATATTACCATTCAATCCCAAAGGCTCTCCGCCCCAGGTTTCCTTCATAGACCTCTTCCCATGACCGTCCATCACCAGATCCTTCAGCGCCGTCTCGCTCCACAACGACTCCGCCAACCGCTCATCTTGGATCTGGAACCGATCGTTGACGCGGACCGCTTCACCCTTTTTCGGTTTCCCGGGTGTGGTGGTCAAGGGTAACGTGGCGAGGAATGAGACGTAGGCTTTGCAGAGGTTTGCGGTGAAGAAGTTTGGGATTAGGTAGATTTGGTCAGGGAGGAGGGGGTCGAGGGTGAGGTCGGATGAGGGGATTAGGGGGCGGAGGGGTGGCCAGTTGGGTTTGGGGGTAGATTGGGAGGGTTGGGTGTCTTTTTTGGTTTTGGATTTTGGGGGCATGGTTTATTTCTTTTTTTCCTTCTTTCTTTGTTTCTTTCGTGGTTTTGGGTCGGGGCGGAGATTTCAAGGTTGGAATTGATATGTACGAAAATTGTGTACGGAGTATTGGGTAATACAATATCAGACGGGAAGTTCGGATATATATATATATATATATATATATGAGGTATATCAGAGTGATTAAATATGTATAAAGTGATATGATCTTGCTTTATTTTGTATTCTCCGGATTTAATAGCGATAACTTTCCAGAGATTAGGTTTTCTGGGAGAGATCGATAGAGCGGTGTTACCAGCTTACCAGCTTTACCGTCAGTGGAGGAAGAAACTGCAAGTAATGCAGGGGATTTCTTGGCGTTGCTGTATTTAGACCTGAGAGAAAACAATCTTTTAAATACCTTCGTTACTCGACACATACCGTTCCCAAGAGGCGCAACAGACATCCTACTTGGCACTTAAATCTCTAGGCCCTTTTTCTTTGGGCATTAGGTCATCAAAAAATTGGTTGTCCCTATGAGAGATCATTTCCCAAGACCTAGTTCGACCCAACGAGGAATTTAGTGTACTTATGATCTGCTTGATACTAGTATTAATACAACTAAGACTCTGACAGGATACTGTACAGGCAGCATACAGAGAGCATCGCAGCCCATGTACGCTCACACATAGGCATGAAACTCACATCTGGATAATACCTTGATTCGAACGTTATATGCAGGTCCACGGTACCTTTATCTAACTACAGCTATGGACAAGAAAGGGAAATACTCGAGAACAATCAGAGATTGAAACAGATACCGTACACGTACCGTATCAACTGTCACATGACTACGGGACTCCGTACGGACCAGTCAAGCGGCAGAAAAAAGAAAAAAAAAAGTAAAAAAACCACCGGCTCCTCTTTTCTCCCGCCAGTTAGATCGCCTCCTTCTCATGGCCTCACTTCACCGCCCAGCTTCTCTCATCCCTCCAGCCCGTTGTCTTTCTTCAACCAGCAGCAGCCGCCGGTCATGTCGTCGTCGCAGACCATGACAGCGCCAGCGGTGGGCCATCGACCGCCTGATGCTGGTCCGAATATGTCGTCAATGTATGACTATGGCCGTTCTCAACAGCCTGACGACCATCGGCCCCCCTCCCCGCCCAGCGACTCCGCAATCCGCGCTTTGCACGATTCTGCCCCCGACCCCCCCGATGCTCCTTCCAATGGCTTGACTTCTTCCTCCGGCATGATGCCCGTCAAGTCTGAGCCCGATGAAAATGCTTTCCCCCCTTCCGCTGCCGAACAAAGCTCTCAAACTGATACAAGACGTCAGTCCGCGGCCAGCGCGCTCTTGGCTCAACTCCTCGGCAACCCGTCGACAATGCCTCCCGACGAGCCAGGGCCATCGGCGGACCACTCCGTATCCGCAGCGCAAAAGACAAGCAAACATCAGGAAGTGGATGATGGGTCAAATGGACAGTGGTCGGCCGACGCGCCTGTGGGAACTGCAGCCATGTCCTCAGACCTAACTGGAGCCCAAGACCAGATCCCAGCCAACTCAAATGAGTTGCCGGGGTCCCAACAAGCACAGAAAATCTCCGATCAACCACCGGATATACCATTTCCGAATCCAGAGGAGGACCTGAACATATCAGTAAAACATCCAGATCCCTCGGAAGGCCTCACGGACCCTTTACTATTCTCGAAGTCAAGTCTAGACCATTCCGACCTATTCTCACCGTTTGATATAACCGGCGCTCCGAAGGACCCGTTCGAAGCATTGCAGCAGAATGAGATGCTTACAGCTGCCTATCTTTCCCAGGGTGCTGACCTGTCGGCCCTTGGTTACTCTGGAGGACTACAAGACCGTCACGGATCAATTGCCGGATCAGAACCTCGCATCCAGGCTTTTGCAAAACTAGAATTCGATGATGGTCATTTCTATTGCAATACATATTCGTTCATTCTCGGGCGAGACGTGCGGGCTGCCCGAGCTGCCCATCAACGTGAATTCCATGTCCGACAGGCCATGAGACATTCCCGCGCGAAAAGTTCGAGTGGTGGTAACACGTCGCATACTCCTATCCGAATGAAACATGAAGGTAGTGGAATTATGGGAAGCGTCGTCAGCGACCGCGGTGGAATAATGGGCTTTGATCCTGATATCCCTCCCCATCTTCCCTCCCGTCTAAGTCGGCGATCGTCCAACTCATCCCATGCCGAGGCGGGAGCTCCGATTCACGCGACACCAGCTCAGCTACAGTCGAATACTACTGATTATAACGCTCTTGCTCTGCAATCGCTAAATGATGAGGGTGGTGATGCGAAACCGGTTGATGCTTTGGCTCTGCTTCCGTCTCCAGACTCTTGTCCAACAATCCCGATTCATCCCCCTGCCACAACCGATGGTAGTGCCGCCGGACACCGAGGTATCTCACGGAAACATGTAAAGATCGCATATAACTTCGATAAGAATCTCTTTGAGATGGAAGTCATGGGGAGAAACGGTGCATTCATCGGGGCTGATTGGCTATCACCTGGCCAGATCAGGCCCTTGCACAGTGGTGATTATATCCAGATTGGTGGCGTACGAATACGATTCTTGCTTCCGGATGTACCAATTGGTGAAACGGGTGCCGATATAGTCGAGGAATCCTACGTGGCAGAAGAAGAAAATGCACAAGCTTCAGTTCCTGCAGTGGAGAATGACGAGGATGAGAAGCGTTGCAAACCTGAGAGCACGGAGAATAAAGATGCTCCAAGAACAACTAAGATTATTCTCAAGACCAGGGATCCTGATTCTGCACGTCCAGTACCGTCTATTGAAGGTTCTACTGACAGCCAGCAACCTATGCGTCGTCGAGGTCCGGGACGGCCACCCAAGGACGGTATCATGTCGAAACGTGAACGGGCCGAGTTGGCCCGGGAACAGAAATTGGCTGCGAAACGTGAGGCAAATGGGGGTGTCACTCCTCCCCCTATGAATCGGCCGAAGGCCGGAAAGACCACATCTACAGGCACCGCTACTGCTACGCCCAAGGAGCCCTTCGGTGCAGAGTCTCCTGGATCCAAACCCGAAAAGCGCAAGTACACGAAGAGGAAGAAGCCCGATGGCACCCTTATGGACTACCCTCTTCCTTCTACGGAAGGTGGCCAGTTCCCTATGGACCAGCGCCCAGAAGACTACGTCAAGCCTCCTCCAGTTAAGAAGCGCAAGCCTTCGCGTTCACCCTCACCCAACTATCCACCAGAATCTGCGTACACCCCAGAGGATCTGGCCAAACCCCCTTACAATTATGCGGTTCTTATCTTCGATGCTCTCACTGAGGCTGGCACGCCGATGACGCTGAAGCAAATCTATCGCGCACTGAAGTTAAAGTATCCCTATTTTCGCTTCAAGTGTGAAACTGAAGGCTGGACGTCCAGTGTGCGACATAATCTCAACGGCAACAGCCACCTCTTCATGCATGCCGAACGAGATGGTAAAGGGTGGTCATGGCAACTACGTCCAGGGGCCTCAGTTGAAAAGGAGAAGAAGAGGCGTCCGTCGCCGCCTCCGCCAGTGTCGCAACCACCGCCGATGTCAGCTGCCACTCCGCAGTACATGCCTCCTATGAACGCACCCTACTCCAACGCGCCGAATGGGCAGGCAAATATGGCCAATCCCCATTTCCAATTCCCGTCGATGCCATCAAATCCTTACACGGCCCCCTCGCCCGCGCCCGCGCCTACACCTGCACCTCAGCAATCAAGTCCCTACCCGCCACCATCTCAACCCTCCGCTTCTACCCCTTTCCCGATACCAAGTCCATTACGGAACAACCTCCCACCTGCTTTTGCTCAGACAACGCCTTCCACGTACACCTCCCCGTATGCCTCCGACCCCCCTCCGCAGCTGGTTCAATATCAGCAATCGCAGCAACAACAGACCATTCAAACACAGCCCCAGCATCACTCGCCTTACCCACCCGCGAATCCGCCTCCGCCACCGCCTCCTCAGATGCCAATCAACCCACCTCCCCAAAATCTTCCGCCCAATCCTGGTCCACCTTTGCAACACCAGCCCAACCTCAGCGTTGCCCCTGGCGAGCCCAGTTCCGGCCCTATGGATACTTCCGAAGCTTCTTCGTTCAATGACCGAGCAAACAAGGCGATTGACGACTTCGAGGCCGTTCTTATGGAGGATTATGAAGACAAGAACTATATCCGGGAGGTTCTCAAGAGCGCCCGCGCCCGGGTTCTAGGCGAGGCCTCGGAAAGCTCCTTCCCTGGTGGCGAGCCCAAGGACGAGGCGGTCATTGTGGATGCACTCCGGAACTTGATTGGGAGTCTGAAGGATGAATAGTCCCGAGTGTTACTCCACCGGATTGCTTTGTTTGAATGAGTTACGATTTGGAATTTCTTTCTCTGTCATGTTTACGAATGTCTCCATTTGGCGATTGGCTGGTGTTGCGGGAGGTACAAAAACCTGGGAACCCAACGATCGGCGACAAAGGTTGTCACCGGTTTTACGAGTATGATTTGCTATTTTTCTTCTTCTGCATTTGAATATCTCTTCTGTTTCTGTTCTCTCATCTCGATTTCTTTGTTTCGATGATATCCACTACGTTCTGGGCTTCTTTTGATTCATGTCGCGGCCCCGGAACCATTGAGATCCTACCGGGTAGAATTTATTCCACTGTTGTGGCAGGTGTAGCAGGGAAAACTAGGAGTTAGTTGCATAGACAAAAGATGAATCTGGGGTTTACTCTCGGTAAAATGACACCTTCGTGATTACTTCTTGCTTTGGTTCCTTTGATCTGTCTGTCTGCAAATGGGATCCGAATCTCCCCTAGCCGCGGAACGGGTTCTGGAAAATTCCAAATATGATATAAAAGAAAAGCTTCACATCACGGGGAAAGTAGGCTTGGGTTTGTTTAGAATCCGAAGATAGCCGACTGGTTGGGTGCCTTTACAGTTGGGATGGGAGTCAGTTAGCGGTTATCGGAATCTTGGGCGGTTAAGGAATCGATGTGAACAATGGGGTAAACAAACACCAGAATCGAACCCGTGCCAGCGTTGGTTGGCTATAAAAGTGGTTTCTGTTGCGTACTGCGGTTTGTTTACCCCTCACTGTTTTCACCCCTCCTTTACTTTCTCAAATGTTCTTCTTCCTGAATTGTCCGATGATGGGCACTGTGCTTTTTTAGCTGGAAGTCAAACCTCAAGATTCTAATTTGTCTTTCCTCATACGTCAAGGAGGTTATCTAAGTATATTGGAACATCGGGTCAGGTCATCGGGCAGCGATTTCCCCCACTTTACCGGATTGTTTCGACTGCATAAGGGTCTCTCTCAGGTTCAAAAACCTATTATTACTATTACTACTACTATTATATTACTATTTATTAATACGATAAACTCTCATTCCTCCTTTTTTTTTTCCGCGGGAAAGGCATATTCTCTTCTTACACAGTACTACTAACGAAGAGGTACAGGATCGATCAGTATGTGGTGGAGGTACCCCTGTAAGGGCCATAGCCTACTCCATGTATATCAAAACATGCACATATGTACTCCGTCCCTCCGGTAGGTACGGATAGCATCGATGATATGCAGTCTGAATAAGGACTGGTGAAAGGGGTCGGTGTGTACCTTACTGACGAGGTGAGTTGTACCGGGTGTGGTTTGTCTGGTTAACCCCATGATGCGCTGTAATAATATCATCGCGAACGGTACCTGAATAGGTACCACCCTATAATGGGGTAACTGGTTAAAAACACTCTCCCCCATCTTGGCGAGAGTCATTCGATCATGGAACATGGATCTGACATGCTTCAGGTGAAGTTGAGTCAGTCATGAGAATGAGGGGCCACCAGTGGCTGGGTATATGTTTCCACACGTGTGGTTGGCAGTAGTAGTAGTAGTAGTAGTAGTAGTACGGGCTAATTAGGGCGGGCAGCTGAGCTGGATGGTCGGGAGCCTAGCATCTGACCGACTCCTGCATCGTCGTCTACTCCCATGGAGGCCTACCCGAATCCTAAAATCGTCATGCTTCGCCTTGGACAGTAAGTAGGCTGGGCTGGACAAGGCAAGTCAGATTAGAGGGCGCTCTCATCTGACGTCGGCGGAGCAACGAATTATGTCGGAGGAATGTTTCCCTACCGTACTGCATGCGAGGTATTATCTTTCTTTTTTCTTTTCTTTTTCTCTGGGATTTTAGTGATTGCATCTGAACGGGGACATGCCTGAACTTGAGTCGGCTGTCCTGTATATGTGTATGTGCGATGGACATACATCGTACATACTTGAAGGGTGGTACTGTCGGGGTAAAGTATCGTTCAAAATGAGGCGTTTTTCTTGCCACCAAATTTCTTCCTTCATCTTTGGATACATGGTGTCATAACCTGGCGCTTGGTATGCTGTTACGATTGCCACCGTGAGATAAGGGTGAAAGACAAAGGAACAAGAATCAGAATCATCTATGGAGTAAGTTCTTACTGCAGGATGCCCATCTTCTATTGAATTGAATTGGTATGTACGGAGTATGGAGTATGTATTTTTCGTTCATCGTCATCCCGTGATATCCATCCTTAGGTAATCCCTTTCGTTCTGAAGACAAAAAGTCTAGAAAGGTAAAAAAGGATTGGGGGATTGAGAATGACCGAAAATAGACAAGTCCCAGCCTGGATCTTCCCACACTTAGAACTTATTTTTTTAACACTAAACCGGTAAAGTACGTAGTTAGTACGTACCACCTGGAGAGACACGTTTTTCATTTTATAATTCGAAATTTTCTTTCAGTAATTATTTATTTTAGCACGAGGGAGGATTACGTTCCATCACCCGTGAAGGTTCGAGGCGCCTGTCTCTTGACGAGAATGAGCGTTACGCCTGCTCGCCGTTTGTCGATACGCGCCCTCTAGGTATGGAGTACGAAAACTCCACAGCGGGCAGTTCACTATTTCAGTAGTTAACCCAATGCTCAGTGGAAGTGTGACTGCGACTTTGCATCAGTGTTGCCTTGTTGGGTCGGCGGTGCTCCCCATGAAGATGGTGACTGGCCCTTGGACGGGGGCAGTTTTAGGGAATTCCACAGCCTCGCTTTGCCTCTGTTGCACCCTCCTATTTGGTAATGGATCTTTGTTCTTTTTCTTTTCCTTTTTATTTCATTATTTCATTACTTCATTACTTCATTATTTTTTAATCTATTTTTCCTTCTCGAAAACCGAATTGATCCTCTTATATAATCCGTTCGTTATGAGTCTTGTTGCATTGCATTGATTATTGAGGGTTATTATTAGGAGCCGTTGATGGGGATATTAATATAGAAAAAAAAGTATTAAAATAAAAATGGTTGAATTAATATGAGAATGATCCTCCGACGTAATGCGTCGGATTTTCTTCATTTCTCTTTATTCTCCCTTGTGCTATTATTATCGTTATGAATAGGGATCAGTGCAGAATCCAAACAATGGAGCTTGCTTGTTGTTGTTGTTAGTACTAGTAATAGTAATCGTAGTATTTAAGAGTGAAAAATAAAGGGCTTGGAGAAGGGGGAAAATAAATGAAAAAAAAAAAAAAAAAGATATACAAAATAATTATTCCCAGTAACGGCAGCTGCGGCAGGTTTCCAGTTCTTGTGTCTCAACGAAGTACTCAGTCATAGTCTACCAACCTCAATTCATCCACCCCGACTAGCCCGAGGGAGATGTGCCCCATCCGGATGGCGGTCTCCTGTTTGTCGACTCCAAGGCGCCCCTAATGAATGGTGGGTTTTGACAGATGACTACCATGAATGATTCAAAGAAATTACTCTTCAGGCGAATTACGGTGCATGATGAGAGTCGAATCACACTTCACAAATCACCGTGATCTCAAGGCAATGAAAAATTTTTTTTCATCAGTTTTTCAATTCCTTAGCTAGACCTCTCAGTAACCCATCCACGAACCATGGATCGAGGTTCTCCGTGAGTGTTCTGGTCTTTCTTGGTAACCGTCTTTTCATTTCTTTCTTGTTTTTCGTTTTGTGACAAAGTACCACCACCACATACATCTACGGTTAGAGGAATTCGTTTTTAGTTTTATTTTTTGATTTTTCAAAACTTGAAACCCTTAGCTGCGCTTCTCACCCAAGGCAAGAATTTTCATGATGGGGGGAGAATTAATATATCGAGTAAGAAATTCCTTTTTTTTTTTTTTTTTTTTTTTTTCAATAAAAAAAAGAAAACTCTAAAAAAAGGATTCCCGGTCGGGTCTTGCGGCTGGGCCAACCTCTGTCCCTCTCTTTTCCCCCTTCTCTCTCTCTGCTTTCTTTTCCCGCCTTTTCATGATTTCAGTCGCTTTGGTTGGTAAAAGAAATTAATTTGTAACTGCATCGCTGATTATTATTTCCTCGTCTTAATTTCTTAACACCCTTTTTCTCTCTTCTAATTCAACCGTTTATGTTATTTCCGGGTCCTCCTGACCCCGTGGATAGATTGACCAACCCCAGTACACCGTAGAGTCAGTTGGTATAAAAAAAAATAAAAATAATAAACTTACATAAAAATTTTTGAAAAATTCAGGACGGGGTCTGTATCGCCCTAGTACACAGAGAGAGAGAGAGACATTCGGAAGATTCCCACGATGAGAATCTTCGGACCCCTAAGAAAGTTCGTTCAGGAGCCTGACTAACCCGTGACCCGGAGATCAACCTCAATCCACAATCCAATCCCAACTCTCAAGCGTGGTTTTGTTACTAAACCCTCTCTGACACCTCTTAACTTACCACTAGTCTTCTTTTCTCTCCTCTCCTTCCTTTCACTCTTAGTACTTCTTTTTTCCCTTTTCCCTCCCCCCATCCTTCTCTCTCAACCCCCTCGCCTCCTCATTCCCTTCTCCATTTCTTTCCTCCACCTTTAACCGCCATTGTCTCTTTACTCTTGTTGAGTTTTCATCCTCGGAATTTTTTCTTTTCATATCTTCCTCTTTCTTTACTTGCCTCTTTGACCCTCAACGAGCTTTTCACTAAGTGTCGTTGCCTTCGGCTGGGACTGTCCTTCGAAAACGCGTGAGAGAGGGACCTTGATGACTTACTACATTTGAGAGAACCAGCAAAGGGAAAATTTCCCATCCGTCTTCCTTGGCTCCAATCGTCCCCCAAACGAGTCCTCTTTGTCGTCAGCTCCAATTTATTCCCTGGTGACATTGTGCCATTGGCTCCATTCGCCCCCAGCCTTTTGAGTGCATCGTTTGTGGCCACAGCCGTCGACGCATCGGAAAGAAAGTATCTACGGACTCCCCACAACAACGAAGAGCAATCAATCAGATAAAGCGCGCTCCTTTCGCTTTTTCGCCCTTCATCCCGACTACCACCGCGTTTCCGCTTCCTTGTGTTGAATAAAACCTCCATGATATTCAACTAAGAGATACTCACAACGCAAACTCAAGAGCCGCGGCTCATCGAGCAACGCTCTCCACCCAGGATCAGGGCCTGGCGGACGTGTAGACGGTTCGTATCTGCTCTCCGATTTTTTTTTCCCTCCCCTCCCATTGCTGCTTGATTCTGGTGGTCAGCCTTACCCTATCTGGTATAATATACTGACGAGGAACTCTTAATCTACACAGCACCAGAACCGTCTACCTTCGCCGTCCTGAACTGGCTTTCTTTTCTTTTCTCTTTATTTCATTATGCCGTCCTTCTTCGCGCCAGGCCTTCAGGGCCTCCCCCCTACTCCTCCCCATATCATGAGCGGTGGCAGACTGGATCCCGAGCAGCAATTTTACGTTGTGGGCCATTCCGCCTTCCCTCCTCGCTACTCGCAGAACGGCTGTGAATTCATCGAGCAGTACTCTCAATCATCCTGCTACTCCAAGCCCGCCCCGATGAATATGCACCCGTCGTCGATGCGCAGTGGTAGAGACATGGCCGTGATGAACCAGCCCATGTTCGGTCCGATGCCGAACGCCAATGTGTTGCCTCCCATTCGAAACAACGTCCAATTGCCCCCCGTGGACGGCGCGGTCCCGCCCCAGTACCGTCGAGAAGACGTCATGGTGCAGCCCGAACAGCAGCAGCGCAAGGAGGAGAAGGCTACTGGAGGTGTTGCCGCCCGCTTGGATTATGAGATGGACCAGATGTCCGACTTCGTGGCTGAGATGGCCCAGGGAATGTATGCTTTGTACAACACCAAGATTCACCTTGCAGATATTGACTTCGCGCGAAGCGTCTACCCAGGAACGTCAGTCCCGCCGCAATTCCGGAAGTACGTCTTTCAGATCTTGTCGTCGACCCGCTTGCCAAGTTCGACGATTCTTCTGGGTCTTTACTATCTAGCCAGCAGGATGCGCATGCTGTCTTCTTCCAAGGTGTTTTTATCCGGCAATGGTCAAGTCTACCGGATGCTCACGGTGGCACTTTTACTCGGGAGCAAATTCTTGGATGACAACACCTTCCAGAACAAGTCTTGGGCGGAAGTCAGCAATATCCCTGTGAGTGAGCTCAATACCATGGAGCTCGAATGGCTGTTCGCTTTTGAGTGGAAGATCCACGATCGCATCTACGATGATCAGGACGGGTTCACATCCTGGCGCTCTCACTGGGACACGTGGCGGGCAAAGACCGCCCGGGCCCATGATTCGCGTCACAACCTGGCCCCGATCGACACTAACGTGTCCAGGGGTTCTAGAATCTCCAAACCGCTCATGTCCCCTGAAGGTCCTATCCCTCCGCAGTACCAGCGAAGCTCTCACTTTGAGACTTCCTGGCTCAACCCGGCGGCGTCTGAGTATTCGCCCCCATCGGCCCCCCACAGTGGCCCTAACACCCCAGACTACTACGCTGTTGGGCCGTGGGGGTACACTAACCCACCACCGCCGTATTCTCGGACCTGGATTCCGCCCCAGCCGCAATACATGCCGCAGGCGCCACGGTCGCAGCCACCTTCCTACCACCATACACCGTCCTATGCGTTACCTTTCGCACAGAGTGTGTGGACGGGTCATGGCTCTTCCTGTGGTTGTTTGTATTGTGCTAAACACGTTGAGCACTATATGTGCACTGGAGCTTTCGGCGCAATGCAACCTATTCTTGCTGGCTAATGGGTGGTTTACCGGACTTACCTAGGAGTCGCGGTGTATATTGCACGTTCAGTTCGACCGACCTTTTCTGTTTTCAGCTAGACTTGTTCGCCCCTGTTTCTTGATGATACCGTATCTCGTTGTTTTCGATCTGGTGATGACACTCATTTTATCCGGTTTCGGTTCTTACTGTTGTGTCCGCTCAAAAAGTCCTTTGATCGCCTTTTTTTTTACCCTGATATCCTCGAAACAAAAAAAAAATCGCAAAAAAAAAAGTGCTTCGAAGCGATATTCGAACAAGTGCCACATCTACGACACAGCTTGAACATACATTTACGAGAAGGCATGGACCTTTTATATCTCGACTTGATACGATATGGTTGTTAATCGGAAGTTGTCCATCATGTTCGAATACCACTTCACAAGATCGTTGGACTTCAAGTTTTGAAGTGAAAAGTCACGACATTTATGAATTTTTTTTTTTCCATTTTTTGTCTTCAGCCGCTTCTACTCGATTTATCCTTCTTCCTTTTCATTTTGGTTCGGCATTTCTACTGGCGGATGTCACTCATAGATTGCGTTTCTTGCGTTGGTCGACTTGGGCATTGGTTATCTTTTCTTTTCATCTCAGCTTCTTGCCTTGAGTACCATGGCGTTAATACCTTATTTCATTCGATTCCCTTTGCCGGCTTGTTATATTCTTCTGTTTCGGTTGGCAGACTGCCTTATTCTTCTGTTCACTCTGATCGGAGTTTTCCTCGATGCTACGACGTCGCGCTCGGAAACTTTACGCGGCCTACGCACTGATGAGCGAAATCGAGGATTACTACTCTCGGTTGTAGTCTATTTCCTTTTCTTTTCTCTCTCTTTGAAACCTCCACTTTTGTTACGACTTCGCAATCGATCCGTGTTTGTCTTACATTTCATTTTTATATCATTTGTCGTTTGGCAAGACAATTCAAAAAGTGATACTCCCCTTTCTCACAATGTTCTTTCACATCTTGCTTTTTCTTTTTTCACAGTGCTGAACCACCTGTGCTTACCATCCTTGATTGTAAGTTAGACTTAACTTCTCTCGGACAAACTATAAGAATAGTGGAAATCGATGAAAAGCCGAATTTCCCTGATATTATCGGTCACGCTTCTTCCATTCCTAAATTTATCTAAAACCACAAAGAGTGTATAAATTATAATATAGCTATTTTATTCTAGGCTTGTCCAACACATACAACTGGTTACATGTCTGTCCCAAAAGTCAGACAGATAACACAAGGTATGCCTTAGTCTTGCAAGTCCTAAGCACTAATCCTGGCACAAGAGCCAGACAGGATTCTGAGGAATAATACCGCTCACTATACATATCTATATACTTATATGTAGGGAATTAACTCATGCAATATGATCGAATTATTGTATCTCAGAAGTGATTGAAACCATGTATGTATGTAGTATCTATGTCTCATAAAAGGCAGGCAGGCGTAGAGAAGATTTTCGAGAATAACGTCGGGTATCAATGCCATTAAAACGAATGGAGAAAAAAAATGAGCGAGGAATAGGCCGTTCTCGCTATTCTGACGTAGAAAGGTCTGATCGTCGGATTTTCATGTCGTGATAGATGTTAGGTATTAGGCAGGCTATGTTGGGGTCGAACGATGTATGTACGTATGTAGCAAAGTTGCAATTCGCCGGACAAAACGATCTCTGTTTAGTAGACGCTTCCTCTAATACTTTGGTCTTCTCGTCTTTCGGCCTCGAGAGAGGCGTATTGATCGTCGTGGTCACCGGTGTACTCGTGCTCGTGATCGCAATTGTATTCTGGGTCTTGGTCAATGGATGAGACTGGATGGTCACTGTCTAGGTCTCGGTCATTATCTGGGAAGCCGTTGGTAACTTTCTTGGTTAGGTGTCGTCTTGCTGGGTTGGGGAGGTGGTTGTGACGGTGGTTGTGGTGCGAGCGTGTACGCCGGGGGCGTTGTGTCTGTGTGCCACTTCCCTCGTCGTCGCCGTCGTTATCGAGGTCATGCGAAGGCTTTGGTTTGTGAGAGGCTAGGTGGGTGGTGGATCTAGGGAGTTTGTCCTCACGCTCGTCTTCCGAAGGTACAACACTGTTAGCTCCGCTTAATGTGCCGCCTCCGTCTCGCCCGCTGAGGTGAAGGAGGGCGTAATTTGACCGCGGGGGATGGAGTAAATGGTCCTCGCTGTCGCGGTGAAACCTGGACAAGTCTGGACGTGTAGGGATTGGGCTGGGAGCGGGGACATTATTAAAACTGCTCTCTTTGCTATTGCTGTTGGCCTCCTTAGACAAGTCAGATCGAGTGGATTGGGCGTTGGTGATATCTTTAAGGTCAAGGAGACCATACTGTGGAGCGGGAATAGGATTAGCACTGGTGGTGAGCCTAGCTTCCCTGGAACTGTCTCCAAGTTCTGGTTCGGGTGCTGTTAAAATTTGTCCCTCAGCCCGAGTTGTCAGTTCTATGGCTGTGGGCGAGGATCCTTGGCCGCTATATTGTGTTGATTGGTTATGAGCATAGACGGCATCATGCAGCTTCTTGTGTTGCATTTCCAGAGTATTTCGAGCAAGATCTGTCCCATTCGTTCGGGTTGACCGTGTAGAGCCTTTCCTACGGATACCATGGTTACACCCGTCAGGGCAACCGCCCCATCTGCGGCGGATCGGGACGACCGACTCAGATGGTGCTGAGAGCGCCGGTGCGATTTCCTTCGTGACCCGGTCTCGCTGCTTTTCTAGTTCTTTCTCCTTCCTCAATTCTGACCATGTGCGCAACTGGTTTTGCAGCACATACTTCCCATTATCCTCATTGAGTTTCATAATCACGAATTCGCAGTGGTTGATGTTCCGGAGGTCTTCGAAGTACTCAACGCTCCAGTGATACCATTTCATGAGAAACACTCTGGTCATGAGACCGTGAGTGACCAACACACAAACACTGGCAGAATCGCTCTCCCCGAATTGTCGCCACAGCGACTCGTTGAACCCGCTTATCCGATCATAGGCATCAGCAGCAGACTCGCCGTTGGGGATCCGATAGAAGAAGTGTCCATAATCCGCTCTCTCCAGCCACATGCGCTCCATTTCCGCAGAACATGGCTGGAAGTTACCGAAGTCCTGCTCCCGCAGTCGAGGTTCTTCGTATACCTTGATGGTGTGTCTGGGGAAGGGCGACGGAGATGGGGAATCCGAAGTTAGAGACTGAAGGATTCCTTCCGTCGTCTCTCTGGTTCTACGATAGGGTGAGGTGAAGAAATGAATCGTATCATCGGGTCGCAGGAGGGCGCGCAGTTTGGAACCGGCCTCTTGGGCTTGTCGATGCCCTTCAGCAGTGAGCTTCACCCGATGGTCGGGAATGGTCTGGTGGATTTCACGATTTTTGTTCCCTTCCGACTGGGCGTGGCGAATCAAAATGATCATCTAGGCAATATGAGTAAGCCAGAAAGTGTGCAGAATCGTCCCATAAGACTCACCCGCGGTTTCCCCATGATTGATGGTGCATTCGGCTGATGATCAGGAGGGGCAAAGGCGGGGTTTGCGATATCAATAGGATAGCTGCTTCTCAAGGACCCTCCCGCGGACTCTGGCTATAAGGTGTCAAAAGTAGAGTACGGTCTAACTAGTAAGAGTTACAGTGACAAGTGGTGTCTCTCAAGAGAATCAAAAAGTTTGAGAAAGGACGTGGTGGTTTTGCAGAGCGGGAACGGCAGTACCTGATAATTGCCGTATCTGGTTAGTGCGTTCTGTGATGTAATCGTCCCCTAAAATCATCTGAAATCCTGAAGACAATATTGGTCTGGAGAACATATGCTCCCTCTTTTCCTCTCTTTCTCGAAGTATAACGATCCAGGAAGCCTGAATGCTCCGTGTAGTTTCTGGATAGTACTTTCCACGGGCTTTCCCCGAGGAGTATCCGAGGTGAGACAAGATTGAAACCAAGACGATAAGATGGTTTCTTGATGATGGCGAACCTAGAATGTACTACCCAGCATGAAGCTTGTTCATTCACACCTGTCTACTAACACAGTTCAACAATTACCTTGCTTATTTTATTAATATTCCGGTTATTGTACTCCGGTTCGCAGTAGAAGCGATGATCTACAAGTAGAAACAGTATGCCATCTTATGCCACTTTATACCACCTTGTTCCAAGCAGGCTTTGGGAACGGAAAAAGATAAGGAAAGGGGGTCAAAAAAGAAGAAGAAGAAGAAGAAGTCATAGTACATATCTAGTCTTTACTTCAGTCTAAAAGACCAGAGAGACATTGATGTAACGTGGAAGTGAGCATGAGGAGAGACACCCGGAGATGCTGCGTTAGTTGCCGCGGCGGCTCCCGTACAATATCGGGTCTCTCATCCAAAGTTGTCCAGTTCCTCTTCTCCAACATCCTGCCCGCCATTCAAACCCCGCAATTCATCATTTTAAATTGAAAAGCCTGAAAGGGAGCTACATCATGGCGGATTATCTTTACGAGCTCCTATCGCCCCATTTAAATTCCACGAATGCCTCCCCCGCTCCCCTGAATCCTGAGCATGATACAACCACTGCCCAGTACCTCAACCGGTTGCCCACACTCTCTCTCCAGTCGTTGCAAGAAGCCGAGCCACAGTCACTCGCGCAATCATCTCACTCGACCCTCCTATCTCTTCAAGCGTTGTCAAACCGCTCCCACAAAACCTTCATCTCTTCCGCTGACAGCCTATCGGCCCTTCCCACCTCCATTTCCCAATTATCTCGAGATGCGCAGCAATTACGTGATGCAATTCCAAGACTTGACGAAGAGGTGGTTCTCTTTTCATCGAAATACAGCCGATCTGCCGAGAATGCGGCCCTGGAGAAGAGAAAGAAAGTAATGCAGCTGGCAAGAAATGTCGACCGATTGTCGGACATTCTGGAATTGCCCACATTGCTTTCGACCGCCGTATCTTCAGCTGCTGCAAGCTCGGGGGCCGCAGGCGGCTCATCCTCTACAACATATTCAGCAGCATTAGACGTGTATGCACATATCAAACGATTACAGACATTACACCCCGATTCTCCTCTGGTCAGGGATGTCTCCTCCCAGGCCGAGGACGCTATGAAGGACATGACTACACATCTGATAACTGGTCTTCGGGCGCAAAACCTCCGACTTGCAGCTGCCATGAGAACTGTGGGTTGGCTGCGGCGAGTGGCCCCCGAGCTGGAGAATCTCCGTAGCGATGGAGGATCCGGAACGGGAGAAGGCGCCCTTGGTGCCCTATTCTTGATCTGTAGATTGGCGAATTTGGTGTCGACACTTGAGGCATTGGATCCTCTACGGGAACTCGCGGATCAGGAGTCACAGCGCAGAACCCAGAGTACTGAAAAGAAGCCCGGATCATGGTCGGATGGGCACCAGACAGAAAAATTCTTGAAACGATACATTGAAATCTTTCGCGAGCAGAGCTTTGCTATTGTTTCCTTGTATAAGAACATTTTTACTCCTACCCAGTCCGAGTCTGAACTCGCTGTGGCAGGATTGAGAGGAATTGATGCGCGAATCAAGTCGACAGTATCGCGACTAGCTCAGCAAGATGATCCACTACAGTGCCTGCCCCCAGCACTCGCAACCTTTCCCCTACATCTGGTGCAGTTACTGACAGACACCTTGCGGGCGTATCTTCCCAACGTCCGGGATAAGAGTTCGCGTGAAAGTCTCCTAACCCAGGTCCTATACTGTGCTGCCAGTCTAGGACGACTAGGTGGGGATTTCGGTATGATCCTTACAGAGCTGAGTGATAGTGGAGATGAGGACGAAGACATGGCCTACGAGTGGGAGGAGGTGACAAGAAAGCATCGAGCCTTGGCAGGGCGCCTAGAGCAACTCACTGGAGGCAATGTAGCGTCCGGATCTACCAAGGGTACCCTGCGGGCGGCCTCACCCGTCCAAGGACTTGGAGCTGCATAGCAGAGCGATAGCCAATTGTCATCTGACTGCGGCTGATGAGCATCTTCTGTTGCTAAAAGGAGAAATTCAGGACTCCGGTTCGGAGCGCTAAGCCGGATGGGGCACTAGCGGCCGGGTGCCGTTTGACCTCCGCCGGTCATTGTCTGGACCCTCTCTTGCCTGTCATCTTCCCTTCCCTCTCTCTCCCTCTCCTTCTCTCTTTTCCTTTTTCTTAATTTTTCCTTCCTGGAATAAGGGATGATTGATTGATCTCTCTATATATTATGTTCCATCTTTCTACCATATATCTTGAATGTCTGCTACATAATCCTATAATCGGTGCTGGTCTGCCGGTTACTCCCGTCGTCTTCCTTGCCGTCTCTTGTGTGACGTTCTCCTCCCTTGCGTACAGCCGACCTATCGATACCTCTACTAAGGAATGAAAATTTCCTTATAGTTGGCGTGGAAAAAGGGGTCTATTGAACAGCAACTTCGTGATTTCACCTTGCACCTGCTTCGACTTAAAACCTCCCCCGATGGCCGCCCCCGCCCTCTCAGCCGGGTTGATCGATCCAACCAAACAGGCTGAGTATCCCATTATCTTGGGTGACAGGCTTTTGGGTAGAAATGGCACCCCTCGGTCGAAGCTGGTCAACATCCAATATAATTACAAGACAAAATCTGCGACCGCGCAGCAACGATCGACCATCTCAAGGTCGTCGCAGTCGAGGGATCATTACAACCTTACCATTACAGACAAAGCCCCAAATGCTGAACAGAACACTTTGAAATACTCATACCAAGGCAGCGTCGATCCAGAACAATCGGTTTCAGAACCTGAAGAGCACAATCTGGTCTTAGTTTTCGATTCACATCGAAAGGCATTCGTCCTAGAACCGGTGACGACACAGCTCAACTTTAACCTTCGCTCAGCGCCAGCAAAAACGGAAAAGCAACTGCTAGAACAGTTTAAGCAGCTTCGAACTTTACAGGAAGATGACCATGCCTCAAGCGATGATCGAGCGTCAGACAATACCAGTGGGTATGACGACGGTCCGGCAGATGATACAAACCCATACGACTTCCGACATTTTCTTCCCAGGGAAATTGGCGACGACGACAAGTCAGTCTCGGACAATGCTACACCGGAGCCTCATTATAATACGAGCAAAGTTAATACCCCATTGATGCCGGCGGTTAGCAAACCTACACCGAGTCCGAAGCCTCGACCTAAGACCCAGGCTAAAGCCAACCCTCTTCGTCTACCTAATCCCGCCAAACCCGCCAGGCATGACAGTGCAGGAACCTTAAAGACAGGCTCTAAGCCTCAGCATCATGATGATAACGAGAGCGAGAAAGTGTTATCGGAAGATGTCACAGTCGACACAGCCAAATCCCAGTCCTTCGAAAATGGGAGTAGCGCATTGGTATCTCAACAGCCAGCTCCATCGCCCGGGTCCAATATCATTATTGATGGAGACCTCATCATTGATATGGGCTCACCACCACCTTCACGCCCTGCATTCCGAGTCAACCCTGCTCACTTCTCTTCCAATAACACACCAGCAAATAATGAGGATGAGGATATTGAGGATTTACGCCTGCCCTCTCCGGCTGGGCACGGAGGTATGCCTGCTCGTTCTGAGAGAGTGGAACCCGCTTACAACGCGCAAGCCGACGAAGATGAAGTTGAGGACGATGATGCCTTGGCAGCAGAAATGGAGGCTGCATTTGAAGAAAGTGCACGGGAAGAGGAGGCCAGAAGTCAGCAGTCACTACACCATTATACTCCTAGTGAGGATGAGAGTGAAGTCAGTGAGGAGGAGTAATTTTCCCAATAATTTATCTATCCGTTTTTGAATAATTGTGTGGTTTTATGTTTCAAGACCCTATATAAGCATGGCGTTCGTTCGGAGTTTGGAGCGGAATAATGAACTCAATGGAGTTTTACAATTCTGGAGAGCAGAGATACCACCTATTGCATCCCTACCACCTATATAGAGAAATAGGATAGTTCAAATGTGATTTTTGTGTTCATGATAAATGCGTTGCCAGTAAAATCCCAGGCCGGAACAACTCGATGATCCGATCTTCCATCACGCATTTGTCCGCCTGCGGATCATGCGAACTCCAACAAAAACCACCGCCAGATCTGCAGGGGAGAGAGAGAACCCTTTACCGAACAAATCCCACCGTATTCTCTCCATCATTTCATCCGTTTTTTGGTGACCGCTTTCTTTTCGTTCAACATTCGCCCATTTATAAGCATATCCCCCGGATAACACAACGGTGTGATTGGCTTTTGAAGTCCCAGGCTCGGCCCACGATGCGATGAAGGGTCTCTCGCGCCATGGTTGATGTGAACGGTTAACAACTTACATTCTAGCTTCTTGTTATCAGTATAGGACGGGGTCAGCGCTTTTTTATTCATACCTTTGGCTTGACTCGACCTGAAGTGGAGGACTAAATGGTCGATCCTGGCTACTTATAGTCATCCAAACCTGGGCCCTTCCTGTCGACTACAATCTCGACCTTAACTATCTCCGCGGATATCCTGTTTTCCCGAAGCATAGCAGTTCAATTCTTCATGGCGTCCGCTACTTCGCTATCGGAGCAGCGACCTGTCCCCGCGCCGTCGAATCCTATCCTTCTTGCGTCACAAGTCCAATGGCTTTTTAACGATGAAGAGCTCACGCGTGCGCCGTCGCAGCTCGACGGTATGGCACTGGAGGCGGAACATACAAGTCGCAGTAAAGGGGTTAATTTTATAACTCAAGTGGGTATAATGTTGAAGTTGCCCCAACTCACTATTGCAACTGCTGCTGTTTACCTACACCGGTTTTTCATGCGCTACAGCATGGTGGACCTGCCGCAACGACCGGGAATGCACCCTTATCCGATTGCTGCCACATCGTTATTTCTAGCAACAAAAGTGGAGGAGAATGTACGTCGGATGAGAGAGCTGGTGGTTGCATGTTGTCGAGTAGCGCAGAAACAACCCAACCTAGTCGTGGACGAGCAGTCCAAGGAATTTTGGAAATGGCGAGACACGATCCTACATCACGAGGACCTGCTCTTGGAAGCCCTTTGCTTCGATCTCCAACTCGAACAACCCTATCGCATTCTCTACGATTTCATCTGTTATTTCGGCGTCAACGAGAACAAACCCCTCCGCAACGCCGCATGGGCTTTCGTCAATGACTCCATGTTCACCGTCCTTTGTCTGCAGTTCTCAGCTCGAAATATTGCCGCTGCCGCCCTTTACGCCGCTGCCCGGCATTGCGATGTGGGATTTGAGGATGATACATCGGGTCGACCCTGGTGGGAGCAGATCGACGTGGATCTGGTGCAGGTGCGTCGCGCATGCACAAGGATGGCGCAGTTATACGAGAACAATGCCATGCAAAAACATAGCCAGTACTACCCGACCACCCCCATCTTCGCAGACGAGGGTACTGAGAAGACCAGGATCCCGCGCGCTGACAGCCCGGCTGGTGGTACCCTGCGTGAACCAGACACCGTCAATGGACGGAAGCGATCAAGGGAGCCCGAAGACGAAGCGCAAGGCCGCCCGGAGCCGCCTGCTCCTCGCGAAGAGGGACCAGACACTCCGATGAACGGTGAACGATCTCCGAAACGACAGCGCAAGGGCTCAGATGGTGCACAAGATGCCCCAACCGAAACGACAGCTCCTCACGCCCCCGGGGCACGACCATTCCCCAACGACCGACATCACACAAACGGTCACCTCCCTCCAGTTCCCCGCTACCAACACCCCTTACCTCCCGCCCCGCGAGCCTTCCCCCGACGCGACAGTGATAGCCGCCCAAGCGGGAGCGGTGCAAGACCGGGCGTCGCAGTCGACGACCCAATCCAACAACGGATAGATGCGATTGTCTCCCAAAACATGACTCCCCGAGACCACGGTCGACGCAACTCCGACCGATATCGCGAACACGACGACCACGGCCGAAGACGCCGTTCAGATATCTCCTCCAGCAGCAGGAAATCCATCGATGAGCAGCATCCTCCTCCACCGCCGCCTCCGCCATCCGATAAAACTCAGAACCAACAACCGCCGCCGCCGCCTCCCCCACTACCGGATCAGGACGAGGAAGGCGGGGGAAGTGAAGAGGGGGAATTATAAAGTTCTCATTAGTCCGCTGCTGCTCTTTATTCTCCTTTCACACTACACTATTCTTCGATATCATTGCCTATATCTTATACTGGACTTCGATGCTTTATCGTCTATTCTTAGTCCGGTTGACTCGTTGACTACTGTACAGTACATATCTATGTAGCGTGGACGGGACAAAACGAAATATACAGGATCATCGGGGGAGAACACCAGATGAAATAATGCCAATCTATACAGAGAAAGAAACAAGAATTAAGAAGATAGGACATTCTGTAATTTATTGCTAGGTTAAATCTACTACTGGCTATTTCTGTTCACAGTTTGCTTCGTTGGCTGACGTTCGTGCAATGCGTCACTACGATTATAAAATAAAATTAATTGCGAGCAAGAAAACACGAAGATTGTTTCGCCTCTATTCGAGTGCCAAAGTTCATCGATTGAAGACTACGAGGCAGGATGGTATTAATACCATAGCCAACATGTGGCACTGAAACTAGATTTACTTGTTCTGTGACCTGAAGGACGGACAACCAAAAGATACCAACTGCCTTGGCTTGCGTTTCCTTCCATAGTCTAGGAATGCCCGAGGATAGTCAATAGCCCCTAGTCGCGAGGCCCATACCATGATCAAGCAAGCTGCTGGAAGCGACAAAACTAAATCCTCCAAAGGGATCACTCTCTCCGATTACCTCGTAACCGGACGAAATGGGGCGTTGACTGTCGCGCAGACGGGCGGCATAATGTTCTTCGAAACCGACAGAGGACACAATCGGACTAAGTGGCAGATGAGTGAAATCGTTCGAGAAATTCTCTGCGAGGGCGGGATCTGTGACAACGGGAATGATCGGGGGAGTAACTTCACGGCGTGTGAGAGCTTTCCAATCGATTTTGCGGAAAAACCGGTGATTCTTGATCGTCTGGAGGTCCTTGGGCATATGGTATCCAAGACGTTTGGCGGGATCCTTGCGAAGGAGACGGGTCAATAGGTCCTTGGCGTCCGGACCAAGGAAGTAGGGCAAGGGTAGCTTCTGCTTCAAAATTTTCTCCTGCAACTTGGCGTGGTTGTTGGCTTTGAAAGGAGGCGATCCTGTGAGAAGATCATACGCCAATGCTCCCAGGGACCACCAGTCGCAGGCTTTGCCGTATGGCTTGCCTTGGATGACCTCTGGTGCCATGTACTCAATAGTGCCGAGCGAAGAGTTGCAGCGATCATCATCACTGGCTGATATCTTACTCAGACCAAAGTCCGTCAGGAGAAGGTGGCCTTCATGGTCTAAAAGGCAGTTCTCTGGTTTCAGGTCGCGGTAAATGACCCCGACGTTCTGGTGCAGATGTTCGAGTGCGAGAACCATCTCCGCCATGTAGAAGGCCGCCGCATCTTCATCGAACATACGTTCCATGGCTAGATGCGTGAAGAGCTCGCCGCCTTGGGCGTACTCCAGGATAAGGTAGAGCTTCTCATGATCCTGAAAAGCGTAAAAGAGCTTGACAACGAAGGGATGACGGTTGACGCTCTCCAGGATCATACGTTCTGTCTTGGTCTGCTCCACGAGCTTCTTGTGGACGGTGATCGAGGCCTTCCGGAACTGCTTCTGGGCATAGAGCTTGCCGGTGAGCGCATGACGCACCAACAACACCGTGCCAAAAGAGCCTTTGCCCAGACAGAGCAGGGGCTCAAAGTCATCTGTAGTCATCTTCCGGCACAGCTGGGTGCGCATATCCCGGACACTTGACGTGTTGTGGGACTTTTCCTCTGCCACAGCATCAGCGCTGACATAGTCGTGTTCCAGAGGCACCTCATAGCTGGTCAGAACCTCTGTTTGGTCGCTGTCCGAGCAGACACTTGCGTTGCTTGGTGCCTCGGAGCCCATATCACTTGGCACGCCTTGTACGGAACGATCCCCGGACAAATTCAACGAATCAAGCTGGAGCTTTAGAGCGCTGACACCACAGTTCGAAACTGGTTGTGCCATTGGGCTGTTTCCGGGTTTCACGGAGGAGCGCGGCGCTCTTGAACTGGAAGTTGAAAAGTCTGAGTCCTCATCTCCCGAACCCATGGGGGTGAATCCACGGACGGTCGAGATCGCTAAGGCGGCTTGTTGCTTTTTCTTCTTGCGCCTGTCTACCTTTCCGGAGAGCGGGTTCGCATTCATTTTCGGTGCCGGGAAAGCATTACCTGAATGGCCTCCCTTATCCACAAACCCTTGCTTGCGCTCAGGACTAGCATCACTCATCCGAAAGTTGGCGGTATGGTTGCTGCTCAAGCTGGCTTCATCACGGGGTGACATGTCAGCCTGAGGGCTGAAGACGTCGCCGACGGAGAGGTCATCCTGAAATGTGCTCGACATCTCTATTTGCCCTTTTTGTTCTTTTTCGCTAAATCTTTGTGTATCTCCCTCTTCCTTTTGCTATCCAAAGATTATCCGAAACGAGACGTAACACCAAAGCGACGAAAGTGAAATCCAAAAGCGTGGAGGCGCCGACCAGCACAATTTCACGAACGAGACAAAAGTTTTTTACATCCACTCAGTCATCGGCCAAACTGCTAAACACTTGCGAGGCCTATCCAGCAAAATCTAGGTGTGGAACAGAAATGTTAGGCCCAGTTCTGCCTCGTGACGCACGAAAGTGGGGTACTTTGAACAAAGTTGATACACACAAATGCAAGGGGAGTAAAACAATTATGAACCACGCGTACATTTTTGAGATAGGTTCCACTTCTGCTAAGCTCGCTGACCGCACTGGATGTCTCAAAAGCAGCAAATTACCGTCCGCCCTTATTCAGGACGGACCAAGGACCCCTAGCCAATTCACCTTGTCGACAGAGGTTTCGGGAAGCCGGGGGGATGATACAACCCGAGGTCCAGCCGGTGCAGTATATCCAAGGGAGAAGAGACGAGGCGAGTAGGAGTTGTCCAGCAAGACAGAGTGAGCGTTGGCAGCACGGCCAGCAAAGCGAACGATAGCAAACAGTGAGGACGAGGGCGCAGACAGGCACATAGAGAAACGGGCAGGGCGATTGAATCGTAACTATTTAATGGATGGGTATCCGAAGAAAGGGGTTGGACTTGGTTTTGCCTTCCGGGAAAGACTCCTGGAGATTGGAAAAGGAAGAGAAAGGGTGACCATTCGGACATTTAAATGGTTTTAATTACTTGATTAAAAAGAAAAAAAGAGGGAGATCGAGCATGGTCTTAGCCAATCAGCGCGCCCCGGTGCTAAGCGGCGCTAGCCAGATACGGGGGCTCTGGTCTTCACGTGCAGCAGTCATTGGATCCAATTTTTACCTCTTTTCTTTGCTTACAGAAACATATAATCAGAGTTATAATTAATAGAAATAAAACTTTGCAGACATATATGCCCTCCTTCCTTTAGACTTGTGGTTGGTGGTTGGTGGGGGTTCCTGGAGGGTATTGTTTATCAAATCAAATTCGATCTATACTCGTCCTCCGTCCATATCAGGTCGTTCAAAGAATGACTGGGACCGAGTAATCTCTACCCCTGATCTTCCCACAAAGGCCAATGCGCTAGGTTTCTCCACCCTGACAGTCACTCGTTCGTTGGCAAACTCAACGGTCACGATACGCGCGACGAAGGTCGCCAGTGCTTCGACGGTTTGGAACGAGGTTTCCTCAACGCGCTATCCGGCACAGGTATTTCGTATTAGTCACGGCTCAGCATAAAGAAGTCTGACAGGTTAAAGGATATCAACTTACCTCTGCGACAACCTTCGTCATTGCTTGGTAGGTGTCTACCACGGTTGACCCCCATGCCAACTGACCCGGACCCTTGAACTCCAGCGAGAGGATCACCGCCTGCTTTTCAACTCGTTCGTGAGAGTTGACCCCAAGAATACAATGGCATCGAATACCATCAATGTGGAATTCTTCCTCCAGAACCACAGGGCACCGTTCAGAGTCCTGAAGATTGCCGGTCGCTCCGTTCTCTTGTTTGTAACCCCAAACGGTGACACTGCGGTACTTCAAACCTTCTTCCGCACGTAGCAGGGCCTTGGGGAGATGTAGCCACACCTCACATTGACCAAAGGCCCCATCAATTGGAGACGCCGAGGAAGGGGCCCGATTGGCGGAGTTGTGCAGGTGAGACATTCTTCTAACCCCGGCCGTAGTCTCATCTAGCAACCCTAAACTACAGTTCGCAACGATAGCCGCCGTCAGACGTACATCTTGACCAATGTCATTCTTCATCATTGAATTCCGTCGACCACCTTCCAAGCTAATCAGCCATTGGCCGGGGTGCTCCTCGTGCTGACCCATGTGGCGAATATCTTCCTCTAGCCGGCGATAGAGCTTGCCATAATCGATGGAGAGAGAGACATCATCCGCATCCGCGGCCGCAACGGCCGATGAGTAGGAAAGCTTCAAAGACGCCGTGCACGGCTGTGACTTCCCTAGACGATGCCATGCCTCTGGGGCTGCAGGGAGGGGAAGTTCAATGTCACGGAGTCGCACGCTATCCAAAACAGCAGGGTGGGACGGGATATGCACGTTCACTCGCTGTGCGGCCATTGTGAATGCAAGCTTGCTGGTGCGAAAGCGAAGATAGCTCTGACGTCAGAAACCCCCCGACGTCACTGGCAGGTATAGTTGGTGAGAAACCGTACCAATTCAGCAATTATTCATTGCCAGGTCAGATAGATGATTTAATTAAGCTATTCGCCAACGCAAGTAGAGGTATAGGCGGCGTCGTTCGATATTTTAGAGAATTGACAGAATGATGGTGGGGTTCCCTAGCGCGGGGAAGCTTCAACCAGCTTTTAAAAAGGGAAAAAAAAAAATTACTTAGGCCGGTATGAAGGGAACACCGTCACAGCTTACTTGGCTTATCTCCGCTTATCGCCCCAACCCCAATTGTTCTACAAAGTGTCTCATCGATCAATGTCTCCATAACGGTAGCTCCGGTAATCCTATTAATACATATCCAGACCTTCCGTAGGGTAGACTCGCAATAAACTTAAGTTGGGTCAATGTACAGCAGCATCCTCGTAAACTGGTCCATATCATATCATCAGGGAAGAATGTATGTTGGAGGAAAGAAAAGAAAATGGTGGCCCGATCTTCAACACTTCAGCGCTGGTCAACTGTTGCAACCACCAGAAAAATAAACCACATCTCGAGAAAAAGCGCACGGCAAGCTAGAAGATTAACAGCGGCTAGGCTGTCATCTCATACCTTTGTCCTTTGGATTTCCGAGGGGGGGGGTTTCTAGTAAGTGATCAGGGGCCTCAGAGATCGTCCTCACGTCAAGCAATAAACGGAAGCTTTTCCACAATAAGCATCGCACCTTTCGGTACGTCCAGTCCGGGAAAGAATGGCGGGCCTGGACCGCAACCGATTCCTTAGGCAAAGCGGGGGGTAACAAAGCAAGTACAAAGGGGACATAAGAAAGGGGACATAAGAAAGGGGATCAAACACAAAGCACAGTGGGTATCCGCCATGCATTCAAGACAACCAAATCACAAGAGACAGGTATTTACCAGTAGCCACGGCGGTCATATGGAACATATTCGCCCCGAGGGGGGCTCCGAGGGCGTCCGTAAGGCCTTGGTGGCATATAGGGATCATCATACCGAGGTGGCGGCGGCGGACGGACATCATATGGGTCATCATAGGGTCGACGTGGGGGTGGATAATCATCAATGCGAGGACGGGGAGGAGTACGACGTCCATAACCATCACGGTCATAATACTCCCGGCGGAGTGGAACAGGGGAGCGTTCCCGGTAGTGCGCACGGGGACTGTAACCCCGAGGTGGAGGGAATCTTCGGTCGTACTCCTCTACAGGTGGATAGCTCCGGCGAGGGGACCGAGACCGGTAAGGATCACGGAAAGGGCGCTCATCAGCAGGCTGGATCTAAGCATATCAAAATGAGGACCTCGTTCTAGCTCCTTTGGCGCAAACTTGGTTCTTACATCTGCCACGCAGCTCACTCTGGAGCCTTTGAAATCACGGCCATCGAGCTTCTCGATGGCAGTCTTCAGATCGTTTGCAGTCTCAAATTCAACGAACCTTGGGGGTCGGTGTTAACTGGGTCCAAGAGTCATCCTGGTCATTGTGAATACACCCACCCTCTACCAAGTTCACGGCCAGTTTCCGAGTAAACGACATCAAGTCCGGCTCCACGTGCGAAATCTTTTAGGTCCTAGATAATCCCGCGGTGTGAGTTGATTTCCTGGTGCAAAATTGGAGTCCGGAATTCCCTGACGGGTACGCATAAAACAGAAGACAAAAGGAAAACAGATTCGGGCCACGGCCTTCACCAAACTAAGAAGTTCCGGAAACGGCCTGATTCCATGCTGCTAATGGGCATTCCGTCAAAGTGGGATTATCCAACGTTCAAACCACAGCTCTCTCGGCAGATAATGTCCACGGAGTGTGCCTTTGGAGTTCTGTGGGTGAAAGTGTTGGGATTGTTCCTCCACCGGGGAGGACCTTCAGTTTTGGGCAGGACATCCAAACGCCAGAATGGGAAGTGTTGTACCATGGCCGAGTCGAATCCTTGGGTAATGCTATCCGTGCAAACAGGGCAAGGGACAAAGGAAATCGGGGGGAAAGCGGGGTAGTTTATCATGCACTTATCGGCCACAGTGCATGGCGTCCCGGGTATCCTGAGAAAAATAGACTTGGGCTGCTAACCTGCCAACTTGTTTCCGGGAGCCCAGAAACAATCATACGGTAGACCGTGCGACGGGGACGGGGCATATTGGGACGGTCCATTGGACCAGGGAAATTCTCCTTGCGACGTGGCCCCCGCGCGAATTGCACAGTGAGTCGCTCGCCTTTGAAATCGCTGCCATCTGTACGGAAAAGTCGGTCAGAAGCGCAATCACTCCAGGAGCTGGCGCGAAACCAAATACATACGGAACGCTGAAAGACAATAATATTAGCCATGTATACGCGCTGTAGGGAAACAGATTCCTACCTGGTACGACATCTCTCGCATCCATCGCATCTTCGTATTCGATAAATCCGAAACCATTCATCAGCTTGATCTCCGTGATTTTTCCGGAGCCATGGGTGCTAAAATGTTCTTCGATATCCTGTTTGGTAACTGAAAACCTCCCATGGCGCCAGCGTAGGGCACCGCGAGAAAATGTTAGCTTAATGTAATTAAATATGTAATTTATCCAGGAAGGTGTTTACGGGGCTGCCAATGGGAAATCCGGCGTTGGAGGTGCTTCAACAAAAGAAAGAAGGACAGGGAAGTAGTGCCAGTCCTCTCTATTAGACAGGCCCCTGGCAGCAAGCGTAATGAGAAGAGCGTGTACAGTGCAGTTCCCTTTGTTGCGCATCAGGGCCAAACGAGAGGAGAGCCTTGGCGATCCAGCGGAATATCCTGGTACTTGGAGCGCTAGATAGGTAACATTCCGATCGGACTGGATAATCGGGGGGAACCTCTCAAGGGGGAAGATTGATGAACGGCTGCATACCATTGCGGGGAAGATTCCCGAGATAAAGTCGTGTGGACGACACTTCGGTCATGGCTGGCAAAAGGAAGACGAACGACGTCTAACACTGATGATCAAGTAGTAATGAATCCCAGTAGGATAGATAGATGTCTCTGGCCTCAGGACCCGTAACGGCCAAAAAGAAAGAACGATAAAATCACTTCCAGATCAAATGGCGACAATAATCGATGCAAACCGGGGCAAGAGGAGAGAGACCTTGGGATCTAGAGGGTCGCGGTCCTTTTGGGATAATGGCTATTGTTCCTGACAAGTGGGACGTTTGGTTCCAGAAGGTTGCCGGTGGCGCCTAATTAGGGGAAACTGGGGATCTTGTTGGCTTAACTTAAATCGCTCACTTCCAATATCAAGTAATCAGCTAGCGGATAACCCAGGTTAGATTGCAGAACCAGAGAGTGAGACGGGAGGGGAAAGGGAACGAGGTGGAAGGAGGAAGAGCAGAATGAGGAAAGAAAGAGAGGGAGACAACGAGAGATGGTACTAGGTTGACCGCCAGGCGAAACGGTAAGAACCAAAAGTTAAAAATAAAATGGACAGAAAGGAAAGACGGAGTAAGTACAGTACTTACAAGGCAAAGTGACTTGTCTCTTCTCTTTTGGAGGAAAACAATGCAAAATCAGTTGGAGCCAAACAGCGTGACGAAAGCCGTCGCCTCACTTTTTTTTTTCTGGCGGGTCCACGTGGCCCCGCCGACAGCCAAAAGGCAGTCAATGAAGTTCCAGCCTTGTGTTGACCTCCAATCATACTGCGTCTCTTAATGAAGAGGGATACATTCTAGGTAGATGATATTGTTATCCTGGATGAATCCTGGCCAAGCAGCTTCGTTGATTGTCCAGCATTTCCTGCTTCGAAGATCAACCAGTTCAAGTCGGTATACACAAGGATTCGCAATAAATCAAATCAACTCACATACCCGTCCATTGAGATATAATACTTACCGTACATGGATCTTTTACATGGATCTTTCAAAGGTAACCTTTGACAAATGGGTCCTATAAATACACCGTACCTTTCGAGGTATTTCCACGGTTCCGTCCCATCAAATCCCCACGGGGTTGAGCCGCAAGACCTATTTTATTAGGATATGTTATACAATACTTGGTATTAGTATGTAGCACCACTTAAGGAGTATAGCTGATTACACTGGATCTATAGGAACATAGAATGTACAGGTTAATATCTTATTTATTTCTCTTTCTTTCTTTCTTTCTTTCTTTCTTTCCTCATTCTCTGCGCACGCCAAAGACAAGAGAATCAAGTCACTCTTTGGAACAGAATTATTTGAACAAAAACTAGAAATCTATATACAGGAACCCCGCCCAACCCAATCAGCTGCTTTTTTTATACAAGGCGAAATACAATTGACCGTACAATTACCAAGTACTGACCATACAAGGTTTGAATCAAGTCATGAAATATTTAGGACCCTCGCCACCTTGAGGGGTTTGCCAATTAATGTCTTGTGTAGGCACCTTGATATCACAGGTCTTGCAATGAATGCAGCTAAAAATGATAATGAAATTAGTACCAGCGGTAGACAAAATGAAGAAGAACAGATAAAAAGGGCGAAAACATACTTCTGAGCGTTGATTTGGAACCGAACACCATGCTCCTTAGTCGAATCCTCGACATATTCATACACTCCAGCGGGGCAAAACCGGTTTTCAACACCCTTGTATTTAGGCCAAGCGATATCTTTATGCTTGTCCCAGTCTTCCACCTGCAGGTGCACCGGCTGGTCTTCTTCGTGGTTGGTACCGGTCCGGCTCACGCTAGTTAAAATATCGAAACTGATCACACCATCAGGCTTAGGGTACTCGATCTTTTCACACTCGGAAGCTTGTTTGGTGGCTGCGGCATCCGTGCTGTGATGCTTGAGTGTCCATGGGGTCCTGCCCTTGAAAATGTAGGCTTCCAAACCGGAGTACATGATACCACCGTAGAGGCCGAGCGGCGTGCTAAAGGAGGGTCGCATATTGCGCACCTCGTACAACTCCTTCCAGATCGACGACTTCCGAAGAGTATCCTCATAGTCAAACAGAAAAACAGTCCCATCGTCCTTACCTTGCAAAGCTGAGAACGCGGATTCAGCAGCGAGCATACCCGACTTCATGGCCGTATGAGTACCCTTGATCTTCGGAACATTCAAAAACCCAGCAGTGTCTCCGACCAGAGCGCCACCAGGGAAGGCACACTTTGGAATGGATTGGAAGCCACCCTCGTTCAGCGCCCTTGCGCCATACGAGATACATTTGCCACCTTCCAAAACCTCTTTGAAAAGAGGGTGGTGCTTAAGCTTCTGGAATTCGCCATAGGGCGAGAGCCATGGATTCGGATAATCAAGGCCAACCACTAAGCCAACACTGACCATGTTGTCGCCAAAATGATACAACCAGGATCCACCATATGTATCCTTGGGCAGCGGGTAACCCATGGAATGAATAATTTCACCCGACTTAAACTTCTCCGGTTGAATTTCCCAGACCTCTTTCAGTCCGATTGCATACGTTTGCGGTTGGCTGTCACGTCTGAGATCGTACTTCTTGATAACCTGCTTCGTCAAACTGCCATGGCAACCCTCCGCAAGGAGGGTAACACGAGCGTGGAACTCCATCCCACGCTCGAAACTCTCCTTGGCAGTGCCATCTCGTCCTACGCCGAGATCGTTGGTTGCAACGCCAAGCACTGAACCATCAGACTTGTAGACCAGTTCACTGGCAGCGAATCCAGGGTAGATTTCCACGCCCAGCTCCTCGGCCCGTTCACCCAGCCATTTGGTCAACTCGTTCAAGCTGATGATGTAATTACCGTGGTTGTTCATTTGCGGGGGCGATGGAATGGGAATCGCCGAGTTCTGGGTCAAAAAACGCATCTTGTCTCCTTTAGCCGGTGTGGCTCCCTCGAATCTTGAGGGATTTTCCTCCGAGAGCCAATCCGGTAAAAGCTCGTTAATAGCGGTCGGTTCAAGAACATTACCCGAAAGGATATGTGCGCCTAGCTCGCCGGCTTTTTCCAACAGAATAACACGGAACTCTTCGTTACCAGCTTCATTGGCCAGCTGCTTTAATCGAATCGCTGCAGCAAGACCGGCGGGACCTAATCGGTAGAGGAATCTGATTAGCGACATAGACCTTCCAGTAGGTGAGACTGAACCAAGAGCTTGGGGGGAGCCTTACCGCCACCAACGATACAAACATCGACTTCATCCGATTCTCTTTCCACTTGCCGGGGATCGAAATGGCCGTTCTCGTCGGTGAGTTTGGTTGACAGAGACTGCGAAAAGGATCGAATTTGTCCGGATGCCCGACTAGGTGTGAAGAGTGCTGCATGGCGGCTTGTCCTCCGGCTAGACCTTAAGGCGGAGCTCCTGGAGCTCCGAGCAAGATTCGCAGCAGATGAGAACGAAGATCTCGAGAGGCGGGAAGAGGCAGGCCGCAGTTCGCGCCTGAAAAGAGGCAAAACGGCTCCTTTCGAAGCCATTGCGAAATTGTCAAGAAAAGGAAGGGAGCAAAGTAGCGTACGTTCTGGGTGTTCCTATACACGGGGCAGATGCATGGCAAGGGATAAAGCGCTGTTAAGAAGGGGCTGAGGGGGACGAAAGGCTAGAGTCGGCACTTTTAGCAATGGTCAAATCCCCTCCGTCACCGGCAAAGATCGAAAGGTGAGTGACTAAGTCATAATTTAGTGGGAGACTAATGGACAGAGAGCGTTACCGCCTACCCGAGGTAATGTCAACCAATAGGAATCGCGGCAATAGGAATCATATCCGCCCGGCTGTTCCGCTGTTGGCCCGCTAGCCGTCGGAGGAACGCTGACATATAGCCTATATCCTCCGTAGCTACTAGGTATGAAACGTGTATCCCTCCCTTCTTCAAGATTTGGAGGCGGGGTAGAATGTATGTATGTAGCTACCTATGCGAGCTGATTATTCTTATCTCGATAAGATGCAATGTAATCTTACAAGTTCAGCATTCGATGCACCGAGAAGTAAACTACCTCCTCCTAGTCCACTCAATATACAATCACATGAATGAAGATCTCACGTGGAATCCATGGTAGTAAAAGGAAGTCAGACAAGCCTTTTCATTAGTTCTGGTACTGCAGAGAGAGTGCAGTGGCTTTGATATCAACACGGGGGGCATGTGACGGGATGGAGAAAATGAATTTCCCTGGTCCGAATCCTGCACCTATGAAAAATAGGTCCACCTTAGTTATTGTGAAAATGAACTCGACAACACGGAATAAATAAACTGTAGGATAAAATATAGAAATGAAAAGGCATGAGAGTCTCGGCGGAATGTTGATTAAAGCATAATAATGTACACAACAGGACACCTCTCGATTTTTGTTTAGATAGAATATTAATATGATGTGTATGGTATTCAGCATACCGCCGAGGCATGTAAAATACCAGCCCACACAGGTACATACAACACCTGGAAGAGGTCGGATTTTTATTGACAGTGCAAGTTTTGACAGATCATGGGATGCCCAGTTTCGTTTGTGTAAAGAAGAAGAATAATAATAATAAAGATAATAGTAATGTTATACTAAATTAAAAAAGAAAAATACGGGTTCGGTGGATCAACATAAGTGTCTGAGATCTGGGGAAAGCGGTCGGCGCCACCGTGTTCCGAGCGGCGCTTGTTGAGGATAAGGAGAATCCAATCATGACACCGTAGCCTCTACGGATGGGACGGCAGACTTTTTTTCACCTGTCGAGGTCTGTCTTTGCCCTGCTGGAGTCTCAGTTTCCAAAGTTGTTTGTTCTTCTTTATATCATTTTTCGTGTTTTTCTTGGGTTTCGTATTCGCTCAGCCATGATGGACCACTACTAGTACATAAATCATCACTTCCCCTAGAAAGGAAAGAAATAAAGGGAAAAGAAGAGAGGAGTTCGAGGGTTCAGGAAGATGGACCATGGATTTGGGGAGCGAGAGGCGAAATTTTTGTTCAGTTGCCTACCATTAAAGCGGCACGGCGATGGGCGAGGGCGCGTCGTGAAGGGAAACCCCGAGAACAGCGACGCGGAATGATTGGGAGAAAACGGGAATGGATAGACTCACGCGTGGGGCGACCACACAGCGTAGGAGCGAAGGGGACTGGACAAAGCGAGAGTGGCTGCAACCATGGCGCTGACCGGGAGAATACGTAAGGGGGCAACAGCCATACAAAGCGTGTACAACCTGGTGGGGCTCCCAAACAAATTGTGCTGAGTGGACCCATGCGATCAACAAACCAGCGATGACGGCAGGAAGGGTTGGCCACCCAAGAGCCGCTAGTGGAGCGCTAATTTTCTGAGAACAGAACAAATCCATGGATGAGCGCGACCGCCCATCGCTGCTTTTGCCGCCGCCTGTCGCCAGGCCCAGCCCCCCCTGACGCCAGCACTCTTGTGAGTCAGCCTATATAAAGGCCCAACCTCCCACTTTCTCACCTCCTTGGAATTTTTTATCCTGGTCTTGGCACCGCCCCGGAACGCCATACAGTCGTCTTCTCTCCGCCCTCCCCTCTACCTCTACCTCTCCACACTCCGCCTGAATACAGGTCGCAGAGCTTTGCTAATTTATCAGCATTCTCTGCTTTGGTGGCTAAAGATTCCGGGAAGACAGATAAAGCTTTTTTTAGGAACCCCCAAAAAAGGAAAGAAAGATATATTCCAATATCAATCTTCCTCCGCTGTTTCAGATTCAGTTACTGAAACGGGAAAGCTTTACAACCTTTTTTGCTCTTCAGGCGTGCATCTTCACGAGGCACTCCAGGCACATTCTCTCTTTCAAACGCAGATAGACATTGAAATTCCAAGGCAAAAAAAAAGAAAGAAACAAAAAAAAGTTCTTGTTTGGCTTGTTTGCACAAAAAAAAAAGCGCATACTCCTCTGTGTCCACTCCCTTCACTTTGCGCCTGTTCATTGCCCTTTCCCTCCCATAATTGTGACAATTACCCTGTTGTGTTAATTGTTTAGAAAACACTTCACTGTGCTTTTCTAGTTCCTTCCCTGCTCTTCGTTGAATATTCAACTTGTTGGTCGGGTCTATCCTTTCTCCCTGATCATCTCTCAACATCTCTACTGTTGTTCTTGTTGTTGCGGTCTCGCTTGACTTGACCCTGAGCTCAGTTCCGTTTCGCCTCACCGAAACGGTTAACTGTGATTGAACAAACGGCAGCTTTTGCCGCCGGGGAGACATTGAGTTGTCCATCTCCACAAAGGGTATGTTTCTTTGCTTCTTCCCTGGTTGCCCAAAAATTTTTCTGCCTTCTTTGACCGCTACGTTATGGGTCATGTGGTGTTGTTTCTAGACCGACTTGTCGCATTTACATCTATATACATGTTCACTCAATATATTCTTACCCTTATCATCATACTTCCTGCCATCTGTCACTGTCCGCTTTGAGTCGCATGTTGACTGACTGTCCTTCGGGAACAGACTGCCAATCCAAAGCTCTCGTATACTCTTCAGTTTTTTTTTTGGCTGGTCTACAGCTCGAGTATCATTTACTCCACGTCGCAATGGATTCTCTCACGACCCATCCCTCCACCGCGCAGCAGGCCCGGGCCTTCACTTCTCCTGCATCTCTGTCCTTTCCCGGTGGTGCCGGTGATTTGACACCGCCTTCTGACAAAGACGGAAACATGGCGATGAACCTTCAAGGTGCAAACGGGAATGTGAACGGCCAGCAGCAGGGAGCAAATGCCACCAACGGCAACGGGGTGACACCCGCAACTCCTGCTGCCACTCCGGGTGCCAATACTCCGGGGAGTGGCATCGTGCCTACGTTGCAGTGAGTATACTCTTGCTGTCTCTTCTGGTATACCAGAATGCTGAACAAGGATCTCTCTTTTAAAGAAACATTGTCGCTACTGTAAATCTTGACTGTCGTCTCGATTTAAAGACTATTGCGCTCCACGCTAGAAATGCGGAGTACAATCCAAAGGTATTGCATTCCACACCTCCCTGAGCTTTCTCTATCAGGGCACAGTGTGGCTGAACTGCTCTTTCTCATTAGCGTTTCGCGGCCGTGATCATGCGTATTCGCGAACCGAAGACCACCGCTTTGATCTTCGCCTCAGGCAAGATGGTTGTCACTGGTGCCAAGTCAGAAGATGACTCGAAGCTGGCATCCAGGAAGTACGCTCGTATCATTCAGAAGCTCGGTTTCAATGCAAAATTCACGGATTTCAAGATTCAGAATATTGTCGGCTCTTGCGACATCAAGTTCCCCATTCGTCTGGAAGGTTTGGCTAGTCGCCATCACAATTTCAGTTCTTATGAACCCGAGTTGTTTCCGGGTCTCATCTACCGTATGATGAAGCCTAAGATCGTTCTTTTGATCTTCGTCAGTGGAAAGATAGTCTTGACTGGCGCCAAGGTTCGCGAAGAGATCTACCAAGCGTTTGAGCTAATCTACCCTGTGCTATCTGGTATGGTACCCTGTCAACACCCATATCTTTTAACATGGTTGCTTACCCACTCAACAGATTTCCGCAAAGTCTAAAGGGCTTATGGCGGTGTTTCTTTGCATAGGGAGATTATGTTCTCCAAGCTCTTCACCTCTTCATAACCATGTATTAACATCTGCTTTTCTTTTTCTTGTTTCCCTTTCTCCCATCGCTTCGCGAGATTGTATCATGAACCAGGCAAACCGCCTCAACCGGCTTGGTCGTTGCCTTTATTCTCGAAACTCGCATATCACGATTCCTTATGCTAGCATTTGTACGGCGTTTTAGCGATTTGGTTTGATTCTCTGGTTGTTTGTTTCAACAAACTAAAGTGTTCTTTACAATTAGAAGTCGCACACCGCAGGTTCAAGGGGGCGGTACTGTGCGCTGGCCGATGGTTGCTCCCTTCTAATTACTTGTCTTTGCGTTCTCTGCCTGTCGGCTGCGATTCCTTTCATTATGACCTTGTCGCCATGGAAGTGGCCCCTATCTGTCTTAATGACTCTTGGGGAAGATGACGGATCAGATGGGAAGAAAAATTACTGCTATATTCCTCTAAACTCAACGATAGTGGACGAATTGCACTGGTTGGTTGGTTGATCAGGCAACAAATCTGGTTCGTTCGTTTTCCTGAGTTTACTCGATAGCCTGTGGAACAAAATGGAGTGAAAAATGATGCATAAAAGTGCCAGATAGTAGTTTCAGCGTAAATATCGTAGTAAAGCTGTCATGTAGTTTGTTTGTCTCATTGGTTAGTGACCATGAATCTGCCAACCGAATGATTTTGTAGGATGTATATGTTACAAGATATAGTATCTCCGGGGTCTATGTTATATGTGCAAGGCTTGGGTACCCATCCCAATTACAGGACGCCCCTCCGCTGCGCCTTCTTGGTCTTTGCCAACTCCTCCATCAGGCGTAAGCCCTTCCGCCCAGACCGGCTTCCATCACCTTCGAATTCGCCCTCTACAGCCGCCGGCCATTTCCAGACATCCTGCAGCTCCGGCTCAAGTTTACCTTCCAGAGCGTCCACGATCTTCTCCCCAAGCACCGGGAGGAACTTGTATCCATGCCCACTACCACCCGTCGCGAGGAAGAGATTCGGGTGGTCGGGGTGATAAGTGATGATGAAGTGACCTTCGGGTCTAGTCTTGTCAGCATCTCGCCCTTCTCTCCACAAGCTCCTTCCGAGTCAACTTACGTATCGGTATACCAACAGACCCGGGTCTCGACAAACGGCCGGTCACCCAGACTAGGGAGCAACTGCCTCAACTCGGACCTCAGAGCATCTTCGCCCTCCAGTGGGACCGGGACCCCATTTTCCGGCAGACTGACTTCCATTGTCGCCCCTTCCACCCCAGGCACAGGCACCTGCTTCGGATTAACATACCCATAGGCATGGCGCGCGATCTTCAACAAATTTTTGCGCGGCGGGATAATAAAGAAGCCGGTCGCAAAGTTCAATATAGTAGGCATATCCTCCAACCGCCGCTGCTCCTCATCTGAAATCCGCAGAAACGCAACCGCCTGCCCCGTCGAGATCGCCCGCCCCCGAAGATCAACGAGCTTCGCCGTCCACGCCCCCGTCGCCAGAACCACCAGATCAGCCGCGACCGACCTCCCATCGGCCAAAAGCACACCCGTCACCTTACGCTGGTCGTCCGCGTACAGAAGCTTCGTAACCTCCCCCGTCGCAAAGCGAACCTTGCCTTCCGCGTCCAGAAGCTTCTTTGCATACCGCACTCCGGCTTCGGCGTCCGACCACCCGGATCCCCAGTTCACGTAGCCGCCTGCAACATTCAGTTCCTCCCCGTAGGCGTGCGCTACGCGGAGCACGTCTTTCTTCGTCCGCAGGAGCTCGACATTATCGCCTTCCAGCGGCTTGACATTACTGTAGCTCTTGCGCGCGTATTCTTTGCCGTTGGTGTTGCCTTCTGGGTAGACGAGGAGGAGCCCGCTTTGGTTGTAGCGATTATCCGAGGCGCCCCATTCGGTGGTGCGCCAGCGCTCGATGGCGGCGTTTGCGAGCTTTGTGTATACGGGGTCGGAGTAGTCGGCGCGGACAATGCGGGAGGCGTCAACGGAGGAGCCATGAGGGTTTGGGATCGTGGGCGATGCCTCTAGAACGGTAATTTGGCTTGTGGGGTGCCTCCGGGAGAGTGAAAGGGCGGTGGATACTGTGTTATAGTCAGCCAATGACCCCAAGAGTAAACATAGTATGAGGCCAATGCCATTGCACTTGTGTGGAATCAAAACTACAGAACTAAATGCAAGATCGTCGAGTACTAGCTCAGTATATCCATCACTCACATCCGAAGACACCGCCACCCACGATCAGGATTTTTGGTGGTAAAGCCATATCCAGTGCCGTTACACTGGGATAACACCGTCAAAAAAGGAGATAGTTGAATGCACCTTTTCCCGCGGAACTAAAATTCAGGCTGGGAGATGTAGTAAGAGCTCCGGGGAGGGAGGCGAAGGACCTTAAAAGTCGCTCCACGATCGGGAGCGGTATAGGAGCCCCCAAGGGTTTAGTTGCCGATATGACAACTGATAGAGCCTTGGCCCTTTTGCTTTTTTCGACAACTCGTTCCCATTCTTGCTTGGTCGGCTAATACCCCGGAAAATCATATGTTAAAACACCACCCATTGTGTCAAACATGCATTGACCATTTTTGTCTATTGTTCAAGATTGGGGGTTGGCATTAGACGTCTTCCGAACAGGATATATATCGGCCCGAGGATCTTGAAACCCCACGGCAATTGAATGACCATCGTATGATTATCACATCCCTCGCGCCCTTTCATCTACAACCATGAGCGCGTCCAGACCAGGCCGGTCCGCATTAAAGGCCAAAGTGCCTGTTCCCAGTCCCCAGAGGACCGGCAGTAGAATTCCGGTTGATGGTCTGGGGTTAGTTGCTATCCCCAACCCCCCTGGTAGAAGAAGTATTTAGATAGAAAGCCGGTTACCTAACCCTTTTCCAACAGCAAGAAGCCGCTACCAAGGCGGGCTAATCCGCATCTCACGAACCTCAGAGAGTCCCAGCCTCGCATGTCGCCTAGAGCAATGACCATTCTGGGCGTCGGTGTCCTCGGGATGAGCACGTACTGTGGTTATCTGTACGCATCCTACAGGCGAGAAGTAACCCACAGCCAATCTATGGATGTGCCACGTGATGTATCGGATCGATACAATCAGACGGCCAGGACATTTGACGCAGATGTCGAGATGTCTGAGAAGCTGATGCGGATGGGCAAGAAGCGGCGAGATCTTGTCCGGCAGGCCCGTGGCGACGTGCTCGAGGTGAGCTGTGGCACGGGCCGAAACTTGGAGTATTACGAGCTTGGGCAGCGGAGGCGACCCGATGAGAAAGGGCTCGTAGAGCTTCAGGGATGTCGCTCGGTTACGTTCGTTGATCTTAGCCCGCAGATGGTAGAGATCGCGCGAGAGAAGTTCCTGAAGTTGCACCCTGGGTTCAAGGAAGCTAGCTTCCAGGCTCAGGATGCGAAGGATGTGGCTCCTTCGGTGCCTGGGGAGAAGCGGGCTTATTTTGATACGGTCGTGCAGACCATGGGCTTGTGTTCGATGCCAGACCCCGTGGGCACGCTTCGCCATCTCGGGTCTATCACTGAGCCGGAAAAGGGCCGGATTCTGCTTCTAGAGCACGGTCGGTCGTACTATGACTGGTTGAATAGCATCCTTGATAATCTCGCTCCGGCCCATGCGGACCGCCATGGGTGTTGGTGGAACCGAGATATCGGGGAGGTTGTCCGGCAGAGTGGACTGGAGGTTATTGAGGAGAAACGATGGCATTTTGGGACTACGTGGAAATACGTGCTGAAACCGGCAACACGGTGATCAGCTTTTGATATTGTATATTAATGACAGAATACCATTTTGTAAAATCATACACACACACACACAAATATATATATGTATATTTAACTTGGATACAATCCCACCAGGAATACACAGAGTTACAGACACTACCCTTGCTCAAATATGCGAAACAAGATCAATACAGGGATATCCATTTTTCTACACAGTAGCATTGATATCACTTGATCATGGAGGCAAACTTAAGTATATAAGGGTTCAAGGATATGCCACGAGTTTGACCATCCAGTTCACATGATGTCATCAATGAATAACGTACAGAGTATAGGAAGCAAGGTGACGACATGGAAGAGTATAATTTTATAGCGTTATGCAATAATGAAACCCTTGCTGATGCAGTAGATAGAGTATAGAGTATATGTCTACTCGTCACCTACCACACCATGACAAGGAGAAGCGCTAAGCAACTACGGATGAGGACGGTGAGCATCGTGCCTTCCTTCCTAAGCTGGAAATGGATATAAAACTGGAATCGGTGTAGAATGAGGTCAAAATGGCGTTATGCACATACAGGGTAACAGTTACCTTGGTAATGTATGTGCAACACCGATATCTATCATGTACCTGTACCTGGGACCTTGTGAACCCCTCGCAGACTAGAAAGGTCGGAGAAAAAAAGGACGACAAAGCCCAAAAAAAAGAGAAGAAAACCAATATAGGATCCTTGCCCGATTGGATATCCATGATTAAGGTTTATCAACCTTGTCAGTACTACTAAATAGTGGTTGATGATGCTACGGAGTCCTCCGTATGGACATGGCATGGTTAGTATATCTGACATACTTTCCGACTAGGGTTTGATACTGTCCCGGGAAAGTTTTGAGTCCGGTTGGTTTATTATTCATTATCTTTTTTACCCCCAAGAGGCCCCCATCGTCTCGTGCTCAACCTGACTAGGAAGACGTGTAGAACTATCATAAGCGGAAGAGTCTGTACTGCCGCCCTAAGATGCATTTATTCCACCCGGGAGGGTGGGGAGCAGAAGAAGGTATGCATGGACACGTACAGCCTGTAAGCATCTACGTATGTAGTATGTAAGTAGGTATTGTAGATCAACTTCGGTATTACCCAGTTCATTTTTATTTTTATTTTTATTTTTGTTTTTATCGTAACTGTCTATCACCTTGAGACGAGGAGACTGGGAATGTATATCATCCCCCGCACCTCCAAACGAGTTATGTAACCCTCATTGTAACAGGTTGGAGACCCCTTTCCCCAGGCAACGAAGTTGATACGAGATACGGGGTGGGAATAATGTCACCTAAACTTTTTTGTGAAGTATGTCGATAGGTCGATAGCTCTACAGCGCCAGTATTGAGGGGTCCATACTCTGGATAGTATATCAATTATCATTTTGCAGCACAGATACGGAGGACATGATCCCTAATCACTGCTTATCGTTCTGGATAGATTAATCCCTTGCATGCGGGTGATACATCACACATCCCATCAACGACATGTATGCATGGGCAAACACCTGCAGCGCCATGGCCTTGGTCAACAAGCATGATCGCTCTATGCTGAGTTATCTATCTATCAATGGACGAGTCCAACACAGCTTTACCCATGGCATTTTCCACTGGATTGGACATTGCAGTGGCGAACTGTTACTGGAATAAGATCCATTCCATTTCCATTTTTCTCGACTCTCCATTGCTTTGGTGGGTAGACTATCCTAGCGCCTCCTTAGGTTCATCCGATTGGATTCCTTCCAAATCTTCTAGACGGCTCGGTATTTACTCCACTACGCCCGGTCTGATTTGTCGTTACTCTCCAAACGGTGGCGCTAGGAATGAGATTCCACGGAACCCGCTCTTTCAACGGTGGGGACTTGATGCTGCTGCGATTGGCCTCGTTTTGCCTTTGGGTTCCATTGCCCTTCTGGGTTAGTGCATGGAGCGAAATGCATAAGTCTTAACCATGTCTGGCACTAGCTGACCCGCACTAGGCGACTTTGTTCCTAGCCTACCTATTTGACCCTTGCCTTGTTTTTATTTTCTATTTATTTATTTGTTTTATTTTTTAAATTATTTTTGTGTTTTTGCTCGTCTAGTCTCCACCCCGTCGTCCTCAAACTACGGTGGCATGTCTGGTGTACCATGGGATAGATTCAGCAATGATGCACTTACCCGTAGACGGTGCAGCCTTTTTTCTTCTCTTTGTCAAGAACTGAAGTCTACTTCCGAGGCCGAGACAATGTCCTGACAAGTCGTAATTCTTCCTCAGTATGTACGTTAGAGACCCTGAGGTACATGCACCATGTGCGCAGGCCACCAAAATACCCATCGGCAAAGAGGGCAATATAATAATAATCTAAATTACGGTGACAAGATGTCGGTGAGGGAGGCCTGAAAATTAGTCCCATTAGACGGTGTAGAAAGGACTGCATTTAGACTGAAGGTCAGAGCTCGAGAACTACAATCTATACAATGGTTGATTGTTTATTGATTGCTCTCGATCCGAAATTCTTGCGCAGCAACCAAGTCCCAGGAGCTAAGTTACCAGACTTGCCTCTTATGTTAAGACTCCTCGGCGCATACTCCATCAGAAAGCGTCCATGCAGAACCTCAGTTGATCGCCGCCGCCTCCCCCGCAGCCAATCAGCAGGGCCGATATTCATCCCGGTCGTCATAGACACATGGTGGGCCCCACCAGGTCCTTGTACTTTTTTCGCCCCTTCATTCGGCCGCATGGATTGTTGTAGGCCGTCCGGTACGGTACCCGTATGTATCTCTGTATGCACACACAACGCACTTGCTTTAGGGCATGGATAGTCTCACTGGGGAAATCCAGCGGTGAAGGTGGATTGGAGGAGATAAATTGTTTTTGTTATTTTTCTTATTTTATTTTGATCACCAACATGGAGGGGTAAACGGGTGGGAAAAAAAAAAAAGAACATGTTGAAGGAGGAAAAACCAAAACAACCAAGAATTTTTTTTTTCTCCTTCTGGCATTCTTGGAAAGGAAGAAAGCCCCATTTTGGATGTCCAACCAATAAGCATCAAAAAAAAGCACCCGCTTTTTTTTTTTTTTTTTTTGCCTCAAAAATTTTTCATTTTTTCCCTTTCTTTGCTCCTGTTAGCACTAGCCTCCTTCAGTACCTTCCCTCCTAAACAAAAAGAAAGAGAAAAAAAAATAGTGAAGATCGAGAAAATTATCCACAGCCAAACGGCGATTCCTCAAAGCTGCGGAATTCTATTACTATTACAATTATTTTTTGATCATTTTTCTTGGTCGCCGCATGTCTTTTGCTCCATCAAGTCCCTAAATCTGGCCAACGAACTGCGCTGTGATTATCCTATTCTTCCCGCACACCCGGTCGGGAGGTATTCGCAGCATCATTATCACCGCCATCGTCTCCCTTTCCCTTTCCCTCTTCACAACCCCATCCTTATACTTCTTGTACTTCTCTCACCTCATCACCCTTTAACCTTCCTTCTTCCTCTACTCTCTCCCCCCCCCTTTGTGTTACTAGTGTCTATTCTTATTCTTATCCTTATTATTAGTATACTAGTTGTGTTGTTTCTATATCGCTTTGGTTTGTGTGTTTAGTTGTACTGTGTCTGCTATTATTATTATTATTATTGTGCCTTTTATCTAGAACTCCTATCTTTCCCCTCGTGTATCCTACAACTTTACTACCAAAAGTTCACTCCTTCATCAACCATGCCTTATAATACTCGTCGCAAGTCACTCTCGCTTCCGTCCCTGGGCATTCATCTTCCTAGTGCCTCCCGCCGATCCCCGTCTGCCTCGAAATCGCCACACGCGACCGACGAGCAGCAGCCTCCCTCCAAAAAAGTAAAGAGGTCGCACGACTCGGTTTCGCTATCCCCAGAGCCTACCGCCGAGTCGATACCAAACGCGAAGGAGCGGGTGCCTGTACGTTCGACTGGTCGGCGCGGAGCGCTGGAACAAACGCCACCCCCATCCCCCCTCGATGGAAGTGTTGCGCCCAAGATCGATACGGAAGGCATCAACGATGATATCGTGGTCGGCGTGATAGAACAGTTGGAGAAGACAGGGAATCGCCCACATCTGGTCAAAGAGCTCGCCGCCGTTCTAGTGACGCTCAATGAGAATGTCGCAAAGTATGTCTTGAGTGATAACCCTCCCTCATTCTTCGATGTGATTGCTAATAGTTTTGATGTCTTATAGCTCCGCGAATCCCGCCGCTCTTCTGTCCTCCCGATTGAGCACATATATGAAGCGTCCTTGGACGGCGCTCGCACCGTGTCCTCTGGCAAAGGAGCTGATTCCAGTTCACCCTCGCAAAGTGTACTATTACCTCTCAACGTCTCCCCGTCAGCCTCTGCCGGAGAATTCGGACGATATTATCATCCCGGGCGTGGAGGGGAAACACATCACGCCCAGCGTGTCTAGCGCCGATATGGACGAGGAAGACGCGTTGACGCGGGAAAGATCGCGCCTCAGCCCGAGTCCGGAGGTGGACCTATCCTCTCCCGACTTCGAGGAAGAGAATATTGATCTGGATACCCGTGATGATAGCGTGGCGAGACAATGTGGTACCGATTTTGACCATCAGCACGCGCGCCTCATGCATTCGAACCGGGCCGCGTCTCCCCCACTGGAGGGCGACGAAAAGGAGTTCACCCAGACTGCCAGTGCCGTTCGCGAGCGGGCCTCGGGGCAAAGATCAGGCCAGCTCGAGAAGTCCATCTCGGCGCTTTCGGAGGGGCTTAGCGAACTGGATGATGGAGCTATGAGCATTGCCGGGACTCCTGTAGAAGATGGTCCGCTCTCATCGATCAGTGGGGACCGGATGTCCGACAGTCCAGATGTCGACTATTTCTCCCACGGCGGGTATTTGGAACAGTCTTCCCTACAGGAGCAACTGCGACAACAGCAAGACCTTGATGAGGCTGCCGCTGTTGCTTTGTTTGGTACTTCACCCTCCCCATCCCTCACGTCGGTGGCCTCATCACTCTCGTCTGGCACGAGTGCGGCTTCGGACGATGGCCTCGATGTCGAAGTGAACGTAGACAGTGTGGCGACTGCACCACAGATTAGTCTTCCGGAAGATCCCGTTATTGCGCCTGTGTCGGCACTGAAGCGGTCCATCGACATGCTCAACAGCGGGGTTCCAGACCTGGATATGAAGATGTCGGATCTGGTCGAGCAGGACAGTAAGATGTCACTTGTTCCCAGGCCCGTCGCGGACACTGATGTGGAGATGGTTTTCGATTCCTGGAGAGAGATGCAGAATCCAGAGACCGTCGATGTCCACGAGCTCGATGAGATGTTCGGAGAGATCTGAGCATCGGATGTAACGCACTTCTACGTCCATACTGCTATCGATAGACTCGAGGCGCTTGGGCCTCATTCTAGACCTCGACGTCTAGTTCGAAATGTCTTATCATCTCCACTCCCCGTTGCCGCAGTCTCTTGGTCTACGTCCTGTCGTTCCGCATTCCTCTTACTCTAATTTTGTACAGTTCCCTCTGCTTAATGCTTGTTTTGTATTCCTCGAAATATTTATTCCACTTCTTCGGCCCGAGAGCCTTTTTCACCTGTACATATATTGTTGTGTTCTTTTCTTTTCCCCCCTTTTTTTTTTTTTTTTTTTTTTTTTTTTTTTCTTTTTTTTTTTTTTTTTTTTTTTTTTTTTTTTTTTTTTTCCCCCTTTGGTCCGCTTGACTCTTTTTTTGGTATTTTAATATCCCCTGACTGGTTTAGGTGTACATGTTTCGTCGTTCTATTACGGAGCGAATTGCCGTGTTTACTAGTCGGCGTGATGGGAGAAGAGATAAAAAAGGAGACCGATATTGTCGATGAAGTCGCTAACGGCCAGAGGAATGTCTACGGGTGAAAAAGAAGAAGATTTATGTTTGATGTCTCTATGTACATTTAGCGCCTGTGGACTCGAATTCTACAATTAACGATAGTGTGCTCTTACCACTTCTTCCCGATCTGCATGACGCACAGCGAGATGTGTATGATTATATAGCCAGTGTCGTCATCGCGGTGTTGATCTAAATTTAATCAGAAAGCCGATGACAAGTCCCCTGGTTGTGGCCTGTGATTGGCAGACTCCCCTTGGTAGTGGCCTTCCCCGCCCCGCCCTCGCATCAAATTCCCATCCATTCATTCCTCCACCTTCCGTCATGGTCCTTTCTTCTAATCCCGGACCATGATGTTACTGTTCCCATTCTCGACTCGGTAAACTGCTGAACTACACGGCTGGTGGGCAGAGACTCTATCAACAATCCCTTCTATCTCGACACTGTCGACGACTTCACTTGTCCCCACTTCTATGCACGATGGTAATCTTCTCGTTTGAGCGCTTGTCTCATAGTCGGTTTAAGCAATGAACGCCAGACTTGTGTGAAACGGAGTACCCAGAATACGTGATCACTTGCGCCAACCGCATTGTTTATTACAACAGCTACACCCTAGTATTCTTCGCTCATCTATCGCTGTGTGGCGAGACACCGCCAGGTCTCAACATTTAGTATGGATGCGCCTCCCAATCATCCCCAGTTGGCCGATGGCAGCTCCATGCCTACCCCGAGCTCCTCCGATACTCAGGATAATTTTATGGCTACTTCGAATCCTCCCGCCGGAATGGGCACCGCATCGCGTACTGTGCATATGTCCAATATACCTTCCCGAAATAGCCTACTTGGAAAGAAGCAATTCACTAATGCGAAAGTGGCCATCCCTCGGCAAAGATCTGGGGTTGCCCCTGGCTATAGTCGACGTGTGCCTTTGGCCTGCGAATCCTGCCGCGGGCGGAAAACAAAGTGCAGTGGTGACACGCCGGTTTGCAGACAGTGCAGGGAGCTGAGGGTGACTTGCAAATACCCAGCGTCATGGAGGGAACGAACTCAAGGGTATGGGGGAAGCTCATGTCTTCTTCCTGTGCTTAGTCCTCGACGGCTGACTTTCTCTCTACCTATATAGGCAATTGGACAGCCTCGCTGCGAAAGCCCAAGCGTACGAGAGGTTATTGAGAGACATTGGAAACGTTGTGGATGGAAGAACTGCAGAGCAAATTAGAATTACCTTGGAGAAGGTTGGTGCGCTTTCGTCTGCTCCGTTGATTATATATGCGTAAGTGTCCCTGACGGTAAAGTAGTATTCTAGTCCGGGTGGCGAGCGTGCTTCTACTGGCTCTCAGTCAAGTTCCGCGACACCCCAGGATAAGGACAGTTGTATTGATGAAGTGAGCTCTTCCTCTTCTATTGGGTCCCTAGACGCTATCGACCGTGTGGATGAAGATCTGAATCGTACTGCCCGCTCTCGAGCTACTGGTTATATGGGGAAGAATTCCGAGGTCACTTGGATGCAGAGATTGCGAAAGGAGACAGAACAACGCATGCGGAAGCTGCCTGGAACCTATAATGCGGAGCCCGAGGGTCAACTCGCCATTCATTCTATGAATTACCATCTTGATGATTTGGATATCTCAGTCCCCGGCCCGGTGCAGGTGTATTGGATGCCCCCTCGACCAGTGGCGGACAAGCTATTCGAAGACTACTTGGAAACGGTACACCCATTCTTTCCCATAATCAGCCATACACTATTCCGTGCACAGTACAGAACCTTCTTCGAGAGCGCTGCGCGCCCTGGCGACAAATGGTTGGCCATCCTTAACTTGATCTTCGCCATATCCGCCAAGCATGCCCAACTAACGCAGGCACCGTGGCATGGGGATGATAACGATCATTTGGTGTATTTAACTCGGGCTCGAATCCTTAGTATGAATGGCGATGCTCTATTTAGCCACCCCGATCTTCAGCAGGTGCAGGTTGAGGGCTTGGTTGCTTTCTATCTTCTTGCGTCGGATCAAATTAACCGGTATGTTTATTCCTTTTGCTGCATGGATGGAGCGCGCTGCGGCTTTGAACATAATACTGACCAATAAATTAGAGCTTGGAAAATCACAGCTTTGGCCGTGCGCTCGGCAATCTCATTGGGATTGAACATGAAGAACACTAGCGAAGGCACACCGGGAATTTCTAAGGAAGCGCGCTATAGGGTCTGGTGGTGTGTTTATACTTTCGAACACATGCTTGGAATTATGACGGGCAGAGTTTCCTGCATTACGGATGGAATATGTACAACACCTTTGCCTCTACCATTCGAGGAAGACCAACTTCGAGAGCCGGCCGCGACCAAGCTTCTCAATGACCCAGCCGTCCGCCAGGAATTGGTGGAATCGCCTCTAGCAAGCTCTCTTGTTCGACACATGCCCTCAAATCCTCACAAGGGCAGGGAAGCGAAACATACAGACAAACTGCGTGATACTTCATGGTTAAAGAGCCAGCCCATTAGTATGGCGCTTATCTTCCTTTATTATGTTGATCTGGCCGTTGTTGGCCAGGAAATAGTCAACCGGGTGTACTCACTGGATTGCGTCCTGGTACCGTGGAGGCACATTGAGAACCGTATCGGGGAGCTCCGATCTCGGATTGACGTTTGGTACAGCAACCTCCCAGAGGCGTTGGACTTCTCCCGGCGTGAAGATCAGGGTTTAGGCATGCTCCGTGGGAAACTCTTCTTGGCATTCCATTACTACAGTGCTCGAATCACCTTGGGACGTCCGTGTCTGTGTCGCCGCGATGCTCATCATACTAGCCCTCAGCAGAAGCCCTCTTTTAGTCACGAAATGGCGGAGATGACCTTGAACTCTGCGCGCCAGATGTTGGGCTTGATCCCGGATGAACCTGACCCTGTCCAACTCTATCAGGTTTGCCCTTGGTGGTGCATCCTGCACTATCTTATGCAGACGGCTACAGTTCTCTTGCTTGAGTTATCGTTCGGTTGTATTCATATGCCAGCCGAGGAGAAAGGTATGTTCGAAGCGTCCAAGAAGGCCGTACGCTGGCTCTTTTCCATGTCTGAATGTAGCCTCCCGGCACGGCGTGCATGGGAGCTGTGTGACGGCAACCTTCGGCGAATTGCCGTCGGCATGGACTATGACCTGAGTGACCTTCCCACGCCTGGCTTTGATTCAAACTCGCACGTATCTATGGCCCCAAACGCTGTTAGTGGTGTTGAAATGGGCGTACCTGTCAACCAGACAACGTCTATACCTGTTTTCTACGACGCAGGCGGCCGTCCAAATCAACAACCCGCTCAGCACGGGTTCCAGTATGACCAGACCCACCAAGCGTACCCCGGGATCCCATCGATTGACCCAACTTTATCGACCCTTGCCCTTTCTTCTACTGGAACGGATGCGTTCTTCCCTTACGACCCCATCAGTGGGGAATTCATTCGCTCATTCTTTCCCATCCCCCATGAGGAAGAGTCATGGGATCAAGCTTGAGCTGCCTGAAAGATTCAGTTCTTTGTATAAATTACTACCATCATTTCTGTTGGTTACTGAGGGGTTATTTTCCCATCTGTTTGTTCTTGTTCTTGAGGAATAATCTCAAGATCTCAAATGCTTTATATCACTCCTATTATGCGCGGTCATTCGCATGGGTTGGATTTCACAAAATATCATCGTGCAAGGAGTTATTGTGAGAAACATTGGGAGTTTGCCCGTACGGTGCTAGTGCTGTGGTGATAGATGATGGGTGGTCGGCTCATGATTTTGTATGATTCTGATGAACTTCTCCGGAATTGGCTTTTGTCTACCTAGCTATGCCTAATGCACAACCGAATTACTTTACAAACCAGGCAAACGTGTACAGTTTAGGTAGCCGTCCAGGAAATAACGCTTGAATAACAAGTGAGCGTTCTGCTCAATGCTATATACATATTCCATTATACATTTGGTATCTAACACATCTATAATATAATACAAAAACAATACAAAAAATTTCCAAGATATAGTATTCATGCATAGTACAGGATAAAATCGATCAACCACCCTACTCACGATCCACATCTTCCTGCACCAGAGCACCTTCTCTCTGCAGTCGCTGTTTCTTCATTCTCCTCAGCTCCTTCTGCCTCCGATATACAAGGCCTCCAACCTCGCGGTTGATATCCGGTCGGCGAAGACCGAGGGCCTCGAATTTCTTTATGCAGAATTCAAGAACGCCCCTTGCTGGATTCTGAGAATAGTCGATTGTTGATGACTGGGCGGGTGATGAAGCATCGGCGACAGGGCGCTGATGTTGGGCTTCATAAGCCTCATGTTCTTTCAAGGCCGCTTGGGCGATGATGCGGACGGTAGTGAGATTTGGGAGGATCAGCTTTTTCTGCACGTGTTTGAAATATCTTTCGTCGAAGTGGGGATCACCCTTTTTCGGGTCTCGTTCTTTGTTCAGGTAGAGACGGGGGATGCCGCCTTTTTGGAGACGGCGGGTGGACGGAGACTGGACGTCGACGCACCATGTGTCCCAGAGGCGTTTGCCGGCTGTGCTGCCTTGGGTGTCGACTACGGCGGAGAGGATGGGGTGGAAGGCGGTGGGAGGTACGTGGGGAATGGTGCTTCGGGCGATCTTTTGGGAGCGGAGGTTGGAGGATGCGGCGAGGTCGTGGAGGGCGCCGGGGATGGAGAGGAAGAGGCGGTGCAGTCCGTAGAGGGATCGCTCTTGGTAGTTGTCCCTTGGGTGCAGTTCATTGAATTCACCGTCCAGGATTCGTAAGAGAATATTCTTTGCTTGTTCTAGATTTCTGGTATGGTCTTCTGCTTTTGTTGCGTCGGATTCGGTCTTGACAATATGGTCTAATCTGATGATCTCAGCCGCTAATGCGGTGACATTGCTGTGACCCCATGATTTTGAGCGGTAGCCGCGGAGATATTCTAGTATTACAGTTACTAGGTCCCACTGATACATTGTGATCCGGTAGTTCAACAAGGCTCGCAGGGTGTTCGCAGAGAGGGGCTGTGTGAGAGACTGGACGACTGAATCACAGAGCGCACTATTCTTGGTAGCGGCGGCGAAACGAATGATGGATGGTGCCAGGGCTTGGTCCCCGTATGCGCTGGAAGGGATCGGGGGCCCGTCAATGTCGTTCGAGAAGAGCAGCCATTCGCCAAATGTGAACGCTCGGGACACTGTTACCAAGTCGAGAATTTCGGCTAGAGTAACAGCTGAGATTTGGGGCATCGATGATTCAAATGGCTTAAGAGACGCAAGGTCGCTGCTATCGAAAGTAGGAAGGTGTTCGTCATGGGACAAGTCGACCCGCGAGGAGAAGAACTCGCCTATGCGTTGCATTTTGCTCTTGTCAACTACAGTCTGGAGCCAAGTGAATGAGTCCATCGCATCTCCGCATAGGCGTTGCCGAGAGTAAAACCGGATGTTGTGTTCAATAAGTGTAGCTAAGGCTGTTGTCTCATCATATATCTGAGACGGCTGGAGTTGCTCCAGCTCCTCCTCGTCAGGGACGTGTAGGTCATTGCTCTCCCAGGGCGGAACAATATGAGGAATGGCTCGGATGAACTCGTCAAACGCCCGAGGATCAGCCTCTGGGTCGATACAGCCAGATTCGAGAACACGAAGAGTGAACCAGTTAGATCCCTTAGATGTGGCTAATGGGGTATCATCCATGGCTCCTTGAGCAATTGTGAACTTGAGCGAGGATATATGACGTAGAAGCACGGCCGAAGTTATACCCCGGAAGCCTAGTCCACGATATACCCAGTTGGGAAGATTATCCAACAATGAAGCGGCTACTTCAAGACTGATTGTTCGCTCCCCGAGTCCATTGAAAGGGGAGGGGCTGCTGCGCTTTCGAAGAGACGAAGGACCGTCAACCTGAGCCGGATGGCGCCAGGATACTTCCGAGTCAACTTTTGTTTTCCACACCGACTCTGGATGCTCAAGGAGGGGCCTCCAGCTTTGAAATTTCCAAGCCAGATCCCCCTTCCGTGTCTTTATTTGGTCAATCAACCATATACCCTCTGTGATATGTCCATGTTCCACACAACACCAGAGAATAAACTCTAGCCAGATTTCAGGTCCAAGTTCTCGGATCCCCATCTTGAAGGGAAGGAAAGGGGAGTCTTCGCCTGCTGCAGCCGCTTTAGCGGCTACTTCTGCTTCATGTACGAGCCATACTGCATCCGACAGGACACTCATGATATGATTAGAGAGTAGATGCATCGTTGGCGGTCGAAAGGCGACCTGATGGCTATCCGGGGTAGCATACTTGTATACTCTGTCAGATACCGCACCAGAGTGGTGCAGACGCGCAAGTATCCGGAACACGTAAGACATTGCCAGCTTTGAGTCATTTGGCGAGACATCAGCGGCGCCAAGCACAATCGAACCTAAGCTCTGCCATACTTGCGCCATGAACCGCCGGGAATGATCGTCCGCAAAGGGTCTTTCAGTCAGCGAATCCAGGCTTGTCAACTCAGATACCTGCACGGCTGGGTCTGGCGGGAGTTGCGGAGCCGATTCTATGCCTTGACCGGTAAATTGGTCAAGCGACACACTAGACTCATAGCCCCAGCTGTTGTTGGACAGAGTCTTAAAAGTGAGGGAGGCGTCGTTCAAAGCATCTGTGGCATCAAGTAGCTGACTCAGTAAAGTATAAACAGCAGGCCAATTGTTCAACCGGTATCCAAGATGGGCCAAGAGGTCCAGGTTCCCATAATGTCTTGCGTCGAACAGCAAGCTGCTTAGTTCGATTGTCCGAGTGAGAGACTCTTGGGATGCAGCGCCCGGTTCGGAAGACGGCAGCAGGTATTGTTCCAACAGTAAAATCCATGCCTCCGGATTTTTTTGCTGCGACCCAGCTATAGGGGATTTCTTATTTTCCGTTTGGACGTGGTCTCGCAGTAATCGACGGTCGATCGAAGGGCTAGAGAACTGGCGACCCCATTGCCGCCTTCCCGAGAAAGGTCTCCCGACTGGGAGCCCTTTGCGCTGAGAGTAGCTAAGCAGGCGATACAAGGAGACTGATGAGGTATGGAGCAAGTGTGACCTGCGGTCCAGACACAGCAGACGACCTGGACACAGGCACCTTTTCATGACACGACGGAGGATCTATCGGACAAGACCTGCGGGCGGAGGAAATGCAAATCTCGATGTAGCCGGCGGACGGACGTTCTGTAGTGCATGTCTAGCCATTCAACCGATCTCGCATTGCCCTGATGATGATCTAAAGTAATCTCAATTGTTCTGGCTGGCTGTTGGTTTCACCTTGATGAGGATTTGCGGAATTTCCACCGCAGAACGCAGAAAAAGAGTCCCCGATATAGCTGACTCAGCAGAAACACCTGACCAATCAGCACCCTCTAGTCACCTATATATACTATGTATGTACTTAAGTAGTACTTTTCCACGAAGGTTTACATATTTATATCAACTAACTCTTACGCTCTTTCAAACCCATATTTGATACAAAGAGCCTTTAAAGAAGACTACACGATATTGATTTCCTCTACTATAAAACATGGTGACGGTGTTCCTCCAAACGAATGGCTGATCCAGCAATCCATCCATTCAGAGACCGACAAAACTCACTCCCCCTGCACACAACGAATGCCAAGGGCTCTCTCAACGGTTGATCCGGACGTTGCGGGACCATCTAGTCGAAAATCGGGCGGACCTGCCGGGGGTGTCTGCGGTGGAAAGCAAAGACCGGAGAGCTATAAGGAGGCGGAACTCCGCTCGAGGAAGGAGTGGGCCACGAAATCGTAGGGATAGGAACAATGCCGGTGGGACGGGAACCTCCTGTGGGCCACGGAGTAACTAAAGGAGTGGTGGAAGGAGTCCCGGAAGGTGTTGCGGTAGGTGTTCCAGAAGGCTAAAGCGATTGTTTAGCGGATTTCCGCAGTTCTATAGCATGGCCACTCACAAAGGGGAAGGGCAGGATAGAGACTCTGCCAAGGTCCTCCTGGGCGATAGCCGGGGCAACACAAAGAGCAGCAGCAGCTCCCAAGATTGTGAAGGCCTTCATGATGAGATAGATTCAAATGTTAAATGAGCGATATCGTATCCGCCGGTTGTATGTAAAGGAATGGAATGAATGTGTACAGTTTGCGAAGGAAAGTCCGTGCACAGCACTGGTAGAGAAAAGAAAGAAAGAAAGACTGAGAGAAACAGACAGTCGGTTGCGATCTATGAATTTATATATCTACAAGAGGGCCAAGAATCGCTTTTCTTTTCGAAAAGGATGATCCTGATCAGCAGAGCCACATCCTGACTGGGGATGAGTGGAAAGAGCCCTGGTTTTGTTAGGGCTAGGTGGATTCGAAAGCAGACCGTCAAGGCCCTGATCGGCTTCGCAAGACCGAGAGCTCCTAGACGAAGGGGCTTCGGAAAAGCGTATGGTTGGCCTATCGAAGCGCCGGGAATATAAGACACGGGAGAGACGCTGCACTAGCTACCTGAGCGCATCTCTTTTGACGGCTCTCCAGATAATAATCCTAGGTGGAGGGAAACAAGCCCTGGAGCTGCCCCTTTGAAGGCCCAGTCGCCAAGCAAGGATGACGCTAAGACGGTATGACATTGAGAAACATATATCGGGTGAAGATCTTCAGTTCCGTTCACATAATTTGATCCATCAATAGGATCACTCTGCTGTCGGGTTGGTTGGCACTGGGTGGGTAAGCAGGAAGACTCGTAATTCCACCAGACGACGACGGCTTTAGGCAATTGAAATCTCGTGTTTCGTTTTGCTCCTGCCGATCAATTGCCGTCCGACGGTTGCATTTCGAGTGCGGAGTGGGTTCATGCTGTGTCGGCTGAAACGAGTTCATAGCGACGATCACCAACCCTATCCCCGGTACTCCAATCATAACGATATTTTCACTGAGCGATGTCGCAGGTTGATCAAGGTCAGTGGGCTGGCGTTTAAATTCCTTTTCAATGCCCTCAATTGAGATCGAGACATGCCTGAAACTCCTATGGGGCAGTGGAATCGTGGTAAGAATCCAGACTGCTCGATCATATGAATTGGGGATGATGATTATCATATATACTATACTGTCTTTCACCTACCCCTAAAGAGAGTGGGAAGGAAGAATATCCCTAATGGTAGGAAAACTTATATACATACACTCTAGTGTATGACACTATTAACAAGAGAACGGCCGAAAGAAAGGTATCATTAGACATAACATCCCACATCCCAAGCCATTCAAAAAAGGAATAGAAAATTGATTTAAAAATGAGCACAACACCCCATACCCAATCTCCCAATAGCGCCACAACAAGGATATAATGCAAACAAAAAAACCTACACGCTGAAAGGAGAGCCATATGTCTGACTGGAGATCACAAATGCCACAGCCTTGAGCCGACCTTGCTGCCCTCTATTCCAAGAGAAGCGGGACAAACTAGTCGAACCCCTAGCGATCATTATCAACTATGGCGCGGAGAAACTCATTGAAAACAACTTCACAATTCTTCCTCCGGAGGAATTTCATCCGTCGGCGCCATGTCATTTCCAAGCTCCTGTTCAACTTCATCAACGACGAAGCTCTCGTAGTCTTCAAGGCCCTTCTGGACGTGGACTTTGAATCGAATCACGTCATTCAACATGCTTTCCACGTTGGTGTGTAGTTCCTCCCGTAGCGCATTCGCTCGAAGGGTAAGTTGCTCATATTCAATATTCGTGTTCATTTCGCGTTGCTCCATGAGTTGAACGCTCTCACTCATGGTGGCCCGCATCTTAGCTAGTTCCTTCTCCATCTTCTCGATCTGGGCATCAGAGGCAAGCTTCTGCGTGGTAGTGATTTCTTTAGTGCGCTCAAATTCTTCCTCCGCAGCGCGCCGTCTATGCTCCAAAGCTTCCACCTCGCTTCGCTTCTCATCCATGGCCTCCTTGATGTTATCCAAAAGATTGCGCCGGTCTAAATCATCATCTGCCGCGCGCTTTCGTCGCTCGTTGACATCCTTGCGCAGGGCCTGCAAACTGCTGCGGACCGTTCCCCGCAGGTCCAGACTCAGTAAATGTGCCGGATGATAACCTGTGAATGGATCTGCTAGCAACCTATCGCCCTCCGGCGAAATCCTGCTAGGTACGGAGCCGATCTGCGATGCGGAGAAATTGCTTGCGTTGACGTTGAGACTGAGCTCATAGTCCTGGCCTTTTGCATTGACTGCAGATGAAGGGATCAGGCCGGTCTGATAGCCCAGTGTGTTGTAGGTCTTGACGACCTCCTCTAGAGCCTCCAGTTTCTCGCTGGCCTCTCTTTCCTTCTCCATCACTCGAGTGTGCGTCTCTTCCAGCCGGCCCATAGTATCATCAAGTATCTTTTGGAGACGATCGCGTTCCGTGTTCATGCGGTCAATATCTTGGATCGTGATACCCTGACCGTCGACACTGGATTGGAGACCTATCCGCTCTTCCTCGGCCGCTTGCAGGTCTGCATCGGTTTTCTTAACCTCATCCTCAAGGAACCTTATACGGTTTTCGTATTTTTCGATCTTTCCCTGGACATTTTGATTGTAGTCCTCAAACTTTCTCTTATCATCCTCCAAAATCCGGAAATGCTTATCTAGCTTGGCCATGTCGGGAGCACTCTTCTCCATCTCCTCGATTTGGTCGCGTAATGCGCGGTTCTCCGCTTCCAAAGCTTGCACTTCCTGTACATACTTTTCATTGCCTTTTTCAAATTCCTGTGCCATTGCTTCGATATGAGGGACTAGCCGCTGCCCGGCGGTCTCATCGTCTTCGTCCTCGCCGCCCTGTAGCCAGTCATGGTAAGCCCCCGTAAGGAACCGGAAGATGATGCGGTCCCCTGAAACATCTACGCCAGCTTCCGCGCAAGCCTCATCGTATTCTCCCAAAATAAACCTATCCATCATTTGGGCCAGTTGCATCAACCAATGTAGCATACCGAGGAACGTAGGCCAATTCTGACCTCCAACGGCTGCTATCTGAGACTTTGTGATGCCCTTCTCATAGGGATAGCGCAACTGCTTCAAAATTGGCGGCACTTCCGCATCCATGCTTTTCTGGAAACGGTAACCGGGATCAATGCGATGGTACAGCCATTGGAATATGTAATTGAAATCTTTTTGGGTTGGAGACCTTAATGTGTTTTGGCCCAAGGTATGTTTCATTTCCAATTCGAAGTTATTATGGGTGAGATACTCCAGAAGCTCCTGTCCAATCCGAGCTTGAAAGGATCTGTCTCTCAGGGGTCGTGGGTCCCTTGGGACGCCAGCAGCGTTAGGGACCTGTGTGAAGAAAGACTGGTGACCCATACCGCCGCCTCCCACGCCAGAAGATGGTCGCGAGAAGACGCTGCTCCTCCGCTGTAGGCTCTGGGATGCGGAGTTGGCAGGAAAGGATCCCGGCGCATAGCTTTGGCGGCCGCCACTGGCTCCGTGGAAGATATTGCTTGAGACAGAACGCCTCACTGATGAGAGACCTGCATCCGCTCCAAGAGCTCCCCCGGAAGATGAACGCTGAAAGTTAGGTTGTTGGGGGCGACTGGCAGAGTTCAACAGCGATATACGTGTTTGCTGGGCAGTAGACGGGTTCCCAAATGCGCCAATAGAACTGGTGCGCTTCAGAGCCGACGACGGTTGAGGAAGGGCAGAGAAGTGCGCCAGAGACTGTGTCAAAAATGTTAGTACTTTTCCAGAGTCAAATGGCGGGGTCATGCAATGAACTGAGTGCTATACCTCTCGGGGGGGGCGCCTGATGCTAAACAAGCCCGTATCTTGGGACATGATGGAGAGGAAGCCGCGACTGCGGCTTTGGTAACAAAACTCGACACAAATCCAACGGAGAGAAGGTTGGTTATGATTTTTTATTGAAGACCCGTACAAAAATAGACAAGACAAGAAACCAGAATTGGGCACCAAAAAGAGGTCAGTTGCGGTGGTTACAAAACAAAACGAGAAGATGTAAACAAGATATCCCACTTCATCCGTAAGCAGCAAGCGGTGTAGTCGCGACGGAATAACCATGTTGCGAAATGCCGAGCTATCACCGATCGCTGGACCGATCACGAGATTCTGGGGAATCTCCGCCACGAGCGGTAATACTAGAACCAGGACGGTACTTCCGAGGTCCATTGTCTGGTGCCGATAAGCTCTCTCCTTCCCTCTCCCTTTCCCGCCTTTCACGTTCAACTACTACTCTTCTTCATCCTCAACACAGCCACTTTAGATTTCTGTCACACCCTACATTTGTCTTGAATTGTTGTGAAGTTTGCCAAAATGGCTCGCGAGGAGCTCATCTCCTCTGCAGTAAGTTCTGCACTACCTAAGATATACTGTTTGCGGAATCGGAGCTGACCGACCTTGTGTCTAGATTACTTGTGCGTGGTTCCGACTAGCTATGAACTTCTCTCGTTTGAAATGCAATTGCTAACTGCTAAACAGTCCTTCAAGATCCGTCGGTAGCATCATCACCGATCGAGAAGAGGGTCGCATTTCTTCAGTCCAAAAATCTTACGAAAGAGGAGATCGACATTGCTCTCTCCCGAGCCGGTGAAGACCCATCTACGGCTACTGCAGTAACTGCATCGTCAGGATATCATCCATCTTCGCAACCACCCGCCTACCGACCTCCTCCACCTGCCCAAGGATATGGATATGGCTATCCCCCATATGGCCAATGGCAACCGCCTCCTCCCGAGTGCGTTGATCTCCGCGGAACTCTAGGCAGGAGCGCAAGTTAACAGACTACTTTACAGGCCCCCAAAGAGGGATTGGCGCGACTGGTTCATTATGGCCACGACAGTAGGAGGTGTAGGATACGGGCTGTATTTTGTCGCTAAGGTCAGTAATATATGACTTAATTCGTCCCATTGGAGCTTGGGATTAATGGGATCTGTAGCGCTATATCACACCCCTTATCGCACCACCCACTCCGCCCCAACTGGAACAGGACAAGGAGAACATTGATGAACAGTTTTCTCGTGCCTTTACTTTGATTGAGCAACTCTCTACAGACACCGCGGCCCTGAAGTCAGCCGAGGAGTCCCGCACGGAGAGGCTAGATGCTGCTCTGCGGGAGGTTGAGAATCTTGTGGCAGACTTGAAGAACGCTTCGCGTCGGCGAGATGATGAAACTCGTCGCATTAGCGATGAAGTCAAGTCTCTGAAAGATGCTATTCCTAAAGCTCTGGAAGGTGCTCGGGAAGGGAACGAGAACCGGTTGAAGGAGCTGGGAACCGAGCTGAAGAGTTTGAAGTTGTTATTGGGTAACAGGCTCGGAGGCAGCGGAGCCGCTACCTCCCCCAGCGTTGGGAAGCCCAGTGGCCTGCCGACTGCATCAAGCACTTCTCGTCCTACGGAAGAATCGCCCGCTGCTCCCGTCACCAACGGTTCCACAACGACATCGACTGAGCAATCCTCACAGCCGTCTTCTACTGGACCCACGCAGTCGAACCAGACCGCTGGTGCCGCCAGCAGCAGCCCTCTTTCCCAATTCAGCCGATCCGCTTCGATTCCTGCCTGGCAAATGGCCGCTGCCAACCGCTCCAAGAATGCGTCTCCTTCCACTCCCACTTCCTCCGCTGGGGACAACTCTACCGCGCCTGCCGGTGAGCAGAGTGCTCCGGCCAGCTAAAACCTTCACCGCTTCTTTCATGCACTTCATGTAGGTTCCATTTTTACTTTTACGCCGAATTTCCATTCCTATGATTGTATCCATTATGGGATAATGATTGTTTGATTGGTGATTATTATTACCGCTTTCATGTGACTAAGGATTCGAGAGGCTTAGCATAGTTGTAGCATTATTCTGGTTTGCAAAATGTTATAGATGTTCTGACAAACGTTGCTCTACAAAGGGTCATTCATAGTATTCATCTTCTAAGCATGATAATATACCGTATATTAGGAAAATCAACTTGCGACAGTATTGACTAAGTAAAGATCATTTAAACCCAATTTAACCTAATAAGGCAAAGCTTGGCATTGTCGGGACTTTCGACGTCAGCGGCCGATAAATAAAGCCATTTAATCAATTTAGTAATTCAACACCTCTTCAACCCCAAATACAAAATGTCCTCCCACGAACACACCTCCCACCGACATCCCCGATCCCACAGAAGATCCGACTCCCGCTCCCGCTCCCCAGACAGACACAGACGGCACCACCACCGAGATCGCGATCGCACCCACCGTCACCACCACAGAAACCACCACCATGACCGTCGTGAGCGCCACCCAGAACCACCCACAAAACCAATCGTCCTCCCCTTCCAAGCGCGAGAGCTCTGCAAGCGCGACCTACCAACCTACGAACCCATGTTCGCCATGTACCTCGATATCCAAAAGGGGATACTACTTGAAGATCTCACCGAAGACGAAGTCAAGGGACGATGGAAGAGCTTCATAAATAAATGGTAGAGGGCACCCATTTCTCCCGTTTCCAGATTCTAATCTGGTGTTGTTCCGAAGATCCGGACTGACATTTTAGGAACCGCGGAGAACTCGCTGAAGGATGGTACGATCCGAGTACCCTTGCGAAAGCGCGACAGAACGCCCAGGAAGAGGCTTCGGCTCCGGCTTCGAAGCGGCGCCGTGGGTCGCCCGAGTACGGTCCCGATGGTGATGATGAGGTCAGGGTACCCGAGGGAGATAATCTCGAAGAAGACGATGATGATTACGGGCCTGTTCTTCCGACGCATGATCGGTTGAGTAGATATGAGGGTCGCGTGGGGCAGTCGTCTGGCCCGACTATTCCTACGATGCAAGATTTGGAGTTGCGGAAAGGTATGGCTGGTTTTTGCTGTTATTTGGGGGATTTAGTGTGCTGACTCGCGTAGAATCTGCGGTTGAGGATGCGATTGCGGAACGGGAGGACTCGCGAAAACAACATCGTGCTGAAGTGCGCTCGCACCGGTCTGAGTTACGACGGATGGAAGATGAGGTTGCGCCGCGTGCTGAACCGGGTACACATGAGCGGCGTATGGAAAAGCGTCGCGAGGCTAATGCAGCGAATAAAGCCTTTGCTGAGTCCCGAAGGGGCGGTTCTCCTGATGGGGCTCCAGATGACGAGCTGATAGGGTCGGGGGACAATGACCTGGATGCTATCAAGAGGGCCAAGGACAAAGAGCAGCGGAAGAAGAACGAGCGAGAAATTAGGAGAGAGGAGATACTCCGGGCACGCGCTGCGGAGCGGGAAGAGAGACTGCAGCAATATCGACAGAAAGAAGAGGAGACTATTGGGTGGCTTAAGACGCTGGCAAAGCAACGGTTTGGATGATAGTCTACTTTTCCTCGTTGGGGATATTTCATCTTGCTAGAAGATGGTCTAAAGCAGTCCAAAGAGGGCTAATCCTTTAGCAGGTAACTAACCCTATTTAAAATTGCGAGTAATGTTAATAAAAAACGAATTCTACTGTCATGCATGAAAATATACCTATCTCGATCCTCTTCCTCTTTGGCCTAGTCAAAATGTAACCTCTAGAATTATGAATAAAACTGGCCCAGGCTCTAACTTCACGTACAACTGAATGTGAAAGATTACGATCTCGCATTGTTAATCCTGAGAAACCGTGTATATGATTGGGCTCTGTAATGGGATTTTTATATGGGTGTAGTAGTACACACCCATTCTCTCTCTCTCTTTTTCTATGTCTCCCAAGGCTTTAGTGCTCTGCGAACGCCTGAATCTAGCCCATATAATCCAAGTGTCATACACCAAAGCAAACCCATAAACTCGGGCCTTAAAATTAAACAAACACCATGGACAGTTTTTTTGGTTCAGAGCAGCCAAGGCCTAGGACTTTCTGCCCAGATCCAGGTTGGCAACCAACCTCAAGTGGTCAGTCCCATCCACGGGCGCATCGCCATCGAAGAAGGGCTTGACAGCTACTTCAACTGTCTCTTCGAAAAGACGGCCGACCACGGCTTCTTTGAGCTCTTCACCTGTCTGGGCAAAGTCCGGATAGGCGTTCATTTCGAGTAACCAAGCGGTCCCATTTTGATCAACAAGGAAGTCCACCCCAAAGAGCTCGAACGCGTTAGGGAGGGTTTGGAAATGAACCATCATACCGCGGGCAGCAGCCTCGAAGACTTCGCCAGTCACAGCGCAGATCTGATCAAACACCTTCTCTTTCCAACCGTGACTGAGGCCAGGGACATGGGGGTCCAATTGCCAGAATCGCCGGACGGTTCCTTCGTTAGCACTCCCGCCTTCTTGGAAGCAGGTATTCGTAAGATGTCTCGCGAGATCTGTAATCTGATCTTCATCTTCCGAAGGCGGGCAGTATGGCTTTGCGGCAAACAGAGCTAGCATCTCCTTGAAGACGTATACTTTCAAGGAACCCACGGCGAGAACATAGGTACGGATGTGGAACTTGCGATTGGATGACGAAGGGAGGAGGAGCGGTGGATCGATATATGGCTGTGCAATGAAATGGCGTAGTTGGGAGGTGACCACCCCAGTTCCATAATCGCCCGAGTGATCATCGGTGTCCTCTTCAGCTCTTTCCGATCCGCTGTCTATATCAGATTCATCGATTTCCCACTCCTCGAATATCTCGCGCAGTTGATCTTCGCTGTTGAAGAGTCGAATTCCCTGTCCTCGATCACTCATCCCGGGTTTCAGGATCCACCACTCCTTTTCGTGTTCAGGCAGTTCTTTGTTCTGCTGCAAGCTGTCCCGTAGCTCGTAAGCTTCTAGCAATGCGTCGTCGAGAAACTCAGCGTAGTCTAGCTCGAAGTCGAATGCAAATTTAAAATGTTTCCCTAGAATGCTGTCCGGATGTTTGGTAACCCAATTGGAGATTGTGTTGGATAGGTAATGTTTGCGAATCAACGCCTTGCGGATGATGTAGGCATTGGCCAAAGAGGAAGATGAATGCATCATGGCGTGTTCAAAGTCGAGACGCTCGTATTCACGATACTGGAATACAGGAGCAGAAGGAGACGGGAGGTCTGACAGTGAAGAGACCGTCTTATAGCGGTCCTTACCAAGGCGACGCTGCAGTGCTTGTTCCATCAAACTCTGGACGTATGGAACATCGCTGTCCACAATGGCGTATAATGTAGGCTCATCATTATCCGGTCTACTCGATATAAAACTATCAGATTGCCGGCCTTTCAAAAGAAAAAGAGCCATAGGTAACAAGCAATAGAATAATGCTAGGAGACATAAACAAAGCCAGAAGTGCGTCAAATAGCTTAGAAGTTTAAAGTTCCGCGCAACATTATGTTCTGAGCAATCACATCTAACGTTGGCTTGATTCGCCGAGAATTTCCACTCACAGCTTGATCTCCCCTTGAATACCGGGCTGATGCATGAAATTCGCTCTCAGAGGCGTAACGCTGATACATGTTAACGACTATCAGAACAAACTACTTGGGCATGATATCGTTGACATACCTTGTCATTCCTTCTTTGACAACCCAGCCATCATTCCCAGGTGCGCCTTCCTCCACGCTCCTATATACATCTGAAAAGTCTGGCGCCCACTGGAAGTGTTTGTGCTGAATCCGAGACCTCTTCATAAAAGTCCCATTGGTTTCTGAAGATGAATCTACACCGACCTTCTTGTCTTGGTGTCGTACCTCGTGTTCCTGCAGTTCTGGGTTCACATTAGGCACCGAGGCATTGACAGCTCGAAAACAACTACCGGATGTCCAGCGGTTATCAAGCATCTCAGTATAAAGGACCTTGCTCTGGCTCACACCAGGTTCCAATGGCACATTTACACTGTAAAGATCCACACCATCGGCCCAATTATTCGCAAGATACTCGATCAACCGAACCGAATGACGTGATGCCTCGGTAATCACAACGGGGTCGTGGTCCCTTGAACTAAAAGCGTACGACAGTGCAATTGAGCGCTTCCCACAGACAGCTGCCTCCATTGCCCCACCAATTGTTCCACTTGACAATGCAAATAGGGCAGTTGTATTCCGGCCGTAGTTCGGGCCAGACACCACGAGGTCTACCGGCCCACGGTCCTCGAAGTAGTGGTACAAACCTATCTGGACACAGCTAGCCGGGGTAGAATCGATAAGGATCCATTCATCACCACCATCATGACCATTTCCATCACTGCCGCGAGGCAGGGTATGTACTGTTCCATCGTCCTGATGCAGCGTTCCAGGGCGGAAGTAGGTAGGTTTTACTGCGGCGCCGATTAAGTGAGCTTTACCGATCCATGATCGCTGCTGGTGCGGCAGGACCACAGAAACCACATGACCGGCCGACTGTAGCGCAATGACAAGAGAATGGATATAAGGGGACGACTGGTTTGACGGAGGACCGTCGTCGTTCACAACCTAAAGAAGCGGGCTCGGTATAAGCAGATGCGACAAGCCAGAAAAGGGCCCGCGATTGAAGAGGGGAAGAAGAGATTTGAGGAAAAGCATACTCACCAGAATATGCATCGGGGGCCAGCAGTATTAAGAACGAGTGGAAGTTATTCAAACTTGGTTGTAGAGTTAGGAGTAGGAAAGATAGTCAAACAATTGAGGGGATGGTTTTCCCTCTTTTTCCCCGCCTTGCCCTACAGGTCAAAATCGACAGCCCACTTCCGTTATCGATAACGCCATTTTATATACATAAATACATGCTTTGGACAGCAATTGCAGCCTAACATATGTCTTGGCTCAAATCATACGAAACAAGAATAATACTTCTAACCCGCAGGGATCTAGATGATTTAAGACGAAAATGTTTCCGCTGATTGGGTATCGATATAGTGAAAATAAAAAGATCATTCAGGTAGACATCATATTTATATCCCCGACTAGGATTGCTCGTCCTTAAATAGGCGGTTTCGCCTTCGTTGAACGCCGCGGGCTTCAGCACTCTCCACACCAGTCCCAGATCCAACTTCCTCGAACGGCCGTGAACCGTCAGACTCGTCGTCATCCGCTTCATATTCATATTCCTTCTTGACCTTCCCTTTCTCTGCCGGATTATTGGAAGAGCTCGAGGTTGCTTCCATGAGAGAGGGTGTCTCTTCAGAAGGTTCTTGCTTGATCGGTATTTCGTCTCCAGCTTCTTCCTTCACCTCCGATTCAGACCCATTTCTACCCGTGCTTGAGAGGGAAGCAAGTATCGCCCAAGAGATACTTGCGCTTGTCATGCATACACCCCAAAACAAGGAACTGAAAATAATGAACGACGTGATTTTCCAGTTATACATCATCCATCTGTTACACCGTCAGTCACAATAACCACACCTCCTCATCATCATCAACAACAACCCTAAAAACCTTACCTCAACCCAGTAAACCTTGCCCTGAATTCCACCTTCGCTTTGTAGAATTGCATCTGCTCGTGACTATGAATCTCCAGCCGCAGACTTTCGGGTAAGTTACGCCATCCGCGGGAAAATTCCACTCGCTCCATCATGGGAACCTCCAGTTTCTCGGCTTCTCGTTGCCAGCCAATCACATAGAACGGCATGAGCCAGAGCTTGCTGGCCGTATCCACCAAGGGCGAGGAGTATGTGAGGATAGCAGGGCGGCGCGATCGTGAGATCGGGTATGTAGAACCATTCATACCCGTAAGAACAGACGTTGAAGGATGGGAAAGGAGGGTTAGATCGAGCATAAAATTTCCGGCCGCAAAATTCGAGGGGGTACGAGGCAACTCGAGTTTAACGTTGATGTCGTATGGCTGAAGAGAGACCAACTCCGAACCGAGGGAGGCGGTTCCCCAGGGATACCCATCGCTAATACCAAGTTTGTTAGCAACGTATATATAAAGCGAAAGGACAGCATTCTTTTCCGGTAGGCCTCGACCCAATTTCCACCTACCCGAATTCTAAATGTACCACACGTCCTACTCCGACTTGTGGAACGAATTTGTGGTAGAAAATCCCATATGCGAGGGCGGACCCAAAGAGCATACACAATCCCGTAACAACAAATAGCAGGGTGCCTAAATATGCCTTTTGCGCTTGTTTTGAAACGAAGGGCTGGCAATATTCGACCAGCGTGTTCTGCGCGGTGGTAGTGTCAGTGCACCCGTTTTATCCATCTACCACAAGACTGTCCTTACCATGGTTCTAGTGACAATTGTAGATCCGTTACCTGCATCGTCATCTGATGAATATTCAGATTCCATGATGCTGCGCTGACGAAGGGAAAGGAAGTGGGAATTGAAGGTGGTTGTTAGAAAGTAAGGTAGTGTTTTTGGGGGTTCGCGTCGACGTCACAGGGTCTTTGACTCTTGCGGGAACCATTAATTAAATTACGACAAAATTACATATACAAACGTATTTTACTGCTAGAGTTTAATAGACTTCAATTTTAATTTCAATATAATATATATCTGAGTATGCATGTTTATATATTCACAAATTAGAGACATCAAAATAGGCGTTATCATAGATTAGATAGTAATGTTAATCCAAAGATGTACAGTATATCTAGACTAATATATACATATACAACAATAGTTCGGGTTCTGATAAGGATTATCAGCTAATTAAATGTTTATTTTTATATATTCTTTTTCTTAATAGAGAGTCTATACCCGTGACTGTATCTGGTAGGGCCTAGGGCAGTTAGGTCAAGCGCGACACTACTATATAACCGACCTTTACACAGGGTTGGTTATATTTATGCCATTGTGGGGAATTCCGAAAAGATGGAGTACGAATCACTGCAAACATGGGGAAACGGGGGTTTAACATTATAGAATGTAGAGGAACAGTTCCCTATAAGTCTAGGAGCATATACATCAACCCCATCCTACAGTTGAATGCTTAAAATTGTGCAATCGAGGATTCCTTGACCAGAGTAAACTCCAATGCCATTTAGAATGCAATAGTAAAGCAAAGCCCTCATTATACCCCATATTTTTATACTTATCGTTACAGGCCACCAGAACAGGAGTGACACAAATGTCCAACAGAAGTACAAGGGAGAAAGGAATTGGAAAAGAAAAAGAGGAAAAGAAAAGGTAATGGATAAAATCGAAGATAAGAAGGCTTCATGTAGCTTTAAACCATGCTGACATGTCTTAATGGTATGCATATCCCTCCCTGAAACCCAACCGAGAAATGATAACGAGATAAAAGCAGTACAGACGGGCCACTAAAGAGCAAAAATAAATAAAAAGAACCCTTCAAATCATACACCCCAATAGAGCTCCGTAATGTGGATGCTACATGTCATGAGCGGCGTCGGCAATCACCATGGAAACATTCATCTCAGAAATAGGTAAGACATCGTGGCAAGGTCAAGTTCTTCGTATTAATAGAGAATATAGTGAAGGTGATGATTCTTCGTCAAGTGCCTAGGCCAGCGCTCTAGGGCTTTGTTGCTGAATGTGTTGCAGGAGAGCATCAAATAAACGACCGATCTAATGACCCTTCGGGTTAACGATTGGTTCAATTTAGTAGTGTACACGAGATTAGGTGACTTACCTCAGGCGCGGCCTGGATAAATGGAAGACGGAAAAAAGTGTAGCTCCGATTCTGGAGCAGTTCCTGCAGGGTGATAATCAATCCCCAAGGATGAGGACGATGAACGATAAGCCGCTCGAGAAGCACCCGGATAATTTGCTGACGGATATCGGACTCATCCTGTTCCGAGTAGTCGGCACCAAACAGGCGGAGGATTGCGAAGCTGAAGAAGTACGTGTGGCTATTGGGATACCGAAGCTGATTTGCCATTGCGCTTAGAAGGTAGTAGCGCGCTTCAGGTCGCAGAGCTTTGGCAAGCCTTTCCAGGAGTGCGGAATGGGGGGAGTTGTCAAATGCTGCGCGAGTGTTGCCCTTGGATGCATTGGCAGAAACAGCGCTCTGACCGACGTAAAGCACCAGAGCGTTCAGAAGCACCACGTTGACGTTGATTGGCGTGTAGAAGATGCCGGTCTCTTTGGTGGTTGGATTGTACACGGCTTCACAGATCTGCTGCAGAGCCGCTTCCGACGCATTTCCGCTCTGAAGCGAAGTGTCGACCACACTCTTGATGTTGGCATGCTGTAGAGGAGCCGCAGTGTCACCGGCGATTTTTGGGGCTTCTCGCATTTCTTCCAGCCGTTCAACTTTCAGGCCCTCTCTAAATGGGTCTGGAAGTTTATGGAAGGATGACGGATAAGCACTCAGGACAAGGTTCCGAAGCTGAGCACAGTGGGCAGGGATAACATTGCAGAATTGAAAATGGTTTTCTGCCACAAACTCGGGGAAATCGTGGTGCAAGATTAGCAAGATGCGCAGCACACCCTTATACAGATCTTTGATAATAGCGGAGATATTTGCGGGCTTAAGTTGCTCCCCTATATACGCAAGGAGAGCTTGCATGATCTCGCAATATGGCCCCCAGCCAGTTCGATCTGGCATGTTCAGCATACCTGACATGAAGAACCTGTGCGAGACCAACGACAACCACCCGAAAACAAAGGCGGGGCAGTATTTCGGTTGAAGTGACAGGAATTTATTAGCGAAGGCAAACATCATCTCCTGATGTTGATCGCTATGTTGAAGGCCATTCATGGAATATTCACAGAGGATACTTGAGAAGAGCCTGAAGAAGACGCGCTGGTTGAAAGCTTCCCCTCTCATAACATGATGGTGATTGAGGACAAGCACAAGCAATGATAGGATAGAGTTGAAGTAGACAGACTTGCTGGTCTTCGTAGCTCCTGGCGTCTCACCTTGGAATTTCACAAGAAGCACCACGAGCTTGGCGAGGGCATCAATGTAGAGGTAGGCTTCATCAAGGCTGCCGTTGGGATTTTGCGACTCATGCTCAAACATTGCAACGGAGATATCAATACTAAGACGGAAGAATAGGGCAGAATCTTCTTGATTGTCCATAACCTGTCTTTGATGGATATCTTTCAGGAAAGAATAATATGTGCGATCGATTGCACCTGGCGCTTTATAAATGCCAATCCACTCGCTGAAGATGTATTCCATTTGATCGCGTTTCGACCTTGCTTTGTCGCTGAGTAGGGGGTTGACAACTTCAGGAATTCCAGACTCGCGCAACTTGTGGATGATATCGTTGGCAGTCGAAAGGCTTGAGTCTTCTGCAAGCCACTGACTCATGGCTTCTAGACTGCCAGAAAAGTCAGACCTCAAGGCCGAAGGTTCCTCGCTGAAGAGAACACGGTCCATCAGATTGGCAAGGACATCTAGGGCACTCGTATTTTTCTGAAGGATGAGCCTTGTTAGTATCATATCGACACGACGAATATCCAAAAGCCCAGCATCGATGAGAGCGACTGTAACTGGAACATTGAACATGTGCTCATCATCAACCTCTGATAGGACGGCCCAGGTATATCGTGCGACCAGAGACGACATATCACACAGCTTGGCAAGAAGATGCACGAGCACTTCAATCTCTAGTGTGTCTTGGGTTTGAGAGAATAGGACTGTGCAGATCTTGAGAGACGTCAGCCGCGCCAGCTCCTCGCCGTTGGGTGATGCAAGGATAGCCCGCAAGGCTTGGTTGTATTCCTGTAAGACACCACTGTCTCTTCCAAGGTCTCTAACACGCTCCTCAGGCGCACTTCGGGCAGCTTGTTGAAGATCGGAAATAATGCTTTCAACCTTTTCGCGTGGGCTTTGTGCTTCAAGGAATCCATTTAATTGAGACTGCGTACCAACAAGTCCAGTCTGCTGCAATCTGCTATCCTGCTGCGCTTGAGGTGTTCTATGAGGTACAGCAGGCTGCTCGGCAGGTGTGGAGAGGTTGGGTATAGCAGTATAAGGATCTTGTAGAACATCTTGGATGCGGCCAGAGTCAGTCGAAACATTCGGGATATGAGTCGTTGCCGGCCCACGAGACTGGCGAGCGAACTCTTCGTAGATAGCCAACTGTTCCTTGTTGAGTCCACTGGGTGCCTGCCGGTAAGGCTCGGGAATAAAAAGTCCCCAGCGATTCATTGATGGATCAATGAACGGTTCATTAGGCCGGGCCGCACGATGACGCCGACGAGCTTCTAGTTGTGGCTCGATAACCTTCTCGATCTCTGGAAGAGACTTTTCTTCTGCTGCCTTCTCCACAATACCGCAGGCAGCGTCAAGGTTATCATTGACGCACATCAAAACAAGCCCCTCCGGCATGGGCTGGTCCGAATACTCCTGCTGAATCATACGGATATAATTCGTCATGCTGACCTTCAAGGGCTCTTTGCAGGTGACCAGAGCCAGGCTACCAGCAAGTTGCCTGACCATTATGCTGGCCGCGTGTCGGACCTTTTCTTCGTCGGGCTCCATCGCGAAATCCTTAGATACCAACTGAACGGTGGAGATGGAGGCGATGGTTACCGACCGCTCTACCACGGGAGTTATAATCTCTGCAATAGCACGCTCCACGGAACTGTGAACAATTTGCCGAAGAACATTGGGGTCAACCATGCTGCTTGCGGACGAAGGTAAGACGAGAATCTTATCTAAGCTTGGCAGTGTGGACATAATAGCGGCAGGCGATAGCCTTTCGTGGCGGATGCCTTGGTTAATTCCGGTAAGTGCCATGTCTTCGAAAGCTTCAAGACCTTCAGGGATGTTGGCTGTCGACAATGCATCTTCAATGTGCGCGGAACGGTCTCGAATGATGACGGATGGTTCAATGACTTTGTGGTCAAGGTCAAGATCTTTACACAGAACCTCTATCTCAAATTTGAGATTCAGTTTCAACTCTGCAAAGTGATAGAGTTCCATCAAGAGAGCCAGGATATCCATGAGCCAAGGATTTGGGGGGTTGAATACTGTAGATTTGGTAGCCTGGACCAACACCTTACAGGTAAATGGGATCACGATCGTCAAGCGTTGGCTGTCATAACCCTCCAAGAGAAGCCCCTTGAAATAAACATTCTTGTGCTTGATAGGCTTGTCTTTGGCAATGGTAAGGGACCCAAGCCATAACCCGAGGTTCTTGAGATGGCCACGGTCGGTGGAGTTATTCAACGTGGCCTCGGAATTAAGCAGCTTGGAAACACTGACATAGGTCTCCCGCAGAACTTCCGCCCAGAGTACCTTATCGTTAATGCGATCAAGAAGATCAAGATATAGTTGCTGGAAGTTGGGCTGCAACTTGGCTCGTTCTTCCACTAAATAGGAAGCGAACCATTGATGATGTTGATCGCGAAGAACATCGGTGAGATCCCGTAGCTTCTCCTCTATGTTCTGCTCCGATACGTTGTTCAATACAAACAGGATCTTGTCTTGTACATCCTCATCCGGATCCCTGTAGACCTCGGGTCGGAGAGGGGAGTCAACATGTACGGAGATGAATTTACGACTCGATCCATCAGCAGTCGTAGTCTCTTCGACATTACCGTTAGTCAAAGACCCGGCAGAAGTGTTATCAAGTCTGCTAGGTTCCGAGTCTCTAGCCTGGCTTCCTTGTTCGTGTAGCACTTCTTCCGCCTTTTGGAAAATTGGAGAGCCCTGTAGAGTCGGGATCTGCAATAGGAGATGACAGAAGCCAGCCCATTCTGGGAGTCGGTTGATCAATTGCTCGATAGCTTCTACTCCAAATTTGTACATTGGGTCGTGCATGTCATGTTCGCGCACAGCCTCTAAGATCATGCCCAGACCGACCTTCAAAGTGATCCCGTCAACAAGGCGGAAGTTGATGATACCGCCAAACATGACAGCTGTCTTTGTTAGGGCTTCCAACGGGTACTCATGGTAGCAGTGATATTCGTCAATGAGACCGTGAACCATGCAGGCGAATAGATCCTGTTCAGCTGGATCGCGCGAGGACTTATACCGTCTCATCAATTCGAGGATTTCCCTTAAGGACAACTCTTCATGATACATCTTGCCAAACAACTCTTGCATCTGCTTATCAACTGTCTCCGGTAGAGAGTTTCCGTTCTCACCGTTGGCATCAATGATATCATCGAATCCTTCTCCATAGTTGATCAGCCTGGGGTACGTCTGAATACAAATCCGTTGGACTGGGGTGAGATTTTCACGGTCGCCAACGTATTCTTCCAGCACCGATAGCAAGGTATAGACGGTCTTCACAGAAAGGCTGACCATCTGTGGTGCTGGTTGCTCTTTCCTCTGTACATGAAGCTCGTCCTCGGCTTTAATTCTTAGAAACTTGGACAATAAGCTACCCATGTCCATGGGGCCCTTCTGAGCAGCATTGCGGACCCATTGTTCTAAGTCGAAAGGCCCCTTACGATGTGCGTAACAAGCAAGGTCCATAGCGAGACCATTCGTGTATCCCAGTAGATAATCCAGCCAACTGTATTCGACAGCATGCTCGTAAATGGCAGCGGTAGAAGTAGGATCCTGAGTAAATGTAGTGAAAAGTTGCTCTGCAACCCACTGTTTATCTTGATGCCACGCTCCATGCAACGCTAGCTGGTACCCTTCCTCTTGTTTCAATATAAAAACGACAAGCGTCCGAAGGACAAAGCTTTGCTGGACGGTTGTCCAAGGCTGTGGAAGGGTCAACGCTGAGCATAAGAACACGGGAAGGTCGTATTGAACGATTGCCTTGATAAGCAGTTGGCTCTCGGCGACAGCCCATGTAGTCTGGGAGAACAACGAAAGGTCAAATAAAGCTCTCATAGCATCCAAAGACCTCAGAGGCGATTTCGCTGCCCGCTCTCCTTGCAAACGGACAAGTTCCGGCCCTTCCGCAAAGAAATCAGGTGGGAAAGTGGCGCGCAGATTAGGTATTTGCGATACATCTGTTCGGGAGACAATGAAGGCCGTGAGAAAGGAAAGTTGAGTGTCACGGTGTTCCCAGTCTCCTCCCCACAGTTTTTGGATATCGAGACTCGAATCCTCAGAAGCTACTGACAAGAGAGCCGAGTAGAGGTTGGCAAATTGCTTCGCATCTAATCGCAAACCTTCGCGGTCGAAGTTTCGGAAAATTAGAGGCCAGCTAATTTGTTTTTCGCCGAAATGTGACTTCACAGCTGCAAGAAAAGTTTCAAGGGAGAACTCCTGCCAATATTGAGACAGAACCAAGAATAACAGAGCACTGGCAACGTGGTCCTCATTCCAGCATTCGGCACCAGCTGCATTGATAGTCTCTGCCACAGCGTCCGTGTTTGAAGTTGCTTTCGGTCCCTTTGAGTGCAGTTGACGGACCAAAGTGTACCTCGGGTTGATAAAATTGAACATTTGCAGGGCAGATGCAATTTCAAAGGGCATCTCTACGCCTAGCCTCTGGTAGCGCAGGTTAGCGGCATATACAAGCTTAGCCTTGACATCGTCCGTGAAATTGCGTGGGGGATACAAGATAAATCGTTCAATGGTTATCCCAATACAGGCATTCTTGTAATCCTTGGTTATCTCGGACGGCGTTGCAAGGCTTTGCAGGAAGGGAGTTATCGAGTTCGAAAGGATTGCATCAGCTACAAGCGAAAATCGTGAGACACCGATCACTAGTCAAGGCATCAAAAACGACAAACTTACCCTTTGCGCGCAAGTCCGACTTATTAGCCATCTTGAAAGCGAGCGCAAGTGAGACTTTCAAGAATGGATCAAGCTTAAAATGATCCAGGAAAGTTGAAAGGTCGAAGTCTCGGAAGATATCGCCCTCGGAAGAATCTACCGTCTCCGCGATTTTCTGAGCCTGCTCGATGTCTTGAGACACCTTTTGCATCTCCTGTACGAGGAGAGGATAGTTTCCAGCATTTTCCACAGACTTATTCACACCAGGAAATATCTGAGGGGCATTGCCTGTGAGAAGGCGCCGGAAATATTTGGAAAAGACCTCCATGCCGTTGGACTCAACAAGCTAAAAGTATTAATAGTTTAGCAACTTTTTGCTTCGTAAGGAATTTAATAAGAGATGGGAAGTCTTACTTTGTGAATCTGGGCCGCTTTCGTCTCCCACTTCTCTCGACCCTCTTTCTCCGTGATCGAATCGAGGAGAAGAAACACCTGGGCGATAGATATTTTTGTCAGCGAAGACTGACTTGCGTGAGCCGCCGCTGCCGAGCCTGGTTTGTCGGAAGGGAAACCTGTAGGTGAGTTCACCGTTGTCCCAGAAGACAATGGAGAGAAAGTGGCGCCTCTGGAAGATCCCGTCCCACCTCCGCCTCCCCCGGAGCCTCCACCACCCGCGATAGAACCCGCTGTGGAAGCCAGATGTGACCCGGACGACGGGGTGTGAGATCTAAATTTTGGAGAAGAGAGAGATTGTGCGGCCTGCTGATGTTGTTGCGAGCCAGATTGGAAGGAGGTGAAAGGTGAAGGTGTGGAGGCAGGCGAGGGCGCGTTCCGGCCGACGGGGAGGCCTCTTGCGGAACTCAGAACCGCAGAGAAGGAGGAAGTCAAGGGAGAGGAAGTTGAACCGCCCGGACCAGGACTACTGGACTGAGGTGGCCCTCGGGAAGAGGCAGAGGGGAAGGAAGATGATGCGAGATTGTTGGTCGCAAGCGGAGTCAGTCCACGGCGAACGCTGGACTGGGACACAGATGGACCCCAGGCAGATTGCTGTGACCTTCCAGGCCTGGTTGAGGAAGACTTATCGGTGCCAGAAGCAATCGACGATTGGGAGGAAGGAGGAGGGGGAGGGAAGGTCATCTAGGAGACGCGATCATTTGATCTGAAGGGGACGACAAATTTTTATTCGTGACGACAGTCGACAAAAGCCTTAAACCTATTTATGACGCTGTAGTTGTTTTCCTTGCAAGGAGGGTAAGTCTTGCGGTGGCAGAGCTAGAATAGGATGGCAATGAGGATGAATGTTGCTTCGTGGCACAGGATGGGAAGTTCCGAGTTAATGACGGACAAGAGAAAGAGAGGTTGAGTGGTGGACAGGCAGGTGGAGATGATGCCTGAGGTTGACAACACTAGCTCGAATTGGGACTCAGGGAGTGGACAGGGCTGTAGGGCTTGACAAATATAGCGTTCGAACAAAGACAAATGGAATAAACATTAGATAACATAAAAGAACAGATCAAGTCCTGGACTAGGATCGATAAAAAAGAAATATATTGAGACGCAACACTACTCTGCGCACGATCTAGTGTCCAGCGATTTTGCTGTCAACCTGTATGTCCACGTGATTGCCTAAATATTACATAATATCTTAGTCATGCGACGATGGCGGTCTTATCTGCAACCACGCAACCACGCAACCACTCAACGTACTTGCGACAGTATCCGTCAAAATGGACCCAATGATCCTCCTAAGTTAACACATGCATGGAAGGGAATCATTCCCAACTCTAGCAAGGATTCCGAGACACATTGCCAGCTAATCCTGCAGATGTGCCAAGAAGTCAATGCTATGGTTTCCTCATTTGAACTGCAGTACATGTGTCGGAGTCTGTAGTCTATATACTCGACCAAGAGACTGGGTCGACTACTCCCTCAATCTATGGAATTACTGTGCTTAGTCGTGTTTGTGCTACTCAGTACATAGCTCAATTCACCTACTTCGCTACCTGATTAACGAAAATGGGCAGCAAACAGGAGTGTCCACTGTCGAAAGGCTAGTACCCGAGCCGTGCAATGCCCACAAGGGATAGACGTTTTACAAGTAGTGATTGGTTCCTTGGGTGAAAAAGGTGTTAGCGTCGCCAACACAGGGAAAACAATGTACCCTTGATGCCACACGGGCCCTAGATCTCGTTACTATTGAATTTTCTTAAATTGGGTGGCTTGTCGGAGTAGTTACTTGGAAGTACATTACATGACGTGCCCCCGTGATGTACCGGTGGTTGCCCCGAGAAACGTGGAGCTGTAAACATCGCCCGCCATTCATTCCAGACTCAACCTTAGAATCAACTCCACTAGATTCAGCTCTATCACGCTGTTCTGCCCATTCCTTCCGCGGTTCCTGACCCTTTTTTTTCTCTCTTTCTTTTACCCCTTTGCTGTTTCCGGGGTTATCTCCATATTGATCTCCTTTCTCCTTAATTCTCCGGGATCTTGTCCCTGTTGTAGTACTTCCTTTATTTGCTTTTCTGCCCGGTCTCTATCATTCTGGTTTATTTCTTATCACGTTACGGTAATCAGATGAGCAAAGGCTGGCCGATGTTCGGAAGGATTAACCGATTATAATCTACAAATGCCCGGAACGGTTGCAGATGGGCCAACAGTGGCCATGTCTTGTATGGCTTCAATACATCTTCAACCGTAATATTAGGATTACTAACGTTTTCACGTCGATAGTCGCTAACAATTTCTGGGGAAAAGATGATGCTGGTGTTGGTCCTATGCTTGATCGGATGCACTCTGCAAAAGTGTCTTGTGACGAGTTGAAAACATTCTACAATAGTGCGTATACTAAATCACCGGTTGGCTCCAATGAGTGCGAAGGCATCCTAATGAATTGAATAGTCCGGGCGGCCATCGAAGAGGAATATGCGCGCAAGCTCCTAGCTCTTTGCCGAAAGCCACTTGGGTCGACCGAACTAGGCTCCCTTCGATCGTCATTCGACACTGTCCGTGGAGAAACCGAGGCGATTGCCAAAGCGCATGGTGCAATTGCTGGACAAATGAAAAGAGAGTTAGAAGAGCCACTGGTTGCATTTGCAGGTGGATCGAAGGAAAGAAGAAAAATTATCCAAACGGGAATCGAGCGCCTCTTGAAAACCAAGATCCAGCAGACTCAAACAGTAAATAAGGTAAGTTGCCGATTTCTAGCCTGTAGAGCTGAACTTGACTCATTTTATTCTAGACCCGGGATCGATATGAACAAGACTGCCTGAGGATCAAGGGGTACCTTGCCCAAGGGCATATGGTCATGGGACAGGAGGAACGCAAAAACAAAGCGAAGCTCGAAAAGACCCAGGTACAGCTCGCCTCTAGCAGCAGTGAATATGAGGCCGCTATTAAGGTCCTCGAAGAGACAACTGGCCGCTGGAATAAAGAATGGAAATCAGCCTGTGATGTATGTTCGATGCAACAGACGGTTTTAGGCGGCCAAGTATAAGACTAACGAATGTCCAGAAGTTCCAAGATCTTGAAGAGGAAAGACTCGACTTTACGAGGAGCAGCCTGTGGGCTTATGCCAATATTGCGTCTACGGTTTGCGTTAGCGATGATGCCGTATGTCTTTATCCCTGGTTGATATGAGATGATTGCTAAGTTAGTATTAGTCGTGCGAGAAGGTCCGGCTGTCGTTGGAAAACTGTGAGGTTGAGAAAGATATCATCTACTTCATCAAAGAAAAGGGAACCGGCCAGGATATCCCAGACCCTCCCAGATTCATTAATTTCTGCCGGGGAGATATCAACGATACAAGCTCGGAAGCCTCTGAGGAAGATGGGTTCTCTGTAGCGCAGTTCCAACGAACGATAAACCCGGCGTTTCGCAGTTCTTCTCCACAGCCATCGACTTACGAATCGCATCACGACCCACATCCCGACCTGGCAACTAAGACTGTTCAGAATAACCCACCGACGCCCACAAGCAGGGAGACCACGGTCACTCCGCAGAAAGCAACGCAACAGCCTGCTCCCTTGGATCTTCGTCGGGGTGGCCAACTGCCGCCGAATTATGATCCTAACCAGCATGGCGAGATTGGCGTAGTGCCTCACAATGCGTATCCAACGGATGGTATGACGATGTTTTGCAGGACTGGACCTCCTTCTGAGCGGAGCTCAGGAGCAAATAGCGCGTACCGACCATCAAGCCGTGATTCGCAGAGTGAAATCTCCAACCCAACTTCTATGTCTAGCCAAGATCTTCCCAGCGGCAAACAATCACCAACAAAGCCTACGAATGGCATACCACTTCATGGAATGGGGGGAGATAAGCAGATCCAAAAGAAGAGGAGCGCCTTTTTTAGCAACAGCCCGTTCCGACGTAAGAGTCGCCATGATAAGGACCGCCATTCTGGCCCGTCACAACCCCCTTCTCGAGGCACGTGGGATACCCCGAAGCAATCGAGCCCTACCAAAGCTCCTCAGCCCCAAGCCCCAGTTTCTGCTTCTGGAAACGACCGGGGATCTGGAAGTCCTGAACCTGCAGATCCTCGAGCCAACTTCCAGCTCAATGTCGGAAACAATGTATTTGATGTGGCGTCACCAGACAAGAACGCTTCGAAGAAGGTACCCCAGGCAGCCAAGAATGCAGAAGCAGAGCTTGATCCTATTGCACGCGCCTTAGCCGATCTGAAAGGTGCAGGCAAGCAGTCGGCCACTCGGGTCTCTGCTGATAGATATCATGGAATTGCTACGCCAGTTCCTTCAGCACCTGGGTCAAGTTACAGCAGCGCATCTGTGGCAACTCCACCCCCGGCATATAACGACTCATCGGTGAAACGTCTTGATGCACCTCAGCCAGCCTTCACTTCCGCACAGATGCAAAAGACGACGCAGAAATACACCGGGCAGGCACAGAATATGCTTCGCGGAAGTGGCAATACTTCTGGACTTTCAGGTAGAAACAGTGCACAATCCCAGGATGTGCCACGTGCTAGATCCCCTACCCCAAGACGGAGCGCAAGTCCCCAAGTCAGCCCTCGTGTAGATACCCGCATGAGTCAATATAGCCGAGGAGCAAGCCCGAGCCCGAGCACATACCAATCTAGCAGTATGAGAAGTAGATTTAGTCAGTCGCCTACTGTCTCTACCCCACCTCCGCGACCGACTGATGCAGCGTACTCGCCCCATGAATATCCAAGGCGAACCTCCCCGAAACCCATGAGCCGTGCTGTTTCCCCTCAACCGCAATTCAGGCAGCAGACCCGCCCCTCCAGTGCTGGAGGCATGGAGTTGCAGCTTTCAAACCAAGTTGACATGTACGGCGGTGGCAATGATGGATACAGTTCTCGAAGGGAGGCCGGAAGACCAATGTCTTACTACGATGCGGGAAGCCATAGAAGCAGATCCAGGAGCAGGACTATGGCCGTTGCTGATCCTGGTAGACAATTCAGCCGGGATGGTCGCCCGATTCTCCACTTCGGTAAGCACGCAATGACCCTTTATATTGTATGAGTTGACTAACTTTGTGACGTACAGCCCGAGCCATGTACAGCTATAGCGCTGCAATTCCCGAAGAACTGGGGTTTAGTAAAGGCGATGTCCTCTCTGTCATTCGACTACAGGATGACGGCTGGTGGGAAGCTGAAGTCACTACTACTCGAGGGCGGCCCGGTTTGGTGCCCAGCAATTACTTGCAGATTGTTTAAACAATGCACAATTCACTAACCACAGCCTGTGCCCAGGCGAATGATGTCTATTATGTGTTTGTGATGTAGATACGGATTTACACGCTTCCATGGGGTTTACTATGTTCTTGGTGCACATGTTTCCCTTCTCTTGTCCCAGATTGCTTACGATTGATATCACCACTGTTTGATGCTTTGGAATGCCCACTTGACTCGTACCCTTGGCTCTCCGCGTTGTTTCCTTTGCCCCTTTCATTCTTTCAGCTTTCTTGAAGCCAGCGTTTGGTTCTTTTCTTTCTGGCCCCTATGCCTGGATTCTCGCAGTGGCCGAGTTATACGTTTCTGGACTATTTTATGGTTCATGATCTGTTTTGTCCACTTCTATCCTATGATTTCTATAATTTGAGTAATAATGATGTGATTAGTTACCACTGGCCTTAATGGTTATTGTAATGAACTGACGGAGGGTATTGCTTTCAAAGAATTCATTTAATCCAATCCACTTAGCGCCGAGATGCCGCCGGTCCAGCCAGGTCGTCACAGCCCTCAACCCACTACTTCCACGATCCGGAACCTAGAAGAAACAATCAACAACGTAAAAGAAACCCGCATCAAAATCTCCCCGCATTAGAAAGCATATTTCATTTAAACGGGGCCCAGGTATTCCTCGCCCCCGCAAGCGGAGCCATGAGTCACGAGTCACGATTTCACTGGCTTTTCGTCTTCTACCCCCTCGCTGTTACACTTCATGCACTCATATCCCTTCGAGGAGTCCAGGAGACGAACATAGATCGTAGCGCAGTGCGGCTGATCCCAAGCATCACATCGGACATCCTGGAGTTTAAGCTTTCGCTTAAGACAAGTCATATCAACATGATCATTGGTGTGGCCGCATTCTATGTGGATAACTCGCGTGACCCGACACATCGATATGGGGGAAACGGAGAACAAAAAGAAAAAAAGCCGATGGATAGACTTTGAGTTTGAGATGTTGTGGCCAGTTAGAGCTTGGTGGTAGGAGCTCAGCAGAATGGTTATCCTGGCGGCTGAATGTAGATAAGAGATCTTCGCAGCTTGCCAGCTCGATTGTAAGGGTCCGAATCATTGGTATCTTCAGGCATTGGCTTTAGAAGAGCGTGTTGTTGAGGAACATAGATGGGACTGCTATAGCTTCGTTGTTTTGGTAGATTTGGGGGAGGTTAGTGAATTCGACGACGAGAAGTTGTAGAAAAAGTGAACATTTTGATTCCGTGGAGACCTGTGAATTTTGAGTGGCAAGTGCATGGAGTATGTCTGAGTGCAGAAACAAGGCATCAAGAAAAACAAAAAACGTTCCTTCGCAGTAAGACATGATTTGGATATAATTAGAGTACATGAGTATGTGTATATACATTAGTGGAAGGATTGTAATCAACATATGCGGAAGAATAGCAGATATACAGGACTCTTCTGGGTTGACAGATGAACCAACCACCTGACTAAAAGACAAGTTCTGGAGCATAGTTAAATGCCCTTTAGATTGTCACTATACAATGGAAATTCGAGCCAAGAGGATAATGCCGGCCATTTCCTGGGGCATAAAGCCACAGCGCTCGCTTTGTTGACACATAGGGGACACAGAGGGGTATTCGAAGCAAACACATTGCCATTGGAGCGGAATTAGGCTCATTCGTCATCGACAAAGGAATTTGCTAGACGGCCAAAAATTGGAACTTCGTAGTGGTCAAGCGTGTCCACTAAGATTTGTTTAGTCTGGATCCCTGACGCATATTTCTTGGACTTACCGTCGCGATAAGCACGCATGCTCAAGAAGCCGATCATACCCAGATCGCATAAGAGCAAGGTCCACGAAAAAAAGCTAGACCAAGCGAACAAGAGATGAATTATCTAGAGATATGTGAGCGCGCATTCCATCTTGGGTTAGAACGTGTGGTACGACTTACAAACATGACAGTAAAAAGCATGCTTGACTGCCATGCGTGAAAGCTGCGCGATATCAGTAAATTTTTGCCAAAGTGAGGGGTAGCTGACCGTACTAATTCAGAGTTACTTACCGTACATAATCGCTTTTGTGTTCTAGTAGCAGCAGGAAAACGCCACCCGCAGGAGGCAGAAGCAGATATGCCAGCATAGCTTCAAAATCCATCCGGATGGGTAGACTTGTATCGAAAGCTCCCATATTCCATCTCCCACCCTCTACATCTCTACCGTAGCCATTGTTTCCGAAACCGCTTGCTTCTGTATGAACCCCGCCAGCAAAATGACTCGGTGACGGAAGCGCGTTGGGTGCGAGACCTGAAACTGGAGGAGAGCCGCGAGGAGATCGGATGTTGGGTGGTGATTTCACGCGATGGGCATCGCTGAGGGCAGGCGACATTGCCCGTTCGACCTCTGGCGATTCATCCTGATAAGGAGCGAAATTCATTGCGCCCAGATATTAGCGATAGCAGGTGAGGTTGACGACGGAATAACGGTCTGAGGTTCTTATCAGGTGAAGCTTTATCTAATGGCGGTGACGCCTTGGCGCCTGAGGCAGAAACGTTGATGAATCTCCGTTCTGGGTATCGTGTTTACGGTTTCACTACACCACTCTACAAAAAAAGGAGACGGCTAAAATCGGGAAGGTAAGTCCTTCCAATACTCTTGGGTATCATATTGTAACAGTTTACCTCATTTCCCCTCATAATATACATTGTCACGTATCCAATACCCTTCAGGTTCTACCCCGGCCGCGCGTAACACTAGGGCCTCGGGCGATCCCACTAACCGGTCTTCGTGTGGTTGTGGTTGAAGATTCCCTTGTCGTGGAGGCAGTAGTCCTTGTCGTACTCGGATTGGTTCTCGAGTAGGAGACACTAGGAGTTCTTCCTAAACCGCTGCTGCGGACTCTTCCACGCGTGCCTCGAGTCGCAGGGGCCTGCGCTCTTCTCTTCTCTGCTTCCTCGGCTTTACGGGCCGCTGCCTCCCTTTGTTCTTGTAGCTCTCTCTCGCGTCTTTCCGCCGCTTGTTGCTTGAGGCGCTCTTCGTTCTCCGAATCGGCGACGTCTTGAACAGCACCTTGCCAATTTGGATTGAGAATCAATCGCTGGTTATGCTCTGTTTGGGATAGAATCCGCGTCCAAGTGTTCAGTAACGTTGACGCAGAGTCAACAGTACGTGAAACGGTCTAGACGAGATAAAATTACCAGTTAGCCTCTGGGTGAGTCTTTTAACGGACGAGAAAAGTAAAGACGAGTTTTGACATACATCCATATTGCCCTTTGCCCGGTCCAGGCTACTCAAAAGGCCTTCGATCACCTGATTAATGTTCCGGACACTTTGTAGCTCGTTCCGCAAAGCCGCCTCTCGAACCTCTTGACGGTCGTAAAGGGTCTCGGCATCGTGAGAAGATCTGGGCGGCGGTGTAGTGCTCTCTTCTTTAATGAGTACTTGGTTCAATTTCCTACTACCGTGTTTGGAAGGGGAATTCCAGAGGTCCTCGGTATCTTCATCGGAGAGTTGGAGACGTTCCATTTCCTCTGCGGTACTGCGGAAAGCCATGGCTTGTTGGGGGTAGAATTGATGTGAGTTGGGTTAGGTAGTAGTGGAGGGGTGTTGGAGGGACTATTTTAGTTTCTGCACGTATTGACTACTAACTACCAAGTAGTACTAGGTAGAACACGTAGAGCCTGACATGGTTGGTCGCCTAAGACCTAAGGCGGGAGTGAGTGCCTGAGGAGGGGCAGTGGGGTGGGGCGGCTGATTGGTTCAGCCTCGCTGTTAAATGTGTGGCTGGTTCGACGTCAAGCATTCCTCATCTGGTTGCTCCCCATCACCAACACACCAAACTTCTTCCAACCCTCTCGCTTCTCCCTCCCCCATCGCTATCGTTCCCTTTATCGCTCGATAAGAGTTCAACTAAATTAATTCCTTCCTTTTTCTTTCAACAATTATCGAACGAGTTATTACCCACCCGACTCCATAGACGAATTGCTCGCTGGTCGGGATAACTTCAGGGTTCTACCCTTCGGTCGGCTTTGGTGTAGTCGCGCGCGTCTTTCCTCCCTTGAACCCCCTTGGACTCAGAACCACCTAAGTTCACCTCTCACGGCAACCACACATATTGCGCACTCGCGTCTTACAAACAACGTTTAGTTGCGAATTTCTTTTCGATTATTGCTGGTCATTTCGTGTTCGATATACTGTGCACACATTGAACAGATCCTGAGCTCTGGGTGATTCGTGTCAGGCATCTTTCACAATGGCAACAACACCACCTCCACCGTCAACTTTACGTGTACCTCCAACTCCGCGACATGGACCCGGATATGAGCAATATGAACCGTTCTCCACGCGGCATTCAGCCAGGCTAGCTAGTCAACGCGCATCAAAAAGGAGAGACGCAACTCCGCCGGGTTTTCCGCCATCGCAGAGCTCCAGAAACACAAAGAAGCAACACCAGGAGCTTGGGGCATTGTCGCCGCCTGGATCTGTTCATGGCTCCCCACGGAAGAAGAGTTCGGATCGAGCCGGCAGTTTCCTAGCAGCGCATTCACTGGATGGCTCCTCTGGGCTAGGAGACCCAGATCCTTTCAGCACTTCTGAGCCTTCCCACTCGAACCGCCATTTACACTCATTTCGCGCTACCATGTCGCAGGGGATGTTGCCAACACCTGCCAAAACGCCAAAGAAGAAAACAGTCGGTGATGTTGGAACCACTGCACGGGTTCTCTTTCCCCAGCCCTCTGGACACGGCAAGAAGAGCAAGAAATACGCCGGCTTCTCTCTGGATAGCTTCGAAGACGATGCTCAAGGAGGATCTGATATCCAGATCTACACCGACTCTCGTGACCGAATTCCTGAGCCAGCTGAAAACGAAAACGAAGACAACCCGTTCTCCAAGAAGTCCACTATATCTACACGTGTGTCAAGGCGCAGGGCAGAGCAAAGCAAGCGTGATAAAGAGGTTGACGAGTCTGTGAAACGCGACGATGGCATGACTTATGTTTTGTACGTATACCTTGGAAGATCTCTAAATCGTACTCACTAACGAATCTCGCAGCCGTGGCAAGAAAATCTTCCGCAAGTTTGCCGATTCTGTCGACAGTGATGGAGATGATGCGGAGGATGATGATGATTTGGGCCTTCTCGCGGCTCGCCCTGACCTTCTAGATGCAGATATTACTACACGTGTCCGACCCCTGACTCGCTCGTCGATCAAGCCTCGTGTGCTCTTCCCCACGGCAAATGACCGCGCGCCTCCGTCAAATTATGTTAGTGACATCGACGAAGAAGCAGCTACTGACATTGAGGACCATGCACTCGTCCCCGATGTGGCAGAAACCGCTGATAATCCTGTCGACATTGAAATGAAGCAACGGCCAGTTACTCCCCCGCCAAATACTCTTGAGACCCCTCCCTCGCCTGGTGCTACGATGCGTTCATTGCGTCCACGGGCGAAGAGAGATGATCCGGAGCCCAGCAGAACCCCCACTGTCCCAGAGACCAAAAGGAAGCGTGTCAGTCCCTTTGATGGTTGGCTGAGGAAGAAGCAGACCCCTGCCCCCACCGGCTCCAAGGCTAAGAAGAGGGACGCTGCTGAAACGGCTGGCAGCCCTGGTGGTCCAGCTACCAAGAAGACCAGGGGAAGCCGAGCTGCTGTCACATCATCATGACCCAATTCATAATCTCAGGTGCTCTTGGGTTTCTTTGTACCTCAGCTTTTGAGGCTGTTTGGTGGACTCTTTTGCTTTTTTTTCTCGATACAAATACTGGTTATCCAGATGTATCGACGCTTCTTGAATGCCAATATTTCAGAACTAGGATTCTTTTTAATTGTCTGGCTGCACTCAGTTTGCATCTGTTCATACAATGAAGGTTTTGTTGGACCGCAGTCGAAATGGGATATGGGAATGGGTAAATGGACAGGATAGGTATCTGGCTGGTAAGCACGTTACTGGATGGAGTTTTTGTTTCTCGTGCTTCTTTTTGCTCCTTGTATTTGAGCTCTTCACCCGATAGCTTTAGTCTAGATATCCAATGAACAACCAATATTATGACTCCATCCCATTGCCATTGATCTACTATACCACTGCTATGAAGACCCACCACCAACCTGTAATACATCGTGTAGCACTATGGTCTTTCTGGCTATGCTCACTAATTTTAGCTCTAGAGTATCTGAGATCGTGTGCTAATCTATGTATTTGTGGATAACCTGATTCCAGAGTAGACTACCAGGTTAAGGTGATAAAACCACAACACAAAATATTCACTCAGTGATTACCCAAGAGCTGATTCTAGAACTAGGGTTTGTCTTAGCTGGCCTTCAATGATTGAGATATACGTTAAGTATCTATATTTAGTCCTTAACATCGAGTTGGGGGTATCTGAATGCCACTCTTCACTTAACTGGCCAGTTATCCTTTCGCAAAGTTTTACCAGCTGCACCATTCTTTATACTTGGCGCCCAAGGTGGACATGATGGTGCTGGAGCCGATAGTTTGCCGCGTCCTTAGCTAGGGAGTGATTTTTAGCTCACTCAAATCGATGTTATTGGGCTTTCAAGAAACCCATGGGCCACTGATACGTGTCGTTTATGACTGTATTCAATAACTCTTGAGGAAGCCTATGGACTGATGCTACTAGTGACTGCACTTCATGTGCCCACTAGTCATGGCACGGAGGCGGGACATTCCGTGTATAGTAGATGCGGTAGTGTGGATCAACAAGCTATACCGTCAAGAATCGAAGGTGCCAAGCGCGATTTATAAACAAGCTCAAATTACCCCATCTTGTGGCAAAGTACATTGGGAAACACTATAAGGCGCCCTTGATCAAATGATACGGACTCGAGTTCCTGAACACTTGCTTCTTCATTTTTCACAATAAAGAGCTTTAAATATGGTGTATCCCGTCCCACAAAGTCAAAGTGATAATGATCCTCAAGTATACTGATCTCTTGAAGGAATGAGAGCCGACCTTCGGTAACATCTGTTGCGTCGAAGCAATATATTGCCGTTCCAATGATATGCTCGTTAAGCAGACCATCCGTGTGCCAATCCTCACCCTGATAAGATGGGCTTTCTGGCGTCAACTCAACCCCTTCAAGTCGCACAATGATCTGTAAACCATATCACGGAGTGTCTCCTGAAGCTTCACGGTATAGAATTCATGATCCGTGTCTGGATCCTCACGCGTCTCTAGAGCTGTATCGGCCCACCGGGTTCTTCATGTCACATATAGACTGATATTCATCGATCCCTATTTTCATCAGATAGCAATTTCAGTGCGGGGGAGATTGGCCTTTGCAGTCTTTCCAACCTTCCAATCGTCATATGAGTAGCTTCGGGGTCAGAATGTTCAAAGCGAAACAAGCGATTGTACTTAGCATCGACGACGTCCTTTAGGGGTACTTTTGTGTTCTCCAACCTTGCGGTACTCCTTTGAGAGCATCTGGACAAACTCAAGGAGGAATGGGGGTGTGGTGAATGAGATCGAGACAGACATCAATGGCACGGATTACTTGCAGGTACGCTTAGAATGCTGGGAAAGAACGAACATGTCACCACCTAGAGTATCAGTTTGTTGGGACGGGATTTATTTAGCCATCACATCCGTTCGTTGTGTAAACGTTTGATGATTGAGAAGTCAACGCAGGGAAAGTCAATAAGGAAATGAAAGCGGAAGTGTGCTTTTAAATGATCTACACTTGAAAGAAAGAATGAATCATAAATCGTAACACGGTACTCACTAGCCTGCTAGAAGTAAGAGGTGCAAAGAAGGCGGTCAGGAGAGACTGACGATGAGGGTACAAGTAGAATAATACATACATACAAGGTTGATGTAAAAAAAAGGTGATGAGAAGAAAACTATGAAGCGAATGAACTCCACAACTCCAAGGCCCTCTATTGAGGACATTAGCGTTCGTCAAAACGTGCCGGTGGATATCTGTTTCTTTTGGATCTATGGACATCTTTGTAGTCGTTATCCAAACAACCATATCAAGGGTTGCAAAACGTTCCGAGAGAAAGTGAACCACAATGTAGGGGCCAAGAGGACGTCTGTAGCAACACCAAAGACTTGGGTATCTTAAATAATATCTAGTTCGTCACCATCGTCATCATTGAAACCCGTCTTGGCTTCGGACATTCCAAGGCTATCTCTTCCAGCTTCCTTGATTCCTTTGGCGGTGATAAACCGAGTCTTTTTCACGCTACTGCCGTGTGTCCCATCGTGGGCGCGCTTCAGTGGACCCAATTTCACCGAGTCTGCTTTCCTAAAACCCAGAAGACCATTGGTATTCGTTGATGGCGTCTCCGCGTTTGGATTTGCCTTGCCCGGTGTGCCACTGTTCTCTGGACGAGAGGACGGGATGTTCTCAGAATGTCGGGCTCGAAGATATTCGGCACCCATTCCGCCTTTCCGAGACGAGATGAGCTTTTGAGCAATATCACGCTCACGTTGCTGCTCCACAAGACGTCTGCGGAATCGTTCGTCCTTATTCTCCATCCCACGCCCCATCCTGCCTGCAGCGATGAATGGATCTTCGTTATCGGCATCAATCAGTCTAGCTGCAGACTGACCGCCTGGCATAAGGAAAGAGCTATTACTAGCGCGAGGCTTGGGGGCGGAAGCAACATAGTAAACAGACTGCGATCCAAAATCGTACTGGGCGCCGCTCTTTTTCAGCCCGTTTCGAAAACCTCCCTTTTTCTCTCCTCCGAAGAAGCCTGTTCGTTGGCCGGATCGTCCACCTGGACCGAACATGCCTGTCCCAGTGTTTACTCCCATTCTTTGAGATTGTGTGCGGCGGACTTGGATATCAACGTGGAAGTCACAAAACTCAGTTTTACGGCCGTCAACCCAAGACTGGCAAGTTTTCCCATCCTTCCTGACAGCCTTACAGAAACCAATGTCCTGCGCATAGCCGATCTCAAGGACCTTATCGTCAGAGGAAGAGATTGCGAGGCTGAATTTGTTGGTGTCCAGCTTGTTCTTGGGTGGGGGCATGATCGTTGGATTCAAAATCGCCACGAGAATGCCTTCTGATAGTCTGTAATAACGTGGGAGGGCGGTATCAAAAAGGAAAAGGTCAATGGTCCATTTCAAATCAGTCAGGGTCATAACCATGTATCTGCTGTTGTTGTTCAGCCCTTCATCAAAGGGATCACCTTCTTTTGGAGATACATTTGTCGAGTCTTTTTTCTGTTTAGGCTCGGATTTCGATGCTACTATCCCAAAAACAACATAGTCCCCGTCGATACTTTCAGGAAGCTCAAAGCTAGGCCCCTTCACCATTCTCAAGAGATCAGGTATTTGGAGGACCTTCTTTCCGGCAAAAGTACGGGTTAAAAAGGAATGGGGTAGGATGCGGTTAGAAAGGTGAAGCGAGGAGAAAGCTTCGAATTTCGAAGAGTCAGGAACCTTGTCTAGTGCGCCTCCTTCACCAGATCCATCCGGACCGATATTTTCAAAGCTTCCAGACTGCCCTGCCTGTGTTTCCGATTCAGACTTCTGGTTTCGCCTATGAAGGTATGATTTGTGCTCGTCCTGATCCAGATTCCTCCGCATACTGGGGGTAGTCTGACTTCTTTTTAGCGCCGAAGGCTTGAGGTTATTATATGACCGTAGGATGTCGTCTCGGCTGAAGCTTTCAGTCTGTCGGTTTCTTGTTGGTGATCTCGTAGGAGATTGTTTCCTTGCCTCGGCTGCTGCCTTGAAGGCGTCCACCTCGGACTTATCGAATTGGAACGCCGAGCTCCTGTTGACCTGTATCCTCTCTGCCCTCTCTGCCCGCTCCCTCCGAAGCTTTTCAGCAGCTCTGCTCTCGGCCATTCGCTCACTGAAGCTCTTGGGACGGTTTCCTCCTTCTCCTGCTACCGCCTGCGTTAAAGCGTTGTGGGAATGCATCGTTATGCCGTCTCGAACACCGCCTCCACTTGTTGGCCGACCGGTAGCCTTTGCGCTTGGTGGCCGCTTGAGAGAGACTTCATTGCCCTTGAGGCCCTTGTCAATTCCGAGTATATACCTTCGCGGAGAGGCAGGTGGAGCTGCAGCGGCCGGACGCCGTGTAGGTGATAATGGCACTTGTACTTCATCAAGCTCTAGCCTAGTAGTCAGTTCTCTCACACCCGTAGTCCTTGATATGGGGTCCTGAGCCCGCGACGAAGCACTAACGGCGGACCCTGGTCGGGGTAGCGCATCATCTCTGTTGTGTGTGCTTGATCCCGGCGTGCTTGATTTCCCGCGGTTCTTTTGGAGCTGCTTCAATTTCAGGCGCGCCTCAATGGCCGCTAACTTCAATCTCAGCGTTTCTTCGTCCTCATCTTCGTCCTCACCCTCCACGCCATCACTCAAGAGCTGTTCCGATTTTGATTGGAAGTCCGGGGTAGTGGTGGAACGTCTTAAAGGTGACCTGAAATTCTCTCGGCGTCGTTGCATGTCCTCATATTTTCTCCGACCGCTTGGGGAGCTTAGCAGCGCCTCCCGGGGAGACTTTGGTGGCCAGGATACCTCGACCACTATCGCGAGGATTTGGTCAGTCAATCTCCGCGGTAGCGATACGTAAAGTTTTTTCTGCTTTTTTCCTACTCACTGCTGGTCATCGCACTCTATCCTTGTCTTTATCTCTCGGAGAAATAATCTAGTATGCGGTAATAGAGCATCAGCGCTACCACTTTTGAAGCGCTAGTTCTAGGGTTGCACAGCCCAGTAGGTACTGGCCATGTTCTGCGAGAATGTTGCGGGGAATACCAATTGACTGATGAATGGATATCTGGTCGGCGGATAGGTCAACAGGGGCGCAACAAACAATGACTTGTTTTGATCGAAGGGGGAAAATAGGAAGGGGGCAGAAGTAAACTTTCTTTTTCATCAGCAAGGCATACAACACACGGTGTGAGTCCATGCATTAGTGAGGAGTAGAAAGGATGTTGCTTCGTTTCTACTGGTCAGAGTTCCTGCCGTTGTGATTGGCTGCGGGGGAAGCGCGTCTCGCGTCTACTAATCAAAGGCACGCGTTCAATTCGCAACGTCTGCTGCCCTTTGACCATTGCACCTACGGAGTACACTACTACAGTATCCAAATCGAACATAGGCGTCACCCATTATGCTCACTCGATCGAAGGCTCCTCCTTCGGAACAAGCAGATTCTGAAGAATCCTCGAAACTGCCGCCAACCGCAGAGAAGCCCAGCAAGACCTTCATCCTCCCTTCGGCAGCTAGCGACGAAGCTCGGTTCCTTCAATTGCCTAATCCACAAACCGGAGATCTCAATCGCTATTACTTCTGCCCCAAACTGGGGGTTTACGAATTCACCGTCATCGCATCGCCATCGCAGTCCCCCCGAAGTATCCTCTTTACGCCCAAGTCGTACACCCCAGCACCAGGAGAAAAAGGTCAGGAACCTACAACGGGATCTATCACCAAACTGGCGCAATTGCTAGTTGCGACGCCCATCGATGTCATATTCTTCCTAGCCCCTTTACTATGCTCGACATCCTCCCAGGCGAAGGGTCTGTTCCAACCTCTTGACGACATCATCGACTCGCAAGATGATATATCCAAGCATTTACGGCATGTTCTGTACAATGAGACCTTCAAAGATACTCTGCAGGCGCGAGTGGAAGCTATTTGCGACTCAGTAGAGGCAGGAGATGAGAAAATGTTCCGATTCAGTGAGGCGAAATTCCTCAAGGAGTTAGTTGCCAAAGCAGAGCGCATGGTGGCGCAGGGACTTCCTGCGAGCATGGAAGAACGGTTCATCCGCCAAGCTTTAGCTACGCCTCTCATGTCCGTCAAGCGAGAGGATACCACGACCAACGGCGTGTCGACCAATAGTAACGAGGGCGAGGGAGAATCGCAGGACAGCAAAGAGACACCGGCAACCACAGCAAGCTCGACGTCGGCTTCCACGCCCTCCGGCCAATCTACTCCCGCCACTGAGGTCTCCCCAGAAGATCCAGGTGCTTCAGATAATGTGGCTAGACTACTGAGGATCTCGACAGCTTTGTCCTTCATGAAGGATTCCTACCTGTCGGCAGCTCTGCGGACCAAGGTTGATGAATTACTTACCAGTGTAGACAGCCCAATCGACTTTAAGCCTATGCATGACCATCTCAAGCGTGTGGCTGAGCTTCGCGCAGAGGCGCTCGCATCGCGATCCTTGGGAGACTTCAGTCGGAAGCGAGATGCCGACGACGATGAAGGCGCAGAGGCACGAGCGGAGAAGAAGCGCCGCAAAGAGGAAGAAGAGAAGAAAAAGAAGGTGGGAGAGTCTCGCGGGGTCAGGGATTTGAAGAAGGTTAATACCATTGGCATGAAGAAGATGAGTGCCTTCTTTGCAAAAGCGGCCCCTAAGAAGAACTCTTGAGTTGGTCCTTGCATGAGATGCTATCTTGCACTGGATGAACTCCATTTCTGCGGTTGCGCGCGCCCACAATTGACGGCGGAACCACCCATAATCTACTGGGCTCTGGCCATTAAGAGCTCAGTCTCATTTGGTTCCTAGTGCTGCTGGGTGTTTTGCTCGTTCCAGAAACCTATTGAGGCGTTTGGAACATATTTCATGAGCTGGAGGCACAGTGATTGGAATCAGACGACTCAGTAATAAGTAAAACGCGCATATGTGGTATGCGCAAGCGAGTCTGCGCCATGCACCATACAAGTGCCTCGGTGAAGGTAAAATGGGACCGGGAAAAAGTCTCTCTCGCGGCGCGAGAAAATGAGGCATTTTCTGATACAATAGTCTACGATAACCTTAGGACCTAAATTTAACCTTACCGGTAATACCCACACATCAACGCTAGCGCCAATGCTATTTGAATAACGGATGGGAGACTATATACAAGATTATTTCAAAATTCATTCATCCATCTCGTTCCAATATTTTTTTCTTCTCTTTTTTTACCATTTGAGTCTTCCTTAGACATTAACCTGAGCAATAGCCTCCCCAGTAACCCTATTAGAAGTATCAGTTAACATAATGCACTAGTTCGTGAAACCAGAAAGGGCACATACACGAAAGACCCGTTAGACGGTTTACTGATAACCATAGCCTGGGCCAGCTTTTCCTCACTGATATCCGGGAACTTATTCAAGTAGTACTCATCCTTTAGAGCCTTGATCACAGCATCAACCTTCGACTGGGGCAGCATATGCACCGTGCAACCACCCCATCCGGCACCAGTGAGCCGACTACCCCAGGTACCCGCGCGCCTAGCAATGGCGCAGATATCATCAACTTCCGGAGCGCTGCACTCATACTGGGTACGGCACGATGCCTGAGACTCGTTCAACAATTGTCCCAGATATTCGATACGTCTCTCATCGAGGGTATGTGCCTTGGCCAGGCAGGCCTTGAAATCAAGCACGCGACGGGCCTCGGTGAAGCAGTGCAAAGCACGTTGGCGCAGGAGGAAGCGCTCGGCCTGCACGGGGAACGAAGAAAGGTATTTGGCCTCGAGGTCTGCGACTGTGGTGCCGAGGAGCTTGGCGATTTCCTCGCGCGTGTATCCCTGTTCTTGGGTGAGGTGTTCCATGGTAAACTGGATGACGGAATCGATCTGGTACTCGAGAGGGTCGCCGAGGCGGCCTTCCTTGCGCATGAGTTCTTCGTGGAAGTTGCGGAGACTGTATCCGAGGGAGCTATTGTCCTTGGGGAGGATTAGGCCGTGCTGGGCGGCGAGGACCACGGCGGCGAGGGTGCATTCTGCGACGCGCAGGTTGTAGTGGCGGGGTGCAGTCTCAGCCTTGTTGGAGGTGACGAAGCTCTGGGCCATGAGGAATGTGATCTCTTCGGTAGCCTTGGGGATGGGAACGTGTTGGACGAAGAAGTTGGGGAAGAACTGGGTGTATAGCAGATATCCGCGGCGGGAGAAGATGGAAGCTGCTTGGTCCATACTACTTGTGTGTCAGAAAGGTAGATAGAAAGGGGTACAGAAGCTGCAGCTTACCCTCCAGAGTAGACACCGACTGCACGCTCCGAGACCACGGCGAGATCGAGGAGATCTTGTTTAGAGACATTGTGGTTGTTCGCTTTCATGACGGCAAGCGCACTCGAGCAGACGAAAGCTGCACTGCTGGAGATTCCACCGCCTGGAGGCACGTTACCATCCACAAGGACCTCCACACTGGCTGGCACAAAGGAGCCATCTTGCTTGGCTTTGCGCAGGAATTTCAGGGCACCCAAGAGCCCGGCTCTGAAGTAGTTGACCCATTCGTGATGCTTAGGATCGATCTCAATATCGGTGTCGCGGGGAACTGTAAATTCGCGAGAGGGGAATTTCTCGGGCTGGACGTTGGCAATCTTCACATATGGCTCTCCGTTGGAAGGAACAACCTTCACGGCCATGATGACGTCGACGCTGACGGCAGTGGGGAGGACATCGTAGAGGTTGTAGTCAATGTGTTCGCCAATGATGTTAACACGACCAGGGCTGCGGGAGACGAAGTCGGGACGATGGTTGTACAATTGGTTGAATTTGGAAATCAGGGCATTGAAACGAGCCTGATGCTCCAGAGCGACGGTCGTGACCGAAGCATCGTCTGTGGCATAGACCTCAGCAATGTTCTCTGTCTGGGGGACGAGCTCTTGCGGGGTTGTTGCCATGGCGTGGTATGCGCTTCAAAGGCTGGTTTGGAGTTGAGTGAAGGGGGGAGGATAGAGAGAAGAAGACAAAGAAAATAAGAGAAGAGAGGGGTATTTAAAGACGTAATTATCAGAGATCATAGGAGGGGGAAGGAAAAATGATCAAAGAGGAATGGTGAAGATGCCCCGCAATCGACGACGGAACCCTAGGGCGTCAAGCTTCGGATGATTGGCCGCCCGGAGTCCACGGGGAATTAACGCTGGCCACGCGATCCGTGCCTGGAGAAAACATGAAATTGCACTCACCGGGAACTCCGACTCTCCAGCTTTTATCCCAACCGAACCCCACATTTTTCCCGAGTGTCTCTCGGCCTGCCGCATCATCTCCCCCCCCCCCGACAGTCTCTTTCTATAGCCGAAACAAACACTTTGCACTTTTGTCTCGACTCTTCATGTTTATAATAAGCGTTTGCTATTGATTTTAAACTCGGCTCCATATGTTCCTTCCTTTTTTGCCGTTTTTAATTTGGCTCAATGCTACTTTCCTACCTCTACTATTCCGATACTCCGGCTCAATGTTTCCGCTAGCTGTCGCGATATACCGAGCACGATGAAATTAACCGACGTTCCCTCGCGTCAAATTGGTAATTCTAAAACACCGGAAAGGCACAACAGCCAGACACCCGGCCAACCTATCACCCCACCGTGCACATCACACCTGCCCGCTTTGAATTTTGGTCTTCACACTAACAGAATTTCTATTGCGTGGCGATCTAGCATCTTCTTCTCTTGTGTAATGCTTTTCCCTTCTATGAGCAGAGTAATAAGGTAAAGATGTCTACTCATCTTTTAATAAGGAAGGCATTCGTCCCCGCCACTTGGCTTAGCGAGCTAGCCTGTCATGCTAAATTGAACTTCTAGTTTACTGTATACGCCCACCAGGACAATATTACCAACATTACTTATTACTCACGATAAAATTGAAAGGACCGCGGGAGGAAATAAAAATTAAGTGATTAAGTGACATCATACAACATGATAAATCAAATAGTGAATAAAGTACCTCCGTAGAGCATAGCCTACATTCAGTGCAGCTAAGCAAGGCCCTACTACCACAAACAGCTACTAGGTTAAAATGACTCAGAATATCTCCACAAAGAAACATCATCGGATAGTATGCAAAGCTAGTCCTTGGCCCGAGTGCAGACCTAGCCATTGCAAGACAAAATCGGTCACTCTCCTAGTCAAGGCTAATGTGGGTTTCCAGTCAGGGCGCAGAATCATAAATATTTCAGCAAGCGCGCATTGACCCCACAATGAAATCCACCAGTGCGCTCTGAGATGGTGAAGAATAACATAGTAATGCGCGAGGATGATTAGCGCAAGTGGTTCGCGCTCCCAGACTAAGCAAAAGAACCTAGGTGGAGGTTCACGAATCCAGGTGAAGCTCATGGAGATTATATCACTGCCACTGTCAAAAGTCGCTAAGAGCTTTCCGAGATGTGCGATTGTTCTAGTGAAGACATGCTGCTCATTGTTGGCCGCACGTGCGTCGACAAGCTCATAGAGAGCCGAGATTGCGAGGCGAGAAAATTCAGAAAGAATCGGCCTAGCTTTCTCTGTGGAGAGAAGATGGCCAATTTCGGCAGCTGCAGCGTAGTGCATAATAGGTACCAAGAAGCCCATCATTTTTCTAGACAAGCATGAGTAGCCCAATTAGCTCCTCTATCGCGTTAGGTATTACTTTACTCCTTCTTCCAACTGCCACTGGGAATGCAGACACAGACGTTTAAGAGACTCGACATGGCGAAACTAATCTTTCTTTGTGAGGGTTCCACACTCCCCAAGGCCGTCTTGAACATATTGATAGCTTTGACTTGATGGTATTCTGCTGTCATGATCAGCGCGTCGCGCTCATTGCCTTGGTTGTTAATAGAGAGAGCTAGATGGAAGGCCGAGACTGCAAAAACCCGTGTAAAAGGAAAGGGTGAGACAATGCCAGTTGAGTCATTACGTCTTGCCAAATGGCACTATCTGAAGAATTTCGCACGAGAGAGTGGCAGGTTATTGTTGTCCAATTCATGAACAATCTAAGCTGTAACATGTTGAATGAAATATTAGATCGAGGCATTTCTTAGAGGAGATACAGAGCTGCCGTCCCAGTCCGATTGGGGGCTCATTCCCACCAGCTGTGAGGAAATGTAACAGTCGACTAGTGTTGAACTGATCCCTGGCGAGGTACAGCAATTTGGTTCCAGAGCCAGGGCCCGACTTCAGCGTACTGGCACAGTCCAAGGCGGTTCTCACTATGAGTACATTTCGGACGCTTCTGCGTTTACACTGAAAACAACCATTTCCGCGATTTGCGTTTCCCACTTTGAGACATATTACTCTACATGACCATTAGATATGCTCATCATATTCTTGACCGGATAGTCACATCTCATAGTCGTGCAAATTGAAGTACAGGATTTCATGAATATATAAAAAAATCAGCCCTCTCGCCCGATATCTTCCGATAACTACAACGTAAAGCCTGCTACGTTGATTACTAAGTAACCCTAGCTACGAAACAGTCGAAATGAAATCTGTCTATATACGCAACCTGCACACGCGGCATCGTCCTGTAGAATTTCCTGATTATGAATGTATCCGGTAGAAGCGACATCTATATCCTATATAAAATAGCCAGTTACGTCTGAGAGTACCATACCAACTACTAGACTACATATTTGATAAACCTGGTCTATTGGCCGAACCAGTTGCAAATTCCATTCTACCATTCAAAATCCAAGACTAGGAGGGCAGGAAATAGGTATTGAACAAGATCCAATGTTACCGGTCAAAGCGACGGAATTGTACCTAGCGCCTGTATCACATTCGTGTCACCATTCGGTTCCATACATTTTTTTGGATAAGAAGAATTCCATAAAGTAGAGCCTCGGCAGTCGGTGGGCCTACAACAACGGTTACAAGCTAGTGAAAAGGATTCGCAGGAGACCCAAGCCCTTGAGTCTGCAACTCACACCCAGGAACATCGACGTCTACCGGAACGACCCTATCACACCCATGTACCACAGAGTAGCTGTAATGATAGTAGCCGCCACCATTCGCACAGCTACCCATACTGATAATTTATCGCAGTTCGGGCATCTGGTCGTATACTTGACGAATGAGGTATCATTTTGTAGGTAAGCGTACCGGCAACGATCATTAAACCTGACTGCCTCGTGGAAGCTCGAAACAGGAGACCTAGGCGATCTTCATCGTAGCGTAGACCAGCGATATGCATCATCTCTACAGCACAACATGAAATCCCAAAAGCCATAGGGTATAAGGAGCCCTGTCGGGCTTAGTTTACGACTCGATCAGCTGTCGTTCTACGGATATCCCGATAAGTCAGTTTTGAGAGATATATTTCGGTTTGTTGGGGCACAAACAAGGCATATTGAATCATTCCATGGACTTGCTTTTTACTCGGTAGGGCGGTCTCCTTTTTCTGTTGTCCACTAGCGGTGAGGGCGAGTTGTGCCTGTGTGAGGCAGTCACGATCTCGCACATAGTGGAATCGAGGTGGGAGCTATGCGTGAAAAGGCACGTCGAACTTTCGAAACAGTGTCAGATTTGTACAGTCATCTTGGAATGGGGATATTAATTCACACACAGCCTGCTAGATCCGGTTCTGCGCCTCTATAGCTAAAAAGCATGCTGAGTTGAGTTGCTTCCGTTGGCGTGGTGTCTAGCGATCGTTTTCTAGGCCATACAACGAAGGTATAGGAAAATGGATAGGCAGGTGTTCCCCCATTCCATGCCAGTCACAAAGACTCTTTTCTTCTAACAGATGGGTGTCTTTCAAAATGGGAGAAACAAACTCGATCCATAGGTTCGTATATTAGGGCATGCTTCTCTAACCTCATCAAGCATTACTTACGATAACTTGCGAGATTTACCACGAATACCAGAGCTTACACCCAGACTGTGTAGATCATTCCCTCTTTCTGAAATCAAGATACTAATCCGAGCCCATTAATTACGAGACCAAACCGGCATTTCGTATTTTTGATCTATAACCTTTTTAAAAGATGGCCCACGTCTACCATTCTCGATATCTTCTTTTCTACAAACTCCCTTTTGTTGATCCAACGAGGACCGAAGATTTTGATCAATTGCCGAAAGGCATATGGCACAAGTTCAAGTTGCCGGAAACAGATCTCGCCGACCCAAGAACATTGCTAAAGTTGACCAAGGTTGGCCCCAAGGCATGGGAAAAACTCGTAGATAGACCTGCGCTTTGGAGTTTCCTACCATTGGATGACTGCGTTCGGTCTTTCGTTAGCTTCATAGCAGAACACTTTACGCTTCCAGACAAGTCTCGCTTGATTTACAGCTTAGTGATTGAATTAGAATCTGGTGGTGGCGTCGGGAGATTCATCCCACATATACTCGGTGCCAGGATACAGTATAGTATACGATGCGTTACATGTGATATCACAAAAGCATGTCGGACTTGGCCTAGAGACCGAAAACTTGGTTAGTGTTATGCAGAGTGTTATGTATGACCTGTTCTGGAAGTTCATCAGTAGTGTAAGTCGGTATATATTTGAATTATACCCTGAACGGCTTGATTTGTTAGAACAACCAAGAGGGTAGCTGTTGAAGTGTTAGAATAACTTCTCACCTAGAATTAGTTGATCAATATTTCCAAAAAAAAAAAAAATGAAAAATGAAATAGAAAAAGGAAAGAGAACAAAACAAAAGTAAAAAAGAAAAAAGTCAGCATCATCACCATAGTCAGATCTGCAATATATCCTGTTTTGCACCAGGGTGCAGAGTAGAAGGCTCTTAACAGAATAGGAAAAGAAAAGAGTACAGGATGCACCTGAAAGTTGAGTCACACAGACTGATGGAACAAGGTTGTCCGTCTTAGTAGTCCTGCCTTAGAGGAAAATAATAATATAATATTATAATATAATTGTAATTATAATTATAGGATCATCAAATCGATGGGATGATTCACTCCATGTATCATGGTTCTCGTTAGAAGCATGTGCATCTCCGGAATCGGCTGCGCGGTGACTTTTAGTCTTACTTAGGAGGTTAGCTGGAAGGAATTCATTGCTCCTGTATTCCTGCCATGAATAATGACTTGCAGATTACAGCCCCAGCATTACATACTCATAGATTGTAGGGGTGTTGCCATCATCACCATCGTTTGATCCCAGTATCCCATGAGACCTGGAATGAAGTAAAATCATCCCTCTGTGACGGGTTTCCCCAGAATATCTCCCACGGAGTTAGAGCCCTACTCCGGGCTTAGTGTGTCACTGACCGAGGGAGATCCTCTTTTCCCTCGCTGCCTGAGGCCCACTGTCGCCAATCAGGTGATGGGGGACCAAAAAATCGTCGCCGATGATCGGAGCTAGCGGACCCAAGTGGGCCAATGAAGGTGCCCAGATTGGATTTGACTCCAAGGACACTAAGCACCGAATGGGATTAGTGCCAAGACACCCTTCTGAGTCTTCTTTTCCGCCCGGCTTTAAGGAACTCTTACTCACACCGGATCCGTGGACTCTTTCCCCCCCTTCTCAACTTCCTAAAGATTCCTCTTTGTGTTTGGCCTGGCAATCATCCGTCCTCAAGATGATGCCTCTAAGACCATCCAAAAGCGCCCTGCGCGCCCTGCACTACCAGAGGTATATGACCTCTGGAAGAAGGTATTTCACTTCTTCAGTGGCTGCCGTGTCGCCCCACCGCTTTTCTGCTCAGAAACGAGCTCAGAGTACTGCTACAGCCTCTGCTTCGTGAGTCTTTCCATCTCCTGAGAGAGGTTTCTCAAACCAATTGGCCTAGCTAACCTCAACGTGCAACGCTGCAGAGAATCTCGTCCCGCTCCCAGCCCCGCCTTCAACCAGGATCCTCATCGCAATGAAGTATCACCGCTGCAGAATAGGAACGTGCCGGAATTGGATGATTCGTATGTGTCTGTTCAGATTGGTTCTTTACAAATGACCTAACGCGCCTGGGGAATTACAGCTTCGTTGGACTTAGTGGTGGAGAAATTTTCCATGAGATGATGCTTCGCTTGGGCGTCAAGCACGTCTGTGAGTCACCTTAGATTCTGGGCCCCGGATTATGGATAATGAAACATAAAAAATCGCTGACCACTGGACAGTCGGCTACCCTGGTGGCGCCATTCTTCCTGTTTTCGATGCGATCTACAACTCCAAGCACTTCGACTTCGTTCTCCCTCGCCACGAGCAGGGTGCTGGACACATGGCCGAGGGCTACGCCCGCGCTTCAGGACTGCCTGGTGTTGTCCTGGTCACTTCGGGCCCCGGTGCTACTAATGTGATCACCCCCATGCAGGATGCCCTCTCCGACGGCACACCGATGGTTGTTTTCTGCGGTCAGGTCCCCACCAGCCTGATCGGTACCGACTCCTTCCAAGAAGCCGACGTGATCGGTATCTCGAGAGCTTGCACGAAGTGGAACGTTATGGTCAAGTCCGTTGCCGAGCTCCCTCGTCGCATCCAGGAGGCTTTCGAAATTGCAACCAGTGGTCGTCCCGGTCCCGTTCTGGTCGACCTCCCGAAAGATATCACCGCCGGTATCCTCCGCAAGCCTATCCCAATGAACAGTACCATCCCCTCTCTGCCGAGCGCGGCGAGCATGGCAGCCCGGGAGTTGGGCATGAAGCAGCTGGAAAATACGATCGGCCGCGTGGCTCGTCTGGTCAATGTCGCCAAGAAGCCCGTCCTATACGTCGGTCAGGGTCTTCTCGCTAACCCCGAAGGCCCGAAGATCTTGAAGGAGCTTGCCGACAAGGCGTGCATCCCGGTCACAACGACTCTGCAGGGACTTGGTGGCTTTGACGAGCTGGACTCCAAGGCATTGCACATGCTGGGGATGCATGGGTCGGCCTACGCCAACATGGCGATGCAGGAAGCTGATCTGATAATTGCCGTTGGTGCCCGTTTCGATGACCGTGTGACTGGTAACATCACCAAGTTCGCCCCCCAGGCCAAGCTGGCTGCCTCGGAGGACCGTGGTGGTATCGTGCACTTCGAAATCATGCCGAAGAACATCAACAAGGTCGTCCAGGCCAATGAGGCTGTCGAGGGTGATTGTGCTGACAACATTCGCCATCTGCTTCCTCATGTGAACGCAGTCTCGGAGCGCCCCGAGTGGTTTGCTCAGATCAATGACTGGAAGGCTCGCTTCCCCTTTTCTCTTTACGAGAAGCAATCCAGTGAAGGCCCCATCAAGCCCCAGACCTTGATTGAGAAGCTCAGCGACCTCACTGCCCATATGAAGGATCGAACCATCATCTCCACCGGTGTCGGGCAGCATCAGATGTGGGCTGCCCAGCACTTCCGTTGGCGCCATCCCCGCACCATGATCACCTCTGGTGGTCTTGGTACTATGGGTTACGGTCTCCCCGCCGCCATTGGCGCCAAGGTCGCTTGCCCAGATGCGCTCGTTGTCGATATTGATGGAGATGCCTCCTTCAATATGACCCTGACTGAACTCTCCACTGCTGCCCAGTTCAACATCGGCGTCAAGGTCCTCCTGCTGAATAACGAGGAACAGGGTATGGTGACCCAGTGGCAGAACCTGTTCTACGAGGACCGTTATTCGCATACTCACCAGAAGAACCCCGACTTTGTCCCTCTTGCCCAGTCGATGGGTGTTGCTGCGGATAAACTCGTTAACCCGGCCGATATGGAGGAGAAGCTGAAGTGGCTGATTGAGAGCGATGGCCCGGCTTTGCTCGAGGTTATCACGGACCGTAAGGTGCCTGTGCTTCCCATGGTGCCCGCCGGTTGTGCCCTGCATGAGTTCCTTGTCTTCGATGAAGGTATGTTCCTTTAGACTCTTGCGATCATTCTGAGTCTGCGCTAACTTTGGTTTTTCTGTTTCTAGCCAAGGAGAAGGAGCGCAAAGCCTTGATGCGGAAGCGGAAAGTCATCGTCTAAGTTGACCTCATTGATGGCAACGACGTATCTTACTGATTCTGTTATTGCGAAGCGCCCTCTGATTTTTTTTCTCTAATCTGTCGATATCCACGGCGTTTTCTGGCGGGTTCTAAAAACGCTAGCGCGTGCCTGTTGGCGCTCCCAGTCGCATCCATTGGGAGGGAACTGCACAATCAAGCCGCATTCCGCAGGCTTCATTGGAACTCTTTCTTTCTGGTGAGATGTGGAGTAGGCTTCTTCTACCCCTGAACTTGAGTCCTTTTACTCTGATCTACTTTATGACTCGCCAAAAGTTTCTTCGGTTCCAGGCGGCTGTACATTGTATATAATCCTTATTTTTTATCATGTTACCTATCTATGTTGGAAACTTCAAGGAATAATAGGAAAAGGATGTTATTGTTAACTTGTGCTTCATGATTGTAATCGACTTAACACGAATTCCTTGCCACCGTGTCTCTATATACTTAGAGTCCTAGAAGATTTATTAGATTTATTGACAATGCTCAATCCCACCCTACATCAATTACAGGAGACCATATCTGATATCCATCTTGCTCCATGGCGTGGTTTTTTTCATACTTGCAGGATCATCTAGACATTAGCAGAGTCGCATTATGAACTACGGCAATAAGGACGTTCGTTGTCTCTCGGCACCAAACCGCTGGGACTATGGTTAGTAATCCTCGACAGGACCAATGCTTCAAGAGTTAGCTCTTCATTGTCCTTATATTGCAGGTGAAAGCACTAAACCCTTCACACGTAGCTCTCTGCACATCAACCGTCCTACCCACTTGCAGTTCCCTGCCTTCAGTGAGCTTTTGTGAGACGCCATCAAAAAAGCGGATACATAGACACGGTAAACCTGAGAATGACGCATTAACGGCAAGTTTAGGCTCCTCAAGGTAGTTTGTCATGGAGATTCTTCACGTCAGTATCTGTGGCTCACAGTAGTGTATAATATTCTCCCACGATATGAGGATAAGTGATGGTGTTTCAGTGAACCTGGCAGAGGATGCTTCACTCGGCTCTTTCCACGGAAGTGGTGAAAAAGACTTGTCGCGGCACTATTGAGGAATTGAAATCCAACTATAGTGGCTATTGCTGGTCAACACTTACGACCAGTTCACTTGAATACTTTCATTTAATTGTACTATCAAACTTTGAGAGTTGACCTTTGCCAAGTCAATTGATTGATTCATAAATCTCAAGCCCTAAAAGGACCAGCGACCTCACCATAACCCAGTATATCCAACACACGTATATCAATCTACTTTCAGCAACGTCCAACCCAAGCAAAACCGCCACTCCTATACAACCACCCCCCAAAATATGGCAACAGACCCTCACACACATCCCCAAAACACTCTCCCCATCTTAACCCCACCGAAATCAAAACCACACACTTAGCCGGCATCTCCTTCGAATTCTGGTTCTCCCGCGCCTTCCGCGCATAATACGATACCGCGAGGACAACACCCTGCGCGAACGCGAAGATGCCGTCGTATGGTCTCTCGGCTCGAATCTTTCCTGTAGGTGGGTGGATCTACAGGGTCAAAGTAGTTGTAGACGGCGGTATCTAAGCCAGTGGGCAGGTGGGCTTCGACGAAGTCGTAGGTGAGGTTGTCGCTGAGATCAAAGCGGAGGACGGCTCTTTTTTGATTTATTTTTTAAATTTTTAATTAATAATCATTTTTTTTGGGCGCGTTGGTCTTATGGGATATATTGAATAAATCATTCAAGCCCTAATGGCGATAAGGTTGCATTGGCGTGAATTTAAAGCGGATTAAAGTGGTGGGGCGCTTGGCGGGAGGACATACAAATATAAATATTAATATTCAGACCTATTTATACTTGACCTATCGCTCTTTTCAACTTGATTGATCCAGTTAATTGGATCCCCTCTGAGATTGTATCTGTCACTGTATTCTTGTGATGGTTTATTTCAGCTCACAAGGCTTATTTTCACCAATAGAAGGACACCCCATATTGAGTACTACTTAGTGAGAGAGGATGCCCTATTCCACACCGGACTCACCGTGGATATGTCCAAGAGCTTCTTTCTAATATAATTATGGCTCGTGCGAGAAGCTAGTACCAACTAAAGCATATCCACGCCTACCAAATCATTAACTAATTTGCTATATAAATATATGACTGATGGCTTTCTGCACCCTCTTCTTCAGTCTTGTCAACACGACCCAATTTAACTTCATCAAATTGACTATGACCTTGACTCCTCTAGACATGAATGGCGACTCTACACTATCTATGTGAATTAGAAAATGATTGATGGCAAGGGCCCCAGTCATGACATTTCTATCATCGGCTTCTCCTTTTATTTCCCGATTCTGATTCTCAAGTCTCCTTCTGGGAGCTCATGGGATCGGGAATATCCGTGTCTTCTGACTTTCCCTAGGATAGGCTGACTGCCACTAGGTATTGTGCGGCCGATGATACTCGTCTGGGCACGGCAGGTTACCACTGCGCTCTGGCCACGACCTTACACTAACCCTGCGGGCTACAGATTCGGCCTAGAAAAGTTTGCTTTGTCCAGCGAGACGTGAGCAGCTTTGATGCGAAATACTTTGCAATGACTATGCGTACTTCAACTCTTATCTCATAGATTCTTGGTTCTGAGATTATTCTTCCTGACCCACGTACATAGCTGGAATACCTATGAACAAGGTCAATGGCACAAACGCGCCAATACCGGTTGCTTTATCGCCGCCTGTATGGCTCTCGCGGCAAAATATGTTGGTGTTGCAGCAAAATACTCTGGAACGAACATGGCAACTAGTATATTTTCGGACCGTATCAGAACATTCTTCAACTTGATCAGCCCAAATATAACATTGACATCGCATGCTAGAGTACTCTGGTCGCTTCAGATCTGGACTGCAAGACCCTAAAAGAGGGAACATCCTCAATGGTACAATACATTCCTGTTGCTACATTTGGAACTTGTCAACTCATGCTCACCGTGTCTAGGGAATTGTTGCTGGCTGTAACTTACTACTGGTCCTAGACATTTTATCACTATGCAGAACCTCTGATTACTGTTCCCTGGTTGGGGGGCGAAGTCAGTCACTCATGATGACAATCGTGAAAAAGGCTATGGCCGGGGTGATGGGTTTGGTGTTCTAGTCCTAAAGCCTCTCGAAGCCCACGGCACCGGAAAAGCTATAGGGGAACACCTTGGAGCTATGGAGATGGGCAACACATTCAGATCCGGGAGACGAGAGCAACCCGATTTTCGGGTAAGAAACACCTGCCATCTCTGCTCTGTGTAGGAAGCTGACCCCTTTATCTTCTGGTGGAGCAGTAAAAGCAAATACCGGATATTAGGAAGGCGTGACAGGAATTGCTGGTGTATTAGAGACGATCCTGGTGCTGGAAAAGGGCATGTTCCCTCCTATAGCGAACCTAAAGAGCTTGAACAATAAGATACAATGTTTGGTCCTTTGACTGGTCACTGTGAAGATGAAACCGCTTCTCCGGATTTTGGATACTGTGTTTGAGATATATTGTTACCCATTTGATGTTCACAGAAATCTGTTTGAGAATCGAGTTGAGTGGGACGTGAAACTGGGTGTGAGTGAGGGGAGATGGTGGAGAAAGATGCATCGGAATGTCGAAGTTCAAAACTACGCCCGATTTCAGTTCCTTTTTTAGGGCCTTGGGGCTCAGCCTCCGACAAGATTTAATTCAGGTACTCTTTCCCTAACCTTCTTTCTTCTCCCTTCACACATACTAAAACTAAATTGTTCAATTGGAACCATGGCCGTAGCACTTCCCATTCCATCCCTCGACGACAGGCCTTTCGGCGTGCACCTATGGCCACACTTCAGCAAGGTCTTCGAGCTTGTCGCAGGCTATCCTGCCGATGAATTTAAGTTCGTCGTGGGGAAGACGCCAATATCAACGTTAAAGGAGACATCGATCTTCGTGGCTGTTTATTATACGATTATTTTTGGGGGGAGAGGATAGGTGCGAAACCGGAATCCACATCGATTGAGGTCGCTGTCCCTGATCCACAACTTCTATCTACACGGTAATTACTGCCGTACTACTCGCGTTTCACTTCGAGGAGCTTCTTCCTACTGTTTCTCGGAAAGGCATTTTCTATGCTATATGCCATTCTGATGGTGGCTGGACATCTCGCCTGGTTGTTCTCTACTACGTAGGTTAACATCTAAGGAGATACGCTTGTATAGCGCAGATGTAAACAAATATCTCGAGCTCCTCGACACCATCTTTCTGTTTCTGAAGACGAAGCCTTTGACATTCCTCCACTGTTACCACCACGGTGCGACTGCCGTACTATACTACACCCAACTTATTGGCAACACTGCCGTCTCATGGGTTCCCATCACCCTGAACTTGTTGGCACATGTTGTCATGTATTGGTACTACTTCCAAAGCGCTCGTGGCATTCGCATCTGGTGGAAAGAGGGGTCACGCGGCTGCAAATTGTTCAATTTGCCGTTGATCTGGGCTTTGTCTATTTCGCATCTTACACCTACTTTGCCTCGACTTATTTCCCTGGCATGCCCAACGCGGGCCACTGCGCTGGGGAGGAGTTTGCCGCATTTGCTGGTATCATCGTTATCACTTCCTACCTTGTCCTCTTCATCTTATTCTACTTCGCCACGTACAAAAAGATGGAAGCCCCCAGCGCCCGCAGAACGCTCCGACACATGTCCCAGGCAAAGGCTCCGGGGTCTCACGGCAAAGTTAGAGCTACGGGGATTTTGGCCAGCAATGCTTCGACCCGGTCTCGAAAGGCCTAACCGTCAAACAACAAGTGACGGTATCAGAAAGACTATATGCATATGTGTATACATATGATTTTCGGGAAACAAGACCGCGCGGGCTTTAGAAGGGAAAACATAATTCAACGACTTTCGGCTTAGTACAGTGCCGTACGAGATAAGCTACATAACATAGTTATTAGAATAGGATTATATAAATGAAATTCAAACAATAACAGTTATGGACCTCGGCAGTACTTTTGTTCCACGAGATCAGGTGCTCCCGCCCCGCACGTGACCCCAAGTGGACTTTTGGATTCAAGGCAAAGCCGTGGTTCACATCCGAAGCACTATAACTCCAAGGCTGCCTGATAAGTGAAACCTACCCCATCGTCTCGCCGCAAATCTCTTTCCCCTGCCTTACTTCCATGAATCCATGATATTTATCCGCCTCTCCCTTACAGAATGTACAGCGGTACTCTTTCACCTTAGGTAGCACAACTCTCGTCTCTCATTTGACTTGACTCATCTTACTCCGTCCTTGTTGGTACTGGATTAGCTTTGCCGAGCTATGGCGTCAATGCCGGGATACTCGACCTCGACCAGCAGACCGCGGTCTTCGGATAACGCTTCCACCACAACTTCGATACCCGGAACGACAACCTCGCCTACGGCAGAATCAATGGAGGACAACGAAACCGTGCTTCTCAATAGACCCTCGTTGGGCGAAGGCAATGCCGCCAGTGCATCTCCGATTGAGAGAGTAACCCCGGTCGATACAGCTAAAAAAGAACCTCGCCAATGTTGGATTTGTTATACCGACGAAACGGAGGAATCTCCCCTTAACACAGAATGGCGCTCCCCTTGCCCATGTGCTATAACGGCCCACGAAGCTTGCCTACTCGATTGGCTCGCCGACTTAGAGAAGCCCCGATCCCGGAAACGCAGCGGCCGCACCGCGAAGATGGTGTGTCCCCAGTGCAAATCCGAGATCGTTGTCTCGCGCCCGCGCAGCTATATTGTGGACATGGTTCGGGCGTTAGAACGGTTTGCTGGTCGACTGGTTTTGCCGGGTGTAGTGTTCACAATCGCTGGTACGGTCTGGGCCGCATGCTGTGCGCATGGCGTGTCCTCCATGTACTTTGTTTTCGGTCCAGAGGACGCCAGACTTATCCTAGAGGAGAGCGCGGATGGCGCGTGGAACTCGGGTCTCAATCTCGGGCTGCCGCTCATCCCACTGGCTTTGATCTTCTCACGGACTCGTTATGCGGAAGGGCTACTCCCGGCTATCCCAGTACTGTTCTTCGCTACGCATAATCCCGGTCGTGAGACTGATTTTGAACTGTGGCCACCTAGCGCCGCGATGACATTCGCCGCTCTCCCTTATGTGAAGAGCTTCTACAGCACTGTTTATCGGAGGATGTTTGGAAAGATGGAGAAGAGGTGGATCGCCGAGGTGCAGCCTCGTCAATCGGATGTTAACGAGTTTGACGACAATGCGCCCCCAGAACATCCGGAACCCGACCCGGTTCAGAACGCTGGAAATCCACACGTTCTGATGGAATTTGACTTGCAATTGGGCAACAACGGAGAGGCAGCCGGGGGGGGTCAAATCGAAGGTCTAGGAATAGGCCGACATGCCGAGCTAATTAGCGAGACGAGCAACCTTGCCGACATCGTCCTTGGAGCTCTCGCATTCCCGGCCATATCAGCTGCCATGGGAGGGTTACTCAAATATGTTTTACCGAAGTCATGGACCGCTGCACCCTCCGTGTTGGAGCGTACCAAACCGGGACTTTTACAGACCAGATGGGGCAGAAGTGTGGTCGGGGGCTGTGTCTTTGTGTTCCTAAAAGACGCTTTGATTCTATACTGCCGATGGAAGCTAGCACATACGCACCGCCGCCGGAAAGTGCTAAATTACGACCAAGCAAAGAAGCAGGTGAAGTAATTAGAGAGGTTCTATTTCTTATGATACTCAAAATGACAATGCATGGTATGGGGCGTTTTGCAATGGTATGTGGATGATGATCCACCGGACGATACACTCTTTGTCTGCTGCACATTTTTATTTTATTTTATTCTATATCCTCCAACGTCATGACTACTCTATACAAAATGCCACGTACTTCCCCTCTCTTAAACAGAATCACTCCTTAACAATCCCCACCACTTCCCCCAAAGAATCCACCACGAAATCCGGCGCCAACGCCTCACACGCGCCCCGATCCCCATACCCATACCGACACCAACAAACCCTCCCCCCAATATTCCTCGCAAACTTAATATCTGCCACCGTATCCCCGATCACTAACACCCCCTCCGCCGGTACCTCCCCCACCCCATGCTTCTCCCGCAACGTCGGCACCAACACATTCGCAAAACTCGCCGGATCCGGCTTCCGCTGCGCCCCGGGCGTCTTATCACCGATGATCAAGTCCTCCGGCACGTACCCGTCGAGCCCATTCTGCTCCAGCGTGGTCTTCACCGCCGCCACACCCTTATTGCTCACGATGGCGACGGGTACATGATGGCCCTTGAGCGCGGCAAGGACGTCCCGGGCGCCCGGGAAGGCTCTGATGAGGAGTTGGCCATGGGTTGCATAGAGGGCGCGGTATTTGTCGATCCAGGCGTCTTCGTTTTCGTTAAAGGTCGTTGGGTTTGGGTGGAGGGCGCGGAAGGTGTCGGAGAGGCCGGCGCCGCTGGCGATCAAGCGGCGGACTTCGGATTGGGGAGGGCCGTAGGCGGGGAGGAGGGCGTGGAAGGTTAGTTGGATGGTTTGTGAGATGGATTCGTGGGTATTGAAGAGGGTGCCGTCGAAGTCGAAGATGGCGAGGGTTGTGGGTGGCATTTTTCAATAGGTTGTGTTTTGGGGTGGAGAGGCGCTGATCTATGGTCGTCAATGAGGTTTTTTCTTTTTTGGTTCTGGGGAAATTGAATCAATCTTAAATCCAGAGTTGAGCTTAAGCATAAATAAGAGGGACCAGTTGACTATGTTATATATGCGTATGGGTCCCGTTACGTGGGCCCCGTATGTTACATTGGTGGGGAGATTATTGAGTTGGTTAGTGCTTATTTAAGTGGGGACTTATATCGGTTTGGTTATTTTTGTTTTCTTTTCCCTCTGTTTTCTCCAGTTGGAGAGTATATGTAACTGCGAATCGCATCATGTCCTGTTGATTTAGAGACATCGTACAGAGTAGGGTTGATCGGCATCACGGGCCAAGAATATGCAAATGACTTCTAACTGGACCACAGTCACTGTTCTTTATCCACCTGTCGATCTGACAAGACTGGGATGCTTATCAAGCAAGAAACTAAGTGTCCGCTAGGGATGGTTAGTATGTATGTTCACCTTAAATCAGTGAACATTGTCGAATCATCTCATACTGAAACAATCAATCTACAACCCATCTTCCCAGTATTGCAAAACCCTAAACCCCGTGATAAATATCCAAATAGATGCAGCGGGTCAGCAGCAGTATACATAACATCCTTATTACACTCTGTCAAACAATCAACGCTCGAAGGCTTCCAATCAATCACTGGTCTAAAAATCTCCAAATCTGTCCGTTTGAGGTCTGGAATGGCGTATTTTGAAATATGAAGATTGTACATGTATATATATCTCATCTTTATATACTGCACTTTATACCTTCTTGCGAGCTGAAAACCCGGCAAGGACCACCCTCGCTGCGACAAAGAAGAACACGCTTGCCGCCATCATGGCTCCCGCAAACACCTGTAAGCCCCAATAGGTCCCGTGCTGTCGGTTCAGAATCGCCCCGGCAATGGGACTCCCTGTGAGTGAGGCGATACTGGTACAAGTGAATAAGACGCCCTGACGAACCCCGGTCTTGGTCACGTCGGGGGATATCTGGCTCAGAAGGGCGGGGACCATGCCGACGAACGCACCCGAGGCAAACCCATATAACAAGCTGAAGACGACGTAGACAGCCGCACTGCCAGGGGAGAAAAGGGTGCCGGGGAGCCAGAGTGCCAGCAACACCACAGCAGACAGTACACACATGGCGATCATGACGTTGAATCGACCTAGTTTATCACCTAGATAGCCGGGTAGGATACGGCCGGGAAGGCTATGAAAGTCAATGGAGGTCCTCCACCAAGGCTAGTAGGATGTAGTGGTGCTCACCTGGCGGCATTAAGTATAGTTAACAAGTACCCAGCTAAGTCGCGATCGACTCCGTCCTCCTGCGCCTCCACAATAACATAGTTGATTGGTACGAACATGGCGAAGAAGCCGCAACAGGCCGCCAGCATGAGTAGGATAAATGGCACTTCCGAAAAGGGGTCGATGTAATCTGTCAACTTGACAGGTCGTGGAACGGGCGCAATTCTCGACCGAACGGTCAGGTTGGCGACGATCAGCATCGCAAGGACTATGAAGCCTGAGATGCGCAGGGACCATCCAAACCCGATACTTGGTAGGAGTCGCGACAGCATCGTCGGGAACACGACTCCACCGAGTGAGGAACCGCTTGAGACAATACCGAAAGCCAGGGCACGCCGCTTATCGAACCACGTTGCTGTGCATGAGAGGGCGGGGTAGAACACGAAGCTTGCCCCAAGAGGGCTGCAGATTCCCTGGGCTAGAATGAATTGATAATACTCATTCGATATGGAAGTCATCATGAGACCGAAAACGTGGAGAAGAGTCCCAATGAGCAGAAGCCATTGGGGACCGTAATTGTCGAAAAGCTGAAAGCTGATTAGTATACGTATTCCGTTGACCACCCTGCATTAGGGCTTATGGAGAGAGGAATGAAACATACCCTTCCAATGACAAGCCCTGCCGCAAAGAGAATATACGGTTCTAGAGACAAGATCCACGAGATGCTGGATGCCGTGTAAGATTGCAATTGGTGGGTTTGGTAATACTCTTGGAAAACTCCAATGGCTATAAGTCTGTCAGATGGAAACCATCATTGGAAAGGATAGGATAAGACCAGTCTTACCGTTCACCCACCCAAAGCCACAGAAAAGGCAGCACCATGCTCCGATCACCACCGTCCATGCGCGTAGTCCGCGATCAACATGGCTGGCTGGATCCTCCAGAGCTTCACTTCCAGTCGCCGTCACCGTGCTTTTCGGATCCGCAGTATGAGCAGTCGCCATAAGTGGAATCTGGACTGGTCTTCCTCAGGCGGTCCAGCGGCAAGTTTGAAAGACGGAAGGACAAGAGTGAATTTTCAAGATTTAAGTCCCTGCATGAAGTCTTATCGCTGCGGCGGAGAAGAATGTGGAGGTCATATCCGGCGTAGGAAAAAATTTTCTTTTCATCTTCCTTGATCGTCTTCTTCGGCGGAAGTAAACCAGTAGCAGTTAAGGGTATTTTTTTAGCCCCTATAAGGGAAAACATTAATTGGTTGTATTATAGGGTAAGCATCGGATTACCCCGACCAACATGATACGGCAAAACAACAGATACTTCAATTTGACCTTAATTACTCTCCTGAAAATAACTAAGTTGTTGTGCTCCGAGGCAAATGGAGGCCAACATGACCACTTGCCCAATCGCGACAATCCCATGATATGGCCCTCAATATTACCAACCGTGTGTTTCGGAATTTTAATTACTAATAATTTATAGATCTACTAGAATAAATCAGACAAAAGTCTTTAACTAATTAAATCAAGATGAAGAGTGTGGTCCGTTCGAGTTATCGATCCCAAACCCGTGACTCTTGAAGCCCTATGCCATACTCTGGAAGTCTTACTTCATTACCTATAATTTCCACTAACCCCGTCTATTCTCCTAAATATGGAACACGATTTTTATAATACTTTAACTCATATTCCCTATTACACCTTGTAGAACTCAGCAAATAAGAGCAATAGTCTATATAAATCTAACAGTCAGCGTGGATATTACTAGTTAGGGATCCTTAGTGCTATGGGCCTAAGTTATGGCCCCAATGAACAACAAGCAATGATAATCAATTACCGTAGTATATATATATAAATGAAGGGGCCCGTTTATACAACCGCTAAATCATAGGCTACAATGGCGAAGGATTCCACTATTTACCATCGCGACTGCTCTTCGCAACACAAAATCACCTACGCTCACTGCATATGTGTCAATAAGACCAATTTCCCATGCCAATGCGATCATGACATCAACGCCAAATAGCATATGTGGGGATGGCTGGTTTGGCCCTGTCGTCGCTACAGGACACTGTCGTGGAGGCTTTGATTTTACTGTAAGTTTCGAAGCAAGCGTTTTGAACTTTGTTCCAGCTGCTTGCGGGTGGTCCGTGGTCCAAATGAACACCTGTGTCCATGAGATGCAGCCTGCCGCATGGAATCTCTTCGATATTCCGGATAGTCCCCCGATCTATGACACCCGGGAAAGTGATTCCTCTGGACCATGAGCGGGACTTCAAGAGACTGCCTCAGAAGGTCCGCTTGCCGAGGTGGCGTTCTTTGCCTGCCCTGTAACATGTCGGTGGGGAGCTGGAATGGGTCTGGCTTCGCTCATGATGTTGATGAGCTACACAGGGAGATTGCGTCTTACTTCCTTCCGCATTCTTTGGGGAATCTGCGTAATGGAACGGATGCGCGCATTCCGAAGGCGCTGGGGGTTCTAGCTGATAGTGGCCGTCTTGTCGCCAATTTGTAAGGGGAGGAGGGGGAGAAGAAGATGGCGGGTATCCTCTTTGAATGGATTGATGGGTTTCGTTTGTTAGACTCGGGCCAGAGTACTAACCGGCATATTGCTGCGAGAAATCATGCGAACTGGAGGGAGCAGCTGATCGGAATCGTGGGAGAACTCCACCGGCGCGGGGCTCTTACTCTCGGTGTTGGTATTAGCCCGCTCAGTATTACCATTGATCGGAATGATGGTCATGCATGGTTGACGGGGTTCATGAACTGTGAAGTTTCAGAAGGCTGCAACGCGACAGATGGCAATGAATTGGACCGAAGGCAGATACAACTTGTTTTTGATCGGTGGCTGAGCGCTGAAATCGAGGGTTCTCCTGCATCTGACCCTGAAGGAATCAAGAAGGGAGTGGTCACCCGGTGGGTTGGTATCTCCGACAGTCAGCGCTGAAATGTATATACTGGTGCTTAGATTCCTGTTCTGTTGAATACACATAATCTGCTTCGCTCATGGCCTGGCTCTTTTGCATTGACAGACTCAGCCCCTCTTCCATGCATTCAGCACGAAGGAAATCATTAAGCTGAGTTCATTTTCTAGCTTGATTTCCCTCGAGAGGGGATGCAAAGGTGGTGTAATTCCCTTGGTTCCCGTTCTGCGCTGGGCCGCTGGCTCAACCAGAAACTACTAGTACTCTGTGATACCGGTGATTAAGCGGCCAGACCAGGTAAAAAGAGGTTCACTGTGTCGCTCATACCTATTGCGATACATTTCTGGCACACCTGCGGCCTGACTCGGGCTATTTTCACATTTGTCGAGGTTCTTTTCTTCGGGTTCAAAAGAAACCTAGGGTCGGATGAGGCAGTGCGGTCAAAGGACCGCCAAGCCGGGCGAAGTTCAGCCCTAAACAACAGTCAGATCCTTCCGTTCAGGCGCCCTGTACCAAATTAAGAACAGTGAGGCTGAGCATACATCACCATGAAAGCGAGATCATCTCTTTTAACCCAGTTCTCGGTCAACTAAAGAATCTCAACGTGGGGTAATCGCCGGCTTTCATCGTCCATAACTCCCTTCACAATGTCGAATTCTACCTCCGCCCTAAACGTCTTCTTTTACTTCCAAAAACAAGAGCTCAAATTGAGCTTCAGCTCCCCCAACCAAGCATCAGCATACCAAAACCGCAATCGCGAATCCCGCATCTTCGCCAATGAGCCCAGCGCCGTCTACCTCCCACTCTCCGCATCTATGGTCTACATCCGCGACAGCAGCAAAGGCCTAGTCCTCGGCTTCTCCACACAAGAAGACGCCGATCGATGGTGTCAGACCTCCATTCTCGGACGGAAACACGGCCAATACGAAGTGCACATCGGCTGCGGATGGACAGGCGAGCAACTAAACCAGGCTCTCGAGCCTGATATGCTCCAACCCTCCCGTCCAGCCCGCCCCCAAAGCATGCTGTTTACCATGGAGCCCACTCCGCCGTCGAGCTCGGGATCAGACACAAACATGAAGCTCTCACCCAGTATGCAGCCTTCGCCTTTGTCCTCTAACCGGTCTTCTGGAGCCTTCTCTCTACCATCCTCGCTAGTGTCAGGCGCGGGCAAGGCTGCACATCGATCGGTGCCTAGTGGTCATGTTGTGCTTCCTGCTTTGCCTCCGGCTGCGCCTCGGTATCAGGCTCATGGAGGGACGTCGTCGTATCAGCCCATGCCTCTGGCTATGTCGGATGATTCCTATGGGTGTAGTCAGACGGCGGTGGCGTATAGTCTTTCTGCGTATTCGGTTCCTGCATCCGAGATGAGTTTACCGCTGGTGAAGGGTGCGCAGCCGGGGAGAAGAGAGAGTTAGTTGGGTTATATAAGGTTTTCTTGCTTTTGGAACGAGGGGTGATGCTACGATATATATCTTTTCTTAAATTTGATGGGCACGGGAAGGCGGCAAAAGCATTAGCAATCAGTTTTATTTGGGTCACTTGGGTATATTTCTCTAAGGGTTAGTCAAAATGCTTTTTCTTTTAAGTTTCGGGCTGTGGGATCCCTCGTTGTCTATTCTTTTGGATATTTTGGACTATTATGAGTGTGAAACAGTAGGTGTTTAGAAAGAAGTTTGTGAAGTAGATTGTGAAGTAGATTGTGAAGTAGATTGGGTTTCCCGGAGGACGCGTTCGAACACAAACAGGAGAAAGTTTCTAATAGGTGGGCACATAGGGAAAGGCTTGAATATGAACAAGTCATGTATGTATCTAGGACAAACGGCCACATTTTGCGAATTTCTGGAGTTTTGTTAGATCCCATTCTGTCAACATAATAGTCGAAAAGCATCCTGTTTCGGAACTTCATCTTGTCCAGGTCACGATCGGCCGGCATTACGTCCCCACCCGTATAGTAGAATGGTTTACAGAACCTTTCTCAACAGCTCATTCAGTTCCTGTGCCACAAATTCCGGGTTATCCTTCTGTATAAAGTGGCCCGCATTGGGCGCGTGGAGAGGCCCCTTGCTGTACTCCGGCTCAGTAATTTTAGCCAACCCCTCGTTGTACTTCTGCCAGTATGGGTTGACAAAGCGGTTTGTCACCGGCTTGGGAGGACCCATCTTCGCTGATTCTTCCGCAAAGGTGTCAAAGTCATGGCCCACGACGGTCACGTACGGTCCATGGCCATCGGGCCCCTTGAGCAGGGGCCCGTCACTATCTGGCAGTAGCTCGCGCAAGTTCCGTCGGCTGAGACCCTCCTTACTACCGACTTCGGGGTGGAACATGCGACGGGCACCGGCCCGCACGGCGTGGATGGCCTCGACCGGGAGAGGCCCAAGACTGGCCGGGTTGAAGTCGGAGGCATCGGGGTCGGGGAAGATGGATACAAAGTCGGAATTGGCCAGTACGCTGTCTAGGAGGAGAAGAGCAGTGACGGTTCCCGGATATTCGTGCGCATAGATCCGCGCCAGGGCACATCCGACTGAGTTGCCCACCAGAACTAGAGTGACCGAGTCGATATCGGTAACACCCAATTTGTCTTGGGTAATCTGGATGAGAAACTGATGCAAGTCGCGGACGACTGTCAAACAGTCATGACCGTGTGTTGGGTCATCTGCACCAGCATCGAAGGGATCACGGTCGGTAGTCTGACCTTGTCCGTAGCGATCATAGGTGAGAAATGCAGGGATGGGGCTTCCCTTGCGAATGTCTTTCAGCTTGACAACAGCCGCCTGCCACAAGGATTGAGGCAGTCCAAGACCATTGAGAAAAACAACTAGGACAGGCTTGGAGGTGTCCTGGGGAGGCTGGAAGGTGTAGCTAAGCTGCGCTGAGGGCTTGGTGGTAAGAGCAAGAAATTCCAAGTCTGCCATGATGTGGGGAAGCCAAGGGATGCGGCGCTGGAGGATAAAAAAAGTGGCAAGGGAAAGAAAAGAGTCTTATAAGATTCCAGCCCCTGCCAAAGATGAGGGGGGGAGGGGATGCTTATTTCCTGTCTTACATTTATTTATTGGTCTAAACTTACGGCATTTGTCCTTTTCTTCAAACGGAGGTTTCCAGCCTTGCAATTTGGGGCCAAATTGACCGGGTTGGGAATTAGGGCTGACTAGTTTGCCGCAAGTGCCCCAGAGTCAATTACTATTACAAGTCAAAGAGGTAGAGGCCTTATGGATGGGTAGGAAATAGAAAGATGAGGCTTCAAGGGGAAAAGGCCGTACAGGGCGAAGTTAGGCGACTTTCTCCACTAGGTGTTCAAGTCCTAGTGGGATCCCATCCGGGTGCGAATTCAGCATAAGGTCGATCCATGCCCGCCACTTTTCCGTCCATCAACAGCCCTTCCCAGTGCAGGTGGCGGTCCGCAGTCCTAAAGATGAATTGCCGGTAAATAAAGAGACGGCGAAAGCAGGAACAGTCCTTCAAGCAGTGGTCTAGTGGGCATTGACACCGGGGAGAGTCTATACATGCTCATCGCTATAAGGCATCGGAGACCCCCATCCAGAGCAACCTAAAATAACAATATCAGTCTTGCAAAGACATTCTATAAACAGGCCTCAAAACAAAAATCAAATATACACCCCCACCCCCTCAATCCTCGATTCCATAAATCGTCAAATCCCCCTCTCCATTCCCGGCGACGCATAAACAGCACTACAGCTCCCCCCCCACAAAACTCGAGCCAAATCTTCCTCAAAACACGCCGACTCCGCGTATTGCCTTTGCTACAAACCCAAACATCCCCTGCACCCCCAGTTGGCGCGCGCAGAGTCCACCAGCCCAATCGCCGCCTCGGTAGCATACCTTTTGCCATTTTTCTCTGACAAAACGGTATACCCAACGTTGGGGCAAGTATACAGATCGCCTTTCATCAGGGACACGACCCCGATCATCTTGCTCTCCGCAAGCGATGGCCCGGGACGCGGCTTGAGCGAGACTAGCGTCTGACCATGTTTGTTACGGTTGTAGTCGACTTGGATCTTTGGGGCGATGAAACCTGGCTGCTTTTCCCGGTGTGTTTAGGCCTGTTTTGCCTTCGGCTTCGACGAATTCATCTGTGTTCCAGGCCTGGTGGAGGAAGGTGCTGTGGGATTCGTTGCCCGGTTGGAAGTAGGAGATGTGGAGACGTTTGGTGGGGATGCTGAAGGATGGCGGGGGCGAGAAACCGGCCATGATGTTGAGATGGTTGTGGAGAGTCAGCGACAATTTACTTTATATTATCAGGGCCCAGAAGGAAATCGTGGTTGTATACTATCTCGCCTGGAGGTCAATTTGAGCTCGAAATTATATCGGCGTTAGCATAAAGAAATATAAATGTATTAGCCTGCCAGACGGAAGATGTATGGCCTCTTAGAGTGAGAAAGGAGCAACAGAATGATCAGCTTTACAGAGGCAACAATCTACAACTTCAGCACGGGCCGTCTGCAGTGCAAATATCCATTGCACAGGGTGAAGACCGAGGACAATGAAGGCATAAACAAGACCCCGAAAAGTATAAGGCAATCTTCGCCGTGCATGCAACATCAATATCTGGCACAATCTGAGTCCTGTACAGTTTCACAATCTATCCATCCGCCTGCCCTGTAGTGTTGAATGGAGAGAAAGCTCTACTGTCAAGGCCTGCCCATAATCTGAAGCCCTATTTCTCGTTATAGACTCTACCGTGTTATATACTTGAGAAAGCTCCTCCAGCAGTCGAAGTTGTAGGCGAGATATGCGATCAATATCGCTCAGTGAAGGCAGTGTAGATACGGCATCGGTACGCCCTTCAGCAATAGATGACGATACATGCTCCGTCAAGGTCCTCATCCGCTGGCTGAGACTTATCACCTACTGAGGTAAGCAAAGGAGGAATTGTGATTTTCGGAGTAATATACGTACATTCTCAAGTAAAGAAGATATATCAGTAGCTGAATGCATATGCATACTTGATTCCTACTAAAGATGTCAGATTTATTACATAACTGGGAAATATAGACATGGGAAGAAGATAAATAAGGTAGTTTTGGGGAATGCTAACTATGGCTTGGTCTTTATACATCGCCGTGTCTTTGCTTGGTGCGTGCTCAAACTGTCCCCAGCAGAGCTTTGGATCTCGAATACTATGAAAAGACGGTAAGCAAGAAAGTGCGTTCTGGGGATTGATGTACGATATCTAACTTTATAATCACTATGAGCTGGACCACCTCGCCGTTCCACACCCGACGCTTGCCGTCCTCGGTCGAGGCACGTCGACCCCTCTGACGCGAGGTCCACTACGTCTACATTTGATTCGAGGGTACGTATCCGGGGTCACTACATATAATGTGCCTTTGCCGATGAAGTTAAGCAAGGGGTGCGTATCAGCGACTGTAGCCGTACTTTCATACTGCCTTAAACCCTACAGCCGCTAAGAATAGTAAAACACGGCACGATCATGAAACCCATGTCTTCCTAAAACCTGGGAGTATTATTAGGCCCAAAATGCATAGTTTCCCTGTTCAAATACGCCCTTCAGATTTGCCAGCGTTCGTGAATAAGTAGTAACGTACTGGATCAAGTCCGTGCCGTGAGCTGCTCGAATTGAACATGAAGGGCCTTTCATTTTGTGTTTTGATCATGTTATAACAAATTCACTCAACCCGCGCTACAATGAGAATAACAAGAATGTTCGTAAGGTATCCACGGACATCGCTCGCTATATTTATCCACGTCGGTCCGAACCTCTGCAGGGCGAATGCTCTGAACAGCCCACTGCTGGTCTGGAACAGACGATCCAACGCTTTCTAGACACTTATCGGTCCAGAAAAAGTATACCTCTCGTCCAGAAAAGTGATATTCTGTTTTGATTTTCAATAGATCGGCGTAGGATAACACTTGATTGGTATTTGATTAGATAAAAGACATGAGACAGAGAACTGTGAAGTACAAGGGCTAATCTTATATATAAATAAGAGACATATATGATTAATTTAGCAGACAAACACACCCCTTATGGGGTCCTAGTTCTGCCAATTTATAACAAAGAACATAGTTCAAGTCAATTGCCGGCAATTATAGTGCCCAGGGGCGTCATTATACAAGACATATATTCAATTTATCCGTGCGAAGGCAATGAGAACCACTTTTCAGGATATAACCAAAACAATGATTATAATAGAGATTAGTGAACATCTAAAACTAGGGACGGATACATATCGGGCACGAGTGAACCTCGGTTCCCCAGTTCGAATATTAATCATGGCAGGAACACCAACATATAGCAAAAACCGTGAAATATGAGATCCAGTAGGGCATTCAGTCTCTGAAAGCTCGTTTGATTTTCGCAGAGGCTCGCTAAAATGGAACATAATCTCAACTTTTGGGATAAGTTGGATGCCTTTCTTGGCTGGTTTTCCATCGGTAAGGACGCCGAAGACCATCAAAGTCGTATACTTCGCCTAACAGCGAACAGTTGGAGCCATAATATATGCTACTATCGCAGGCCCGTTCCGCGGCGCTTCAGGGGCAGATAGCTATCACCATCATATAATCCAGGCGACGGTCAAGAAGGTATTGCGGAGTATGACTGCGCGAATGCAATCTTGTTAACTATAGCCAGCTTACTACGAGATTCAGTCCCCTTCAGTTGCAGTATGTTCTACCTGAGTGAAGGGAAGTCCGATCTAATCAAGTTCAAGATATCTTTTCAAATCATACGACCAAATCTACATGGGACACTGCTTAAAAAATGGAATCGAACCACATTTCATCTCAACAGAGCGAGGGTTGAAGGGGTTCTGGATCGGACGTCCTTCTTCCGCTAAATACATATTCATTAATTTTCACGGTAAGTAGTCTTCGATTGGTGTGGACCATGCTAACTGTGGCTACTAGGCGGAGGCTTCGCCATAGATGCGACAGAACCGTATCTTGATTTCTGGCCGAAAATCCAGAACACTCTCGTTGAAGCTGGTGTCGAGACTGCCTGGCTCCATTGTACATACACGCTCACCCCACATGCGACGTATCCGACTCAATGTTGTGAAGCGGTGGAAGCTTTGCGATATGTCTTGGAAGACGTCGGCCGATCACCTGGGGAAGTACTGCTTGTTGGTGACTCTGCCGGTGCGAACCTTTGCTTAGCGGTCCTATCACACTTGACGCATCCTTCAACGGACATGCCTGGACTGGCCATTCAAGGGCCTATCAAAGGCGCCATCCTTTTATCCCCTTGGGTATCCTTCAGTCATAGGTGGCCCAGTGTCGAACTCAACGAACACAAAGATATCGACACGCGTGAGGTCACAGCGAGGTGGTCCCTGGAGTACCTTAATGGAAGGTTATCGAACAACTATATCGAAGCAGTCGAGGCACCGGAAGAATGGTGGAACGACACGCAGGTTCAGCAGACGCTGGTACTTGCCGGGGCGGATGAGGTTCTGGTCGACCCGATTAAAATCTGGATGACCAAATATAGAGTGTGCCACCATGTGATTTGATTCCTTCTATAAGTATAAGGGCTGATCCTCCATTAGAAATCAAACCCCGACACGACTCTGGTGATCGGAGAACAGGAGTGTCATGTTGCGCCGCTTGTCTGGCCCATGTTCGGTGACCCGCGGGAGACTCAACAGGAGCACGCATTGAAACATTGGTTACTTGAACGGTTGACTTAACAAGTATGAGCAGCACATTAAACCTAGCAATTATAATATGACCTCAAGCCCACGAATGCCCACGAATGCCCACGAGGACACCCTTGCGTTTACACAACAACCGAGAAATGAATATTAAAGGGGTCAAATTGGTGGCAGTCTTGTTCCCAAACGCTACTCCACAGTCTGCAACCAGTAGAAGAAGATTAAAAGTCATGTATCTCAAATACAAAGTCTCTACTACATACTTCTTCTTTCCATATTTTCATCTAGCCATTCTATCTCCGCCGAATCCCTTCCTTATCTGCGATATAACCCTCACTAAAAGGAACCACAACCACACAATGGAACATACAAGCCACGTTTATGAGCTTATCCTTTGAACAAGATCTAAAGACCAAGCCTAGCCAATCGCTCCTGACCTTTATCCGTAAATAAAAGAAGGCCATTCCCGTATCCAACAGCCCAAATCATCGGATAGCGCCAGTGGAACCACATCGGATGTTCAGTGGCACCGAACCAGCCAAAATGACGATCGAGATTATAGCAGAGATAGTTGCAAGCGCTCAGTATAAGAAGCGAAAGAATTGCCGTGAAGTGCGCCGCCTTTTTCCCGTAGTGGTGGTCGACGATGAAGCAGTTGATGAGACCCCCCATTGCTCCGCCCATGCCCAGAGGACAGAAAACCAAAGTCCATATGACCTTGTAAAAGAGATCGCGAGTACCGGTCATGACGAAGATGCCAACAGCTAGAAAGATAACTTCGGCGAACAGCGAATTGAGCCAAAAGAGCAGAAAGGGTCGAAGATAGATATTTCGCCGCTTCTGAGCAACCTTGAGGTCTTGCTCGTCGTGTATCAACACTTGGTAATGCATTGGGGCCATGGTGATGGAGTACTCCACGTAGGAGAAATAAGGGACAATGTATAGCACATTGTAGCACAAAGTATCTTCTATAGCTGTTATTATAGGAGGAATAGAGAAATGCTGAGAGTCGTACCCTCGGTCTTCGAGATGTTGTTCATGTAATCTACGAAGATACTACCGAGGCAGTAACCCATGATTAGTTATACGCTCCGCTATATCGTCCTTCCCACTTACAGACTTCAGGTATCTATATAGTATTACCCAATACTAATCTGCAGGAGACGCGGGGGCTTGAAAAACTGTTCCCTTTTAGGCTACAAATACTTTTCTTCCATCGTGTCCTTGTGAATGAAGCTCAAACTGCCCTAGATTGATTGGGTGTTTTCTAATCGGAACCCATTCCGGAATGAACGTTTATGAAACCAAGTTATGGGCACATACGAGCAGTACTTAAGCGTAGCGCCTTGGAACCCCAATCACCAAGCCTGAACCTCACCTGTATACAGTACGACCTTGCCGCCGAACTTCTCCTTGGTAGCCGTTGAAAGTACCCGCACCATGCCATCGCAAGACTTGTCAATCGAGTCCGGCGCCGACTCAATACCCCAGCCTTGCGCAGCCGTGTTTCCCATATCGGTCTGAACCCAGCCCGGGTCCAATACAAAAGTATTGAGCCAAGCGTCCTCAGAATTGATCCGAACACCGTACCAGTGCACCATGGACTTGGATGCTCCATACACAGCACTCGGGACGGGAGGCTGACGCCTAATATTTGGGAAAGGTAATCAGCCTCCACAGGCAACATCATTAGGTTTGCATCGTACTTACCCCAATGCACCAGCGCCTGAACCCATGATAGCAAAAATGGGATTACCGGTCGAATTGTGCAGTAGGTCGCGCGTGGCCTGGTACAGTGACACTGCGCTCAACACGTTTACCTCGACGTGCTCTAGAATATCGGCGCGATGGACGTCCTTGACCGCAGGATAACTTTTTGCAATACCAGCGTTGGCGATGACGATGTCGAGATGATTAATACCATGCTTCTCTGTGAGCTTCTTGGCGACATCAAAGGGGTCCCGCTCAATGCTGGCGTCGTATTTAATCACGATCAGACGGCTGCCTGGGCCTCTGGGTAGTTCAGCGAGCGCGATGCTCGTTGGATTCTCTGGATTACGACTGGCGGCAATGACCGTCTATCATTTGTTAAGTACTACTTAACCGAGTTATTCATAAGAACCTACCTGGTCTGGTTGCTCAAGGAGGCGCCTGACAAGTCCTAGTCCCAGGCCACGATTTGCACCTGTGATCAAGATGTGAGTTGGTGCCATGATGAGTTGGCAGATTTATCGAATGATTATTGTTGGCGAAGGTAGTATGCGAACATAAATACAGAGACTGTTACATGGATGCGCTTGAGCTTTTATCTCTACTCTCCCGATAGTTTCATTTATCAAGTTTAATGCTGTTCAATATGATAATGGCTCATGATTATCAATAAGTCCGCAGATTTTTGTTGATCATCGCGTGAGAGACACTTTGTGATTATAAATCCACCGAGTAGGGTTGGTAGGGTCACCACACATCTCCGGAGGTACGAATCCAACTCGGGTATGATACAAAGATCATATTTATTGTAGGTGAAAAAATAAAAAAAAAAATAAAAAAAACCCCTATATGAAGCAGAAGGGTATCTTGCTTCAAACATGAGAAAAAAGGAAAAAAGCCGCTTTGCAAACAGGCAATGTAATACAGGAATGAACTTCGATCACCCGTCAGTCAATGAAATAGGGTTATTTCCCTCAATATTGTCTTTCTTTAAGGGTGTTGATGTGACATAGATAGATCATGGTCATGGTTTTGGGTTGGTATTTCTTGGTCACTGGTCATCGTATGTATCGTGCAGGCCGTCAAGGAAGCTTCCGTGGTTGGACTCGGCTTCATCCCGTCCTCCACGGTTCTGCAAGATATGGCTATGCCTTCAAAAGCAGCATTTCTTTCCTCGTTAACGCCATGTCGACGGCTTGCTGCGGTTGGGAAAGTCCTCTGAACTAGCGAGTCTGCCTGAATCGACTAGTGACAGGCAAAGAACACCTATCAGTCAAGCGCTTCGCACATCGATTGCCAGTAAAGTTTTTTATCATGCCCATGTGATGCTATGCCATGATCATCCTGTATTGGGGATATAGGTCTTTACTTCAAGTGGTTTCCCGTTTGCGTCCGACTGTGAAGGTGATTCAATGAGCACAGGGAACATAAAGGCTTGAGTGCCGACCCGGCAAAATTGTAGCTCGGAACTTGGCTGAGCAGGAAGAGATATTTCTCAGCATTGCCCGGAGGTGGTATACATGCGGGTTTTGCGGGTAATTTGCGTGGCAAGGTGACCGAACGTGTAGAGAAAAAGTGAAATGGCCTAGTGACGGTACAAAGGCAATTCTGCAAAGCACCAAAAGAGCAGCAGTAGTACAGCTGTGGTGGATAACCTTGAGCAGACGCGCCAGTGGAGAATCTAGCGGCAATCAGAGGACAGTCTGAAAGACGATCCAGATCTCAGTGGCCGAGAGGAATCAATGGTGCCTACCTATGAATCTGAGGCACTCAGATGCTTAGTATCTTCGGGGAATGACAGGGGCAGTGGACTCACAGGCAGTAATCTGGCTATAAAGCGTCGACAGCTTTTGGAGACCTCAAGCCATTTTTTGCCGTAATTTCAATGACCTTTCCACCCACGATTTCTCACCCAAGGTCCCGACAAGGCCAGTGAGTAACAAAGGAAAATGAAAGCAATATGACAGAGGGATGACAAGACAGAAGATAAGAATCCAAACCTCAGGTACAATGATCATGCATTCCGGTCATCTCCCTCTCGAAACTATCTTTGAATGATAATATGTCAACAAGGGCTTTTCACAACATCCGCAGGCCCATCCACAACAACCACCCGTGTCCACACACAATCTACTATGCTAAAGCCAGAGATAGGAGCGCCCATGTCTGTCTCAATACCCATTGAGAATGTCAGTCTCCTCAACAAGTAAAGTGTTAGGTTTGGCCTTGTCCGTCTCATCCAATCTTTTATTGCTTGCCCAAAATCCTTCAGTGAGCTCTCTGGCTTCCTTTTCCCTCTAGTTGTTGAGGGGAGCACAAGCCTCTTGATAGTCTGATAACTGACCTAGGGGCTCGCCTGTCATTTTCTTTACATCTTCCGCCGTTTGCATCTCCATCAAGCGACACCTCCGCTGTAGGGTAGCAAAGCCATGTTTCCTTTGCTTTAGAAACAGAGTGATCCATCCCTTCCTGGATTCCCCCACCGGCTACCTCTGTGCCTCGCTGGCACTGTACCACTTGTCCTACCAGGCGCCATATTTGTCTCTAAACATAGGTTTAGATATGTATCTATGCGCAAAGATACGCATCTTGCCTTTCTCCGGCAATGATAGGCTTTGATGTAGGCGTGTCACAGTAGTGGTTGATTTGTGGGTCAGTGTAGCCTTTGTAGAAAGGCGATTGTTTTTCAGAAGAGGCGACGTGAAGGACACTGTATTCAGTAGGCCTTCGTAGGATGGGTGTTCTCTTCGGGAGTATCAATATCAGCGAAGGTCACAGTAAGTAGTAAGTATTCATAGGACGGAAACAAGCTACAGGAGGATATCCATCATTTATAACCTGCTGATATGATGACGTTTGCTCCAAATCCTGGGCCATACTGCGTCCTCCGTGATCTCACAATGACTGCTAAATTGCAAAGGATTACACGGCAATTTTCGGGATGTACCCGTGGATCAATAGTAAATCTCTTACCTTGGGTGCCTTACCTAGTAACTACTTCATACCAGTTATATCTTATTAGGTTCCTAGCCATCTTTAGAAGCTAGTAGAAGCTCGACCGGGTTCGTATCAGGTGACTACGTGGTACACAGCACAATACATGAGGAGTCATTCGCAAATTAGTAGACATTGAGGAGTTTGACATAGAGTAAGAGAAGATTGCTTTTGTTCTTAATCTGGACATATACATATTAACGGTGTTGAGACTCTCAGGGTTACTGTAGTCATGTGACCCTTGCGGTTAAATGCTTGCCCTGTCCCATATGCTAGTTTCATACATCTCCTAATTTGACGAGTCAACGATGCCATAGGGGATCAGCCACTGCATGCTCTTGTATCAGCCGAAATGGATTCTTGGGACAATGTGCAGCAAAGATATTGGGATGATATATTCGATCCTACAAAACAAACAAAGCTTAGTGGCTGATTCTTCCTTACCTTATGTGATTCTAGTTAATCGCGGCTCATCTTCTAAATACATATTTCAGTTAAATCTGCGTAAATAACATGAGTATCTCTCATGAGATCACTTTCCGAAACCTCGATCTATTCTTCACATTCTACCAGATATCACGATGTTTCACCACATACACGTCATGACCTCCAACTAAACACTGCCTCCTCTAAAGAGCATTAATATGGTTTTTGTGAAGGCACGGTCTCTATACAGGCCGCTGGAGTGGGATGTGACGTCTGATGTGTTACCTGTTTGTTCTGTTTGTATTCAAGATAGGTGATATCCCAGAGCTTCACTTGTGGGATATTCTCCTTCAAGCGATTCTCTTGTATTGGAGCTAGGAGCTACCCAACTAGATCAGTTATCTGTGTTGGCTTGAGCCGTCACAGCTTTTTTAGTGTCAAGGTAAACTAAATCCGTTTATTGACATCTATGATGCAACAAACCAGCAGCCTTAAAGAAGTTTGTAATTATTCTATCTACTCTAGTACAAAGTACATGTAGAAGTTCTGTTAATACTTTACAGCATATTATTCTCACGGTGTATAGGGATCCAATCAACGGCATTCTCAAGCTAAGACTAAGTTAGGTTTTTTCGATTTGTTCGACACGAAAGACCAGATGGGGACATTCACATAACATGAAATGTGCAAAAGCTCCCTTGGCTTTGTTTTCATTCGAGGTTTGCTAAACATACATTTAGCTAAACAAGCAACAAGCCGGTAGACTCAGAAGACCATGCTACTTCTAACATATTGTCATAGACCATTGCCTGAGATCATGGACAAGGCGAATACATAGTTAAACATATAAAAATGATCATGATGCCGGTAGAAGTAGACATAACAAAAGTATAAGCGAGATTATGTGATGACCTGTATGTCACGTGGTTAGGCAGGCCTACTTCCCACAACACAATCCTTGTATGATAGTGTTTCTCCTCCCATAGTTGAATTCAGTTGGAAATGCTACCATATCTAGTTATCTACCGAGAAATAGCTATCTATGAATGAGCAGTCATCACAGATTAGGCATAAATCTTTAGGCAAACTTGTAGGATTTGAACATATTTACAATGTCATAGTAATTTCGAAAGCGGGAGAGAGAGAACTAAGAAAGAGAAAAAAGGAAATGGAAAGGATACGTAGCATTAATGTCAACCAAAAAAAGCCAAGGAAAACAGTAAAAGGAAAGGGTGACTACGGACTCAAAAGAATAAAGGAAGTAGGCGAATGCTCGGATTTTGCACAGCTCTCCATATACACATGGGCCCGGATAACCACTCATGTAGTTTATATAGTTGAGCCATATCTTTAATATAACAGCATGACTCTTGCCCCCTCCCCCTTCTTACATGACATGATGAATTAATGGAATAGAACCAAGGTGGGGGCATTGCTGGTTAGTAAATCAAAATGTGTTAGAGAATGTACCAAAATCCGCCCCTGTATATATTGCTAGAGCCGTTATTGATAGGTTTTTTTAACATAGACACTAGTGCACTCAACAATAAGAAGAAGAGAGTATTTTTAGACTATAACTATCATCTTCCAGAAAGAAGAACACAAGTATGATGTTGATTCTTCTCTATATAGTACCAAACCCAAGCAATTTGGGCCAGCGCGTCTCATACTGTACTGACAACGCGAGGTAAGATATGTAGACTACTGGTGTGTAGCACGTATGGCAAGGCTAGGCTGCATACCAATCTGTGATTTTAGTTGGACGGCAGAAAAGCTTAAATAGATGAACATGGAGGTCAAGTTGTAAGCGAGTTCAATATATATAAACATAGAGTACACTTCAAGTAACCCAGCTCACACTTTGCATCTCCTTTAACACCGAATTGATCTTAAAGAGAACTTCTACTGTATCACTATACTCCCATAAAAACAAAGTAAAAATAATATCAACTAAAAATGCCATACAAAAAAAGCGCCAAGAAACGAAAACAAAAAGCCCCAAGTAAAAAAAAGAATAAGCGCGCGGCTAAACCCAAACTTTCCGCTCCGACCTCATCGGCATCCCCGAAAAGGCTCTCCATCTACAATTCCTCCCCCGTCATCACCACCCAACCCCACGCCATGCGGTCCCTCTCCCCTGTCCTCGCCTCTCTGGCGAACGTATTCAAGATCCCCATCTCCCAGACCACAACAAGGCCATCCGTGACCCGCGCCTGCAATGAGGCACTCTTGAAATCAACAACAAACGGCCCCATCACCTCCGCCGTGCAGGCATCGGCCACGAGATCTTTCACGACGACCAACGTCCTGCTCAAGCGCAAAGGCAACGCTCCCCGCGGAGACCGCCGAGTTAGTATGTAACTCCCCAATCTTCTCTTTCACAATTGCATATCAAAGACAGGCACCCGTTGTGTCTACGCGGACCCCCAAAGTGCCAAAAAAAAAAAAGGTCTAACAAAGGATATTTTAGCTCTCATCCGCTATTTCCTCTGGCACCCGCTCACGCCCCGCCCTCTGCGTTTCTCCCGTACCCGCTTCCTCCGCCATTGGACCATCCACCGTGCCTGGAACCTGTTCCAGTCGCAGCAGCGTCGCGCCCAGCAGCTTGAGCTCCAGCGCCAGTGGCAGGCGATGTCGGCTGCGTGTGAGGAGCTCCGGACTGGGGCCGGAGATGGAGGCAAGCTGTTCCGGAAGTCAATGAATAAGCGTGGAGTGTTTAGGGATTTGTTCCCCATTGAGTATGGACGGTTGCAGACTGAGGGCCCCAGTGAGGAAGGATGGAATCATGAGTGGAAGAGGATGGAGAAGAAATAAGTTTGCTTTGGGTGGGACTAAGTGTGTGGTTTGTGGAATAAGGGAGATGGTGATTTCTGTTGGGTTTGATATCTCTTCGTCTCTTGTTTGTTTTCTTGCCGGGTATGAAGATATTATTGTTGGCACGTACTGTATCATAACATTGTTCAAGTTGGTTTTCTTTTTGGTTTTGTTTCCTTCTTTGACTACGCGATGGTTGTATGATATATGGTTAGAGATGGATGGGCTATTTTTGTAGTATAACTAAACGATGTCCGTAGCTTGAGAGCTGAGAGTTGTTATCAACGTATATTGCAGGCTGATGGCTATTGGTAGTATCAAGAGGGCTGACAATAAAACAAGAGAAATGAATCAATCGCTAAAAATGAGAGAATGTGCTAGACAGACAGTGAGATGAAGTGACAAGAAGGAAAGTAACAGAGACAAAAAAAAATAACACGGAGAGAGATAGCATTCATAACGAAGAGGGAAACATGCGCCAAAGGCTAGGTATCATACCAAAGGAGAGACATCGGAGTGCACTCGGGTATAAAGGAAAGCAACCAAAGTATGTACTCCGGAAACAAATCAACATGCGTCGTGCCTTCAGAAGAAAATCCACGTGACGGGTGAGTTATGTGCGACAGACGCGAAACAGAACGTGCTGTGTCGGATCGAAAATGAAAAAAAAGCCACCCAAACGCCGGTAATGCAAAAGATACCGATCAACATACATCGATAATACCACCCTCCTTCCTTTTGATAATCCAATCTAACAAATTCGACGGAATGCATAGGCCAGGCTGAGTGCGTGAGACATACTGATAACGCTAGGACGAGGCCATCTCCGTCGCTGCTAGTAGATCATTGTGTCGAGCCTCATTAGTCGACATATATAGCACAGGCCATGGGCAATCCATTATAGGACGATGCAACATGAGCTTTTTCGCTTATCGAATGTGAGCAGAGCGGCACGGGTAGCGGCTTCAAAGACGTCGTCGACCCCTTCTCCGGTCAGGGAAGAGCATTCGAGATACTTTCTCGCTCCGATCTGAGTCGATATATCGCTTCCTTCTTTCGACGTCACGAATCTTTGTGATCTCTTTCTCATCTCCTCGATCGCAAGAGGGTCCTCCCGGAGATCTTTCTTCAGGCCAACGAGGATTATCGGTACACCCGGGCACCGTTCATTGGCCTCCTCGATCCACTGCGATTGGGTTAGATTAAAGCCCAACGGAAGGTCAGGAAGGCGAGACAACCGACCTTGTGCTTCACGTTCTCCAAAGAATCCGGTGTATCCACAGAGAATCCAATCAGAATCACATGCGCTTTGGAGTATGCCAGCGGACGTAACCGTTCATAATCTTCTTGACCAGCGGTATCCCATAATGCCAATTGTACTGACCGGCCATCAACTCGGCAATCCGTCACGTAATTCTCGAAAACCGTGGGGACCTGAAACAACACGCGCGACAGTCAGACCATGCGTTAGGCAGCAACGATAATTGAGAGGGTACGGGTTTACGTACATAGTGCTGTCAACAAACCCAACGTTAGCTTGGGTTTACTTTCATTCGACGTATTCAATGGAAGTACTTACAGTTGGGAAATAACCAAGGGTGAAGACACTCAGAAGACTGGTCTTCCCACAGGCACCATCTCCAATAATCACCAACTTCCTGCGTAAATTTTTTAGATCAGCATCATGACGAATATAAACCGAATTAAACGGGCACTTTTTTTTTTATTCTTTCTTTACAAACGCCGAGCAATCAGAAGGGAAGTAAAGAAATTAACAGTAGTGGGAGCGCATGAAATGAATGCGCAGAAAAATAACTAACGCAAAAGTATATATTAAAAAAAACAAAAAAAAAGAACAAGGATGCTGATAATCGGCAATCAAGGCTCGCACCGCTTTTGTAGGGATTGTCGCACATACCTTCGCATCACATTGTCATTTTGTTGTTGTTGTTGTTGGGCCATTTTTCTACGATGGGCTGACACGATCCCTTTCTGAAGATAACGGCGGGCGCTGAATGAAGGGGGAGGGTAAGGCGTTGATATGCCCGGTGTCGGTGTACTCTTTTTCAGTCAGGTACCCAGTAAGATTAATTAACTGGTAAAAAAATATACACAATAATTAAAAAAAAGGACCTTGACGGGGGGTGACAGAAGGCTAAAAAGAGGTGGGGGGAAATAATTGCAGAGGATTCCCCTCCTCCAAGCAGCTGGAAATGGATGATGATGAGGATTGATGGGTCTGTTTTTGGGAGGGAGAAGGGCGAGAAACCGGTCGTTCTGGAAGGCGGTCGATGGTGAGGCTGAGGAGACTAAGTATAAAAAAGATGATCAAATTAGATTGATTGATCGCCCACACGGGGGGAGAGAGTTAAATGGGAAAAGAAAAGGCATCAGAGTCCAATTGTACGGGTATGGGTTGAGTATCCGCATTAATTACCTGACTTACGGCAACTTGACAGGGACGAAACTCACTCTCCCGTCTGGTTGGCTTCTTCCTTTCTGTCTTTTTCTTTTCTTTACCGGTACTGGTACCGGTACCGATCCACGCCAAATGAGGAAAAAGTAAAAATAATAATAATAATAATAATGAGTGGACGGACAATAAGAAAGACCAGATCGATAAGTAACAAATGGTCAAATCACAATGGAAGGAAGAAAGTCAATACGAGAGAATGAAGTGTAGTATTCACAAAAGAAAACACTTCGATCCCTCCTTTTCTAACACTGACTGGAAGGAAATTAAGATAATGAATGGAATAAGAAAAAGACAGCGAGATCCGTAGTAGAAAGAGAGAAGAGAAAGAGAGAATGCAAGTCATTCAATTGATATTAATAGTCGTCCATCCAACCATCCCTAATCAACGCAAAGGATGAGATCGACCAGTGGATGCCGTAGCTGAACTTGTTACTAAGGTTAGAGGTTTGTCTCAGACATCATCCGGCTAGACGTTCATAATTACCATATAGTCACTATCACTATTCCCTATAGGTAGAGGGGAATACGATGCGACAAGCCGAGGGGATAATAATAGACGAAAGTGATGCGATGCTGTCTTCCTTTTTCCCCGGAGTTGCCGAACGATAACACTAAGGTAGTCTAGTTTACTATGTACCTCGTTGGAAAAAGCCCCATGTCTTCGAAATTCTTCCATCCCCATCCCGTCCTCTCTATCCTCATACATCCCTTTAATGATCAGCCGTGGATTTTTCTGCAATGGTCGACGGCATATCACTGTACTTAATAATCGGGATCAGGGCCTAAACTATTTTCCCCACTATGTTAGAACGATTAAAGAGTTATTAATCGAGCCTTATAATTTGCGATGGGGGAATGCTTGGGTGCGGAGCCGTAGAGTCCTCATAATTATAATACTGATTCATAATAATAATAACCAGACTTGAAGGAGAAAAAGTACGGAGTTGTACATACGAGTAATATGCGCATCGCGGTGTTTCTGACCGCCCGGCAGAATTCCCACATGGCACCCTTTGAGGAAATCACGGGATATGCCTGCATACCTGAATCCTCAGGCTGCAAACCCGTCCATCTCGCTTGCGGCGGCTATCCTCTTCGCGGCCAGCGGCAGGGCAACCTATCCAAAGCCCAATGCCCGGCGTCAAGATCCACCGTCCAATCCAACGCCCATCAACCTTTCGAGCCATTTCAACCATCCCGCTTGGGCTGTGCTTGTTCGCGATCACCGGCCTGGCTCTGAACCGTCTTCCCTCTCGATACCCTAAGTTCCCTGGCCAGATTGGCCCCCCGTCGCCCTTGACGCCTGGGCCCCCTCGTCGTGCGGCTCGGGTCCTTTCCACCCCTCTCCGCCCTCATTCTCCGTTTGTCGGCCTGGCGTCTGACCTTTCCCACCTTCGCTCTTCACCCGCCACTCGTTTACCTCGACCCTGTGCACTCGGTTTGGAAAGTCCTCGACCCTCCCGGTTCACCCCCCGCCGAAATTAAGCAGAGCCGGCTCCGTCGACAGAGTTTGCAAGTGAGCTTCGCTCGCGGCCATTGACGATTATATAAGCCGTCCTTTGACCAGTTCGCGAAGCCCTGTAGCATGGTGGCTGGGCTAGAAGAAAGCTAGGAGAATTTTCCCCGTTCGTCTAGACCTACAAAAGCAACATATGACCCCATGGCTCCTCCGCATCCTCCCCGAACTATTCCTAGCTCCACAATGTCAGATCATATGTCGACTGCACCTCCACGCCCCACCAATGGTGACACTACGACCCTGAATGAAAACAACCTCCCATCGCTCGCAGAGACGAAACCTATGTCGGTAAACCGCAAGAAACAGAAGCGTCGCCAGAAGCAGGCGGCTCGGCTGGCCGCGGAGCGCCAGTTATCAAACGGGGTTGTACTCCCGGATGCCGCAGATCAAAACGGTCTCGGTCCCGCGGGACCAGGAAGTCACCTTTCCGATGAACTGGATGTCGAGCACCCTACGAATGGGGACGTGTATCACGATGATGAAATCGACGATTTCAGCGCGCACCGGGATCTGCCGCCGGTTATGAACGGGCCCGAGGATCAAACGTCGACAAATCGAAAATCGAAGAAGAAGAAAGGCAAGAAAAATCGTACCGGCTCGCAAAATCTGGGTGATGATAGTTCCACCCCGCTATCGACCCCCTCCATCTCCATGACACATCCTCTACCGCCACCGCTCCCACCGCATCTTGGTCCTCGTACGCTTCTCAAGCCGTCCAAGGATCGCAGCATATGGAACACCTCGACGCAAGAAGAACGCGAGAATATCAAAACATTCTGGCTCGAGCTAGGCGAAGAGGAGCGACGGCAGCTGGTTAAAGTGGAAAAGGATGCGGTGTTAAAGAAGATGAAGGAGCAACAGAAGCACTCGTGCAGTTGCACCGTCTGCGGAAGGAAAAGAACGGCGATTGAAGAAGAGCTCGAGGTGCTATACGATGCCTATTATGAAGAATTAGAACAGTACGCCAATAACAATCAAGGGTCCTTCGAGAAAGGCGCGCCGATTGTACCTCCGCCCCGATTGTATCAACCTCCACTACGACCACCCGGACAACATACTCGGACCCATGGTCAATATCATCCCTCACGAGGTCGCATTCATGAATTGCCCGAAGATGATGAAGATTTGGAGGAAGACTACGACGAGGATGATGAGGACGATGAACCGTACAGTGACGATGAATTTGAAGACGAGGAAACGCGTGCAGCTCGCGCGGATTTCTTTGCCTTTGGAAACAGCTTAACTGTGAAAGGTAAGACACTGACTCACTTGTTCCTTTTCTTTTTCCCTCTTCCTTGTTAGAGCACATGGGCTGATTCTCATTCGCTTGCATTTTGAGTTCAGACGGGATTCTCACGGTTGCAGACGATCTCTTGAAAAATGACGGAAAGCATTTCATCGACATGATGGAACAACTGGCCGAACGTCGGATGCAGCGAGAAGAAGATACGCAGTACGGAATAGCCGCAGCACATCAGTCCCTCCATAGTGGTCATAACCATGGTCCTTACGACGATGAAGACTATGACGATGAAGAGGATGACGACTATGATAGTCAAGAGGAAGAAGACTATGAGGAGGACGAGATGGTCTGTCCTGGTGTCAACCCCGACACAGTGTTGCAGTGCAGGCTGACACATTGCTACCAGGATGCTATGACGGAGGAGCAGCGGATGGAGGAAGGCCGGCGAATGTTTCAAATATTCGCAGCTCGAATGTTCGAACAGCGTGTTTTAACTGCCTACCGAGAGAAGGTTGCTGAGCAACGTCAACAAAAGCTGATCGAAGAACTCATGGAGGAGCAAACCCGCAATGAACAGCGAAATGCTAAGAAGGCTCGAGAAGCGGAGAAGAAGAAAGAGAAGAAGCGCCTTCAAAAACAAGCTAAAGAAGAGGAAAAGGCACGAAGGGAGGCAGAGAAGGCCGCAGAGGAAGCTGCCGCCAAAGCTGAGCACGAGAGAAAGCTTGAGGAACAGAGGAAGAAACGAGAGGAGCAACGAAAGAAGCGAGAAGCCGAACGCAAGGCCCAGGAGGAAGAACGCGCACGAAAAGAAGCGGAAAAGCAACGCCGACTGCGTGAAGAACGAGAACGACAAGCGGAGGCTGAACGAAAGCAGCGAGAACAGAAGGAGCAAGAGAAGAAACGACGTGATGAGGCTCGAAGAAAGGAGCGAGAGGAACGTGAGGCGCGAGAGAAGAAGGCAAAGGAGGACCGCGAGCGCAAGGAACGTGAGGAGCAAGCAAAGAAGGCCGGACAAGATGTTCTAGACCGTAAACGTTCATCACAGCAAGGGCCGGTACCTATTCCAACCAGTATGTACTATCAAGGCCCTTCGGGTCACCTTCAGTCTCCGCACTACCAAGTCGCCACACCTATCGTCCCTAAGGCATCTACTCCTGTCAGGCCTCGCCAATCATCCCAGCAAGGCTCCCATTCCTCTTCCCCACGGTCTCAACCGGCCAGTACCGAACAGTCACAAGTGTCCATCTCTCCACGGTCAATGGCGCCATCCCAATCGTCCGGGGCCTCGAGCGTGGCCTCCAAACAAGGTCATACTCAACCTATGCTTCACCACCCCCAGCCCTCAACCCCACTGTCGCCACTTGGATCGTTAGGGAGATCTATTCCGCCCGGCTTCTCAAGCTCTAATGGATTCCCTCCGAACCCTCCTGTCTTGTCTGGGATGGTCCCTCGACCGCCAATTGGCCATGAATTGCCCACGTATCCCCCACATTCTACGCCTCTCATGAGCCAACTACGAGGATTTGCTGCACCCAATGGAATCCCTGTGCCTCCCCCAGGTATAAACGGAGCCCGTCCGATCCCTCCTGGGCGTGGTTTTCCTCTTGACCCAGGGCACGGTCTTCCATTCCAGTCTTCACAGCCTATGTCAGGACCATTCTCTACACCCCCAGGCGGTTTGGCACATGGCCATTCCAGACAGCCTTCCAGCTCGTTTGAGCGATCTCCTCTCGACAGTCATGCCCAACCGTTCCCTATTTCCCGACCTAGCCCCATAAAGCGTCCATCTAGTACCCAGCAAGAACAGGACGGGAACAACCGCACTATGCAGCGAGATATAGATCATTTGAGCGCCCAGTTAGGTAGCAGTGCTCTTCTTGACGATACCGATATTCCTTTTACGTCGAATTTGTCTCAGTCACTCCCTGGTGCGACAGGGCCGGGATCTCTACCAGGACCGGCACGAGCCAGCTTTGCGGCGCCTTCTTTGTTCCCCGATCCCCTTAGTGGTAAGTCTAGCTATCTAGAGAACCGTCGTTGACGGCTCTCTAGCAGGGATCAGCGCTAACAGTATCGCAGCACCAAAACATACAAATTTCCCTCTGAATCCTGGCGTAGGCGGCAGCACGTGGGGCGCACAGCTCCCTTTTAGTCCGACTGCTTTCCCCGGTGCTCCAACATGGGGATCTGTTCCCGGTTAGTACAGTGGCCAGTGATTTAAGTATGTTCCGTTGCTGACAGTAATTCCAGGGGGTGGTTGGTCAAACAATGCGTTCGGGTCCGGAGGTCATCATCGTGCACATACGTCGCGGCCTGTTTCCATCCGACTATTGGTGATCCAAGCCTGTAAACAACTGAACACAATGAGTCCTTCCAAGGGAGCCACCGGTTACCATGACGTGAACTATGTCCTTCGCCAGGTCGACCAGCTCCGGCCTCCAAACGAGCCATCCATCTCGCTCAAAGAGATGCTCGACATCTGCGACACGGAAGGTAACACGCAAAATGGTGGCGGCTCATTCTTGACCAAGAAAGATGAGACCGGCGAATACGTCAAGTTCGAGTCAGATACCAACAGCGCTACCTCAGGTCACAGAGGCAGCATTGTACCCGGTGAAATCGGCAGTCCTGTTCCAAGTAGTAGCATACCAGCATTCGGCGGGATCGGTAGCACACCCTCAGTGTTACGACAACATTCTTCTCCACCTACGGGGTTCTAGGCGTTCGGGCTTTCACACAGCATTTCACATTCTATCTACGACTGGAAATGGGGAATTGTTGTTTTGTCTTCTTTTTTTAGCTGCAGTTTGGGAATGATTGATCGCCGAAATGCCCTGTCCAAGCGTCATGTCATGTTTCACGTCTTTGTCATATGTTTTCCACTTGATGGTTCTGCTTTGTTGTTCCTTTTCTTCGCCCCATCTTCTTTTTTCCTGTTTTGAGTTATCACTCACTCACGGGCATTTATCATGTCTTGTATGTCTTATTGCAGAGATTCCCATGGAGCAATGTCTCTCCGTGTCAAACAATTGCATGATCGATTTGATCTCACCATATTGATCTCCCTTCGCCTCACCTGTAGGATCATGTATAGCTTACTGGGTTATGTCTATGTCGGCATAGCTTACAACTGCAGTAAGCGGTGCGGGGGTGGGGAAGTGTTCTTCAAATGAAAAGCCCTGACACCGTGAACTACTCTAATCGCGTAGAATCTCAGTCTTCTCACCCATCAATAATATTCTTCTTGCTTAACCAGTCAAATTCTATGACGACAGGAAAAAAAAGTGGATATTGGGTATGATAAGAGTCTGATAGACAACAAAGGTGATGATACACCTATATAATCGTATCAAAAACAAAGATGTTGCGAATTGAAAGAGAGAAAGTAGGGAATCTTACAGGAGAATTTGCATGCTAGGGAGACAAAGACAAGGTTGGTAGGTGGGTAGTTGTCATTGGGAAATCACAAGGCACAAGAATAAGGAGGGAAAGAAACAAGTACACGCATCATGTCATACAATCATTCTCACTGTCTAGGATCCGTCACAATGCCTTCATAGTCTCTTGACCGGATGTACTCCAAAGTGCGCTGGAAGTGGCGTTTGGGACCTTCCAAGCTTGGGTTCGGCTCGTCTTCATCCGTTTGGAGGTTGGAGTGGATGAGCTCGATTAGGCCGTTAAGGTACTTGGTTGTCACTGTTTCGTTCTGTTGGTCAAAGTAGTAGACGTAACGGTTGAGGATCTCGACGAAGAGTTCGACCGACACGGCGGTATCCATGCAGGCGTCTGCGACACGGAGAGCGCGTTGAAGACACTCAAGTACACGCTTGCCATCGCGATAGAGCTGTTGACGAGTTAATTTCTCTCGTATAACCGAAGCATATCAGATGGGTAAAATGGAATGTGACACGTACGTTCTTAGGGTCGTCTTCGCCCCGTTGTGGGTTCTCAACAACCCACCAGAGGTGGCTGGCTAGATACACTGCCCGGCACTGATCGGGTTTCTTGAGCAATTTGCTTCCGTGCAATGCGGCCTTGGTGATAAGCGTGTCGTAATTCTCCTTGGAGAATCCTCGAGATCCATGGAGAGCGCCGGCAATTATACAGACAGCCTGGAATTGGGCACGGGAATCACTGATCGAGTCCTCGTAGATGGTAAAGGCTTGCGCGAAAAACTCGTAACTGAACTCTTCGAACCCTGTTTGGTCGGCCACCTCACCGCACATAACGAATAGACGCAATGCCAGATCAGCGCACCCGGGATTAACCCGTTGATAGAGGTTGTTGACACATTGGTGCATGAAACGGTAGAGCGCCGACGATTGTGACTGCCAGTTGTCGTCGTAATGTTCGCGGGACTTCAGCTTACGCGCCAACCGTATCGAGGCAGTGATGAGGGCCGGGGTCGTGTAGCGGATACGCTCGTTGCCATCAGCGTAGGCTTTGCGAGTTGCTTGAAGGAGCTATTAACGCGTTAGAGAAGAAAGCAGGAAAATAGAGGTGTAAGATTCGGGGCATATTACCTTCAATTGGGTATCGTTCTCTGGAGCCTGGATCAAGTGGATCAAGCGCCCAAGCCACCCTTGCTCCTCGATAGTCTCATCCGTTTCACCACGCCGCTGGGCCTGCAAGCCAGGATACCCCATCGCTTGCTGTGCGCCTTCCTTTATCAAGACCCTTAACGCTTGTAACACACGGTCCAAGTTCTCCGTCGTGGCGATCAGTGTACGGTTCTTCAGAAGGCTGCGAGCGATCTCACCGGCGACAGATCGCCGCGTGGTATATGACTGCGCTGTCAAGAGAGGAAGATAATGTGGCAGAGCCAACGCTGTGAAGATAGAAACGTATGAGCGTAGAGGAGCAAGAAGAAGGTGTAAGAGATTCTGCTGTGTTGGAGCAGAGTGCAAGTCTGCATGATCTGCATACTCCGCCGTCTCGCGGGTAGCAAAATCAAGGATCTGGTCGACGTATTCTAGTTGGTCTGGGTATGTGTTTAGCGCAAGATTGACGAGTGAAACCAGAAGTGCCATGGTATCCTGAATAGGAAGACCTCGCGATTTGATAAGGTTGACCACCTGCGCGTAAAACACGTCGTAAAGCTTGACATCTGTCGGGATACCGGCCTTTTCATCTTTGGCGCCGTTCGTGTTCGCACTGGGTTCTCCCTCTGCAGCAGTTGCGGCCTCGCTGGCATCCTCTGAGGCTTGCTCAGCATTATTTTCCTGGGTAGCATTCGCATCGGCCTCGGCGGATGCTTCCTTCTTAGACTCTTCGGAGACTTTAAGGTTTTCGAGGAGTTTGGTAACAGCTTCTTCTTCGCTATGCTTCCTAGCCTCTGGATCAACGGACGATTCGGTTTCGCGTGCCGCATAGGATGACAGGCGATCCATAAGCCCTATCACGATCTTCTTCAGGTCCACATGTGGATTGAGCCGAGCAATTGCAGAGAGCAGCAGATCGAGGGTATGAAGATGGAACTCATCCGGGAAAACCTTGGTTATCACTACAGTACCAGCTTAGCACTTCGGATTATCACGGAATGGCGAATACTCCCTTACCTTCCAGCAAATACTCTTGCGCCAGCACATCGCGACATTGGACAACCTGTTCGAGCAACGCCTGCAGTATACCAGACTTATAGCCTTCCAAATCAACCAATTGACTTAGTCGGACAATGTTGCTTCCGACAAGAAGCTCCAGTTCTCGGCGCTCTTGCATTCGCTTCTCACGCTCCCGGGAGGGACCCTGGTGCTGAAGTCGCACCCATAGCTTGTTCATCTCCACAAAGTTGGTCAGGACGAAATTAATCGAGTCTTGCATGTTACCCTCGGGGCCATCTCCAGACCCTGTGGGTAGATGATCTCTTGCCTGGCCGGAGAGGTAGTATCTCAGAAAAAGTCCTCGGATAGGATGCTGTACGCCTCGGCTCATCTCCATCATATCTTTCATGATCTCTTTAATTGGAGCATCCTCCACAGACATATACACCGTACCGACAGTGATCATCAGGTATAGTCGTGGGATAATGTTGCCGGCATACTGGACCAGTTCATACAAATCGGCCAGGTGGTTGACGGGATGGTTTTCTTTCAGATACACGGAGAGATGTCGCAGCGCATCGAAAACAGCCATGTATAGTTCGTAGTATTGCTTCGGACCTAAGCTCGGCGTCCGTAGTTCAGAAACAAGGGTTGACCTAGACGAATGGAGACAACGTGTCAGTCCGTTCTCCAATTGACTCCACCGCAGCCTGGGGGAGGAGCCGGAGGATTGAGCTCACCCGCATTTAAGCGCATCCATTAATTTTCCCGGGGTCTCTAGGCATTTTCGCATCATTTGCGACTGCTGTCGCACCACTCCCAATGCCTCCTCGAGGAGACGACTCTGGTCTTCGGAGGGGGGTAGCGGGGCGGCCATCGTGACTGATATGGTGGGCGAGTAGGAGGGAGAGTCGGGGGGTTGGCTGAGTACGGGCGGTCTAACACCTGGTCAAAATGACAGAGGGGAGGAGGAAGTGCTTCAATGGCAAAGGAGTTGAGGACACGAGCACTTAGGAGAGAAATTAACAGGATACTCCTGGTCCATGGACAGGAGAGAGGGGAGGGGAGGATGAGTATGAATCAACAAGAGGCGCAGGTGAATTACAACATGCGATCACAAACGGATGCGAGTTGGTTGACTTATGTAAGTCAAGTTGTACTGACGTAAGGTACGGTACGAATACGGTCACCATCGTCCCCTTCCGGATTAGCGCGGTCCGGTAATCCATCGGTATGTATTTTGATCTCTATATATACTATCTAAACTATTCTATTTCGTTGAAGAACCAATCTTAGAATCTCTGTGCAAGCAATAAATCCCGCCAGGAAACAGGAATACACAAGGAAAGTCAAAGCAAAACGCCATATGCATATGTGTATGTATGGAAATCATGATCACATAGAACGTCATGTCGAATTATAACGACGAAACCCCGAAAAGAAACAAGAAAAGCATGCCATTGACCCCTTCATCATCTTCATAAATATTTCATGTCGTGTCTGTCATATCATGATTTAGCTCCTTCATCCGTGAAATGACACATGGGAAAGCCGGACGATTTGGCCTAAGAGAAGCAAGTCGTCACTTGCATACATCTAGTGATGGTATTCCTGGAGTGTCAAATTTAGGGCTGCGGTGATGTGCTATTCGAGCTTCTCTTAACCACAGCATTACCGCCATGAACGCGGGTGGAGTTGAGGGCATCGCGAAGGTAAAGAACAGCACGGTCAGTGATGTTCAAGCCGCGAGCAGTAATGCGATAGTCGGTGCTGTTGCTGCGGGTAGCGAGGGTATGAGCTTCAGTGCTGTTACTGCGAGCGACGATAGTAGGGGCAGTATCATTAGTGTGGATAGTAAGGCGAGAGTTGACACTGTTGTTGCGAGCACCCAGGCCAAAAGCAGTACCGTTGCCCCGAGCGATAAGCTTAGATTCTGTGCTGTTGCTCCGGGCGTTCAGATGAGACTCGGTGCCATTGTGACGAGCAATAAGCTTAGACTCCATGGCGTTGCTGCGGACAAACAGAGGGGCAGTGCTATTGTGACGAGCGTTGAGGTAGGATTCAGTGCCGTTGTGACGAGCGACGAAAGTATGAACCTCAGTGTTGTTGGCAGAGGAAGACCTCCTGATGAATCTCAGAGAAGTAGCGTTCAGTCCTCTAGCCACGACTGAGGACTGACCACTGGGGATGCCAGTCGGCAACGGCCCGACGCTCCAGGACGAGGGAAAAGGAGTGCTTGATGGTGACGACGATGGAGTGTGGGTTATCGTGATTGTTACCGGGGTTTGTGGAGGAGAGACAGCGGTGATAGTTTCGACGACGGGGGGCGCCTCAGCGCTGGATGTGCCGCCAACATTCACAACAGAATACGGCACATCCCTGCGTGCGAGAGTATTGTTTGTTCTTGCACGAAGGAGAGGAACCGCGTGAGCACCGAGTGATGAGAGAACTAAGAGCAATGCTGAGGCATGCATATTGGATGGAAGACCGTTAATGGCACTGAGACAAGAGGAAAGTATTAAGTTGTAAGTGGTCTATGAAATGGAGAATAAAGATAGTACAATGGAAGAGAAACCCATCAATAAGCCAGGCAAGATGGATATATCAAGAGAGAGAAGAGGAACGGCCGTCCCAATTTAAGATTAGCAGCTAGGTAGAAAAACAGGACTCAAGAAGAAACTAAAAGCACTCAATCTCATGAATCATTATAAGTTTCATCATCAGACGGCAGGGGGGCCCATCGGACGGAGAAAAGTGCAGGCTGGCGCATCCACGAGGGTCTGGGCGACAGCCGTCAAAGGAGGCTGGGAGACCCTCGTCCACCCATAGGGGATCACCAGCCTCGTTAATTTTAGTAGACGATCGACGTCCACGCAATCACTATCATGTTACTGATATCTGTCTGCCGTTTATTCTTAGTCGGAGTTAGAAACAGGGAGTGTGGCACTACAGTCAATGCAGTTAGGCAGACAGAGGGAATGTACATACCGTAGTAAGTAAAAAGTACCAAATCTTTCGGATGATAAAATAAGAAACCAGAGAAACCCTTGCCAAGACATTTAGCTTGCGCATATGTGGCTGGGGAGGGTCCACTTGCCGTCTGTGGCGTCAAAGAACCTTTCTTTTTTTTTAATTTATTTTAATTTTTTATTGTAAATTAGTATTCTATCCTCCTTGGACATGATATGGTGAGAGATGACGACATTTTAGATAGTGGTAGTTAGTGACTTGTGCATGCTTGGATGCATCAAGCCAGACACGCAATGTGATAGTAGCAACGTCAATGCCAACGTCAGCAAGTCTTGATATTCTGACAATGCTCGAGTTTAGTATCCGACCGGTGGTCACTCTAGGGCTTGCATAAAGCAGGGTGCACGTTACACATGAACTTCTTAAGTCTTTAGCATTTCTGTGTTTATATCAGCCACTCTTGCTAATGTACAGTCCATAAAATTTGCGGTATATGCAGTCTACGTACGTGTGCATCATAATCTGTTCAAAGAGACTACGTAAAGGTCTGGGTCTAAACCTACGCACACACTTGCAGGTCTTGGACCCGGGGAGGGTCTTGCCAACATGAGTCTGAAAATTATGACACATTCTAGGGATCCAGCTCGGACTTCCTGATCTAGTCACCTAGGGTCCACAGGATCTATTGAGTCCTGCAACTTTATTTGTACAGTGCTATCGGTCTAAATATAGCACTGGGAGTAGGGGTTGACTTTCCCGGCGGACCAGCCGACAGGCAAAGTGTGCACGATACGAAGAACGATATAAACCATGCAGGATATACGTAATACGACTGGTGGTCAATGAATCTCGTTCACTCAAACAATTATCCTGAAAGAATAGTAGAAAGGGCATCGAGGACGTAGAAGGGTTGCTACGTTGCCAAATCCTCGACTCGAATTAGTCCGCATCCCATACCAGCACTCGCCCATCCGGCACATGCCTGATTTGGATTCCAGGAAAGCGAGGTAACGTGCGTTGGCTCATCATAGATCGTGATCATCATAACTCCGTTGACCATTTTGCGATCCCCCATCATATTCCGGAGTAGGCTGATGCTCTCAGCGCGGTAGCCATCGTGGAACCGACTGATCCCAGAACTGCCCATGTCGTCTCCACGCGCCCACTCGTGGGTAAACCAGGTCTGCTGCCATTGCTTTTCTTTAGCGTGCATCAATCGCCTGATAGGATTCGTCGCAACGACCGCACCGCTGGTGCATCCATACATAACGCTGGGATGCCAGGCGCTACAGGGGGCTAGCGAAGAAACTGTGCTGGGGAATCTAGCTATCGCAGTCGTGGTGTAGAATCGCCGCAAGGCCAGAAGTCGGGCAAAGTCGTTTTCATCGCTGGAGACAAACGAGTGTAACAAAGGAGAGTACGATAAGTGGGGAGATCCCACTCGCATGCGGTTGGATTCCACCAGATCCTTTTGAGGATCTAGGACTGACCATAGCCGCGTCTCCCCATCCATAGATGTAGTCGTTATCAAATGAGCATTTGTCGGATAAGCCGAAGCTAAATTCAGGACATATGTTGAATGGATTGGTTGGTAGAAGTAAGGGAGCGGTTGGAATGAAGAAGTTTGCGAAGGTACAATGCTCCAAATACCAACGAAGCCGTTCGCACAACCAACAGCTATATCGCTCGGAGATAGCCATGTTAAACATGTACACAGAGTCGACGGCGGCCTAGCCTCAAAAACCGGCGACTGCACTGTGTCTAACGAATAACGTCAGTAAAAGGTAGTTTTGGGCAATAACTTGGACAGGGCCTCACAGTATTCGACCTTGTTCGGGGCGCGGCTGAGTTTGATATCAAGAACTCTCACATAGCCATCACCCCATACACCCGCCAGAAGCCCGACGGATCTCAGAGGGTCTTCATCGTCTTCTTCCCGGGATTCTCGGCGCATTGGACACCAGGCCATCCGTCTTAGATCGCCCCATTTAGTACATAGAGCCATACGTAATCGTGGTTTCGAATTCATGTCAATGTGCTTTGTCAAAGATTCCTCTCTTTCGGCCTTGAACGTCCAGAGCTGCAGAGCACATGGATATGGTGGGGAAGGCCTAAACGCCGGGGCACCCTGTTCCTTAAACAAATCTGGACACTGTTCTTTCTCTTCTTTTGATAATGGTGTAGTCACGGCCAAGTACTGGGTGAGGCCGGACTGATTTGGAGCCCATGCCATACACTGAACTTTCTGTCCTAGATTGAGAATCCATCCTTCACGGTTCTTTCGCTTTCGGCTGGCAGAGTCTTCCTGCATGGAAGCTTTACCTTTGGGCTTGCCAGCATTGCCAGGTTTTACCTTCTCTCGAACTTTAGCCTCCCCAAACGCTTCTCCAAAATCGAAAGACTCATGATGTCCCAACGTGAACATCTTCTGATCGTCAACCGGCCCAATAAGCACCGTGTGCTTCTTTTCCTTGGCTCGTGGAATGAACACCCCGTAAGCCTCCTTTTCGGTAATCTCCTCCAGATGCTGGCGTTTCCTTAACCTCCCTCCCACGTCATCATCATAGTACCAATCCCACCCGCGGGTCCTTTCTGTCTTCATATCCTCCGGCGCAACGCCAAAAGTCGGCCCATAGCCACAATCTGGCACATACGGCGCCTCATTCAAAGAATCTCGAGTTGGAAACCCCGAGTCTACCCCCCCAGACCACCGCTCTCGCGCATAAATAATGGACAATAAATCCTTCTCATCCGTACCAAACATGGTCCGCAAATGGACCATCTTCCCCATGCGATCTAGCGAGCTATGCGCTCCACGCGAGTGCATCTCGTCTCTCGATGACGACGACGACGTAGCAGCGCCCTCCGCATGTGGTCTTTGCCGTGCTTTTGGTCGAGACACAGCGGCTTTCCGCGCACTGCGGCCGGCGCCCTCGCCGTCGGAGCCGTACTCATCATTTTCATCGTCATCGTCATTTTCAGGAGCTACGTCCTCTTCAGAGACTTCGTCGTCGTCGTCTTCTTCTTCCTCTTGCTCGTCGCCATGGGCAAATTCTTCGTCGGAAGAATCATCATTGCCGGCTTGTTCTTTTCTTTCCTTGACTCTGGGGTTGGCGTCGGACTCGTCGCTTACCCCTGCTATCTCGAAGGGGTCGCTGGTATACTTTATCTTGTCTATCTTGCCGCCTGTTGAGCGGGTGGATCTGCGGGCTCGTGGCATTGTGCTCAAGTTTAGTCCAAGCCACCCCGGGTCCCTAGCTTGACGACAGGATAAAAATAAATAATCGATATCAAATAGCCTAGACGTCAAATATTTGGAGTAAGTGTTCCGGCCGGTTGAGATTGTAGCAGTTACAACTAGACTTGGAGTATTACTACTAGCACGGTAGGATGCATGTTCTTAAGCTTCTTGCGGATATCATTCGGTCCGTCCGAAAGGAGTAGGAAGCATCCCGTCCATACTCCGTTGAAGTTTGCGGGAGTCTTGGGTGGTGGAAGTGTACTGTACTGTATTATAATTTTACACCCGATACGTTGGTCACGCTGCTGGAACAGAGGGAAAATTACCGTACCAGTTCCGGATTAAGTCGTTCGGATGTTTTCCGTTTCGGGCGAATGGTTGTATACTTCTTGTGTGGGCTGTTGTATTTTAAATTGAAGCACAGCGAAAGAAAAGGGAGAGATATAAGTCTCTTCTTGCCCATTGAGCAGAAATACCCCCTCCAGCATCCATCGGTATCCATCGGTATCTCCCTGGACACACCCCACCTCTTCAGTGGGCCACTATCAGTTTAGTTCTGTGCCCGTCAAACGTCATTTCATGGGACAATAATCTCACAACACTTCCTCTCTCTCCCTCTCGCAACCTCTAATAATCCAGATCTACTGAACTCGCAAGACAAACCACCCTCACGCACTCTCAAACTAGAACCTCCCACCGCAAATAGAAAGAAAAACACCCTACCCCCACCAAAAACCATGTCTAGATCGCACTGCGGCATCCTCCACGAATATGTATAACCCCTCTCCCCTCAAACCAAAGGAAAAAAAAACAACCAAAGAAACAAACTGATCAAGCCAGGCCCCCAAACTAACCGCCTTCGAATTCACTCCCTTAACCCCAACCTCCGCCCAAAAACAACACGCCCTCCTCTTCGTCGGCGGCCTAACCGACGGCCTCCTAACAGTCCCCTACGTCTCCTCCCTCGCGACCGCCCTTGAAAATACAGAATGGACCATCTTCAACGTCCTCCTCTCCTCCTCATATCTCGGCTGGGGCGTTGAAAGCCTCGACAGAGACATCACCGAGATAGCCCAATGCGTGAACTTCGTCCGCGCCCGTAAGCCCACCGGCAAGATCGTCCTCATGGGTCACTCCACCGGTAGCCAGGATGTGCTACATTATCTGCACTCGCCTAATCCGCTGCCGGGGCTGCTGGAAAGACCCGTTCTGGACGGCGCGATCATGCAGGCGCCCGTGTCAGATCGGGAGCATTTGCTGCATATGGTTCGGGCGAGTCAGGAGGTGAGGGGCGCGTATGAGCAGCTGGTGAATATTGCGAGGGTGCAGGCGCCGGGGGCGCTTTTGCCGTTGGATTTGACGGCGGCTGTGGGGTGGCCGGCCAATACCGGGGTGAGCTGTCGGCGGTTTTTGAGTCTGGCGAGCCCGGAGAGTCCTGGGTGTCCGGCGGAGGATGATTTGTTTAGTTCGGATTTAGGGGTGGAGAGGTTGAAGGGCACATTTGGGGTTGTTGGGGAGAGGGGGTTGGTGAGGGGGAGGTTGGCGGCGCTGTACTCGGGGAATGATGAGTATGCGATGGCGGAGGTGGATAAGGAGGAGCTTTTGCGGAGGTGGAAGGAGGCGACAAACGCGGGTGGGGTCGAGAAATGGAGTGAGTATAGCGGTGTCATTCCTGGGGCAAGTCATAACGTGAAGGATGAGGGTCAGGATTGGTTGGTGGAGCGTGTTCTTCAGTATGTGAATAGTGTGTAGGGGTCCGGCATAGCGTCAGGATGTCACGTACGGCCAGGGACATAGACATGATGGTAGACTTGAGCATTTTGACCAGTTAATGTACATGAAATGGAAATTGGAGAACGGCCAACGGATCAACAGAAAAGCTTTGCCATAAGAGATAAGAAAAACGGAGGGTATAGTATTATATTGAAGACCACTGGTCGGGCCTTGAACAAGGCTCTCAAACAACAGAGGCCAAGGAAACCAATCAGACCTTCAACCACAAGGTAAACACGCCCTTCAGGTATTCCACAATCTCAGAACCGCCCAGCTTACTCTCTCCGAACAACCGATCAACGAAGGTGATCGGGCACTCTGCGACCTTGAAGCCCATTGCCTTGGCCCTCACCATCATCTCCATCTGGAAACTGTACCCCTTACTCTGGGTGCTGTGGATGACCTTCTCCAGAACACTCTTCTTGTACAACCGGAAACTGCCTGTCAAATCGCTCACGCCGGGCATGAGCATAACGTCGGCGATGAGGTTGGCAGTCCGCGACGTGAATTTGCGGAACAGATCCCAGCCATAAACACCGCCCTTGATGTTTTCGCGACTGGCATACCGAGTGCCCGTGACAATGTCGGCGTCCGTTTCCTTCTGGATGCGGATCATTTCCGGGATGAACTTGGGGTGATGGCTGAAGTCGGCGTCCATGATGATAATGTAGTTACCTGTGGCGTATTGGAGACCGTGAACGTAGGCGGTTCCGAGTCCAAGCTTGCCCTCGCGCGGCTTCAGGTTGATATGTTCGGGGCCCCAGAGCTTCTGGAGCTGTTTGGCGACTTCGAGGGTGCCGTCCGGGGAGCCATCGTCGACGATGACAACTTCCCAGTCCAGGTTGCTATCAGTTGACGTCCGGTTAGTCACAATAAAGACACGGACGATGTAATATTAGGAAGAAAATTCTCTGGGACAGAAAGGGGTTCTAGAGCTCACTTTTCGCGGAAGGTCCGCTCCAACAACCAGCAGATAATAGGGAGGTTCTTCCGTTCATTGTAAGTTGGGAGGATAACCGAGTACTTATTCTTTACGGCACCCATCCTGATTGCTGTAGAGGAGATAGTCGAGAGAAGAAGAAATGAAGGGAGACGGTGTTGTCACAGACGCCGTCTGCAATTGACGATTTCAAGGTCAAAAGAGAAAGTAAGCTGTGTCGGTGTAGTGAGTGATGTTCCTGAGCGATGGGTTTGCTTGGCGGCGACCGCGGGAGATCCGCTTTCAGGAACCCGTGGCCTTTCTCCCCAGGCTCGTGGCATTTCCATCCGGTCCCTGTGGCAATACCTAGATCATACCCCTTCTCTCAGACAGTGTCCAACTTTAAGAAATACTTTGAGTATGGTGACGCAAATTATCATGACACATTAGAAGTGAGTTCCTTTTGGGTCAGTAACATTCATCATTGGCCTATAGATCCTAAGAAACAATAAATATCCGTTCTCCAGTGTATAACGTAACCAACCCATTAATACATGAAATACCGTGAACGCCTATATACCATACCCTCCACGATAAAACTCTACCCAATATTGTTCACCAGATAAGTTGACTTCTCTGGAACTGATTCTTCTAGATCAACTTCTAATCAACCAGATAGTGACTTTCCCAATTCCACCCGATCAGAAGAAAGATCGCCACGGACCATACCACTCGTCCGACTATAGAAGGGCTTTTTTTAAAACCCTTTCTGGACCTTCCCTTCGTTACTGACGTGGTTGTAGGGTCGATCATACCGTTCGTCCATTTCTTTGTTGTGTTGCTTCACATCATCGGGAACATTTGATCGTACATTGCCTTCGGAGTCAACATTGGGCGATTGGCGTCCGTCAGTAATTGTCGGGTTTGCGTTGTTGGATGTTTTCCGTGTAGGTGTATCCTCTGGGTCTTCCTTGTCTCTGTCTTGCTGGGATGTCGAAGGGCGAGAGTGAGAGCTGGAAGCCGTGGAACCCTTGCTGACATCTGGGGCAGCTGGTCCTGAATAGCCGACATCAGTTCCTACACCCGTTGCGTAGCTACTCCATCACTTACCGGGGTGTTCAATGTCCCTAGTTGGAGTATTCCGAGGATTGTTCGGCTGTTGTGCTTGAGTCTCCCCTTCCGCGCCATAGGAGCTATGGGCATAAGGCCGCCAGGACAGGGCAGAGACCTGGCCAGACCGGTAGAGTGAAGGACACCGAGGACGGGCGACCCTCAGCATAGAGCCACTGCGCAAGATCGGATTCATTGTATGCGATACTATGTTCTTTTGCTGGTTGTGAAATTTTATAGTATAGTTTAGAAGGAAGTGAACTGGAATACTTTTGTGGTAGTTGGTGGCACTTCTTTTTCATCTGTTGATCGTCGGGAATAGCACCAGTGACGTCTGCACCCGGTCATCGTTGGCAGTGACGGAATTGATTGGTGATCCAACCTGATCTTCCCCATTTCTTAGAATTTGGGAGTACACCAATGAGACAGGAATCGGAAACATGAGGCTCGGGTCTCTTTCATTTGATAGTCAAGAAAATTATATTTGCCTATTCTGTCATGAAGCCGGAACAGATTCGGTGTGAGAGCCGTCATGTCATACTGCAAAAAAAAAAATAAAAACATAGAATCTTATCCACCGGCACGGACAGTTAACTTGACACGGCAGTAAATATAGTTAAATATTTCCCAAAAAGCAACCCAAAGATTTGTTGGCCCCCTGAAAAAAAAAAAGAAAAAGAAAAAAGAAAGAAGAACGATGGACTGTGCTTGGCCAAAAAAGCACCTTGCTGCACCAGTAGCCTCTCAAAACGCCGGGAAATTGCGCCGAAACGAAAAACGGGATATGCTGGACAGGATACTGGAGACAAAGAGGTCGAAGAACATCACGGAGAACGAAAAATGACACAAGACAGATGGCAAGGGAAACCAAACGCGAATGATGCATACCATGAACTCTGTAAACAATTGAGAAAATTCCAGCACAGCCATGATCCTCCGGTTAATCGCAGAAGAGAACCAACTATTCGTATGCACATGAAAGATAATGGACCGTTTCCACCGTTGGTAACGCCGACGCCTTTGCTCCAGGAGGTCGCATAAACCGATCCTCCTCTGCTTTTATGCTAAATAGCGCTCGGTGATCCGAAGCTAATCAGTCAATGAGACACAGTAGCAAACATGCTCATACTGTGCTTTGGCCGTGTAGGTCTGGGTCGCACTAGCAGAGTATTTGAGCGTTGTCGTTGGTGTCGGTTCCAGCTCCTTGATTTGGATCGTCTGTTTGGAAACGGGGTTGATCGAGCCATTCTCCATCACCTGCATCTGCTGGCAATATGGTGACTGGGCTTCGGGATAATCTCGCTTCTCGTCCATTTTGATCCGGAGAGGGTAATTGAAAACCGAGGAGCTTGACGTCCCGTGCGAGTTCGAAGAATCCGTGGCACGTGAGTCCAATTGAGTAGATGTAGAGCCGTATCGATTTTCCATCGTGGACTGGTTGAGATACAAGAAAAATTCCATCACCGTGCTGTTCCACCAGCAAAACCATGGTTTGTCGCCTACTCGTACCGCCTGTAAGCGATGGAATGCGCTTGCCACAACATCTTCGCTGACCGCGCGTTTTGATACCGCACTAGAGGAGAAGGTATCCTGCGGTAAAATAACCAATTTATCAAACAAGGAAAAGAAAGTCAGGGCGGGGCCGAGGCTGAAATCATTAGAATCCATCATTAAGCTGAGAGGCTGCGTAGGATTGGAGAAGAATGGCGCCTGGGCGCCGTAAGTGAAAGAAGACGAAACGGGCTCATTGGCAAAGGTGATATTTCGCGACGATTCCGTCCCCGTGATAGATACCGGGATTTTGCCCTGCTTCATACAGCTCCACGACGGGTTGTAGTCTTGATCGACGATACAAAACTTCGATGAATTTTTTGGGCCTGCCGGAATCCAATAATTGCCAGTGGGAGCAGCCGGCAGGTTGGTAGGAATTGTGGATATCGGGGTGGCGTCCATTCGAGGGGATTGGGTGATGGTAACAATTTCCGGACCCGCTGGCTTCTCATTCTCCTCGCGCGCTGCCTTTTTGGCGCCCAAAACACCGCCGATAACACCTCCAATACATGCTCCAACGAGCATCACGACACCAACTAAAACAATTGTCCAGACTGGTAACCCACAGCATGCCTTCTTCTTACCCTTGGTCTTCAACTTCTCCTCAAATGCCATGACACCAGTAACCGGTGCCACTTCCCGCTCTTCCTCATCCCGTCTGTTCGCCTGATTCTCCGCGACCAAAGTATTTGAGGATACTTCCGAGACTGGAACGGGCGTTTGTTCATGACGCTCGTTGGGATCACTATCATGCAACGGGACGCTAGCGTCAGGGGTAGCATCAAAGGTTCCCTCCACCTTGGGAACAACCGGATCGGGGTAACGCGAGTAAGGTGGAAGCTGTTCCGTATGCCCATCGGGCCCAATTAGGTCTCCCACGTCGTCATCGGCCCGATTAGGAGGTCGTTGATATGCCTGGGTGTGCCCCGGGAAGCCCACCGGGGGCATCACCGCATTGTCCATCTCTTCTTCGGGAACCACATTCTGTGGATACATGGCATAGGGATGCTGCGGGGCATTAGCATCGCCTAAAGGCCGCTCTATCGGCCGTACCGTGGACGTCGTTGCGATACTGGGTGAACGGCTAACTCCGACCTGCGGATACATTGCGTACGGGTGGCTCGGGCCCGTGGCCCCCGTGTAAGGACTGAGGGCCCGGGGAGGCATAGAAAACCGTGATGAAGTGCTCTGGCTGCGCGTCGCTATGGAAGGGGCGGAATTCGTGGACGTTGTTGAGTTGCGGTTGTTATAATCTACCCCCTTTGGGGGCAGACTTGATCGATTAGGCGATTCATCGAAGGAGACCCGGGCGTCATCGCCAAATGGGTTTTCCGTTGCCCCGAGTTCATTGGGCGCAGTTGTGTACGGCTTTTGCTGAGGCAAGGACGAGCGAAGGGTGTGAGAAGATGCAATGGAAGAAACGGATGGGCTCCGGGGAGTTAGGGTCGCTTGTTCAGAATCGATCTGTTCTAGCGAGTATTCATCTGAGAAAACATTAGGGTTCGAGGGATGACCGGACGTAGAACGCTGATGCATGGAGTCGGAGTCGTGAGCTGGGGTATACTGTTGGGATGGAGATTGAGAGGATCGCGAGAGAGAGCGAGAATGGTCGGATGAGAAACGCCCTGGCATGGCGTTGCACAGCCCTGTCGGGCCTTGTGGTTTAATCAATCAATCCGTCAGAAGGAGAGAATCAGTCACCTGAGGCGACTGAATGCTGGTCGACGGACTGAATGGGGTTGGAAAGAGGGGGAGAAGCGGTGAAAAAGGAAGGGGGCGGCGCCAGGCGACCGAAAGAGCGATGAAATAGAGTGGTAATCTCGAAATTAAGGGTAAATACGTGAGACTGGGGGAAAGCACAAAAGAGCGGAGGGAGGTGAAGGGAGAGGGTGGACGAGAGAAAGGAGGGAGATTAGGTGATGATCACGTCGAGATGGTTTTTGTGGTTGGTGGTTTGATTGATTAATTGAGCAACTGGAACGAAGGATTGGGGAAAAGAGGAGGAAGAGTGAGACAGCAGATGGGCGGAGGGAGAGTTGGACGCCTGGGAGCCTGAAGGAACTTCCGAGTGGGAAATTCGAACTAAAGGCAACTTAGTGACTTTTCCCTTGATTGACTACTTTTCCCGATCGTGCCCATGGTTGCGTCCACTGTTTCGTCCTAGCTTCGGCCTTTCTCCTTGATCTCTTTTCCTGTTTCCCCAAATTTATAGTCTCCCATATTTTCTTTTCTTTCTGTGCAATTTCATCATTCTCTATTTTCTATATCGTTTTTTTCTCTATTTTCTTCTTTTCTCTAAATTAAAAGTTCATGATGTTCCTAATTAAGGTATCGGGTGGTGCTCAGCCTCGCCATGATGACACAAAGATCCGTACCCCATCTATTTACTCTACATCAACTGGACGAGAAATTAGAAATAAGAATATAAATAAATCTAATGAAAATAAAAATTTTTTATTTAATCATCTCTCTCGCTTTCAATGAAACAATCTGGTGCTGGGTTATCCTAGACTGCATTGATTGGCGCCGACCATGCGAATCGTTCTGGGCTGAAACAACAGCACAGCCTCTCACTGGCCCTCGGACAACTGTGCCACTTCCGTTTCTCCAAAATTGTTGAAGTTTCAACCCCGTGACTGTTTTCTATTTGGATATGGGCATTTTACAAGAAATCTAGTATGATGACATCTCCCTCAATTCTTTTCCCTTTAAACATGAAGTCTCCTTCGGACAACTCCCATTCAATAAAGAAAAAGGAATTCAATAAAGAAAAAAGAGGGCTGCTGTCCAAGTGACCAGTGAGAGGAATTCAACCCCTCCCCGCTTTAACAATAAAAAGAAGGGATCGGTGAAATGGTTGGTGGACGTTCTTCTCGAAAAGCCCTGTAGTGCCTGGACCGGAAAACCCTATCTGGCCGAATGCGGAAGAACCCAACGACGATCGGCCTTATGAGGATTCCCACCCGCGTCATAACGTTGCTCTGTTCCCACTTTATCCTCTTCCGTCAAGGAGCATTGAAAAGACAGGATATAGGCTATTTGCTTTTCTCGAAAAGAAGAAAAACGAGAGAGGGAGCGAGAGGAAGAGAGACTTTCGGTCGAGATATTCCGAAGGGGCATAAATCTTTACATATCTACACAGTGAGATATATTGGGCTCGGACATCTGTTATTCGGTACCAAACATAACTTCAGTTTGGTTCTCCAGACACATATTGAGGAACAGTTTCAATCAATCAGAATGGACAACGAATTAAAATGGTTTGCAATGTTAAGCATATCCTGTAAATGAATCCATCCGTCCGCGTGGGTTGTCAAGTCCACTTAAGGTATGGGTCTGTCTAGCCACTTCCTAGTAGCGACTGTTGAAGACTCAGATCCTGACCCATGCAACATTGTAATCTGCCATATTCAGGCGAACTACATGTGGAAAGAAAAGCGTTTGTGTTAACTATCTCGAAGTTGAATTCTCACCAAGGACATCAATTGGTATCTCGAACAAGCATCCTCGTTTTGAGATCCCACTGATAGCGACATCGGCTGACCCACACAGCTGTTGCCTTACCAAACAGCGAACTTCTAGAACGAAGTGGATGTTGAACACCACCGGTTGTGCCAACTCTGGTGCACAATGATCTTGCGATATCTGGATGCCAAGTGGGTCAGAAACGTGCTGCCCGTCGATGACCTGGAGTTCATGATCTGGTCCAGGTGTTGATTGGCACGACACTCTTGTGGTTCTCAAGAATTAAAGTCTCAAACACAGTCTCACCCGCAATCATGGCTGTCTTCTCAAAGCCAGAATGTCAGATAACTTCACCCGACCTTTTTCTCCCCAGCCTGCTGGTCCACTCTGGACAGGAGGTCTGACGTGCGTATACCAGGCCCATGCTCGTCTATCCAACTCTTCTTTGGTGAGAGTGGGAGCCCAAGACCGACACACTAAGTCAATAGACTTCAGTAGATTTCCCAAACATGTCTCTTTCTCGGTCTCTACCAGAGAGGCGCGCTTCCGTTTCGAACTGTCTGGTGATGGGTGACTTTCCATTGGTGCTTCCACAAATGACTTGAGTAAATACGAACGCGCAGCACCTGGCGTGTGGATAGGAAGAGGTTCGTTTGCTTTGGAGACCCTGCTTGTTGCACCACGATGTGTGCTTCGCAGTGCCTCGAGATCGATGCCCCATAATGGTGGCGTGCCGTTCGGAGTATCAGAAGAGTCTTGGCCCAAATTATCATTGGATGTGCCGTGAATTTCTTCGTTCTGCTGTGGGATATCTGTAGCTGCCGGTTTACCTTCTCTAGGGTTATAGTCCCATCTTTTCAAAACCTTTACTTCTCTTCCTAAGACTTTGATTACGGGCTGTCCGTCCCCCCAGCCTTCTTGGTCCGCAGGTTTCTCACTTTCGATACCCAGGCTGACAGCTTTTGAGTGACTATTAGCACTAACAACTGCCTGGGCGAGGCTCAATCGGCTAGAGACCGGTTGTTCAGGCATAGTGTGTTTCAAAACACAGACTGCAAAAGCAAGCACAAGCGGTGCTCTGTTCGTGAGTATGACGACCTTGGATAATTCATCTTCAGTCGCCGATGTGGCCGGAAGAGAGAGCGTACATTCTATCTCAAAAGGAGTGGAGCTATCCCTCTGAGTTGAACTCTTTGGCTTTTTCTGAGGAGGCCCAGTGTTTTCAACTGGAGCGTCGCGCTTTTTAGACACTCTTTTCGCTGCATTCAACACCTGCCTCGCCACCTTAGCATTCTTAAAAATCTCCTCGAGAGTCTCGATATCCGATTTGGAGATTTGTTCGGGGCTAAGAGAATATTAGGCGCGCTGCCCGTTAAAATGAATCGTGGGGTCATCCATACGATGTGTGACCAGCTTTTTGAAGCTCAATGACTTTGCCCATAGCATCTGCCAGTGGCATCTTGGCGTCTTGTGATAGGAATCGTAGTAAAGCCTGCACCTGGGCCGCCATGACTGACGTGGATAGCTTTCAGCTGTATCTTAATATTCAAACAAATAAACCAGTCATTTAATGTAATACGTAAAAAGAGGGATATGGAAGACATACGTTGACAAGCCATAGAGGCTTCGTCCCGTCCGTTGTACTTCAACCTGTCGTGGTTCGTAAGTGCTTGCTGCCTCAGGCTGCGACGAACTTGCCGTCTCCGCCCCGACAGCTTCCCAAAGGCTCCAATCTTGAACACCCTCAACCCCAAGAGATCCGCTGCGTCGCAGCTGACTCACGATGTCAGACGATCCGAAACCGAAGGGATTCCCCGACGTCTCAGCGAAACTCTCTGCCCTCCCTAAGAAATCGCTCTTCGAGCGCCAGAAAGCCGAAGCCGAAGCCAAGCGTGCCCGAGAACGAGCTGAAACCGCTGCTGTTTACGAAGACTTCGTTAAGTCATTCGAAGATGATTCCCCCGCGCCAGATCGCCCCTCCGCAGATGGAAGACTGAGCAGGTTCAACCCCAGAAGCTCTGGATTTGGAGGAGGCCCTGCAAAACGACATTTCACCAGTACCGGCCCGCGCTTGAGCGGGCCTGGGACTTTAGGACCACCGCCATCATCGCTCTCTCGGAAACGTACACACGAAGGGTTCCAACCATTGCATCGAAATCGCGATTCTGCGCATGGAGTGCTAGGTTTCGAGAATTCCGCTTCGCCCGCCGCGGCCTTTCACACTTCGGACGATGAGGAAGGAGCTGTTGATACGAAAGAGGCCGAACGAGCTGCAGCTAAACCCACGCTGTACTTGGCATCACTGCCTCCTGGGACGTCACCATCGGTGATCAAGTCGTTAATACCGTCGGTTCTCTCGGTTGATAATGTCAAGCTCCTGCGCCCCTCCGGTCAGCCATCGGACCGGAAATCGATGTCCGCCATTGTGACTCTTGCAAATGAATCAGCAGCGTCAGACATCGACAGTACAGTCAGCGCGCTTCAGAACAAATATTTGGGATGGGGTTACTATCTATCTATCTCGAGGCATCTATCCTCAGCTGCTATCAGCTCGACAATGCCAGTAACTGTCGGCCTATCATCAACGAGCTCTCTGCCTTTTGGTGCCAAATCTGTTGGCCCTGAAATGGGAGGAAGGCTGAGCCGTGCTCCGCCCCCCGGTTTGCATCGCGGTGGCTTCGCGCCTCCGGCCTCGTATGGGCCAGCTTTTGGCCGAAGTGGTCCCAGTACCCAAGTCGAGGTGAAAGCGCCATCAGACCTGAAACAATTGAAGCTCATACACAAAACATTGGAGAGTTTGTTGTACCATGGCCCGGAATTTGAAGCTCTTCTCATGAGCCGGCCTGAAGTCCAAAGAGAAGAGAAATGGGCCTGGATATGGGATGCAAGAAGCGCCGGAGGGGTATATTACCGATGGAAATTATGGGACGTTGTCACCAAAGGTTGCCCCAGGGGAAATAGACGAGGGAAAATGCGGGATCCGCTACTTATTTTTGAAGGTGGCCCCAGCTGGGTTCCTCCAGAGGGAAATACTAAGTTTGAATACATCACTCAGATTGATGAATTCGTTTCTGACGAAGATTACGACTCTTCTGATGAAGACCTCTCTGATATGGAAGACGATAGGCGGCAACATGGCGGAGCGCCTCCAGCTGATGGACTAGGTGCAAGTAACGATGGATTGGGCTACATGAATCCTCTTCAGAAGGCCAAATTAACCCATCTTCTCGCTCGTCTCCCAACGACTCACGCGAAGCTACGGAAAGGCGATGTCGCGCGTGTTACTGCTTTCGCTATTGAACATGCCGGTGCAGGAGCAGAAGAAGTTGTTGAGATGATCGTGTCAAACATAAAAGAACCGTTTGCTTATACCGGAGCCAACCCTGATCGGGAATGGGAAAAGGGTGAGGCTCGACGAAATCAGGCAGCAGATGTTTCGAATGACACTGAAGAGGCGCGCTCTCAGTCTAAGGGCAATTTAGATCTATCTTCTGCGAAACTGGTGGGTCTGTATCTCATTTCCGACATCCTCTCCTCTTCTGCCACCAGTGGCGTACGGCATGCTTGGCGGTATCGGCAATTGTTCGAGTCATCGTTGAAAGCACATCAAGTTTTTGAACATCTTGGAAGGCTGGAGAAAGACTACAGTTGGGGTCGACTAAAGGCCGAGAAATGGAAACGAAGTGTCGGGTCTCTGTTGCATTTGTGGGAAGGGTGGTGTGTCTTCCCGCAATCGAGCCAGGAACACTTTTATGAGGTCTTCGACAAACCACCACTTACGGAAGAAGAACTTCGGGAAGAAAGGGAGAAGGCGGAAGCCGAACGAGCCTCCAATGCATTTCTCAAGAGCAAAAGTCGCTGGAAGTCGCTGGAAGAAGACACAACGCCACAGAAGTTTGATCCCGGTCGACCTCCCGAAGCTGGGCCTAGTCGTATGGACATTGACCAAGGAGACAACGGTGAATTCAATGGGGAGCCAATGAGTGATATTGATGGAGAACCGATGGAGGACAGTGATTTGGAAGATCCGGATGGTGAACCTATGGAGGAAGAGGAGACCTTGATGGAAGAGAGTCGTCGGAAAGAGCAGCCGGAGAAGCAGCCGGAGCCACCAGCTCAACCCGAGCCTCAGCGGCTAGTTCGCAAACCTCGACCCAAGGCGGAAGATATGTTCGCGGATTCGGATTCGGAGTGAGGTGTCTTGTCATGAACCTATATGATCTTTTCACTATGTACTGTACGTAGTAAGATAGTAATAACTACTGGGAGGGGTTGATACAATTTCTAGTACCGTTGGTTAGGATTCTGGGAGAGTTAATCGTCTTTTCTTCGAAAGCTATACTAAACAATTAAATTACTCAGACGACCTCCCAATAACTAGTACAGGAACAAAATCCCCACTAGATCTCCATGCCTTAGGCACCCACGCTGATTGGGCCCCAACCCGTATTCTTTGAGCGGCAGCCCCACAATGCCTGAAATACTTTCGATGTTGATATCAACCCGGTTTTCCTCCCCTCCCTCTAATATCCCCAAATCCAGCTCTATACCCTCCCTCTTATACCCAGTCCTATCGCATTACGACCCTCAATCCGTCAAGATGGCCGGTAAGTCCTCTTTGCGCCACACACGTCCACCTCGCGACGCCTTGATCAATATTACTCTTTCGTGATTGTTTTCTTGTTGCCCCTCATTTCTCGATTCATGGACTCCCCCAAGATGAAGAGCGCAGACCTTTAGCGCACATTGAAAGACAGCCAATGCTAACGCATGATACTTCAACCCTATTAGACTTCCAGAGCATCGCTCGTGAGTGACCTCCGCATTCTACCCCTATCGTCGCTCAGACGCAAGTGTTCCCCATGACAACAACAACAGCAATAACAACAACTACTACTACTACTACCATGATCACCATCTATCAACATGAATAATTGAAGAGATAGAAAAAGACAAGAAGAAAAGAAAGTTGTTTGACCTAAACTAACGAACCTGCAACGAATAGAACAGTTCGTCCAGTTTTACTACCAGACCTTCGATTCCAACCGCGCCAGCCTGGCCGGTCTTTACGTACGTCTTTCGCTAAGATCACAAAAAACCACAACAAGAAAAAAAACTAACTCTACGATCAAACTGACAGCGCGACCAATCGATGCTCACTTTCGAGACCAACTCTGTCCAGGGTGTTGCTAATATCACTGAGAAGTTAACCGTGAGTCATGGCCTAAACGAGGGGTGGGGTTCCGATGACAATGCTAATGGGAGTCGCCTTGTTGTAGTCTCTTCCCTTCCAAAAGGTTGCCCACCAGGTCGGCACTCTTGATGCCCAGCCTTCCAATCAGGATGGCGGTATCCTTGTCATGGTGACCGGTGCTCTCCTTGTATGTGTTATACCTTGTCTGGCACGTTAAGAGATGGATTGTGTGCTGATCGGATTTTTCTAGGTCGATGAGGAGCAGAAGCCCATGAACTACACCCAGACTTTCCAGCTCTTGCCTGACGGTGCTGGCAGCTACTTCGTCTTCAACGACATCTTCCGTCTGGTTTATGGTTAAGTGCGGGATTGTGGAGACCGATGGTGTAGGCTAGGGGTGATCCGGTTATGAAAATTATGATTATGGAGGAAGCACGGCGCTGCTGTTGCTTGTTTGAAAGGCAGAATGTCTTGTTTTGAATTCCCTAGTTGTGTGGTAGTAGTGTGGATATTGATCGTTACTTCCCTGTTATACACTGGCTAGACTTGAGACCATATCGCTTCGTCTATCGGCGCTTTTGTCCGATCTTGTTGTGTTCTGTTTTCCTGCAGAGATGAAATGGACGTATGGGTTCGATTTCTAGTAACGGAAACGTCTACAGTGTACCTAATGCTCCAACCCGCATATATACTTACATTCCTTGTGTGACAAAACTATAGCCCAAACATATGCATCAAAATCCAAGATCCAAAGCGTGAACAGTAAATAGATGAGTTATCCTTATCCGAATGTCCTTGATACCACGGCTAATTATTGATGTTGAAGAAGGGGCGTCTCTTCTGAGGGATGCGATTCTTGCTCATCGTGCTCATTATTCTCTCTAGATACGTCCTTTCCATGACCGTGTCCCTTGTTCGGTCCCAGGTATTCGAAGAAGATGCTTAATGCTAGTAGCGAACCCTGCAGAGTCGCGGTGACAAGCAATACGCCCCAAGTACTCCATCCCTTTGTTCCCAGTCTGGCCGCGAGACTGGCCGCCCAAACCAGACTGCCTGGTGTTTGGATACACATCATAGGGATGCTCAGACTGCCGACGCAGCGCAGTCTGAGGGTGGTGTAGATCTGAGGAAAGTATTGAATTGAGGAGAGAAGAGCGGCCAAGATACCACAGAAGTTGGACCAGGACTGGAGAGAGGAGGGTTGTTTTAGCCCCACAGTGACGGTGGCTATCAGCATGACGGCGATATGGACTAGACAGACGCCGCCTACAACCAAGGCGGTGCGGTATGTTGGGCCTTGAGTCCTTGTCTTGGACGCTGACGTTGATGAATTTACATCTCGTGGGAAATAAATGATAAATAGGAGCAAGCTGTTCAGAGATTAAGAAGGTTTGTCAGTCATGCGGGCATACTATCGCTGGTTGGACGGGTGGGCGACGCGTACATGGTAAAGAAACATAGGCATTGAGTCCCAATCTGAAGGATGCCTAGTAGTCCGGCGAAACAAGCCAGACCGTTGATATCCTTGCAACAGGATACATCTTGTAGACTTTGTTGTTGAGATACCACGTTTGCTAAGGCAGACGAACCCGAGGTTGTTCCCAAAAGGACAAAATACGGTGAGATGCCGTAGGACGTCTTTAAGGAGATGATCCGATAATGCTGGGGGAGGTATGATAGTAGGATCCCAAATACAATTAAGCTGCTCCGTTTAGCATGAAGTGTAGGGACATATTAGAAGGGGATTTAGATGAGGGAGCTGTACATTGATAGAATGAAGTTCTTATAGTCTGGGGAGACCAGGTGCTGGCACTGCGCGTTGGAGAGATCCATTCTGAGGATTCGTGAAGTACACTATGAAGACAGGTCGAGTGTAATGATTTTCTATCTGATATATAATGAGGAGCAACTGATCGATTGGCGATCATCGATTTAATATTGGGCCGTTGACCACTGAGACATGAAGGGGGGGGCCAAGCTCTGCGATAGAAGATTGCTAATGGTGAGTTCCTCGGCAATTTGCCAGTGAGCTGCAAACGGTTGCGGTTAGAGAAAAGCCATCTCACGTAAATTGTGTTTGATGCTGCGCCCTTATTCTGGACTATTTGAGGATGGATGCGTTGAGAAAGATGACTTGTCACCTACGGAGTAATAAATGGTCATGTTTCGATGTCTCCGCATGGCCCGAAGAGGTAACACCCCGGGCTAGACCCGAAATAGCTAGACTGGAATTCTTATCGATTGGGATCTCCTTAGGTAAGCTGCACTTTCAAGTTGCTTATATTACTCACTACTTCCTGCTAGTAGTAGTCAGTAGACAACTTCTGAACGACTACTGAAAATCTAAACTTCAAATACATACACTGAACGCGAACAATGATCAGCCAGTTGGTACCATGCTAGATCCACAACGAATCCGAGTTGTCGTAAAAGAAAAAGCAGTACGACCAAGGTTCCTTCAATCGATGACGCCAATTCACCACCACTACGTCACTCGGCAATCATATCTTGCACCATCCCAATTGATTTCCTTAATAAATATCGACCATCCTCACTAATTTATTACCATTATTTCCCAACTATCCTTGCTGTTGAGAACTTATGTAAGTCTATCTCATCTTAATCTTAAAAGGCCATCTTGATTTATCCATCCTAATCTTTATAGTGACTACGCAGCACCAGAGTCACTCAAGCTCAATCTGAAAACCTATCTCACATACCCGTAACCAGTTGTGATGAAGCTACATTTCGCTTCGGGTCTACTGCTTACCCTTGCGGCCACAGAGGCGGTTGGGGCGCACTCTTGGTTCAGCAAAGCTGGTATGCAATCACCACTATGTTTGCCAATGAGTACTATACTGACGGAAGGGATATTTTTAGTGTACAACAAATGGCATGAGACAGAACTAGAGCGATGGCTCTCCGACCATGGTACAATCCCCTTGACGATGGTGTCTTATCCGTAGCAAGAGGCTAACGCGAGGCAGATATTCCGTATCCTTCTCCTGCCGATCGTAAAGATCTGGAAAACGCAGTAAAGGTCAACTGGGACACCAAAGTCCAAAAGCCCCTGGGAGAAGCAGCGGCGCAGACTAATGACCAATGGCATTATGCTAAGGACTGGATCTTTGACAGGTGGGCACAGACCAGGAATTCCTTGCTAGTTGACGTTACTAACCACCACGAAACAGCTGGTCTGACTCTCACCTCAAAGCCTTTCTTGATCGGCACGGCGTCCCTACCCCTCAGCCACGCAAACGCGATGTTCTTCTGAAGACTGTCCGTGAGAACTATGAATCAATCGCCAAGAGACTTGGCGAGGCTGCTTCTTATCCCGGGAACTGGGTTTACGAGCAGTGGTCCGAATCCGACCTCAAGGAATGGCTGGACGAACGTGGTTGGCCGGTGCCTCAGCCTTCAACTCGCGACAAGCTCATCGCGTCAGTGCGCCGCAACGCCAGGCTGGCCAGTCTGCAAGCACGGAATATCGCTTCCTCTGCTTCGAAGTCCGCAGAGGCCGCCCAAGCTACTCTGAGTGAAGCGTTGTTCAACGCGTGGTCTGACTCCGACTTGAAGAAGTTCCTTGATAAAAACAATGTGAAGGTACCGCAAGGCTCTAAGCGCAACGAGCTGGTTGCTCTGGCAAGAAAGCACCGTGCCTCCCTGGTTAGCCATGCGTCTACTGCCTCTGAGAGTGCCACCTCGACAGCCTCAGAAATCTATGGCGCCGCTACCACCAAGGCTGGTAACGAATTCGCCCGAGCAAGTGATGACGCTCAACTCAAGGCGGAGGAGGCCTTTGACGCGGCCGTTGCGACTTGGTCCAGCTCTCGTCTCAAGGCATTTTTGGATGCACGAGGCATTCCTGTTCCCCAGAGCAACCAGCGTGATCAGCTTCTCGCCAAGGTTAGGTTGAATAAGCATAAGGCGGCCACTGGATGGAGCGCTTGGACTTTCGACACCTGGGATACTGAGCACTTGAAGTAAGTCACGACTCCGATTTAAAGTCTTCTGCAAACCCTTTTCTAATTCCATCGAAGGAAATACCTGTCTTCTATGAACGCCAAGGCAGCCCACCGTGCGGATCTAACCCGGGATGAGCTTGTGAAGCAGGCACAAGATACATACGCTAAAGCTTCCAAGGCTGGAGGATCGAATCTGGCATCTGCTACGTCGTATATGGCGCAGGCTACCGACGCTGCCAAGTCCTCGACCTTTGACACTTGGTCTCATTCCGAGCTGAAGGCATACCTTGACTCGTATGGCATTCCTGTCTACCAGGGCTCCAGCCTGAACGAATTACGCGCAGCAGTGCGTCGCAACGCCGAGTACTTCCGGTACGGCACCACTACTCCGCAAGGAACAATCTATGCCAGAATTCAGGAGGCGGTCAACTGGCTTCTGGATCAGTTGAAGATTGGAGCAGCCAGTGGCCGAGCTCAGGGTCAGCAAGCTGCTGAGAAGGCGCAAGAGAAGGCTTCGGAAGCCGCGGATGAAATCCGATCGGAGCTGTGAATCAGGGGGAGTTGGAAATGCTCGTAATTACAGCCACGATTTGATGACTTGTAACAGTAGTTTTTATTCTTCCTATTCTTCAATTTGTTTACCCATCATGGGATGGCAATTATAGTAGTAGTTGTGCTGCCTAATTTTGCAAAAGTTGAGGGTTGGCATCGTCGCTACCTATCCATTTAGGTGTTAGCTATTATGAGGGTAGCTAATTTAATATTCTCAAATAAAATAGCATATAAAAGCCCAGTGGATGTGGCTCCCACTTGAGCGCCAGCAGAATCATGTCTCATGCGGAATAACCAAGAAACTCACTCGCGTCGCTTTTTGTTTAAAAATAAAAATAAAAATAAACTTAAACATCAAATGCCGCGGTTTCCATCCTAATACCACTGATCTCAACCCCATAAGATCCGCAGTGACAGACAAGCCCATAACAGCACACAGGAAGGGAGCTGCTCAATCGATAGATATTTATTTACGCCTTCGGAGCCTCCGGATCCCCCTCAGCAACCAATTTACCCACCACGAGATACTTCTCCAAAAAGCGTTCCTCCCACGACTGAAGATTCTCCAATGCTTCCGCATCCAGATCCTTGAGGTCATCCAACGGTGCCTTCAAGTCCTTAGTGAGCATCTCCTCATCAAAGCTCTGGCAGGCCAATCCGCGCGAAGCGTCCCGGCCGGCGAAGTTTTCATAAGGGCCGCCCTGTACCAGGTCACGTTAGTTTTGGGTACACTTTCATTGTCCTCCACCCGCTTTGATAACGGATGGGACTCAAGGCAGCACATACCGGTCCATAGAAGTTCCTGCCGGGGGATACATCGAACACACGACCGCGGACGGCTAGATAGACGGGTTTACCATCAACACCGTTGAATTCGAGGAGGGTGGTGGGGGTGAATGTGCGGAAGACGATGGGCGCAGGACCTTTGGGGAGAGACACGGGGGATTTTGGTCGGAACTGCATGTATACTAGGACGGCGAAGAGGGAGAGGAGGATTAGGTTGATCGGGGATGCGATTGACATGCTGGAAAGAGGAAGTTAGTTCTGGCTTTTTTTCTAGTCATGACGTAGGTCGAGTCATGGTTGTTCCTTTGTGGTATACTGACACTTCGGCGGCCGGCGGGACTGCCCCGTCCTCTAAAGTGTTTGTTAGTAGGCCATGGTTTTCTTTCTTTCTTTTCTTTTTTTCCTTTTGGCGGATGATTGTTAAGGGCCTTACGTGGAGATGCCATTATTAATATTGACTTAGTTTAAAATCGGAAACGTAGATCGTTGGTTTTGAAGAGGGGGAGAGGTAAGTATAATAAACAGGTGAAGGAGTTACGGAGTAGTTGGAGATGATTCTGGATGACGGAAGATAAGACTCCGTGTCCAGCCCAATGTGGAGATATAAGCCGATGCTGACAACGGGATTCATCCCGCACGTGAGCCCACCGCCGCCGTTGGTCGCCTGAGGGTTCAGGCCGTCAACACTCATCCATGGTTTGGCTGTCAGTCTGAGGGATCCTTAATTCAACTCCGACATAGTAAACAAATATACATAGTACTTCCGGAGTACTACTTCGGTAGCAATACCACCTTAATCCGGTAGCACAGACCCTCCAGGGACTACCCCTCTTAATTTATTTCCCTGTTTATTTATAGCGATCAGGACCGAAGATAATCCACTTCACGGACTTTCAATGGTCTGAATGAAGATCATCATCACCGCAAAGGTACTAATGATAGTACCTGACGGGGAGACTAACCATGAACTGTTTAGTCTTGAAACGGAGACCCTTCACGTACATGTGCTTGATTTTCTTTTTCTCCCCCTCCATATCTGATACTTCTTTTTCCTTTTCCCCAGCAATTGTTGTTCCTTTCGTTGATTCATTAGTATTTGTTCATTCACTCGTGTTGACCACCCTGTACATTTTGATTTCCCCTGCCACATCCTTCATTTTTATTTTTTTTTTTCCTTCAATTCTTTACATTTTTTTTTTCTTCCATTGCCCCGTGTCGTGCCATTCTAGTCCCTGTCTAGTCCCTGTCAGCAAAAAGACTTCCGCTTCCTTTGTTGGCGCGTTGTTCCGAACAGAGATTGGTCCTTTTTTTTTTTTTTTTTTTTTTTTTTTT